TCTATTACAGTCTATTATTAGTCTATTTAGTCTATTACAGAATACAATAAATGTTGAGACCTACAGCCACACGTTTACTATAACACTAAACACCAATAAATAATGCATAAAACATATACGCCCAATACATGAGAGTGTGCATGGTCTGTTGTATTCAGCGCTGACCTGGGTCACCCTCAGACTGGTCTGAGTTTATGGGCCTAGTCGAAAGTATGGCCGGGGCTAAAATCACAGGTTATAGCGGGTCCGTTCAGCTCTAACCACTTTCCTACTGTCTTCAATCACAGCCGTCTAACCAGACAATTACCATGTCCCTGTACATCCAAATGTTACATCTGCAACATCCAAAACAACTGTCCTGTCAGAAGCTCTACCACATTGAACCGGGAGCATATACAAGCAATGAAATGAGAGAAAGGATGGTGGCAAAACAGAAACTACACTGACCATTCTGAATACCACCAAAGCTGAGTACTTTGTCCTAGGGATTGAAATTATATTACACATTTACATTAGTATACATTTAAGAAAATCTACTTCATCTGTTTTTATCTACCATAGTGTGGAATCTGACCATCATATTTTGTACTGTGGACCTCTGTTATATATATCTGTGTTAGCTAAAACATCATCATCTGAAGAACTGATACTAAACCAGGTTACAGGTGCAATTGCTGCTGTAACCCTTTGACAATAGTAAATTATATGTATATATATATATATATATATATATATATATATATATATATATATATATATATATAAATTGTCCCTAGCTGGAGTGTTTTTTTTTATTATAAAGAAATGTTTGTCCCAACAGAAAGTCTTGATAAGTAACTTTTTTTGAACAAGCTGGTCCTCTCTTTTTCGATGAAAAAACTGATCCAAAGATGTGACAGAGATAAAAAAAAAAAAAAAAGTCAAAACAAGTGATAGACTAATTCTGTTTTGAGGAAAAGGGATCAGTTACATAGATTTCATTGTGTTTGGTTTCAAAGTTAGGTGCTTTAATACGACCTTTGCATATGCCACATTTCCTCGTCCAGTCAAAAGTAATGTTATTTCACAAATCTTATCACTACATCTTGCATGCATATTGCATGGAACTGGAAGAGCTGTGTTTTGGTGATCATAGCTTTTCTACAACCTGGAGTCATTACAATGAGGTAATAAACATGCTTTCAGCTTTTGTTAGGCCTATCATCGTGCATGTAAGAGTTTTGTGTATTAGCAAAAGTTAAGTAAGCTTCTCGTGGTCCTCTAAGCATAGTTTAGGGTCCTAGGGGCTAAACTGGGGTTACTGCAGGGAAATGGCCGTATTGTTATTCGTAAGAAGTGGACAATCAGGCCTCCCTTTGGAGTTGTCTCGGGGGATCCACTATTACAGGTAGTTGTGAACTGTCGCTACTTGTTGAGATGAGGAGCTATACAATGAACAGCTCGAGGGCACAATGACTTCAAATGAGTTTCAAGGTAAACCTCTGGAGTAGAAGAAAAGGCTGCCCAGTGAAGACTCTGTGTATTGACCTGTGTATTGGTCATGCACTTTTTCCAGTGAGAGAGTTGTAAATGAACAGCCCAGTGACATGTCTGTGTGATCTCAACAGCGTGGGATGGGTGACAGAGGCTGCACTTTGGCTTCTGTCCACCTGTTTGTCACATCTCTCACAGCGGATACTTTGAGCCAGCAGTGCCCTCTAGTGTTGCAAACAACTCCATTCACTAAAGCTGGAGTACCTCACTTTTTTGTTTTGTTTTGTCTTTTGTTTGTCCCAACAGAAAGACAACATTTTGTGAACGAATCGGACCAGGACATGCTGCCTATACCTTATTATAAACCATATATCTTTTGTATTGTATGTTGTTAGTTATTTTTTGCAGTTTCAAAGTTAGGTACCCCAGCTTTAATGACAACTACTGAATCGTAAGCAACATTCAGCTCGTTTCATGATTGAATTGATTTGTGTCTGGATTGGACTTTAGACTCAGGCAAAACAAGAATATTTTTTTAAACAAAGTTGGTGACAAAATAATATTTCGTTTGTATCAGGAATTTTAAAATAAAACCTCAGTCACTGGTTTTATACAATCAAAGCTTCAAACATGTAAAATACATTTATGTTTATACACTGTTATATATGTAAAAATAGGTATAAATTGGTTTGAATTAAACTAAAATCCATACACATGAAGATGGCTCACAGCTCTGCAGCCAAAACATGTTAACAAAGTAATCCACATCTCAACCAGCATCTATCTTTCAAGAACCAAAGTGGTTAAAAGTCAAAAGTATAGACACAATGAATATTCTTGTACTAATTTATACAACAATCACAAGAAACTACTCCAACCACCAAAAAAACAACTTGGTGTTTTTGATGAGACAGGTCCAGAGGCATAACGCATAACCTTAGTTGCATCTGATCATTAGAGACCTTGTCGGCCATGTTCTCTGGATGGCAGCAGGTGGAAAAACACCATAACACATTTGTATTGTGTAATGAAAGGCTGCAATCAACATGTCAGTGACTTTAATGATGTGAGCTTTGCAGCAACTGTCCGAATGCTTATTGGCCAGTACTGCCATCATTCTACCAAAGTGTCTGCAAGCCTGAGGCGATTCCATTAACATTTAAAACAACTGAGAGTGGCCCCTCACCCTGCTCCTATAAAATGAATTACCAAGATTTTCTAAAAAAAATGTTACATTATGTATGTGTTGAGAATACATGTTGGCAAAAATAAGTTTAAATTCCAGTGATATCCTACTGTTAGTATTAGATAGCAATATGGCCTACGTGCAGGACTGTACAAGGACTCTGATGATGACTCCATGTTTTGACTATGATGTGACTGTCTCTGCGTGACACGTATGTCTTTCGATGTGTGACGTGACAATGATTATATAAACTGTGTTCTACCTTTATTCTGTCTGGGAGAAAGAAACAATTGAAACCACTGGAACTTGAGAGAAACTTAAATAAAACTCCAGAGTTTGGCGCACCACGATCCGTCTCTGTCTGGTTCATTCCTGACACTACATATAGAGCAGAATACAAAAATATATTCAGAAACATCTCCAATCTGTGATGATAAATTCATGTTGATGTAAAGATAACCAACGCTCTACTCAATTATAATCTGACATTTCATACTCCCTTTAACAACTTAATATCATGTTAGCTAAACTTAAACTAAATACAGCCCATCAGCCATACCATCACTGTTCTGATTGTGGCCACTTGAGTTGTTGCTTCTTCTCTTAGTTACTCGTTTGATATATTTTATTATCGACAAAACAAATACTGCTTTCAAGTCAAACTACGATCTTCCACACCAGCAGTTGGCCTTACAAGAAAGACACAGTTTGCGGGCCACCAGCACATCCATTGTCACAATGCTGTCTGTGTGGCAACATGGTGCTAAAGCATAAAGAATACTGCTGCTCATAAGTGGCTCTGTAAAGAAATGCTTATGACCTGTAGCACGGGAGTGTTACATTCATCAATGGTCTGCCAGAACATGGACACAACAAGAACCAGCAGAGAAGAGAGGTCACTGAAGGGCACCAAGCCTCTCCACCAAACCAGCCCCCAATGACCCATGTACTGTAACCATCACAGGCCCAGAGGATGCAGGCCTCCGCTCAAAGTAAATCAGTGGCTTATATGTCATTTGTGAACCTCAAGTCTGAATTAAATGTACTTTGTTGCAGTACTGGGCAGAAACAAAACATAATCGGATTCAGTAGAATACATAATTATATGCCCCAAAAATCTGGAGCAGTCTTCCTAATGATGTACCGGAGGCCTCATCTCTACCGTTGTTTAAGTCTAAGCTGAAAACCGATCTTTTTTTGTATGCAGTTGTTTTTATTTTATTATTGTTTTTACGCTACATATTTTATAATGTTTTTAAATGTGTAGAATATATCTTTGTAAAGCACTTTGGGTTGCACTGCATGAATTGTTCTTTATAAATAAACTTGATTGATAATTAGGACTGTCTAGGTCTGGGGAATCACTTCCATATTCACTGAGCTTTAGGATCTAAACATCTAATTGAAAGTATGATCAACCTAATCAACTAATCGCTAATTTGTGTTAAACAAATTAACCTCCAGGTCTTGTGTTCGAGTGCTCCCATCTGCCCCTATCCCTGATTCTCCCTGAAAATGGGACAGAGTTCTTCCAGATAGAACAAAAGAAGACAAAGATTTTTATATGATGTGTATCAATGTGCATGAGAACAGAGACGTCCTCATTGAGATACTAATGACACAGATGCTTAAGATATTGAGACTAGTAGCCATGTTGGTCCTGTATAAACCTGTATGAATTTAGATACATGCATTGGGCATGTTTCTGACAATGAATCAGTCTGTCTTAAATGAATGTACTTTAAATATGCCAGGGGTTAGAAAACAGCACCAAAAGCTGCAGTTAAGATATAACGCCAGCTTTGTCTCAGTCTGCTATAACGTTTGGCTTAATGCTTGGGAACTAAAATACTATGTTTGTTGCTTTAGGACATCGGTGCTTAAAAGATTTATTATATGCATGAAGTCAGAGAAGTATCACGATACAAAGATAGAATGTCCCAGCTGTAATGAACTGTCACAGTCGAACAAAAATCCATCTCTGTAAATGTATCTAGATCCAAGATACACTGGAGGGACTATTATGTCTCTCAGCTGGCCCGGGAGCACCTCAGGATTCCCCCAGATGAGCTGCAGAAAGTGTGGAAGTCTGTATCTTAGACTGCTGCCTCCACAACCTGGAGCCAGATCATGATCAGAATCATGACTGGAACAGAACTCTTACCAAAAATATTTTTCAAAATTTTCCAAAAGTCTGCATGCCAGGAGGCAAATTTCTAATGGTAAGACAACAATAAGAATTTGTAAGAAAAGTAAAGCCAAAGAAAGATTAGCAGACCCTTTATTTGTTTATTTTATGATTGTGCATAAGTGTAATAATGTTATTATTATCTGTATTCTGTCAACAGGTGGTGAATGTGAAGCAAGTCACATGACGGTAGACATCACCAGGGCGGAGCAGGCAGTTAGGGAACGAGCTCTAAAGACAAAGATATGACAAAGAGATTACCATTGTACCCATATTGACTTCTATTTATATTTATATTATTAAGAGCTTTCTGCACTAACAGACAAAATCTTTACAAATAGTATTCTGTATCAAGCTAAACGTAATTCAAGTTCAAGTTTGAGTCATTGTCATCTAAAACAGTCAATTAATAAAATAACTTAAATAGCAGAACATGACCCATTTTCGACGTCTGTCCAAGAGAAAACTCAAAAGTTCCATGATCTAGACTGTGTACAAGTTTGAGTTTGTATGTTACACCCACTGGGGTCCAAAGCTGTGCTCGGACTCACAGGGCTCAACGTGAGAATACCAGTATAATGACCAGAGGAGGCTGCAGTAGGACCAAGAAAGTGAAGTGCACTTTCTAAGTCTGACAGGTCCTACACCAAAGTCAGAGTACGCCCGGTCATATCTGAGAGTTAAGTACAGCGCCCCCATTACCTACAGTATTCCATATTTTGTCATGTTACAACCACATACATAGCAAATGATGTATAATCTTTTATCTATAGTGCCAGCATGCAAAAGTATCCTTACCCCATTTTATCAATCAGAAGTTGTCTGATAATTGATAAATGGTCAAATGATGAACTAACTATACAATAGTCCACCAGAGTGTAATCTCATCTCAGTATGATTGCAGCAGGTTTGTAATGGTTTGTTAAGAGAATATTGGTCGGTAAAATGTGTCATGAAATCCAAGGAAGACATGAAATATGCCATTGGTGAAACTTGGAGAGAAGATTTAAATATAATTAGATTAGGAAAGTGGGAACATTCAACATCAGGAAGATGTTGAAAGTTCCCTCAGGAAGGTGCTCAACTCAAACCACCCCACTGTCAAACTCGGTGGTGGCAGCATCATGCTGTGGGGTTGCTTTTCTTCAGCTGGGATAGAGGGCCAGCATTGAAGGAAGGTGAAGGAAGGTGGAAATGGGCAATTTCCCTGATGGAAGGTACACCCTAAATTAAATAACATTTGTGGTCAATACTTTTGGACGCTACACTTTGATCTACACTTTTCAAAAGCTAAATTGTGTTTTTTAATTCATAATTGTCTGCCACTTCAAAGAAAACATAGTTTGAGGTCGAAACAAAATGTGGGAAAGTTTGTGCAGTGGGAAAACCTTTTCAGGCACAGTACAGTGGAGAAATACAAATTGGAATAAAATGATAATAAACCTAAAGCTCCAATAACTCATGAAGACAAACAAAGATACCTGGTTGACAGCATCAGGCCAGTTTTGTGTCTCCAGACAGAAGGAGCAGTGTTTTCCATATTTGACCCCATCCTTCCCTGTTACAGAGGCATCCAGGTAGTTGGCTGTGTAGAACTGGACGCCTGGTTGGCTGGTGGACACCTCAAGGACTCTGCCGCTGGGCGGGTGACACACCCTGAGGAGCCAAGAGTTCAGTGGAACAGTGGGACACACCCTGATGTAGACAGAGCCTACCTGGCAGCCGCTCTCTCTGCCCAGGGAGCATCGCAGGAACAGAGGCAAAAGTTATGATCAAATCCAGGCCCTGGCACCATCTTCAACCTTGGGCCAAGCAACACAGGCCTTCTTAGGTCAAAGGGAGTCCCTGCCACAGCACTGACCTCTCCTGGAGAAACAAGATGCAGGGCCACATTGTCACTGCAAACCTGCATCGACTGGAGGTGTTTGAGATGCTCCCACTACATAGAGGTGTTACATGGAATACATGTACCAGGAATATATATTCATAATATTATTTTTGGGTCATACAGATATAGTTTTGCAGAATATAGTCACTTTTCAAACATTTAAGAAATACAGTTAGGTATTTCATCAATATGCAGCATCTTACAGACAAACTAAAACATGGATAATGGATTTATGTGGGTGTGCACATCCTTTTCCAATCACTAAAAACAAAAAATGCCCAATGTTAGCTACTTTTAAAATTTGTACAACATTTTACAACATTAGGCAAAAAGCATGTTAAAGTGTCCTGAATACAGTGCTCCGATTTAGCCTGGCTCTGCCAGACCCTTGTAGTTCCGCCAGGCTCCACCAGAGGCGTTTGGCTGAACCAAGTGCAGCGAACTACGGGTCTGGCGAGAGTCAGGCTACCTCCGATTGGCCCATGTAACGGAACACGTTCAACAGCGACATTTAACATTAAAGATTATCAGCCCAGTGTTTGAGAGCTGCAGTTACCTGTGGGGATGGAGGTGTCATCAACCGGCAGGTAGCACTCAGCGCTAATGGACACTTCATGGTCATACACATTGTCTGCAGTCTGGTTGACCACAAAATGAGACAGAACATAATAATAAGATAACAGTAATAATCATCCAGATTGTGTGTTGTACTGGACTCATTTTTCCCCCATGTTCTTATGCCACACCTGTGAGGAGGGATGGGTTGTCACTGCAAAGATTAAGTGCTCACTGAATTATCAGTCTTGCAAGCATATATAGTGAGTTTTATATGTTTTAAGTTGAACCCATGAGAAATGGGAGCAAAACCAAAAGCTGCATTTATATTTTTGTTCAGTGTAGTTTATAAAGATTCAGTACATCAGATGATGTGATGATCTGTGAAAAATGAAATGAAATCACCTGTCCAGCCAAGTTAAAGTAGGAGTGGTTCGTAAGGTTGATTGGTGTGGTTTTAGTTGACTTGGCTTGATACTCTGCAGACAATGTTTCTCCCTGTAAAATAAGTTTATTATGAAGGATCAAATTGTGCCCCAGCATCTGTCCAGGACTAACCTGCAGCAGGTATGTGACTGTGACCTGCACCTCCCCAGGATACCCCTGGTCTCCATCAGGGCTGGTGAGGCTCAGCTGTACTCCTCCTTCCACAGGAACAGCCTTCCAAAGAGCCTGTAAAGTATAAATGTAAAGTATTATATATTGTAGTTTAAGGTATTTTAGGCATTTACTGCACCATTCTACACAGTATGACAAGCTGCAGCTGTTTCTCAAGATGAAAACATTCAAAAAGACATACAGTAAACAACTGAACATTGATATTTAAAAGGGACAATATGTATTATGCAGTGGTTTGTGATTACAATCCAACTTTTGTTACCAGGGTGTAGTTTTTAAGCACACATACTGAGAGAATCTACCTGCTGGGGTTAAGCTAGTAACAGTTAAAACTATGTGTATTATGTATGACTACTTATTCTTGTATAAGTTAAACACATTTTAGTTATTAGTTACAAACTGGCAACCCAAATGAGAGCTCTCTGATTGGATAAACTGTTTAAAAAAATATATATATTTATGGACATCATGTCCATTCTATTTTTTAATACAAGAATTATTCACAAACTACACTTTAAACTATCAGAAAAGGTCAAATATGATTCGTACATGTTGATCTAATATCTGGGGAGAAAATGAAAAAATACACACTGTTCCTTATCAACTTTATTTAACAAATGAAATGAATCAACCTCCTTATTACCTTATTGAATCCTTGCAGACCTCCATGAAGTGCGTTTGGTCCATTGTTAATATCAAGATGATATTCTTTGCCATCGAGTACAAAGCGTCCTTTAGCGATTCGGTTGGCCACTCTGCCCACCACAGCTCCCAGGTAGCGCTTATCTGACAGGTATCCTGAAAACACACATTCATCCTGTCATTTTAATGTACAATGTAATGATATTTTAAGGTCAGTTTGAGGTTTAATGGGATTTCCTGGTAAAACATTGGTAAATATTAATCATAATATTAACAATAATCCTGTACAATTCATATTTGAAAACAAAGGATTTTACAGATCCAATGACTGCTTTATGTAATAAACAATGTTGTAGCACAATCAAACAGTTTGGACTTTCTCCTCAAGAGGGAGCTAGACACAAAGGTATTGGTATTGGTATGGCATTGGCAGACAGTAGATATGCTACATCCCAATTCAGCAAAAATACCTCCTTCCGGATCCTTCCTTGTCCTTTTGTGTTCTTTAGAATTAACCTTTTATGACATGGGGAACTCCAGGTTTTGGTCAAGTATATTTCAACACGTTTTTAAAGATGATTTTGATTGTCACTTCTCCAACACAGGTCAATACACATGTGAAAGAAAGGTTTGGAAGGGTAAGGAAGGATGTATTTTTTATTCATTTGGATGCCGCCATGGTCTGGGACTAACCCCATGGGACTAACCCTGAACGTCAGCGTATCCCAGCACCACATCTGCCCACTCCTGGTCTCTGCCTCTGCACCGCACACCGCGCAGTGTGGCCCCCAGCGTGAGCACCTCCACCTTCACTTGAGGAGACTCAATACGCCACAGATCCACGGGCCCCTGTCCTGGGGCCTCACCCCAGGGCTCATAAGTTACGATTGTCACCATCTATAAACAAAAAACACGCGGACGTTTAAAAGTAGTTCCCACTAAACCTAAGCACATTGCAGGCAGGTCAATCCAAACTAACTCATTTGTATTTGATCGGTTTCCTTTCGACTTCAATGTGACTGTTCGTTGTTGACTGATTGACTAATATAAAGTCATCTTTTACTCCATAAAGTTATAGCTGTGTGGGCCTACGCTCTCTTATGTATTGTCGTAACGAGTCACCACTGTTATTACCCTTTCTCCGAGTCCCCTGAGCTGCGAGCGCAGGGATCAGGCGGTACCACAGCCGTACGTACCACAGACTGTAAACGGTACGTACACAGCTGGCTGCTGTGCAACGTGCTGTCTGCGTACTGCTCCCTGTTGGAGTGGAAGAGCAGGGCCACTTAGGAGCTCTGATGAAGACGTAATAGATTACAGCAGTCCCCAATAGCTTCAACCAAGTATACAATAAAAAAAATCACACTTCAGAAGAAATGAAATGAAATGGCCTGATAACATAAGACTAATGGTTTGGGTTGTGAATGAATATTCATGTCGTAATTTAGTTGATGTAGTTTATTTTTGCTTGGTAGGTTGGCATGATATTTAACTCCCCAGAAGTGCCTCTGATCACAGAAGGTAGAGAATGTATACAGAATGTATAGAATGTAGTGTTGCAGAGATTAAAGCAGTGCATGCATTCTTTTCAACAATAACTTGAGTCAGTTTTTACTTCCTTTTTAATCACAGCTTCATTTTTAAAATAAATAATAATACGTTATGCAACATTTACAGTAAATACTTTGGATGGTTTTATTATAACATCGTTTATAATAAGTTGATATTGCAGTTTGTAAACACCCCTGGGTAAAGTGCCTCTCCACGTTGTGCTTGTGTTTTTTCCTTTGGTTCAGTTCTGTCCCAGTGTGAGCAGCAGAGCCTCGGCCTGAGAGGCCACTTTACTGCTGCTGTGACCCGTCAGCTGATGCAGGCTCTCCTGGATCTGTGCAGACTCCAGGTCTTCCTTCATTGCACCTGTGCACAAGAATAACCACCATGAGAAGTCTTCTCAGGGACTTCAGTAAAACTATAGACACTAGTATACAAAACACAAACAAACAAGAGAAAAATAAAAAAATATATATCTTTGTTGAATAATTAACAATATCTTTATTTGAGACATTTTAAGCATTGCCTTTGAAACTCTATTATACTGTTGTAGAAATGTTGCATGTCGGCAGAGAGTATGACAATAAACTAAACATGTAGAACTGAAGCCAAACCTGAAGTTAGAAGCGTGGTTAACCACAAAACATGTATTCAATTAGGCATGGCCCACCACTTCAACCCTGTCGCCACATGAAAAGTAACTACAGGTAGTATTTTAAAAATGTAAGGAGAGTTGGGTTTAAAAATAAGGAGTAAAAGTAAAAAATACATACAGTACTTAAGTAAGATTACTAAAAAATGGTAAATTTAGACACAGGCAGAAAATAAAATTGATTGCATTGCATCGAAATGCAAAGTCGGATGATGGCTGTAGAAAGGTAAAATAGTCTCTTTTTAATTCCATCCTCCTTGTGTCACCTATTGGTTTTGTTATTCCACTTAATACATCCATCATTAATATTCATAATTGTTCAGGGTATTCACATACCAGAGTTAGCCAAGCTGCAGATGAGCCCTAAACTGTTGAATTTGACCTCCACAGCACCTGCTGGGTCTTCAAGATTTGTCTTTAGAACAGGCAGTAGTGAAGCTTCACGAATGGGTCCCTTCATGGACTCTGCAAGAGAAATATATTCAAATGTAAGCAGGCTAACAGGAAACAGATACAGTACATAAATATTTAAGCCATTGATCCTGTACCAATATCAATGGCAGCTGCAATGGCCAGAGCGACCAGAGCCTCATTCTGCATAATGACATGTTCACTGGTGGCCATGTTGATAAGGTGCTTTATACCGTGTGCTTGAGTCACAGCGCAGACCACTTCCTACAGTCAGACGGCAAGAGTCAGTGGACTGGGTTATGTAACAGACAAAAACAAGTGTGTTGTGATGCATACAGGACTGCGGCTGTGTCGGATCAGTGCGGCCAGGAGTCGACTGGCCTCCCCCCTCACTCCTGCATGATCTTTAGCTTCACACCATTCCATCACTCGAGAAAGAAGCACACTGTCTTTACCCATGAGCAAGGCTGCTTCCTCTGAAACAACACAAAAAACAATTCTCAATTCAACAATGAAATAATCATGTAATATCAACTGGAGATAAGGCTAGCTCCATCAGTAACCTCTTTTAAATCACTTCTTAATACCCAGTTTTATTAAAACAAGCCTTTAACTGCTTGTTTTAATTGTCACATGTTGTATTATACTGTTCCACTCTGTCTTTGTCTGTCTGCATTATTCTGCTGTATTTCTTTTTGATCTGACTATTTTATCGTTTTTACTGCTGACTGTGCAGCGCTTTGTAAACACTGTTTTTAAAGTGCTTTACAAATAAAGATGTATAATCATCCATCCATCCATCCATCCATTTTCTACCCTTTAATCCATTTCTGGGTCAGGGGGGTGGCAATCAGAGATGCCACCCAAGTCTCATAGCACCAGCCCAGTATAATCATATTATTATTAAATAAAGCCTTTATAAAATTCTAAGATCATTACCTTGTCCGTCCACCATCATCCGCAGGGTACCCAGCAGTTTGAACTGTACTGGAGGCATGTCAGAGCGCAGCAGGCTCTTTATCCTCTCAGTCACTCCATCCTGCAGCATTCGCACTTTGTTTGTGGCTGAAACCAAAACCAATATCTATGATTGCATGTAATCCATATTTTTACAATATGATGTGAATGTGGGCAGTACCAGGAATAGCCAAGTTTCTGAGAGCGCTGAGGCCGGCGTGCTGCACTGACACATCGCCTTCATCCACATGCTGCTCCAACAGAGTCAGGAGGTGATGCACCACCCCCAGCTCCAGCATCTTCACACAGTTACAGTCTGAGACAAGACCCAGGTCACCCTTATACATCCTCACAGTTCAAAGCCCAAACTGGTGAATTATCTACTGTCAAATCTTGCAGTTTAAAGCAGAAACTTACACAGATTATGAAAGTAAGGGTGCTATAGACAGCAGCTCTCACCGTTGCGAGCAAAGTTTGCGATAGCCAGAGCTCCAGACAGTTGCAGTTGAGTGTTTTTGCTCTGCAGCCACAGCAGCACATCCTGGTACACTACACCAGAGCCCTCCCCAAAACACTTCTGCATCGACTCGTCTAAAAACACAATAAACAATGGTTATCCTGGTGCCCCCCTGTCAGTAGTTTGCATTGTGGATTTACTCTACTTTAAAAAGTTCACGTTGTTTTGACGTCAACACTCACCTCCTAACAGCAGGGAGACAATGAGGTTGGATGCAATCTTGATGCTGCAGAGGTCATGGGGGTCTGACTCCCCCTGTAGAGCCCAGATCATCTGTGAAAGAGCTTCAGGAACTCCAAACTCCGCAAACTGAAGTTTCAGTGTCTCTGCCCACAACACACACAACAGCGGTTCATATTCATATCAAGCTACTAAAGAAAAACTAATAATTTACATATATGTATCAATCCAGGTGCTGTGTGAAGTAAAATGTCTCTATAGATTAATATACCCCTAACTTTACGTTTTGACTATAAAATAAAATAAAATCAGACTTGTATCCAGAGGGCTGTTTCATCACATATCAGGGAAACATTTGACATTTATGGATACAAAAATACTGTAAATATTATTTTGCTATTACTGTTAGATATAAATTATACTTTAGCCCAGACCTGCATGTTTGTGGGTCTTAATGCGAGAACACCTATTTAATAATGAATGCAACCAGCAAGGACACGTGACACACGTGTGGCACATGTGTGGCACTGGAGCGGTGCGGAGACAAATGTTAATGCTCCCTTTTTGCCCTTCTTGTGCTTTGCACAAGAACACAGGTTGACAAAAGAGGCCCCATGTGCTTTTGTTAAAACATCCCTCAGATACAATCTCTCCAATCATGAACAATCCATACCATTTTCTCCCAGAGATCCAAGTATTTCCAAAATGACATGACGGCGCTCTGCATCAGGGGAGCGCTTCAACTGAATGGTCAGTACATCGGCCACATCCAGAGAGATCAAAGCCGCCCGAGCGGAGTCTGGACACACACAACAATCTTTCTATCAGCTTTGGTTTTGTTGATCCACTTACAAAGCAGTATCCCAGTAGTGGATTACGTAGAAACTACACTTAGTTCAAAAACCAAAAAAACCAGGGAAACACATAATCAAGTTGTTGTTTGGGTCCATGAACGGCAGGTACATACCGAGATCTGCGAGGTTACACAAGGCCAGCAGACAGACGTTGAGCAGGGGGTCGTTCTGTGGATACTCCCTCATGATGGACAGTAGCCTGGGGATGACATTGCTCTGGACCAGCTGCTCCTGCTGTTGGGCTGAAATCAAGCATATATCCTCTGAATGTTTAATCACTAACACTCTTCATAGTACATCACATACAACAATGAAATGCAAAGTCCATGATGTAACACAAAGTACTTGACAATTCATTCATCTAAAAGATTGAATATTATTTAGACCCTGCGCCAAATGTGTTGATGCCATTCACCAGTGGTATCTCTGCTGGCTAAGAGTTTAAGTTGAGGTTATTTCACTCTGACACTCAACAAACACAAATGACATGTCACTCACTCAGGATATGTCAAAGCCTTGCCACAAGTGTGTGGAGAGGTGTAAACAGCAGACGTAAGCAGAGAAGCTTTGATTCATTAAAATAATATTAAAATAGCCCATTTACTATAAGCAATTGGGTTTAGATTTGCACCATAATTTTCTTCAGCCCTTTACCATCAAAGCCTCATTTATGTTAGAAAAACTCTTTGCACTATGGAAAGTACAATTCTGTTTCAGGAGAACTATCTGCTTGAGTTATAATTGCTCCACTGTGATCTTCCTTGAAACATTCTCAGCTAATGAAGGAAATGTAAACAATGCAAGCCCTCAACTTACCATTGTCAAAGCAGATGCGTCCGATAGCACGACCTGTGTTCAATAATATTTCTTGGTTGTCACAGTGCAAATGTGGAAGCAGTTCCTTCACTAGACCAGCCTGAATGCATGACTCTCTAACTGCCGCTAGAAGAGAAGAGAATTATTTATGAGGTATAATGAGGCTCTGAGAAACACTTCCACGCCTATTGCTTATAGCTTACTCAGTCATATGAAGTTTTCTTTCCACTTTACTTTAACCATGCCCACTTACAAGATACATACCTTCACGGGCAATTTCTGCAACTACCAATGCCACCTGGCAGCTCAGGGAGCTTTTAGTCCTCAAAGCCTGGGCCAGAGTGGGCAGAATCCCACTTCGGCAGATCTCAATTGCAGCTCCTTCCTCTGAAGAAAATAAAAAGTATATTGTCACATTTGTTTGCTTAACATACCACATATCAAGATAAAATCCTTTCTGGAATTAACTAAGGCTTGTATACTGTCTTTATTGTATTAAAATCTGCAAGAGCTGGGATCAAGTTGACTGTGGGAATCGAATGTTTTGGAATTGTATAGGATAAGATAGTAGGAGTCTTACTCTTGGCCAGCAGGGCCTGAAGAAGTGTGTCCAGATGAGGCTGCAGCTCTTCCTCGATCAGATCTGTGCTCACACTGATGGCCTTCAGCGAATCACTTAAAGAGTCTGCAAGTCATACACACACACACACACACACCCACACAAAAACATTGGACAATACTCTATTGATTGTCATTTGAGGAATATGTACGCTTGTATGTAGTTGTTTTTTTATGCTGATGCATAATTTGTTTCATGCATGTAATACATGTACATGTAAACACACAGTGTGATCTGCGGAGGCAGCTCTGGTCTGAGGACTGAGAAGAGCAGGGTTGCATCGCTGTCATTCCCAGTGTGCGCAAGTGTTTATCGACCAGAAGATTTTTTTGCCGATGCAAATGTAGCTTTTATTAAGGGTTCTTCTGGTAGTTAGGGACAGGTAGCGGCAGAAGAAGGCGCTAATCAGCTCGGCTAATCCGCTCTAAATCTATTGCGTATATAGCCTGGTGCACGCTCATCGACACAGGACAATGTAACCCCTGTCCTGTGTCATCCCACTCCAGTGACACCCGGTCCCAGGCGGACAGGCTGCTGATGCTGCGGAAATACAACGCGTCTGTGCCCTGGGAGCGCGTCTCACGGAGCAGGTGCAGCACGGAGGCCGAGGGAGCAGCCCGTTATTACCCCCATATTTGGCAGACGTGTTCTGGACATGGGCCTACCTGTGTCTGCGCTGGTGTCCGTCATGGCGTTGGTTGGACCGGGATCTGGTGAATGCTGGTGCTATCAGGCCCACCCTATGCTGATGTAGAGCTCTGAACTGTGCTGAAGACCCGATGCTTACCGGCAAATCTGGCTCTGCCGTATCCCAACCCCCGCACTCACTGCGCATGCGCTTTGTCAGACGGCCTTTCATTACTGTGGTTTAAAAGTGATGTTGTTCTGCTAAACTAGATTAAAGGTCAGGTGCATTGTGTATTATGTTGCACCTCTTTAGTTATTAAACAGATCACATATTATTGGCTCTTCATCATTCGCTCTGGCCCAGCAAAAGAAAATCTTTATTCATCCCACAGTGGGTACAATTCTCTTTCAACACACAAGAACCGTAGGAACAAGAAGTACACACAACATGACGAAACAATTATAGTATGTGCCTACAAGATTATACGGAGCCCAGAAAGTTACATAAATATGTAAAAATAGATACAGGGCGGTTGTAAACTTACAGTAGCCACAGCTGCCCTGGGACAGACTGAGAGAAGTGAGGCAATCAGAGTGGGGCCATCGGCCCCTCCGACCACACCACTCATACTATGCAATGTGGATGTCTTATTAGACACAAACTTTCAGGCATAGCAGTTGCACTGCTACACCAGTTGTTACCGAGGTCTCCCATCACAGTCCCTAAACAGGACCTACACTGCTTAGTTTCTGCAGTCTAAAAACACATTAGTTGGTAAAACTACCAGTTAATGACTAAGATGGTTAAGACAATATTGTTTAGATTAACTAATGTATTGGTCAGACATTTACCAATCTGTTGGTTGTCGGCCAACCAATCTAATGGATTAGCCCAATATTGGTTGGATTTATTCATGGAAGTGATATATCACCAACAAAGATTGGTTGAAAACATAACAACACCACCTGTGTAGTATTCAGTGTATGACCCTTGACAAGTTGATGTAGTGGACAGTTTGCCAGATTCTGTTTGAGGTTGACCCACAGTCCTGTTCCATGTCTCCCACTCATCAGGTAGAACACATCCCCCCAACCCCTTCTGTCTAAATGCTCTGTTTTCAAATGGTCGGAATATCAAATCATGGGGATGTTTGAATTTTTTTTTAACTTAAAAAACCTCCAAAATGAAGCTGAACGTGCAAATTCAAAACCGAAAGACCGAGTGCAAATTCCCCCTTCCAAGCCAACCAATCACACAGCTCTGCCAGCCTCGAGCCTCTGCCAATCACACAGCCCAGTCAGCTCCTGCCAACCCTCAGTCAGCAAAGCGGGCAGTTTAAAAAGGCAGCCACTTCCTGACGAACAGCGCTTCCTGGAGCTCTTAACACCCAACACCTCCTCCAGTTCCCGCTCTAGGCTCCCGCTCTGGCTCCCGCTCTAGGCTCCGCTCTGGCTCCAGCTCTGGCTCCAGCTCTGGCTCCTGCTCCTACACCCCATTCACACCATACTCTAGCCACCACCAGTGCTTGACCGCGGGGGATCTGAGATCATCTTCAGCTGCAATAAATCTCATCACTGCAAGTGTCACTGTAGGGGTCAATGCACCAAATTAATAAATCATTTTAATGTATTAATTGCGTCTTTGGTCTCTTCAGATTGAATAAGATTTGTGAATTTCTGTAGACAAAGATTCAGTGACTCCTTAGTATGTGTTTTAACTTTTAACTGAACTTTGAACAGAGAGGGTGTGGTTGGATGGCGTTGGCCTGCTTACTTTGAGTGGTTGTAAATCATATAATGTTTTCAGAATTTGATTAGAGAGAAATTCTGTGCCAAAATCCCAGCTGCGGCGTCTGCAACCATCCATATACAGTAGTGGGTTTAAAAAGTCAGTGTGAGCTTGGGGCTGTCAAATGATCTCATTGAAATAAAATCAGGGCGGTTGTGCTCATCATTGAACATGTCTGTCCCAGACCAGTGTCAGAACACGTTTTGCATTCTCCTAAATGTTTCCAACAGATGTGAGCAGAAGCTACACCATTTAGTCTGGCAGATTATTCAGCCAGAGCACAGAGTGCAGCCTGGGATTGAACATTTTCTGTCAATCGTAAATGCTGTTGTCTGAATGGTATAGATCGCTGCTCCTTCTGAATAGCACTGCCCCAGAGAGGACAAATATAAGCAATTATCTGGCCTCTATTCCTCTAGAAAGGAATTTCTTGGACTAATAATGGCCAAAAAAAGTACTGCAGTATTTGCAATAACCCAATGATTGAGGAATCCATGTTCCTGGAGCTTATTGAGCATCTGGTACATAAACATATACAACAACGTTTTGAGAAAAAATAGTGAAACAAGACTGAACATCCAGAGATAGTTTGAAGTGCTGTGCCAAAACAACAAAAACTCGTCATGTCAATTATCAACATTTACATTCAATTTGAGAACCAATCATGGGGTTGAAGAGGACATGTTGTCCTTCTACTAAACTTACTGTTTTGCTGAAAAAACAAGAAAATTCCTTTCACAATGTTTTTCTTAATTCAGTATGCACAATTGAATACGTTTGGTGTCTGAGAAGCACAGCGCCATCAGAACCGACCCGCCCTTTCTCTCTCTCTCTGCAAACCAAAGTTCCAGTTCTCACTCACATCTCACCTGTCTAAATTTGGTTCTCTTCACACTTTATAGTTATAATGAACTTTTAATGAGTGAAACGTACAGTAAGGCCTTCTATTGAGCACAGACACATGTTGCACACGTAATGGTACTGAATGTTGTACAAATGTGTTATTAACCATGTGGATTTCTCAGAGATTATTGTTCCAATCAATCTGAAATTAAGACTGTGATGATCCCACCACTCTCCTCACTGCGCCTGAAGCAGTTTCCAGAGATTAGTTGGACTAAATAGTACAATCTCTTTAATACAATGTTGAATTATGTCTATATTAAAGAGAATACGGTCGAAAATCAGACGCATAGGGATCTTTGCACACCAGAGCAACCTGGAAGTTTATTCACAACAGGCGGTAGATTCAGGCAGAACAATAAACAGGGAAACATTATATATTGGAATTTGCGTAATCATGAAAGAGCCAAACCCAGGCGTCAGTCAGCTAAAACGATGGATACACAATCGTAGCAGATATACAATCAAAGAACATTGTGTGTCTTGTACTTCTACTTTATCTTGTTTTTGTACTACTATATAGGCCATGGCCTTCTATTGTTCATAATACTTCTCTCCATGGTATAATTATACAGAATACCGAATATTTGTCTTAAAAAGCATAATTTAAACCGTTATTCCCGAAAAGTAACTGTATTCTGAATACCACCAAAAGGAAGTATTCAGAATCTGTTACTCAAAAATAATCCGGTTCCATCTATTCCGTTATAACCTGTCACATAATTTATATATGATTTAATATAATTTTTATGATAAAAAATGTGTTCCCCAGATCGCTTTGTTCGAGGTGGCATGTTTTATAACATGCATGTAGCGCATCAAATATAATTCCTGTAATAATAAAGTGATAATAAAAATATTAAATTCATCATTAAAACTAACAGCATCAGCAACAACAACAACAACAACACAATCATATAATTGGATGGATCATCATTGCCGTCTCAAACAGAGGACGTAAATAAAAGGTTTGAGAACATGGATCTAGTTTGAGAAGCGCTGCTTTTGCGACAATGTGCTGCTCTTTACGGTACAACATGGCGCTGCCCTGAAGATGACTTTTGTACCAGTCTAGAGGCTAGACTCGTTGTGTACTATTTAACTCATACCTGTGTGTAGGGCCCTCTGCGTAGGCCCTCGCCCCTGCCTTTTCTCTGATGGCGAACAAATCTGCACAGATCCAGGACAAAGTGAGGCGGCTCCTCAGCAGACAGAACGGCAAACCCGTGCTCCGACCGACCCGACCACTCAGCCTGAAGGATGCTGTGGCCAACCGCAAGCCTCACAAAGGAGGTAAAATAATCCCCTTATATATCTCCTGAAAAATTATGTCAAATGGGGAATTAATGTCGATGTCTGCACCGCGGTAAAGTGGCCCTGCATTTCGTCGGGAGCGGTAAAGAGGTCCGCACTTTGAAAGCGGTTGGCTCTTTTATGCTGTTACTTACGGTAAATGTGGAAAGGGAAGCGTGACGAGAAAGCAAAATGCTTTATCTTTTAAAAAATCATTAAAAAAGAACAAAAAGAGGTTTGCGAATACTTTCACTGCACACTTCTTCAATAAGATGCTCTCTACCACTGTGTAAAATATCATTCACTTTTACTGTAGAAATCCAGAGAAAATGGGGGTCAAAATGTGCCATTTTGGTCCCAAAAGCACTTTTTAAAATTCATTTTAAAAAAATCTAAAAAAGTTCCCTCACTACTTTCACTGCATACTTGTTCACCAGGATGCCCTCTACCACTGTGTAAAATATCATTCACTTTTACTGTAGAAATCCAGAGAAAATGGGGGTCAAAGTGTGCCATTTTAAAATGAATTTTAAAAAGTGCTTTTGGGACCAAAATGGCACATTTTGACCCCCATTTTCTCAGAATTTCTAGAGTAAAAATGAATGATATTTTACACAGTGGTAAAGAGCATCTTATTGAAGAAGTGTGCAGTGAAAGTATTCTCAAACCTCTTTTTGTTCTTTTTTAATGATTTTTTAAAAGAGATAGCATTTTGCTTTCTCGTCACGCTTCCCTTTCCACATTTACCGTAAGTAACAGCATAAAAGAGCCAACCGCTTTCAAAGTGCGGACCTCTTTACCGCTCGCGACGAAATGCAGGGCCACTTTACCGCGGTATGTCTGCTGAGGTAGGACATCCCTCTCTTCTTAAAGGATTGCCTCGGGTCACTGAGGTTTGACCATAGATGTTGATGCTATTGTATCAGGGATGTGCAAACGTTTTAGTGAGTGGCGCTTTAGTTCACCGAAAGTGTCCAGGGGCCGACAACACGGAATCGTCAAATTCTATGTCTTGTCCATATTGTTTCACATTTGACAGAGCTGCAGACAAATGATCTCCATCTCAGCAGCTGCATTACTACAGAATTAAGAATATTGTGACACTCTAAACCACATCAGCATGCAAATAAAGTCAACAACTGGATTCCAGAAGTTCTGAGCTTTACCACGAGGCTGAACATGCATAATGGTAATGCTGAAGTTGGCTGGATGACAGTGCTAACTTATGTGTATGATCTTAATGGCTGCTTGATGTTTGCAAGGCAGAGGGCCACATAACATGACACAGAGGGCTGCAAATTGGCCCGCAGGCCTTAGTTTGGACATGTACCATGGGATTCACTGTCACCACCACCAAAGGCTCTCCCAGTGTCCATAGTAACTGATTAATTGTGCTCTCCGTCTCCATCGTCTATCATGCAGACCACACTGATGTGAATAGTTTGGGGACCCCACACCTGCATCACGTTCACCTGCAACTTTGGCATTGATTGAACGATTGGATATCTGCTTCACATACTGCCGGGTAGAGGAGCCAGCAGTCAGGGCAGAGATGGCCAGACTTACTTCTTCCAGCCCACCTCCTCTGGATATGCTTTCCCTGACCAGTTTGGGAACCCTGGTCGATCATCAATATTTATTTTCAGGACATGGTGGTGGCTATCTTGAAATAGTAGTAAACCACTATTACTTCAGAATGTTGCAAACTTGTCCTTTCAGAGGCGACCTGTATCACAGAGATGTCGCTGTTGATGGCCTGTTGGAAGCAGAACAACTTTGTCGAGGATTTATGCTCCACAGAGGTGCAGAACTTCTACTCCTGCGTACACAGCGCCCAGGTCAGTCACCGCCGCCATCATCACTCATTCTTTTCCTATAGTTTGCTCTTCAGTTGTCTTTTATTGGCTTATTTAGGCTCCTTTTGGCCAATACAAAATAACATGAGTGGGCATTTTTTCATCCACAAATAAATACAAATTATGTTTTTGATTTTGTGTGTGGAGAAAAAGGCACACTGCAGGGAATTTTTATTTGTCTTTGCTTAGAATTCCCTCCCGTCTATTCCACTGGTACCTGATTATTAACATTGATGTCCCTGCCATCAAGACTCTAGCCTATTTTTCTACATCTCCACCAGTATCCGTGTCGGAGCATATGTTTTTTTGTTCCTTCTGTTTCAAACGTAATGTATCACTGCTGTTTTCCACTTTGTTTTTGTTGGACATTCAAGCTTGTTTTATGTCGTACTGAGAATTATATTTGTCATAATTGTAATAATTGTAAAAACATTAAAGCTGTCTTTAAACGGTAATAGATTGATTGTCATTGATTTCATCATTTGGTTTTGACAATATGTACTGTATGTATTCGTTTATTTGTGGATTTCTAATTTGTTTTCTGTTTTGTTTTTTATTGTTGTAGGTTGCGATGAAAAATAAAACTGCTGCGGCTGGCCAGGACACAGGACGTCTACTTCCCAAACAAGCCACAACACTGCTCAAGAGGTTCCCCAAACTCAGCTCAGAGATTTGACATTTACTAAACTATTAGAGCCTATGTTTTATTTTGTTTGGACTTGTGCTGGAAACAGGTTGTCTTTTTGAAACTGTTTCTAATGATCTGTTTTCAAAAATATTCCTTCTTCCATTTAAAAACTGTAATACTTTCTTCAATTGAGAACCATGCTTTCGCCTCTTTTTTTTTTTTACAGTTTTTGTACTATTCCTGGCTAATAAATTCTGGTTAGTGATACAAATGATCATTAATATTAATCATTATGTAATATGCCAATAAAAGAATGAAGGAAAGTTGTTGGAGTGTTTTTTATAAAACGGAGAAGATGATTGTTATTTTTGTGGACATATTTTTTGCATATGAAGTTAGTAACTAATAATAATGCATTATTACGACGAGGACGAATTACAATATATTAACTCCATCACACACAATATTAAAAGTACAGAATATAACCATTTTAAAATTACAAAGAATAAGCCAGTAGGTTTTGAGATGTGATTTGAAAATGTCCAGAGTCTAGCTGCAGTAGGTCAAGCAGTAGAGTGTTACAGAGTTTGAGCAGAGTGGCTGAATGCTCTGGTCTCCATCGCCGCCATTTTGACGGTGGGGACAGTGAGGAGAGCAGCAGAGAAGGAGTAGAGAGAGCGGGACGGTGTGTATAGGTGGAGCAGGTCACGGGTTTTGGGAAGCCAGTGGAGTTGGATGAGAACCGGAGTGATTTGATCTGTTGATTTTGTTTGGGTGTTGGATGTGTTTTTGGGTAAACCAGAGAAAAGTTGTTTAAGCTGTGTATATTTTGTGTCATGTTCAGTACTTCTGTAATTAGGGCGTGTGTTTCCAACATGTTGACATGCCCTTGATGACCTTTCCGCCCAGAGGTGCTTTGATGTTTTGTCTGCACCACAGGAAGTAGTTGGTGTTTGCACTCCGCTTCTGTTTGTGCATCCATCATTAACTCTATCATTTCCCTCCTGAGTTCACTTCCTCTCTCACATCCAGGGTACTCCCATCCCAATACACCTTGTCTCTATGGCATCATTCAGACAAGGACCCACTGTGGCATCTGGTGTTAGAAGTCTCCCATCACAGTAGTATCCAAGCCCTGCCCTGCTGAGTTTCTGAATGATGATTCAGATTCGGGAACATGATTTCGCAGCAGTGGCAAAAGTTCTCTTGTAAAAGTAATAACTATAAATATGCCTTTATAAGTTATTTTCCAAGACTACTTTGAGTCACTGTATATATTTTGTCACGTTGCCTTAGATAGTATACAATGTCCCTAATGTGGTTATATATATTTTTTAAATTGTGTTTTTGCCACAAAAATCTAATATGACAGAAAATTGGTCCATTAAACAAGTCTGGACCAGACATAACAAGGTTGAAGTTTATTGGCAGTCAGAGCTGGGCGCGGACGGCGGGAGGGGGGATTCTGCCAGCGGCGCGTCATGTTTATTTTCGCTCCTCAGAGGACGCTGTGCAGAGGGCTGTGGGAAATGGCTGGTGCTCGGTCACGGGCACTGGGGCTCCGTTAAGATGGTCCGTACGGCGCCATGGCGCGGAGCCGAACAGAGTTGATGTGGATGAGCGTGTGCGTGTGTGCCACGGGTCTGCTGCTGCTGAGCGCGCACACAGAGGTAAGGCCAGCGCGGAGCCAGAGCTGCTGTCATGTGCCACTGCTCCACATTTAGACTTGTCTTGGAAGAGTTCTGAGCGACTACTTCTGTAGCTATAATAATCCGGGCCAGTTTACCACGACGCCAGGACTGTTTTTTTTTTCCTATGAGGCAAATTCTGCCTAAATGAAATATTTGTTTTTTTTGCTTCCTCCAAGGAAGCGTCTTTTAGTTTTAATTCTTTTAATTAACTATCAATAACTGTCACTTTCAATACTTTCTAGTGTTGCTTTCTCTCTCTCTAGCTGTGTTCATGTGTCATCAGGCTCAAAGCCCCCCTCAGCACATCCCAAATCACATCTGTCCAGTTGATTTCATGCAATATTGGTCTACAGTCTACACTTTTTTCCACCGAGTTTGGTGTTTGAAAATAAAAATACAAAATTACCATGATATTTTAGGTATCATTATCCGATTGGAAATAAATCTGATGTGCTTCTTCTGTAGTTGTGTGGGCTACATAAAGTATATTAACTTTACGTAGCTCTATTAACTGATGATACATAGGCAGTATAATCAGAGGGCGACAGTAGCTTTGAGCCCGAAGTTTTTGGGTTCGAGCCCACCGTAAGATCTACTTCACAACTCCCACTGATGACCTCTGTCGTTGTGTCCTTGGGCAAGACACTTAACCCCACTTTGCCTGAAGCTCCCATTGAAAGATTTCAGCTCCTGCGGACCGTCCACCTGCAGGAGGATCAGTGAGGGGCTGGTGCTAAGTGAACTGGGTGCAGCTCTGACTGCCACCCCCCCCCCCCCAACCCAGAAATGGATTAAGGGGAAGAAAATGGATGGATGAACATATGCAGTAAAAGCATCTCTGCTTAATGTATTTCTTTGTTGTCCTGAAAATGAAATTACATGGGGAAAGCTAAGACTAAAATATTAACTTCTACAAGTGCTTTAAGAACATTTTATAACATGGTTGTAGAGATCTATGGAGTTGGCAGCGGTTTTCTTTTTGTTGTTACAAATAACAACCTTCACTTCAAATACATTTTGAGATTCCTCCTAGAAAAACTCCACTTTTTCAGTGTTTGGTTTCACTTAGTCATACACTGGATGTTTGGACTTTACCCAGGGTTTAAGTCTCATGTCCATTGTCCACAGATAATAATAATAATGGCCTGCCTGCCCTAAGCACAGTATTGGGGATTAAGGTGTGACATTTGCCACAGTCGTGTTTGTCTTTATTGGCTGGTAAAGGCCAATTCATTAGAATTCATACTTCTCATGGAACCTCGAGCCGAAAGAAAACATTGAGATAATTTTGTATTTCACACTTGAAGTATGAAAAGTATGAATGGGCCTTTGACTTTTCATTGTCTATTCAATGAAAGCAGGCCATGTTATTATAGTTATTATTTATCAACATATAAGTAGAATTCATTTAATTTGCTTTGTTTTGTGTGTCTATAAAACTTTTTTATTTGGGAATGTCCTTAGCTGCTTTAAATGGACAGGTGATGGCGCTGGGCTGGGTTTGAAGACCTACGAGGTTGAGGTTATGTGTACTTCATATTGGGGAAATTAGTCCTCTGCATTTAACATAATATATACAGTCTATGCATTTAACCCCTCCTTTAATGCCCCTATTGACCGTTTGCATTTATTTACCCAAATCAATCACAAGCTCAGGCTCAGGTTGTTAAAGTGACTGGTACTCTTCATGTTTTGTTCAGTTCACATACTTTAATTACAGTATCCAGATTCTTTTCAACAAAATATCTGTCTTCTTCTCAGGAGGAGAATCAACAGAATGCAGTTTACAGAACAGGTATGAATCTCTTTCTGAATCTTGTCACATTGAAGTAGGGGTGTAATATTTTTGTTTGTTAAATTATCGATTGATATAATATTACTTTTTTATGATTAAGATTATAAAAGAAAAATGACCAGTACATAAGCTAAAATCTTTGTTGAGGCATTTAGTACCTCCTTATCTTTCTGAGAACATAAACGTCTTATTTGTTTTAGCTTTCAATTAAAAAAAAATATGAAAACATTTATTTACTATATATTTGGATGTTCTGTTGTTGAAAAGTTAATCTATCAGATTAGATCATAACTGGCTCCTTCCATAAACTATTCCAAACTTATTTTGAATAGATACCCTTTATACATATGTATATTAATATAGTGAATGTTTGATATATATATTCATAGATAAGTTTATCTACTGTATAGGTATTATAGTAGATCATCAGGGCTACAGAAGTGATGTGGTGTTTGATTCCTGCTTCATGAACGGATTGTGCTTTTGCAGATGAGCAGTCATGCTCTGGAAGTCTCAGTCCTCAGGGCTTTTACACAGGGTCCATGTCAGTGACGGAGGCTGGCCTCTCCTGCCTCCGCTGGACAGACTTTTCTGATTACATGCAGCAGTACCCAGAAGGTGACCTGGGAGAACACACATATTGCAGAAATCCTGATGGAGAACCACGGCCTTGGTGCTTTTTCCAACAGAAGTCAGGCGCCATAAGCTGGGCATACTGCGACTGCAACTACGGTGAAATGACTGCTTCTCAACTTCCATGAACCGATTGAACTAATGTTAGAAAATTATGGCACATGTTGCATTTTTTTTTCAATATTATGAAGTGAGTTTTTTCCATACAAGGAGCAGCCAGGCTTGTGGGAGGACCCACTAACAACAGTGGCCGTCTGGAGCTCTACCTCCATGGCCAGTGGGGGGCAGTATGTGATACACACTGGACTGATCGTGAGGCAAGTGTGGTCTGCAGACAGCTGAGGCTTGGGTGAGCAGCAATTTGCCAAAGTAAAATGTATAGACGAAAAGACTTTTGAGATACAATGTTTCTCATCTAACAGTATGTTCACATCATCATAATGTTTATGTTCCATAGTACATAAATTGTGTGTGTGAATGAGGCTTGAATAGTGTGCAGTTGATGGGATCAGTGCTACTGTGTTTCTCTAACTGTGTTTATTGGTTATTCAGTCATGCAATCCACCCTTTTTTCTATCTCCTGTCTTTATAGTGAGTTTGGAAAGGCTCTATCTCTATCCTATTTTGGTCTGAGTTCCACCATTCACTATGAGCGTGTGCACTGTCATGGTAATGAGAGATCCCTGATGGAGTGCCCGAAGCAGAAGTTTGTCTCAGGCGACTGTAGCCATGGCCACTATGCAAGGATGACTTGCGCTGAGCCTGCAGGTAACCAGTAACCAGTTTGTACCTGTTTGTTAATGTTCTCTCTGCATCTCTATTCAGCTATTTACAAAGAAACATAAAACCAGTATATGGAGAAAGTAGTTGGTTTACAATACAATACAATACAATTTATTCTTGTATAGCCCTAGGTCACAACAGAAGTCATCTCAGAGAACTTAACAAAACCATTGAAATCACCAACACAGGTCAGAAAATCAACAGTTAAAACACATGAAAAATATAAAGCACACACAGAAGAAAATGTCCATACATGTTGTAGAATGCTAAAGTGTCCTGATCATCACCAATCCTTTCTGTTGGACACTAACTGTCCAACAAGACCCTCCTGCATCGACAAGGAAAAACTCTTAAAAAACCCAGTGGGAAAAAGTGAGTTACCAGGCAACTTGGGTTGCCATTTGAACGGCATGGCCATACGTATATAACGAAGCATTGCATATTTTTACTCCTCACTATCAGACTCTTGTATGTGTTGCACTGATGTATCTCTTAGACAGCCTCCCTGTGAGACTTGTGGGTGGTCTGGAACATTTCTATGGTCGTGTGGAGGTGTACTATGATGGGCTTTGGGGCACAGTCTGTGGTGATGAGTGGGATGACACTGATGCTGAGGTTGTATGCAGACAGCTTGGTATTGGGTAAGAGCTGGAGGAAAAGAAGTGGAGGAAAAACTGTATGCGGTGTGTTGGAGTGTGATGGATAATGGCAACTTCTCTGTCTTTCTCGGGAAAAGGGGTGTTGCAAAAGCATGGCCAAGGGCCCATTTTGGCCAGGGCTCTGGCCCAGTTTACCTTGCTGGTGTTCACTGCACTGGAAATGAGCTGGCTCTAGAGTATTGTCCACAAAGCAAGATGGGTCTGCACAACTGTGAGCACTCCCAAGACGCGGGAGTGTCTTGTAACCCCTACACAGGTACATGCATGAACAAGAACTTTAGGTTAGGACCAAGTAACATAAGAGTAATAACATGTTTGTTGTTTCAATGTTGCCAAAGTTAGGCCACGAAGGGAAAAAAAGTGCAGTTTAAATCTGAATGATGTCCAATGTATAAACTCATAATTACCATTAAATGTATAAATGTACATGTACATTTTTGTTAATGCAGATGGTGCTGTTCGTTTAGTGGGGGCAGATGGACCATGGGAAGGTCGTGTGGAGATCTACTCGGGAGGAAAATGGGGAACAGTCTGTGATGATAACTGGACAGAGCTAAATACACAAGTGGTGTGTAGACAGCTGGGCTTCAGGTCAGTCGACACACAAAGCAAGGTGCAGATTGTTCTTCCATGTATTCTATTTCTACATTCAGACAAATTGTATGACTACATTATAGTGACACATCTGATGGGATCTTTTTGTTAAATTACCAAAGTATGGAGAAAACAATTGAATCACTGTGATTTCATTGTTTTGTCCATAATTGGCCATACTACTATTGTCAAAGTATAACATCCTTGAACCGATCTGTGGAATGGTCATGTGTGCAAATCTTTTTCTTGCTGAGAGATAAAGAACCTTTATATTCAGGTTCTCTCATGCTGTAGATGTTTATGGGGTAACACAGGTTATCGAGAGCTGGAGAGAGTAAACTTCTGATTTGGGTTGTTTGGGTACTTTCTGTTTGATTATAATTTGGAAATAGAAAACGCATTTCATACAATCAGTTACAGTAAATGAACAAATATTATTTGGCCAAAAATCAAGCACAGCTGTACATGTATTTGCACATCAGCTGTCAGTCCAGCCACTTGAGTAGACAAAAGAGAAGTCAGAGGAGTAGCACCAGAGGAGAACAGGGGATTTTCTATGACAATATGTAACAGATATATCGGTAACCTACTTTTATACACTGTTACCAGTTACCAGCTGGGCAGTGCACCAGAGGGATCATATGAAGAGGGCCGTGGTCTGATCCAGCTGGATGAGGTGCAGTGTAATGGCACAGAGCACAGTCTATTGGCTTGCTCCCACTCTGCTTTGGGCCAGCATGACTGCACTCACAGTGAAGACGTAGCAGTGCGTTGTCAAAGGTTCTTTGGTTCACATAAGAGCCCACCTGTCACCCGCAAGTTCTCTTTGGCTGGTATGTTCATAAAGGCGTTATGCTTGAACACAATGTGTATTTGGTATGGAATAACTGTGTCCACTCTCTTTCAGGCCCTGTGCTGCGACTTGTGGCTGGGGAGAGCCCAACTGAGGGCAGAGTGGAGGTGTTTATGAATGGCCAATGGGGCACTGTATGTGATGATGGATGGGATGACATCAATGCTGCTGTTGTGTGCAAACAGCTGGGATTTCAGTGAGTAAAATTGATTATCCATAAACTGTGTTAATACATCAGACTAGTTTCATTAAGGATTAGTAAATTGTTGATTACAAAACACTTGCCCAGGGGCACTGCTAAGGCTCGGTCCATGGCATACTTCGGACAAGGCCAGGGTCCGATCCACTTGGATAATGTCCGATGCTCCGGGCTGGAATTGTCGCTGGACCAGTGTCAGTCTGATCAAGGAGGGCACAACTGTCGTCACAGTGAGGATGCAGGGGTCATCTGCCAATACACTCTGGAGCCATTGCAAGACAGTAGTACATCACTTAACATGTGTGGTGTGAGTCTGAGCAAGAAACGCCGCTTTCCACGAATCATCGGGGGCTCCAAGGCCTTCAGGTACATTGTTTATTTATTGGTAAATCATTGACGTGGATAACAAATTGGTCCTTGATTACTGACACAGCTGTGAGACCCTGTTATATTGTTAGAAAAACCTAAAGTAAGTCAGACCTGTCCCCAGTACACGACAAAGAGCTTTTAGGTCAGCTATAGAGTAAGAAAGCAAGTCAGAAGTTTACATACATGTTGTTAGTATTTCGTATAATGCTTTTAAAATATTTGACATCAATCGTGAATCGTGAACACATTAAATCTTTTTTCTGATTTAGCCCCAGAGAAACAAATCAGTGTCCCTATACACAGTAAATGTAAACTCTTTACCTGTGAGAAGGTGGGAAAAGGTGTTCTACAGAAGTGTTATAAGGCCTTGCATGCACAAAAATCTGATCCATATGTGAGAGAAGCCAAACAATACATGCGTGGGGAAACTAGTGATTGAACCAAACTGATGGATGGACTAGTTTGCCCTAGCCTGGTTTTACCATACCCTCGTACTTGTTTCGTACATCCCGGGAAAAAAGATTTGACCGGAGTTTACGGATGGCAAAGGCCAGGCTAAGTTTGCCCCAGCTTTAAGAAATAGTAAGATCATGAAAAATGTAGACCATGGCTTGTCATTTGCTTTGCTTGAAACTAAAGCTATAGTGGTGGTCAGAGGGGCCGGTGGCACATACTGGTTGCTTCACTTCTGTCAGTGTGCCCCAGGGCAGCTGTGGCTAGTCTTTCATCACCACCGTGTATGCAGTGAAAGAATAAAGACAAGTGAAGCGTATTTGCTGTCCAGAAAAGCATTATATTAAACCGATACATTATTTAATCCCTCTTCATTAAAAGATTTTTATTTTATTGTCAAGAGTTTTTTTCTTCTTTCTTTGAAGCATTATTATTATTATCATTATCATCATCACCATACTTAGCTGGGCTTTGTTTCTAGGGGCGAATGGCCATGGCAGGTCTCCCTGTGGCTCAAGTCCCAGTCAAAAGGGAACCATCCTCTGTGTGGAGCTTCTCTAATCAACTCATGCTGGGCCCTTTCTGCTGCCCACTGCTTCAAGAGGTAGAGGCACATATGTGCGCACTCCAAGTCGATAAAGAATGAATATTATGTATTAGACTGGACATTTGGAGTCAGCACAGAGTTCACTTCTGATTTCTCTGATGCCAGGTTTGGCTCTGATCCCAGTCGATATTTGTTACGCCTCGGTGACTATCACACTCAGGAACAAGATGACTTTGAACGCACGCTGAGGCCTGAGCGCATCGTCATCCACAGGAGGTACCAAAGCCAGGCCTGGGATTATGACATTGCTCTGGTACGACTCAAAGGTGCTGAGGGCAGCTGCGTGGCTTTCAACCCTCACACGAGGGCTGTGTGCTTACCAGAGTCCAGCCGTAAGGAGGAGAAAAGGCCAGTCTCTTGTGTCATTACCGGTTGGGGATTCACAGGTAAATCTTTCATTGTTCAATACCTCTTATGAATCAGGGACAATACCAATAGACGACAATAACTATACAAAGTGAGTTTGAATTTAGCGTCCTCTTCTGGAGTAAGACGGAACTTCTGTGCAAGTATGAAACAAGTTTTAGGAACAAAGCATAACCCTAACCCTAACCTACAAATTAACATTTTAACATAAACATCATAAGCTGCCTTGTGTGAGAATAATTTAATAACAAATGTTATCATCACCAATAATTGGTGGTGTTAAAAAAAAAAAATACTGCTCCAGCTTTGAGAATAAATTATACATCTATGATTGCAATTATTATGCCTGTTATTTGTGTTAAAACGTTGTAAAATAAATTAATTTCCAGTGGGTATGTAAGAATAAGATTGTAAACAAAATTAGATTAAAATGTCAATATTTACAATGTCTCAGTTGTCAGTGGACATTTATTCCCATATTATGCCATCTTGAAAAATTCAACTAGCGTTCATCGGTCTTGTTATACCTGCAGACTCCGAGTACTCCCGGACTCTGAAGCAGGCCCAGGTTCCACGGCTTCCTTCTTGGATGTGCAAGAAGAGGTATGGGGCCCGCTTCACCAACCGGATGATGTGTGCGGGCAGCCTTTCTGAACAGCAGCGTGTGGACAGTTGTCAAGGGGATAGCGGAGGGCCTCTGGTTTGCCAGGACGTGGGGGGCCGCTGGATTCTTACTGGAGTCATCTCTTGGGGCCATGGCTGTGGGAATCCTACCTATCCTGGGGTTTATACTCGAGTGAATAGGTTTCTGCGATGGATTGATAAGGTGGTCAACAAACCCTAAATGTTGATCCAGACATCTTTGGATCGGTAGATTCTGGAAGACTTGTGGTTTGAATCCACACTTGACTTATTGTGCCAATTTAAAGATTTTTGCATTTTTTGGAGAGGCGATTTGTTTGAAGAGAACAGAAGTATGTCTGTCAGAGAAAGCTATTCATCACTTAAGATGAACAGTGAGACTGATGAATAAATTGAGAGGTTTGAGTGCCACAGTATGAATATGCCATTTGACAACTACGAATTTTACAATTGTAACCATGAATTGTTTGTGGGATTATTGTTTTTTTCCCACTAATTGCTTAACAGCTTAAATGTGTCATTACTGTTTTATCCATCTAAAAAGTCACAACACAACTGAGTATATACCTGTGACTCTCAGGGATTCAGGGCTAATCAAAAACAATCAGTTTTCAGTTTTTCACAAAAATAGTCTATCCATTCATTTTTAGTCTAAGCAGAAACATTTAGACTTCCCTATCTATACACACTTCCTCCAGTTAATCTGGGGCGATCTTGAGGTGTTCTCCCGATGAGACAGGCCTGGAACACCTGCCCAAGGGTGCCCAGGTATGAGCCACTTCAACTGGTTCCTCTTGATATGGAGAATCTGTGGCTCTCCCGGAGGTCCTCCTATGTGACTAATCTATATCTAGGGTATATGCTAGTTATGACAATAATTTACTAGTTATGATATTAAACATAATTTTGAGAAAGTCCAGGTAGGATCTAGCACATTAATTCCAGTATATGTCAACTTTTGAAGTGAACATTATACAGTTTGGAGTGATTCATTTGCCCCACCTTGTTATTGTTTGACAGCCTCTCTGACATAGCCATGCTATTGTCTGCTTTGCGTTACGTCAATGTTATAATATAATATAATGCAATAATTGTATTATCATATACATCATGTTGCATTTTTTAAATAATTGATTAAACCATGTAGTAAGGTTTAACCGTGCAAATGGGACATATAACTAGTTTTTTCTGATCCAGTGTTGTGAGCTGAAGACCACCTTGATGAGTGCACTAGTTTGTCATGCATGTCATATGGCCAATGAGCTGCTGCCCTTCTCTGTTGCCATGCGAGCTGTTGGCATCTCCACACGCGCACAACACACGAGCGCGGTGGCTGTAACCGGAAGTGATGATCAGCTGATTGAGGAGGGGGAAGGTAAGCCATCTTTCCCCGGCAGACGGATAACGACCAGACCGAGCCCGATAGACATTTCAATTGCATTATAAGACAACAGATGTGCTTTACAGGTTCTCTTCGCTGTGTGCGAAGCTTTGAGGACGGCGACATACAGTGACACTACGGACACAGCAGGCGCGGATCAGTCTCTGTCGATGGTACCACAACCTCCAGTGGCAATTTAAAGATCGGGAGAACATAGTTTGGATGATTATCGTCTCAGTATGAGTAGATGGAGCGTATGCGGTGCTGTTGCACTTTTGGCGATGGTCTGTGTATGTGAACCTGTCGCCGATCTACACCAAAGGGTTTCTCTAGTAAACAAAACCTCTGGAGCTATCACAAGCTAGTTTCAGCCCCCGTGGAGTTAGCTTTAAGCTAGGGCTATTCTTTATTATTGCTGAGGCATCACAGTCGAAATAATCACCTACGATTCCATCAACAATTAACACAGGCGCTTTGAAGTGCTTGTCAAGCACATTTAATCTCACAGTTATAATGCAAAGTGAATGACAGTAGCTGTTTATGTGCCTATATGTGGCCAAGTCAATCCGTTATCTATTAGCTTTAAGGCTACATTGCTAACTGAGTTGACTGAAATCCTGAGTGGAAACTTTGAAAATGATTAACCGTATTGTAAAATATATTTAGGTATAAAGATGTTTTAGCAGTATGTGGCACAGCTGTGCTTCAGAGTTTAACTTGGACCTGTCTACACTCTCGGGGAGCAGATAAGGCGAGAGCTGTGTGACAGTCTTCAACCCAAGTCTCTGTTCAGTGAACGGATTTTCAAAAGCATCGGGACAACTTGGCCAAGTTGGTGCTGGTTTGAATGTTACATTAAATTAAATATACCTGTATCACCTAGATCTGCGTGCGTGCAAGTGTTTGATGAGACTTTAACATGTAGTTGTGGGCCTAAGCTCTCAGCTGCGTTGGCTTGTTGTTGCGGCCCCTCCCCCAGTCTCCAATCTGCCCTGGAGTTGGCGACTTTTCTTCACTTTGACTGATCTCGGGAGCTCTCAGTGGATGTAATGGAGCTGATGTTCGCCGAGTGGGAGGATGGGGAACGATTTTCTTTTGAGGACTCGGACCGCTTTGAGGAGGACTCGTTGTGTTCGTTCATTTCCGAAGCGGAGAGCTTGTGTCAGAACTGGAGGGGCTGGAGGAAACAGTCTGCGGGACCCAACTCCCCCACTGTCAAGATAAAAGGTTTGAATTCTTATGTGACACTTAATGATTCATGTCTACTTTTGTGCTACATACACGTATTGTATTAGTATGAGCCTGCTATGATAGATTGTGTTAATGGCTCAGGCTTGTTAGTTAAATTGTTAACAAATGATAAGTTTTAAAGTATTATACAGCAAATTACTGCTTTTATAAAGATAATTATTATCAATCTTTCTCAAATCTCACATTAAATGTAGTCTGGAGTGGATATGTCAAGGAAATCTCAAATCATCATTGTTGATGCTGTGTTCCCATCTCAGATGGTCTGGTCATCCCACTGGTTGAGCTGTCAGCCAAACAGGTAGCCTTCCATATTCCTTTCGAAGTTGTGGAAAAAGTTTACCCTCCAGTGCCTGAACAGCTCCAGCTACGCATCGCTTACTGGAGCTTTCCTGAAAATGAAGAGGACATCAGGTGGGCCATTCATATGTCATCTGAAGTGTGGTTGGTTGTAGATAGATGACAGCGCAGGACTGTGTTTCCCCCATCATAAAATATACTTCTTTCCTCTGTCAAAAGAGTTTAAAAGAACAATCTATTATTATTCATTATATAAAATGGTATTATCATCATACATTAATATGGCATCTTATTCAAATCTGTGCACACATTTTGTACCCCATCCTGCCAATCTAAAAAACCGTTGGGGAAGCACTGCAATATATTTGAAACCTGTAATATAGATAATATCGCAAGATTTGTGTATTTGTTATTGCCATTGTAAGTAACAAGAAGTCACAAACTAGGAATTTTCATTTGTGTATATAGTGCAAACAAGGAATAAAAAGTGGAAAATAGATATAAAGGCATATCTAAAAACTCTCAATTAAATTCTAATATACAAATACACACAAAATACATTTAACAGTGCAGTGTCCAGAGGTATGACTTTGTAAAATGACAGAAGTATAAAGTGAGTGTAAAGGGCCGGGATCTCGTGATGAGTTATTAAGTTATCATGAGTCCAACTGCAGGGGGGAAGAAACTGTTCTTACTGGGGGAGGTTCTGGTTGGTATGGACCGTAGCCTCCTGCCCCAGGGGAGTGGTTTGAATAGTCCATGTGCAGGTGAGAAGGGTCAGCAGTGATACGACCAGCCGCCCTTGAGCCCGGGCGACGTACAGTCCTACAGCGATGAAGGCTGTAGCCGATAAACTTCTCAGCAAGTGAATTGTTTATTGTCAAAAACAGAGAAGACATTGCTTTAGAGCAGTGATTTTGTGTGAGTTCAGAAAGCAGGGACTTAATAATCACACTTACCATCAATAACCATAGAGACAATATGGAATACCTTTATGAAAATAATTGTATTGTATTAACTATTGCATTAGCTCCGTTTCCATATTTTTTGTTGCTTTAAATTTATATAAATGTATCTAATAATATCCACATAAACTAAGACAGAAAAAGTTTGTTACGTTAGTTTGTTTTAGTTTAAAATTGGTGCTTTTCTTTTATCATTGTAGGTTGTACTCCTGCCTGGCTAATGGGAGTCCAGATGAGTTTCAGCGTGGAGAGCAGCTTTACAGAATCCGAGCTGTTAAAGACCCTCTGCAAATAGGTGGGTGTTCTGACATGGAGAATAGATTCTGCTGTACATACTCGTGGGAGGGCGGATGCAGTTTTGCACAATGCGCGCTCCATTGGTGTCAGAGTCAGCTCTACCTGGAGAATCTACCGCTCTATAAACTGCATCTGATCTGGATCTGAGCAAGGGCTTTTGTTACAATGAAACTGAATTAAAAAAATAATTTACTTGCAAGTTGTATAAAAGAGTAATTTCATGTAGTATGTATGATGGTGGTTTTTGAACAGTTTTTTACAGTACCTGTTATATGTTTGTGTATATGGCAGGTTTCCACTTGAGTGCAACAGTTGTATCCAGTCAGACCGGACAATCTAAAGGAGCCTATAATGTTGCGGTCATGTTTGATCGCTGCCGTATCACTTCTTGCAGCTGTACTTGTGGTGCTGGGGCCAAGTGGTGTGCCCATGTTGTGGCACTATGTCTTTTCAGGATTCACAATGTAAGTCTCTTTTTCTTTTTAACACCAACTTCCACTGTGCTGCTCTCCTCTTAGTCACATGTCACAATGTTGTATACATATAAATGCATTCAAGCAATGCTATACTTTGCATTGTTTCATTTTTTTGTTGACTTTTTAAAAATGTCTACTTCTACGCAATTGGCGTAAATTAGTTTCAGTGTTATAGGGTTTTGTAATGTCACTTCAAACCTTATTTGTCACCTAGGCCCTTGTGCCATTTTTTGCGTTTGTTTAGTGCTATTGGACAGGATTCTTGTCAAATGTAGTGTCTTTTTTTCCTACTACACTGTATTAGTTTCCAATAGTTCCACCAAAAAGTCACACGTAGGGGTAAAGAAATCTGCCTGATTAAACATTACGAGAATGTCAGACACTCTCAGCAGCCTTACAATAAAGTTGACCCCTGTGGGAAACGGGCTATGCATGTTTTGTCGTTTGAAATTGAGAGTCACAAGTGATCAAGCTTCCTGAGACAAGCCAATCTAAATTACTTGTCAATTCAACATATAGTCCTCACTGAGTGACTCTGGAATGCTACTCAAAAGCAGGCCTGTCATGCATCTGCAGTTCATATATACATGCATTTTCAATTTCTATATAGGTTGAGAATTTAATTCAAACATACAAAATCAACTTTGGCACTGTATTTAGATCACTCTTGTGAAAAAGTGTCACAATAGCTTTATTATGTATGAGGTTGCTGGTTTCAAGGCAGGTTCTAATGTTTTACCTGCCTTGTAGGCTTCCGCGGTGTGCCTGAGAGCCCCGGTTTCAGAGTCTTTATCCAGACTACAGAGGGACCAGCTCCAGAAGTTTGCTCAGTACCTCATCAGTGAGCTGCCACAGCAGGTAAGCTACCTGTAGTGGTATTATTTTACTGAACTATGGATTTATCCCACTAATTTACTTTTTGTGTTTTGTTTTTTTTTCTTTCAGATTTTGCCTACAGCTCAACGGCTACTTGACGAGCTTCTGTCCTCCCAGTCAACAGCCATCAACACAGTGTGTGGGGCTCCGGGTATGTTTTATATTTATAATGTAAATCTTCTCCCGACTGTATCAACAAGGTCAGATGCAGGGGATTCTCTAAGCTGCTTTTGCTGTTGTGTACTGACTCTTTTTGACTGCTTTTAAATGGTGTACTAAGAAAAAGGATGAAAAAATCCTGGTGAGAATCCACAGTACCAGTGGGGGCGGGTCCCAGCTCAAAAAGGTTCATGAGCATGTGCACTGACATGCTTGCAATCTCACTCCTAGGCGGTGGGGGTGTACCCGGAAAAATAATTACCCAATGCTTTTGTATGCCGCCATCTTTCCTCAAAAACGTCTTTATAGGCAGGTCCAAGAGTGTGTTCTTGGTACGTTCCAGATGCGTGTCAATGCTGAGGGGACCAGTCTAGTTTAGCCGCTGTGGACATCAGAAGGCACTTGCTAATGAATGGGGTAAAACTGGAGGCACATTAGTTACAATGCCGGAGATAGGTGTGACTGTGTCAGTTAATATTTAGTCTATGATCAGTACTCACTAAATGGTTCCTAATAGCTAAAAAAAATGGGAAATGGATTAGATGGCTTCCGAAAGTAAAATTAAAGATCTGTGCCACAGACAGGTCTTCACGAAGGAACTGTTACTCTGTACAAACAGACGACCGACTCAAATGTTAAGTGCATCTGAAGACCTGCCTGTAAAAGATACCCTTAGTACTGTAAAAAGTATATTGTTACATTAGTTATATTAACTGAAGATGGTCATTGTTATTGTGTGTGTGTTTTCAGATCCCACTGCTGGACCTTCTGCTTCAGATCAAAGTACCTGGTATCTGGATGAATCAACACTCAGTGATAATATTAAAAAGACACTCCACAAGTTCTGTGGGCCTTCACCTGTCGTCTTTAGGTACACCAGGACATTTACTGTTGTCTACAACCGGTTGGATGTAGAAATGCTTTAGTATTTACAAAGTATTTACAATTGGTTACTTGAGCTGGATGTTTTTGGAGTTTTAATGTGATGTTTATCTGGAGCTTTGCCTGTCCAGACTGCCCTACAAATATGTCGGGCGGCAGTACATTGAAAAATATATAGTAAGATTCTCTGATCTGTGTTGGTGATTTCAATGGTTTTGTTAAGTCCTCTGAGATAACTTCTGTTGTGATTTAGGGCTATACAATAATAAATTGTATTGTATTGTAAGTATGTAAATATGTTCTGCCCATAGTGATGTGAATTCCATGTACCTGTCGTCCACGGAGCCTCCGGCCGCTGCAGAGTGGGCATGTCTTCTGCGCCCGCTCCGGGGCCGTGAGCCTGAAGGCATCTGGAACCTCCTGTCTATTGTAAGGGAGATGTTCAAAAGACGAGACAGCAACGCTGCTCCTCTGCTGGAGATCCTCACAGAGCAGTGCCTCACTTACGAACAGGTGCGCTTGTCGTTATGGTAGATTCAAATTGTGTACTTTCACAAGTAATATGTTTATATTAAATGAGATCAGTACTAACGCTGCAGTTATCAATTATTTCATTGATTTCATTAAGTAATTGATAAACCGTTTTACAGTTAGAATATCAATGTTTTTAAATACAGAAACATACTAAAATGAATTGGTGTGTGTCTTCAGTGTAGTGCCAGGGCCGTGAAAACCTGAAACAATTATTTTTGTGCACTTGATACACAGGTCGCATGTTTTTAAGTCATTATAAAAGTGATACTCGATCCAATAAAATGGAAATCGGAGCCATAGATTAACTTGGTTTAATTGTTTTTTATGTATGATGTTGTTATAACACAACAGCCTAAAAATCTGTTTCGGATTCTCTCAAAACAGACTTAAAGGTAAATAGGAGAATTTTCCTAAATCCACTCGGAAGTAGAAAATCCTCCTATATACCTTTAAGGTTGCTTAACAAGACCAAGCAATTTAACAAGACCAAGCATCGTGTTTTTTTCCCTCAGATCATCAGCTGGTGGTACAGCGTGCGCACCTCTGCGTCTCACAGCAGTGCGAGCGGCCACACAGGGCGCAGCAACGGTCAGTCTGAGGTCGCAGCTCATGCCTGCGCCAGCATGTGCGACGAGATGGTAGTGCTTTGGAGACTTGCTGTACTCGACCCAACCATGAGTCCCGCCAGGTTTGTGCAGTTGCAGCTAATATACATTGAGGCCATGTGAACGGGTAACAATATTTCTCGGTTAAAATGTTCATTCTTTTTACCAAGCATAAACATTTAGTTTATTTTTAGTGATTTTTAACAAACAAAAAAGGTTTGGGCGTTATTGGTTGAATGGATGCATCTGTGTAGAATTGGATAAAGCAAACAATCATTAGTTTAATGTTTCTTTATGAATTATTTTTGTGACTGGTGGAAATTCATAGTGTGTGTGCGCATTCATGTGTATACACAAATTACACATACAAATATTCTATTGATTCACACTGCAAGGTGGATGTAGAGTTGTTTTTACTATTTGTTGCTCATTAGTATTAATTTTGCTGTTTTTATTAATGGTATCTGTTGTCTTTCAGGCGTATGGAAATGGCCGGTCAGCTGAAACTGTGGCACTTAAAAGTAATTGAAATTGTTAAGCGTGGTCAACATCGGAAGTCTTTAGACAAGTTGTTCCAAGGTTTCAAACCTGCTTTGGAATCTTGTTATTTCAACTGGGAGGTGGCTTACCCATTGGAGGGAATTACCTATTGCAACACTGACAAGAAGAGCGCCACCATCTGCTGGTCCAGAGCACTTCAGAACCATAGAGGAGTTAAAGCAACAGTTGTGCCAGCAAATGGGGATTCTCAAGAAGGCGGCAAGTGTGAGGGGGGACTGGTGCGATCGCAACATGAGGTTGCTGTGCGTCCAAAGGAGAGTGTCTTGAGTAAGCGGAAGGGCCTGTCCGTGAGTGGGGGAGGTGGGATGCTGGTGCGGCTCGGTGGCAGCGTGTCACTATCCTTGGATGATGCTGGAGCTAAGGGCATGTATAAAGGCTCATCTGGAGGGAAGCTCAAGATTTCCCAGGGTGGAGCTGGTGGAAAAGGGGCTGGAAGTAGTAGCGGGATAAGCGGAGGTAAACACTCTAGCAACAAGCGCAGAACTAGCAGTGAGGACAGCTCTCTAGAGCCTGACATGGCTGAGCTTAACCTTGATGATGGCTGCAGCCTGGCTTTGGGAGCGGAGGCTAGTAACACTTTTGAGTTCCTGCCTCCACCTCCTGAGATGCTTCCATCCCCCAGCCCCCTCTTGCGAGAGCCCCGCAAGAGTAGTACAGGATCAAACAAGAATTTTGACTCAAAACGCCACTGCCCCCCTGCATCTACTTCTGAGGTCCCGACTGCGGGTGAGACTGTCCTGATGGTGGTGTCTAACGGTACAAAGAAGGAGTCCGGACCAACCCCTGTTGAGAAGGAAGACTCGGATCAAAGTGCGGGTGCCGTCTCTTCTACCACCGCCACAATAGAAAAAACAGATTCTGTTCCCAACCCCTCCAATCCACCTGTGAATCAGAAGGAGGCGGAGCCAGGATCAGGCAGGGGGGCTGAAGGAGGTGAGGACCCTGCGGTGGGAGATGATGACTATCAAGCTTACTATCTGAGTGCTGCTTCTGAAGAGGGGGCAGACAGGCAGCTGGCGGAAAGTCAACAGGATGATGAACCAGACATCTTTGCAGGCATAAGGCCTCTGGAGCAGGAAAGCCGCATGGAGGTAAGACTTAAATTCTTAACTGATGTATTCTTGTATATTATCTGGAAATGCCCTGCAGGTTGTGTTTGCCTGTGCTGAGGCTCTTCATGCCCATGGATACAGTAACGAGGCCTGCAGGCTGGCTGTGGAGTTGGCCAGAGACCTGGTAGCCAACCCCCCAGATCTGAAAGTTGAGCAGCCACAGACCAAGGCAAGTTCAAATTAAGGCTGACACAAATCATTATTTCAATAATCAAGTAAAACATTTTGCATACTTAAATTAAATGTTACCGTAAGTTTTGTTAATAGTCAAACTAGAAAAGTTCTTTCTAGTGATTCAGATCATCTCCAAAATTGAATTTGTATTTATTTGTATTTAAGGGTAAAAAGAGCAAGGTGTCTACAAGTCGACAAACGCAGACTGCCACCAGCACTCTGTCAAAAACGGCTTTTCTGCTCACTGTGCTCAGTGAAAGACTGGAGCTTCACAACCTGGCCTTCTGCACTGGCATGTTCTCCCTTGAGTTGCAGAGGCCCCCAGCATCAACCAAAGCGTTGGAGGTCTGCCTTCACTTCTTTTGCACACAAATATGTTTTAGCTTTTCTTAACTGACACTAAAAATGAATCTTACTGGTTCTGTCATGTGGATCATGCATTGACTGATGTAGATAAGGGGTCACACACCTTTTTAAAGCCTTGGATTCTTAATCTTAAAGCTTTAGGATTACCAGATGGCTGGAGGGCTACTACTAAATAAAGGTAAATATGGGGAATTGGCTCTATCCATCTATCCATTTTGTTCACCCAGAACAGATACCCGAGCCACCTCAACTGGTTCCTCTCGACGTGGAGAAGCAGCGGCTCTACTCCGAGCTCCTCCCGTGTGGCTGAGCTCCTCACGCTAAGGGAGCACCCAGCGACTCTGTGGAGGAAGCTCATTTCGACCGCTTGTATCCGCGATTCCGTTCTTTCGGTCATTACCCAAAGCTCATGACCATAGGTGAGGGAGGGAACGAAGATTGACCTTTAATTGAGAGCTTTGCCTTTCGGCTCAGCTCCCTTCTTAACACAACAGCCGGGTACAGTGACTGCATCACTGCGCACGCTGCACCGATCCGCCAGTCAATCTCATGCTCTATCCTTCTCTCACTCGTGAACAAGACCCCGAGATACTTGAACTCCTCCACTTGAGGAAGGACCTCTCCACCCACCTGAAGAGGGCAAGGCACCTTTTTTCCGGTCGAGCACCATGGCCTCAGATTTGGAGGTGCTGATTCTCATCCCAGCCGCTTCACACTCGGCTGCAAACCTTCCCAGTGCATGTTGCAGGTCCTGGTTCGTTGGAGCCAACAGGATAACAGATGACAGAGATTAAATCCTGTGGTCTCTGAACCGGACACCCTTGAGTTTCCGTTTCTCTTCCTGTTTACCCTCTGCTACTGTAGCTAACAGCTCAGTACGGATTCGTTGTTTAGGGAAAGACACATCTCACACTGCTCTGATGCAAAGTGCAGCAGTTCAGTGGGTAATGTGTGTGTGCGCGCGCGTGCCGCGGACCTGAGTGCACACACTCTTTAGTAACGAGTGTAAGAGCGCTGGGAAATGAATGAATGAGAATGAAAGAATGAAAAGTGTGGAGTACGAGCAGAGCGACGTGTGTGTGTGTGTGTTGGCGATTAAGTAAAGACTGATTCTTGAATGTCTGAAGTCTTATTGCAATAGCACCACACTGGGAGCGAGGGTCAGAACAGAGAGTTATTCCTGTAGGAAACGCTTCCCTTTGGCCCTGCAGCGACACACTCCACAGCGCCCCTTGACCACGGTCCGGGGCTTATATGAAAGGTTTAACACAAGCAGGGAATGCGAAAGTGCTGGGAGAGTGTCTGAAAATGCCCGTCACAACGGAAGACGTAATGTGACGCACAATATCAAGTCCCCACCACACCTCATCCCCCACTCCCCACCACCCGCCACACTGACCCTCCCCCCTCATCCGTGCTGCGAAGTCTGCTCTGGTCCAAGTCTTGAATCGGGCTCGTGCTCAAGTCCACATGCCGCGGTCACGTGACTTAGTTTCTGGCTCTAAAGCAGTTTGCTTCTCTCATAAGTTTCCATACCCGTATTTTACACCTGTCACATCTTTGGGTCAGCTTTTTCGGACACTTACTCTGCCAATTAGCAACTCTCTGGTAAAAGCGTCAAATAGTGACTCACATGGCTCCTTCTTGATTTTCTGAAATATTTCCCATTACATCACATGGCGATTGTTGATTGACAGCACCAGTTGTTTTTTAACATATGTAAACTTCCAGTTATACGGTATACATTCCTTCAATTGAAGAGTCACTATTATTCAAATGTTTTCTGTGTGGCGTCAGGTCAAACTCGCCTACCAAGAGTCAGAGATTGTGGCTCTGCTAAAGAAGATTCCTTTGGGCCTAGTGGAGATGTCTGCTATCCGAGAGCGTGCCGAGCAGCTCAGAGATGGAAACTTCTGTGATTATCGACCGGTCCTGCCACTGATGCTGGCCAGTTTCATTTTCGACGTCTTGTGCACACCTGGTTAGAAGTTGCTTTCTACATAACTGATCACTGCAGACATTCATATTCACACTTGCTTTCTGCTCCACTTTTTCCAGTTGTATCACCAACAGGCTCCCGTCCACCAAGTCGTAATCGTAACAATGAGATGCCCGGTGATGAGGAGCTGGGTTTTGAAGCTGCTGTTGCTGCACTTGGTAAATGTGCTTCATTATTTTTCACTGCTGCAGTGGTATAAATACAAACTGTATTTTTATTTTCCATAATAATGGAACAAGGCTGCTGCTGAACACCAGCTTTTTCCCCAGGCCACAAATTAGGCCACAGTGTCTGAATAGGAGGCTAGCGTACAAAACTAAAATTACAACTAAAAAGGAGGATTTGTAAACCAGTTTTATTTAACAGCCCTCAGAAGTTACTTTCCCAAATCACATTGAGATGCTGTAGGGTTTCGGATTCACTTGCCTTTTAAACAGATAAGAATTATTACATGACTTGTGATTTATTATTATTTCTAGTGGATATTTTCAAATAGATACTTATCAACATTAATAACTTGCCTTTAAGCAGTTGGCTTTTTTGTTGCACAGGTATGAAGACAACAGTGAGTGAGGCAGAGCATCCTCTTCTATGTGAAGGAACTCGGAGGGTGAAAGGAGACTTGGCACTAGCTCTTATGATAACGTACAAAGATGACCAGAGCAAGCTCAAAAAGGTAAGGTCAGATCAAGGGGCCTTAAGCGTGTTGTTCAGGTAATCACGTAAACGAAACAAAGCACTCATGGAAACTAAATCACTTGTTTACTCCTATTGTATTTGATTGATCATAAAGCATGTAAATCCATGCGCTCCAACTGAGGTGTGTAAATCCAATCCGTTTGCCATAACTGTGTATTTGCGGGTATATAACCACGTAAACGTAGCGCTAAAGTGCTGTAGCGCATGGTGTATCGCACCATGTGTTACTTCTTTTGAACCCATGCCTCCATTTGATCTGCAGGGCGCATGGAAACCGGACAAAGTGGTCAGACCAGTTTGGAAATGATTGAAATAGAAAAAGACTGTATTCTTAAGCTCTTACTACTGACGCACTGAGTTAAGCGGGCTGGTCGCCTTTCAACCTGCCTCGCTATCTAGTCTTTTTGCTGAAGTTTATTCAGTGGAAACAAGTCTTACAAGAGTATGGCTCATGCCATCACAATATTATTATTTTTTGACGCCGTCCTTGTAAATCCACATTGTATGATGAGCTTGCCACAGTCCATTATTACACTATTTCCTGGGTTCCTGGGTGCACTACGCTGTGACTTTGGAAGACTAAGTTTGTTTTGATCCATTTGTTGTTGAACTTTCAGTCTTCCCCATTGTGATTTTTTTTTTTTTTTTTATTGATCAGAAAACTACAATGGCAGAAGCAAACAAACCGTTTTTTCTTTCAGATCCTGGACAAGCTATTGGACAGAGAAAGTCAGACTCACAAGCCTCAGACCCTGAGCTCGTTCTACTCTAGTAAACCTGCTGCGAGCAGTCAGCGGAGCCCATCCAAACACGCCACTACAAACCACGGAGTTGGAGGAGCATCTGGGGGACTCGCCAAACACACATCTTCCTCTACTACCTCTTTGCCGGCCTCTGCCCCTAGTCAGTCCAGTGCAGTGAGCCTGCCTCCTGAAGAGATGAACAGTCAGCAAGAAGTCAACCAAGTGCACAACAGCGTCTCTGGAGAGACCACCACAGAGGCCAAAGAGCATGGTTACTAACACACACTGCATTCATTAAGTTAGATGCATCTAATAAGAAGCACTAGTATAACACTAAGTGGTATTTAAATTCATCAAAATACTGTTAGTCATTTCTGGATAAACTGTTACGTTGACGCTATTGACTGCAGTGCTAATTTATAAAACCACTTGGTGCCTGGAACACATACAGTGTCAACACAAGTGCTGAAATGGGCTTGTTCACACTAAAGGGCACAAAAGTGTGACAAAAGGCCAAAAATTAGATTTTAATAATCCGAAGATATTTTATGTTTTTCATGTTTCCAAGCACCTCCTCTGTCCATTAGAAGTTGCTAGAACATAACTGTTTTATACATTAGACAAGTTTCCTATAGCGGCCCTGTTTATTTTATCTAACGGACGTGATGATTTGACGGAATGAGCTTTGTGGAAGTTTGATAGGTATTTTCAGGTGTCCACATTTGATTCAGAGATTCTACTTTTTTACACAAAGTAGATGCAAAGTGATACTTTCATATTGTCAAGCAATTAAATGTGAAAACAGACCAGATTTTTTTTTTTCTCAAGTTTAATTTTTAGAGAAAAGAGGACTGTCCTCATCACGTCCGTTATACATTTTTCAGGGGTCATTTAATTAATTTTTATTTTTTAACGATTCCTTTTTATATCAAGTGATTTCCTTCTGTTGTGTTAACCATGTAAATCTTGTGGGATTTCATCTTCTGCCTGTTTCAGACTGAGGACATTTTATTTTCTATGTAACTGGCGTCACAGTAGAATGGTCCAATCAGAGGCTCATTTGGTCGTTTAAAATGTTGCTAAACATTTTTATGTCAATCTTTCCTTTTGATTTTTTCCACACTATCTCTTCAATGTGTCTGTGTTTGAAATCTTTTTTCCAATCTATGAAAGTAATTTTAGTTTTTAAGTTATAACCTTTTAAAGTCCAGATACTTCAATTGTCACTTTACTGTGAACACACTCAAATATGAAACGCACATCAATGTGTATTGTACCCATTGCTTATAGTGAGGGAATTGTGATTATGAAGGAGTGTGCATATACAAGTGTTATTTAAGATACTTATAACATCAGTATAGGCTTTCTTAAAGTGGTTTGTATCTTGTTGCAGATGGGCCTTCTACATCTAGTGAGCAGCAGAACGAGACTGCGCTATTCAAGTTGGAAACCACTGTCCCAAGCCGCCTGGCTCTAGGAGCTCGCTACGGCTACAACCAGCGCTGCTGGGGATCACCTGTCCGGCAGAAGAAAAAGCACACTGGTACCCAAGTTTTGATTTCACATATATACTTATTGATGTCGATTTGTCAAATTTTTTGTTCAAATGTTTTTCCACTTAATGTATATAATAAATCAATACATAAAGCACAATTCATACAGTGCAGATCTTAATGCTTCACAAAGACGACATAAGTAAGTTTGTATTTCTAATATATTAAATGATCCTAAATGTTAAGGGACTTAAGTCAAGTCACAGGCTCAAAGAAATAAAATGTCCACAAAGCTTATGTGTGTTTAAGCTGTGATCCTAATTATTTTTATGTTTGTTGTTTTATTTAAATTTCTTATTTTTTATGCAATTGCATTTTGTGCAAGGGTGGCTCACATCCTGAGCCCCGTGGAGGTCCAACTTCAGGCTGTTATGAGCTGTATAAAAAAACTTGCTGAATGGATCTGCTGAGTGGCTGATAGTAACTTAACTTTTGATTTTGACAGGAATGGCAAGTATCGACAGCAGTGCTCCAGAAACCACCTCTGACAGCTCACCCACCCTGAGCCGCAGGCCTCTGCGCGGGGGCTGGGCTGCGGCATCCTGGGGCAGGGGGCAGGACAGCGACAGCATCAGCAGCTCTTCCTCTGATTCTTTAGGTTCATCATCCTCCAGTGGCTCACGCAGAGCAGGGGGAGGGGCCAGGGCCAAAAATACTGACACAAGCAGGTGAGAATTTTTATCTTTTTGTTTTATCAATCAGGACATACAAACAAACTTTTAACAAGGGATGTGGAGGTAAAGAAGACACTGTATGTTTTTACAACAGTTTTAAATTGTAAATATATTAATGAAGGCTGTAAGTTAAACTGGAGGCAGAGGTCCTCAAATGAATGGAGGAAATGAATAGTGTTTATAGAAATGTTTTCATTGAGATTTTTTCAATTGTTTATGAATAAGAATTGCATAGAAGGTTTTTTCTTTAAGGATGCTGTACCACCAGTAATTAACATGGTAATGTTTTTTTCTATAATTTGTTTATTAGATACAAAGGGCGGCGCCCAGAATGCCATGCTCCACATGTTCCGAATCAGCCATCTGAAGCTGCGGCTCATTTCTATTTTGAGTTGGCCAAGACTGTGCTGATAAAAGCTGGAGGGAATTCTTCCACATCTATATTCACACAGCCTTCCGCCAGCGGGGGGCATCAGGGTCCTCATAGGAACCTCCACCTCTGTGCCTTTGAGATTGGGTTATATGCTCTCGGCCTCCACAATTTTGTGTCTCCTAACTGGCTCTCCAGGACGTACTCCTCTCATGTGTCCTGGATTACTGGTGAGCTCTCATTTGGTTTGCATCGAAAACTATTTGGTTGTTTATGAGTTGTTTAAGATGCCATGTTAATTTTCATCCTTTCATTCTATGCATGCTCAGGCCAGGCCATGGAGATCGGCAGTGCAGCTCTCAATATCTTGGTGGAGTGTTGGGATGGCCACCTGACCCCACCAGAAGTAGCGTCTTTAGCTGATCGAGCGTCCAGGGCAAGAGACCCCAATATGGTCAGGGCAGCAGCGGAACTGGCTCTGAGCTGTCTGCCTCATGCTCATGCCCTCAATCCCAATGAGATTCAGAGAGCACTAGTGCAGTGCAAAGAGCAGGTAACTAATGGCATGAAATAAGACAATCTGCAAATTTAGACATTTCCCCTGCAATATAAAGTTTCTAGTTTATAGAAAATGTATATAACAACTTATTAGATTAGGTATAACACAAATGTACATAAAAGAGGAGATTCAATGATAGATCTGCATACCAACAAGGTCATTAGTAACTGAAAATGTCTTAAATTAAAATGTAAATGTTAAAATCAAAAGGGCACCATTGATGACTCTCATAAAAACAGGGTGTCATATGGTCTTCATAATTGTATCCATGTTTAGATTCCATTGCACACTGTAGGTAGGTCCCTCAGTACAGAGGTGTGTAAAACACAGAAAAACGATCACGCATACAGTGTGCTCTGTCTGTCCTGATGTGGACGAGGGTCTTGTAAGTTAATTGTTTTTCTCTGTTGCCTCAGGACAATGTTATGCTGGAGAAAGCTTGCATGGCTGTAGAGGAAGCTGCAAAGGGCGGTGGGGTGTACCCGGAGGTGCTATTTGAGGTCGCCCATCAGTGGTACTGGCTGTATGAGCAGTCTGTCGGAGGAAGTTCTGGACAACAACGTGAGGCATCCAGCCGCTGCGGAGCTAATGGCGGCTCTGGTAGACGCCCCCCTGAGGCCAACTGTGTTCTGGACAATGGTGCTAACATGGATTCTCCAGGCGTAGCCACTGTCACTGCATCTGTCACTGCTACAGCTGTAGTACCTGTCATCTCTGTGGGCTCTACAATCTATCAGTCCCATGCTATGCCTGGTCAAGCTATAGCCCACGCTCATGGCCAAGGCCTACATCCTTACACCACCTTGCAGGCGCACCTTCCCACTGTCTGCACCCCTCAGTACTTGGGACACCCTCTACAACATGTCCCACGGCCGGCTGTGTTCCCTGTGGCTGGAGCAGCTTATCCACAGGTCAGAAAAAACACTCTCATAATGCAGTATTCAGTTGCAGGATGTTGACAGAACTTTTTAGGATTTTATGTAGAATAGTCCATAGTGAAACATTCGATTTGGTCTGTGCCTTCAGTTTTCTGTGTTTGTCTTTTTAGGGAATGCACCCTGCTTTTATTGGTGCTCAGTACCCTTTCTCTGTTGCAACTGGCCCCCCTCCTCCAATCGCAGCCACTGCAGTGACTTTCCCTGGTGTCCCTGTCCCTTCTATGACTCAAATAGCTGTGCACCCGTATCACACAGAGACAGGCTTGCCCCTCAGTACCACGGTGGCAGGTTAGTTCCTATATTCATTATTGTATACAAGGAGCAATTCCTAACCAAGCTGTTTTTTTTGTGTGTGTCAGTGGGCAGTGTCCACACCGGCACCACCATTCAGACCATGCAGGGAGCCTCTATGCCCTCACTTTCTTCACAGCAAGGTTCATTAGTCAATCCTCCATTTCCCATAGAAGAAGAGCAACACAGTCAACCACTCAGCCAACAAGGCCTGCACTACCTCCACTCGGCCTACAGAGTTGGTAAGAAATGTAATTTTGATTTAGATAAACTGATGAAACACTGTAAACATCACCTTTTGTTGCCTAAAGGGATGCTGGCACTGGAGATGCTTGGGAGACGAGCCCATAATGATCACCCAAACAACTTTTCTCGTAGTCCTCCATACACTGAGGATGTCAAATGGCTGTTGGGACTGGCTGCCCGTTTAGGTAGGTCACATCCACACAGTTTAGTGAAGCCTTACCTAGAGAGTGTACTTATTTACATATGGGGGTCTTATGGTCTGGTCTGTATGTACTAATGGTTTTTACTTAACCCTTTAAGCGCCAGAGGTTTTTTTCCAAAACGCTCAATTTTGACATATTAATTTCAAAAGGCTATAACTTAAAAGTGATAAGAGATAAAGGCTTTCTGTAAATTAGAAAAATATAAAGGATGGTCCAAAGTTTATGTAGAGAATAAATTCCCCCATCTAATTTGCATATTATGACGTCATTTGGCGTTAGAAATAGTGGATTTTAGAATTTTCATACAATATTTGTATTTTTCTAACTGACAGACATATATTTATCACTAGAACATGAACACACACAGAGCACACACTGTAACATTGTAAATGTTCATGAAAATAGTAAAAAAATATAAATCATGGTGCTGCTGTGAGCAGTCTGCCCAGACGCGCGCCTCCACGTGATGCGCGTCACCGCGACCCTGCTGCTGCAGATGTCTCCCCCACTCTCTCTCTCATCGCCCCTGCTCTCTCTCGTCTAACACACACAAGACAAGGCTTCTACAACACATTACTGTCCCGGTGATTACGTGAGGCTTGAAAATAAATATGTGGGAAGCACTTTTAGCGGAGACTTTGGCGGAGACTTTGGCGGAAACTTCAGCGGAGGCTGGAGGTCGCGGCGCCCCGACCCGAGTTCCAGGCTTGTTTTCCGCAAATCTAACCTGTCTCCGAACCTCCCAATGACTGGCCTTACTCTAAGAAACACTGTTCACACTGCAGACCCTGTACAAAGTGTCTAAAGTTAGTGTTTGGTGCGGTACAACATTCACAGGCTGCCCCGCAGCTGCATTCGCTTCGCTATGATTTCCGCACTGGTTCAACGCGGTCTTGCTCGAATATTTTGTATGGGAGCATTACGTTTTTTGGGGCCAGGGAGGTAGTCTGACATGTCTGCCAACTAGTGGCAGGGAGTATGAATGAATTTTGACACTCAGTTGGTCACACTCGGCCGTTTTTAACAGTACCGCAGCTTGTCGACTTAAGTCGACCGTGGCGCCTAGAGGGTTAAGGTATCTCTCCAAGAAAGACCGGGAGATCTATTGGGTCTCCAGGCTCTCCCTTCTGTTACTGCTGACTAATGAGTTTTTCCTGCCCAGGGGTCAACTATGTGTACCAGTTCTGTGTTGGGGCAGCCAAAGGTGTCCTCAGTCCATTTGTTCTGCAAGAAATTATTATGGAGGCTCTGCAGAGGCTAAACCCAGCTCATATCCATGCTCACCTCCGAACTCCTGCCTTTCACCAGCTTGTCCAGCGGTGTCAACAAGCATACCTGCAGGTACTTATTCAAATGTGTATTGCTGATCACTTTAGCATTTTAAAGGGGTTCAATTATAAATCAATATCCTGGTTTTCTTGCCGCCATTTATCGATCAATTATTTTACATTTACTATTATTATAAAGCCTGGGCGTGATAAAATATTGGGTCTCTTCAGCAACCTTGTTGTTTTGGAAGGACAGATTTCTTGTTTGCTAAATTTAGTTATAATCTATGACCTGTTTGAATCATTATATGGAAGACTTGTTTACGCATTATGAGGGCTGCCAGGCAGGGGAGTGGCTAGTTTCAGCCTCATGGGAGGAGGCTGGCTGGATTTTGCTTCTCCTTAATAATATAAATTTCCATCTTGAGTCGAGGATATTTCTGTAGGGTTCTGGGGTTCGTCTTAAAGTGTCCTTAAAAAGTACAAACGTATAAACCAATGCATTATTACAATAGCACAAGGTGCACAAGTGTGCAAGTGTGTAATTGTGACTGGTACAAGTGTATTTACAGCACTACAGTTCATTAATACACACTGTCCCAACCAAATAAAAACAAAGCCAACAATAGGCAGAGTAAACTGGTGGAACCGGTTCAGGGTAGGGTGACGTTAGGGATACACTGTCAGGGCAGGGGGAACTCCTACCCCTAGACCTACATTTAAACCCCAGTTCCCAGACTCAGACCCTCCATTAGATAAGACTCTCTAAGAGTTAAAAGATTTGTTCTGATTGATTTGGTCTGCATTAGCCAGGTTATACCCAATATGTAAGTAAGTAAGTAAGCTTTATTTATATACCGCCTTTCACAGACCAGAGTCACAAAGCGGTTTACAATTGTTATTTTTTGGGCACTTGTCCTCTCACTCCACACAGAGATGGGAGCGGGGTCGCCGAACAGGAGGCGCATGCCAGACCTATTGTACATATTTTTAGTGGTAGGGGAAACCGGAGTACCCGGAGGAAACCTACGCAGACACGGGGAGAACATGCAAACTCCACTCAGAAAGGCCCTGGTCCGGCCGGGATTCGAACCCAGGACCTTCTTGCTGAGAGGCGAGAGTGCTATCCACTCAGCCACCGTGCCGCCCAAATATGTATGAATATGTATGAATATGTATGAACATAAAATGGTGAACAGTATTTAAATATCCCTTTGAGCCTTTTGATTAAGTTAAAAACCCTTGCATTGTATAAAGAACAATTGTGAATAACGACAGTTAGCAGTTCACATTTTGAGATTGCTATGTTGCCCAGCCCTAATATAGCGGAGTACATGGAGAAGGACCGTTTTGATTTTAACTTTGTTTACATGTTTTGTATGTGCAGTACATCCACCATCGGCTCATCCACCTCACACCAGCGGACTATGATGACTTTGTCAACATTATTCGCAGCTCTCGGGGAGCCTTCTGCCTCACGCCAGTGGGAGTGATGCAGTTCAATGATGTTCTGCAGAATCTAAAGAGGGGCAAACAGACCAAGGAGCTGTGGCAGCGCATTTCACTGGAGATGACCACATTTTCCCCCTGAGCTGAGACTCTTGGACAATCTTGCCTCGAGACCTGTGGGGCTTTGTTGCAGGCTCCACTTAATGCCTCCACTCTGCACATATGTCCTAATATTTGGTGTGTTCTCTTTGACCCATAGGAAGTGTATCAATTTCTGCGTCTGTCCACCCCTCTGGCCCTGGTCAGGTGGTTTTTCATGTTTCTTTGTGTAGCTGTGAGTCTGGAACTGTTGCCGTTTTTTCAGTATGGGAGAAAGTTTCCTAAGAAAAAACATGTACCACATATTATTCAGTATTGTTTAAACTCTTTTGATACTTTGTATTGAAGATTATGTTTGTAAAACAAATGAAGAGTTTCAGTTTGTGTGTGCTTATGTTGCTTTCTGTCTAAACCCATTAGAGCAGGGGTCTCCAACCTTTTTCCCCCACGAGAGCGATTAAAAAACTTGTTGATATTACGATGACAAAGCATAAGATTCTTTTACGGGTATCAAACTGTAAACAATCAATTGTCCATTTATCTGTGCACAAAGTCAAACTATGCATTTACAATAGTTGTTTAACATAACATTTGAAATATTCATTCAATGATTTGTAGTTTCTAAATGCTTTTGGAAGTTACTTGGAAGAGGGAAGAGGGTTACTAGCACTTCGCAAACGATAGGTTGAAGACCCCTGCATTAGAGTTGAGGGTAAAGGTGAACACGGCCATAGATTCAAAAGGAGTGGATAGTTTCACACCGTTTTGTCTATTGTTGCATAACAGCAATACATGACAGCATTCAATTATTTACAAAAACTTAAGAGTACACACTACCAACAAAGTAGTTAAACGTATACAATGCATCTAATTAAACTAAACCCAACTACAAGAATGTAATTGAAATGGATGAGAATCAAAAGGTTTATGGACTATACCACAAGTCTATTTAATAGCACATCCTTAAGAATAGTGGTTTACCCTATTATCACACTTTAATATGTTTTCTTTTTGTCATCCCTAACTCAAAGGAGAATGCTTTGCTTTGGTAGAATCCAACCTTTCTGCATTTGAGGTGCAACTTTTTTGGGATGGAAAGCTGGTGTCGCTCACAAAAGGAACAGGACTTATTCTCCAGAGGTGCAGTGCTCTTAATTCCTCCAGACATGATGTTCCATCCATCGGCAGCTGTTGCGCCACCTCCTCTGGGTCTCACAGGCAGCCTAGTTTTTTGGTAGAAATGTATTGTGATATTTTTGTATTCCTCAGAGTGTAGCTTGATGATAAATTCAATATGTGCACATTGCAAAAGTTATGACGTTATTACGTAATAAAAATAAAATAGACTGAAGCAATACTACATGTTGAATCTGCTTAATAAAAAAAAAATCTTAACAACTACGGTGTCAGGATGACTGATAACAATGAGAAATCTGCATTGTTTTTTCACAGATACATTATTTTTGTATGCGTTATACTACTCAGTAAAGTGTGCAAAGACTTGATTAAAGGTGATGTCAGTAACTTCATATGTATTTCATTTTTTTAAGTGCGCATATTGGACTCTGTACAATAATGTACATGTATATCTATCTTTAGTTTTATTCAATTTATTTTTTCAATGGTCCATCACTTCCAGTAATAACATTCTAGAGGAGCATAGTTAAACCAATGCGGGGAGAGCACTCACCTGTTCATCTGGATTTATATGTATTACCATTCTGTATTGTGAAACGATGAGAATTGGGAAGGCCCAGCCATGATGTATTATTGGTCTCCTACAATTTGAAATTCACTTTTCTGTTGGTCTCCATAGGAACAGTGGAAATATATCAACCCCATTGTCATTGGCTAAAATGACCAACATTAGAAATGAATCTATGAACTCTTTTTCATTCGGGCCTCCTGTTGACTTTAATGATCATATATATAATCATACTGTGGCAATGTCTGCACAAACGAAAATCAATTCCAAAAAAATTGGCGGGCTATTATTCTGGGATTCATTTTAAGAAAGTCAGATGTGAACAGAGAGACATTTCTCATTTACAATGTAAATGCCAAGGACTTTGATAGTTGCCTACAACAGTTTGTCCGTGCTCCATGCTCTTTTTAAAGGGGTATCGCGCACCCCCACGTTCAGCCACATTTGGTTGAGTCCAGGGACCGTAGCAAATCCAAGATGGCGCCCAGATCAGCTACGACGCTCTAAACTTCCCTTTTAACTTTACAGACGCAGCCCTGCGTTCTATCGACTGTGTCTAAATGTCTATGTTATTCCGGTAAGATGTGCATTGTTGACGTGGTGTATTTTAGTTAACTGTTTTATCAAAAAGGAGTTCAGTGACACATACCATTGTTTACGCTGAGCCTTGTTTAGCAGTAGCCGCTGCAGCTAACTCAATGCAGCAGCTTCGTGCATGAATTACAAGCCCCGTCTGCTCTTCAGCTGAGGTCTGTGGAGTTCGAAAGTGAACGATGTAACCCATTGTCCTAGCTAGAGCAAGGTGCACAGCCTTTTTGCTAGTTATAACGTTACCATTGGTGTGAGTTGTTCCCCCTTGAAGCTTCAAAATACACATAGCTAGCTGTTCATGACCTGGAGATGGGACCTGTTATGTGGACCACCACTGAGTCATCACATGAGGATCTATTCCCAGGCTGCAAAACATCCTCGTAACCTGGAGGTGCAGACATTCTAGACAGGTGCGAGTTCGCTTGTGTGGGAGGCACAGCAGTTATCATCAGCTGATGATAACTGCATGAACATTAGTAACGAGGCCGCATTGCCCTCGTAATGAGTAACCATGCTTTAAATAGCTTGTTGCACAGTTTTATTTGACTGAATTCATTTTATTCATTTTAATTATATTTTTCTCCACACTGTTTAGGTTTTCAGGGGTGAAATATTCCAGTGTATGTGGGGTAGCCCTGGGGGCTATGCCCCACCGCAGCTGAGAGGATCATCAAACCAATGGACATGAGGCGAGATACGAGACCACGGTCTTCCTGAGAGTCAGCCTTCAGCTCCAGTCCTGTTTGTTGTTTCCTGCAGAGCGAAAAAAGTGGATCTGATGATGCTGGACATGGTGACTTAGTGTAAATGGCTGCTCCCCATTCTTGTTCAGTGCTGGTGTCCCCTGCTCTGTCCTGCTCTGGACCTGCCTTACTGTCCCAAATCTGCCCTGCCTGTGCTCACCGCTCGCTGGCCGGCCCTCACCATGGCCACTGCGGGCCTGGGGCTGTGGAAGCTGCTGCGTGGTGTCCGGCAGCTGGAACTCCACCGCCTTATTCTGGCACTCATCATCTTCTGCTTGCTGTCCATGGCCTTCTTGGCTTATTACATTTCAAACAATCCTAAAATTAAAGAGGCCCCGCCATTACCATTTAGTGACTGTGGAGGTGCAGGGATGGCGCCTGGCTCAAGTACAGGAGCAGCGGGCTGGGCCCCGGGTGTTCAGAGGGCCCCTCTGTTTATACCTGGGCGTCTGGGTCAGCAGAGGCAAGTGAAGGCCTTAGATATCTCTAGAACTGAGCCAGTGATTCTGGTTTTTGTAGAAAGCATCTATTCTCAGCTTGGTCAGGAGATTATTGCCATCCTCGAATCCAGCCGCTTTCGGTATCAGACGGAGATAGCGCCTGGTAAGGGAGGCATGCCGACACTTACAGAGCAAAATAAGGGCCGCTATGCCCTTATCATCTATGAAAATCTGCTGAAATACGTCAATTTAGATGCATGGAATCGAGATCTCCTGGACAAGTACTGCTCAGAGTATGGTGTGGGGGTTATTGGTTTCTATAAGGCCAATGAAAACTCTCTTCTGAGTGCACAGCTCAAAGGTTTTCCACTTTTTTTGCATTCTCACTTGGGACTTCGAGACTATCGCATAAATCCAAGTGCCCCTCTGCTCTATATAACCAAACCAAACCAGGTGGAGCAGGGCCCGTTGCCTGGAGACGACTGGACCATCTTTCAGTCCAACCATTCCACATATGAGCCCGTGCTTGTGGCCAGTACAAAGTCCTCTGTGTCCATGGTACACTTTGTTGCAAGTTCGTCACGGCCGACCCATGCCACAGTGGTGCAGGACCTGGGACTCCATGACGGGATCCAGCGAGTTCTGTTTGGAAACAATCTGAGCTATTGGCTGCATAAGCTCGTGTTTGTGGATGCCATTGCTTACTTGACTGGCAGAAGACTTTGTCTGTCTTTAGACCGCCACATTCTAGTCGACGTGGATGATATATTTGTGGGTAAAGAAGGAACGCGCATGAAGGTCTCTGATGTGGAGGTAAGTTCTTGTGACCCTGTAATTTGTTTGGTTAAGCACTCTTCTTATGCGTGTTGTAATACATTTAAACAACATACAAAACCCCAGTGCTTCCCTGGTGAAACACAGGAAATTAGAATGCCCATCCATCCATCCATCTTCTACCCTTTAATCCATTTCTGGGTCAGGGGGGTGGCAATCAGAGATGCCACCCAAGTCTCATAGCACCAGCCCCTCACTGACCCTCTGCAGGTGGTGAGTCCACAGGAGGACGGCTGCTCTCTGAGTGTGAGCATAGCCTTGATCTTTCAGTGGGGGCTTTTTGGGCAAAGTGGGGTTAAGTGTCTTGCCCAAGGACACAACGACAGCAGTCATCAGTGGGAGTCGATGGAGAAGGTGCAGAGGTGGGAAATGAACCCACGACCTTCTGGCCTTAAGGCCAATGCTCTACCAACTGAGCTACTGGCGCCCCAGTAGCTCAGAAATTAGAATGGTAGGTTTTTATTTCTGTAACTAAACTTATGATGTGAAACTAATATGTTATAGACTGACTACATGCAAAATTACTTATGCCAAACCTTTTATTGTTGTCATGATTATGGCTTAAATATTAAAATGTTCATGTTTTATTTGTGGTTTTTACAGCTGTGAGCCAATTATCCACATTTTAAGAAATAAAGGCCTGACTTTTCTCTCTGTGTGCACAGTGTCATATATTAGTTTCACATTGTAAGATGAGTTTTACCTGTATATTCTGTGTATTACTAATTCTAATCAACTTATGACTGCATTAATACATCTGCTGACCTTCATATTGTATTCTAATCTGAAAAAGAACATATTCTTCTACCCAGTCCTAATGGTTTAGGGTTATCATATGCCATTTCCAAATGTTATTTAGGAGAATGTATCTGCTTCCATATATTTCTACACAGTATTTATTACAGAGGCTAGCTAACACTTGATCATTGGTAAGCATTGTGCTTTGGGGGAAAGCCAAATTCCATTTAATTTTATATCATTGCTTGATCCGCTTTCACTTCAAGAAATCTCTCCTATTTTAAGTTAATTATACGAAGCACTCTTGTCAAGTAAGACGACACTGGTGGGAGCAGGCAGATGTAGATGTGAGAGCCAGAGGAAGTAAAAACACTTGAAATGGCTATAACTATGAAGTACATTACAGAATGAAATTAAATACTTTTGTATGTTTTGGGTGTGCACGATATATCAAAAAAATATTGTTAACGCGATATTGGTGCGTGCGATATCCATATCGAAAAGATGCAAGATAAAATTCCCTTTTTTTTTTTCTTAAAGACAAAACCACTAAATATATGCATTTGAATGTCATTAATGTTGTGCTTATTTTTTATTATTTGTCTCTTGCGTTTCAATGCTATTGGATTGAGGTCTGGGCTTTGACTGGGCCATTCCAACACATTTACATGTTTCCCCTTAAATCACTAAAGTGTTGCTTTAGCAGTGTGTTTGGGGTCATTGTCCTGCTGGAAGGTGAACCTCCGTCCTAGCCTCAAATCACGCACAGAGGGGTACAGGTTTTGCTCAAGAATATCCCTGTATTTAGCACCATCCATCTTTCCCTCAACTCTGACCAGTTTCCCAGTCCCGGCTGCTGAAAAACATCCCCACAGCATGATGCTGCCACCACCATGTTTCACTGTGGGGATAGCGTTTTCCTTGATGGTCGAAAAGTTCAATTTTTGTCTCATCAGACCAGAGCACCTTCCTCCATACATTTTTGGGAGTCTCCCACATGCCTTTTCGCAAACTCAAGACGTGCCATTTTGTTTTTTGCTGAAGGTAATGGCTTTCTCCTGGCCACTCTGCCATAAAGCCCAACTCTATGGAGCGTACGTCTTATTGTCATCCTATGTACAGATACAGCTCCTCCAGGGTTACCTTAGGTCTCTGTGCTGCCTCTCTGATTAAAGCCCTCCTTGCCCGGTCCGTGAGTTTTGGTGGGCGGCTGCCTCTTGGCAGTTTTGCTTTTGTGCCATGTTCTTTCCATTTGGTTATGATATATTTGATGGTGCTCCTGGGGATCATCAAAGATTTGGATATTTTTTTATAACCTAACCCTGACTTGTACTTCTCAACAACACTGTCCCTTACTTGTTTGGAGAGTTCCTTGTTCTTCATGGCAGTGTTTGGTTAGTGGTGCCTCTTGCCTCTTCTGAGGCCTCTTCTGAGGCCTTTCAAAAAAGGTGTGTGTACTGACAGATCATGTGACACTTAGTTTGTACACAGGTGGACATAGTTTCACTATTTATGTGACTTCTGAAGGTAATTGGTTGCACCAGAGCTTTTTATGGGCTTCATAACAAAGGGGGTGAATACATATGCACATGCCAATTTCCAGTTTTCTATTTCTGAAAAATAGTATGTATATGTTTTTCTCACTTCACCAACTTAGACTATTGTTTTCTGATCCATCACATGAAATTCAGATTTAAAAAACTTTGAACTAAAGGCTGTAGTGTAACAAATAGGTAAAAAGCCAAGGCGGGTGAATACTTTAACACTATGTTTTCCTGTTCCTACACAACTCGCACAACCTAAACTATCAACAGTCCAAACATAATGAGCTCACAAAGTTTACTCTGCTTGGCTTCATCCAAGTCAGAAGTTACTTTTAGCTCATCATTAATCATCGTCCAGTCGTCAGTAGCGACTGTTCCACTCATGTGGACTACACTTTATGTCCTATATTTCAATTTGTTTCTGCGCCATGAAAGTAGACTGGCATTCAATGTCTGCATGCGAGATCTCGTTTTAAACGCCTTATGTAGTGTTGCACAGGGCTCTTACTGTGTGGAATGTGAAGGTTGTAGAAGCCAAATGGCACCTTCTCCGCACCCTATACTCACTCATACATTAATCCCTAATGCTGGGGAATTGTGTTTTTGGGGTTTTGGATTAATCGTTTATTGAAGGTGAAGAACCTGTAGGACCTGCTTGAAAAAGAGATCAGGCTATCCTTCAAGGTAAAAACATGTTAACCAATACAAATGTGATCTTTTTTAAGAATATTTACCACAATGTTTTTTGTTGTCATAGACTTAGAAATCGACCTGTAAATGTACAAGCTGGAGGATTCTCGTTTTTCGTTTCGTAGTTTCAAAAATAGATAATTGAGGACCACAGTTATGTAAAAGAACTAACCAAACAATCTTTTAGAAAAGTAATTATGCAAAAATCTAGAAACCAGTCATAACAGCAAACGTGTCAACATCGCAAACCACACGCACCGAAAGGCAGAGTTAAAACAATAGGAGTCACTTGTTTTTTTTTTTTTTTACACCGACAGTAATGCTACAAGGCAGAATCTGCTACACAGACTCGGGATGTTCTGACCCGCTCCGAGCGCAGTCCAACTACTCTGTCCACAAATTTCAACAGAACTTATTCAGGGGACAAGCATCAACTATCCATATCACCAGAATACAGTTTATCAACAGTGTGAGTTTTCTTACCTAGAGATGCGGATTCGGTGCCGCAGTGAAAGCTAATAATTATCTGAGCTTTTAGCCACAGTTCTGTCGCGGCTAAGTATCCATGTCCAAGGCAATGTCCTGGCCTCTCTGATTATTGTGGTTTCCTCCACACATCTCTTCTCTTCACACCTCGTTTGTAAAACTTAAGAGCCTTTATGCAGCGAGTGCCGCTTCAGAACGCGCAGTGTTTTACATTTTAGCGTTGCTGTAGCAAGCGACCAAGACTTATGGAGAGATTTGGTCATTTATCAAACTAAAGGATAATTTCCTTGGCGGCCTGGTTTGAATGACCGGGAGTTGGGGACCACTGTCAAAGAGGACATTTTATCCTTCACAGCACATGTAGTACCAAAGGAATGCAATATATGATAAACGCTAGATGGTAAAAAAAAACTACACAGTGCACCTTAAGAATAAATAAGCATTATTGCTTTTCAAATGGACTGCTTTGTGGAGACATGTGATGGGGAGACCCTTGAAACTTATCAAAGACTGATGAAAAAACCATGGATTACTTCAGTAATTGGCTCATCTATTAGGCTTTTTACATCCTTAAAAGCATACTAAACGTTTTAGAAGTAAAGAAAATAAGGCTTTGTTCTATAAACGTTATTGTTAGTGTTATTTGCAAAAATGTGCTACGTTTACTCTTTTAACAGGAAAATGAATTTAATCCTAAAGTTCTACTTCCTTTACATGCAAACTTAGAATTTAAATATCATTTGCAGGCATTGCTCAACACTCAACATAAGCTTCGTGCATTGGTTCCAAACTTCACCTTCAACTTGGGTTTTTCTGGAAAGTTCTACCACACAGGTATGATGCAGAATATATGCAGAGGCAGAGCTGGCATTTCCCTTGGGTCTGATAGTGCTCGTGTTTTAGGGACTGATGAGGAGGACCGGGGCGACGACATGCTGCTGGAGCACAGGATGGACTTCTGGTGGTTTCCTCACATGTGGAGTCACATGCAGCCACACCTCTTCCACAATGTCAGCGTGCTCGCCGAGCAGATGAGGCTCAACAAAGTCTTTGCTCAGGTTTGCATTTGAGCCCTTTTTCCCTCCCATCCCAGGTGTTAAATAGTTAATTGACGTACTAAGTTTACATTTGCAGTAGTGTTAAAATGAGTGAGTGGACCTGTTTTTAATGTCATGTAGCTTGAGGATCAACTTAATGCTGCATCAATCTTTTGTTTCGAGCCTCCATTACTGTTGAGCTCAGATGTATGTAACATTATGGGTGTTTGTGTTCAGGAACACGGTATTCCCATTGACATGGGATATGCTGTAGCACCTCATCATTCAGGGGTGTATCCTGTTCACACTCAGCTCTATGACGCCTGGAAATCTGTATGGGACATTAAAGTAACCAGCACAGAGGAATACCCCCACCTCCGGCCTGCACGTTACCGGCGGGGCTTTATCCACAATGGGATCCAGGTTTGTCTGCCTGCATTGTTGCTCTTTTCATTGTGGATCAATATGGTTTATACCTGTGCTCGCTGTGCTGCAGGTTTTGCCTCGGCAGACATGTGGATTGTTTACTCACACCATTTTCTATAACGAGTATCCCGGAGGTTCAAAGGAATTGGACAAGAGTATCCGAGGAGGAGAACTTTTCCTCACAGTTTTGCTTAATCCTGTAAGAAGTTTTAAATCATTTTTCAGACTAAATTATCTCCGCTTTATCTATTATCAATAAAACGTGTCTTTTATGTTTTGGATTTTTAGATCAGCATTTTCATGACTCACCTGTCGAACTATGGAAATGATCGCCTTGGCTTGTACACCTTTGAGTCTCTAGTCAAGTTTGTACAATGCTGGACCAACTTAAAGCTACAGACTTTGCCCCCAGCACCACTCGCTGAGAAATACTTCCAAATCTTCCCAGAAGAGCAAGACCCTCTGTGGCAGGTCAGTTTACACACAGACGCTGGCGTTGGAACACACAGACACTTCAAAGTCCTCAAGTCATCTGACCGTGTTTAGGGTGTTATCACATGGGCCCGACTCTGCACGGCTTCAGAGCAGGGCGGGCTCAGCTAGTCACGTGACCTCTGTGAATGGCGCAATATGCTGTTGAAAATGTATTGTGTATAAATGTAAATACTTGCGTGATATTACATGTGCTGCTGTCATTTTTCGTTTGTATGTTTGGTTGAGAGAAGATGGGTATGACACACGGACAGAAGAAGCACTGGATAAACATTAGAGGGTTTCACTTTTGGACCGAGGACCAGGCTTCACTGCAGTGATCAGAAACCTGTTCTTAGTGCAGAGGTGACAAGGGGTCGGAGGTCACAGCAGTTTTCTTATGGATGGTGTTGCTCTTTAAATGTATGTAGGGCACTCACATGTGTGTGTGCTACAGTCGGACCTCACATCATCTGTGTCCTCCGGAGATGTGTTGCTCTTTTGTGTTATTTTTTAGTGTAAAAGGTTATTTTAAAGTACTGGTTTTAAATGGAATAACAATTTCCAAGAAAATCTGCAGCTTTGTATTTGTTTATTATTCCATCATTTGTAAAAACCATTCGATTTTGTCAGGAAAGTTAAATCCTACAATTGTTTCTTTTTTTTTGCCATTTTAGAATCCTTGCCATGACAAACGGCATAAAGACATCTGGTCCAAAGAGAAAACGTGTGACCGATTGCCCCGTTTCCTCATAGTTGGACCTCAAAAAACAGGTTGGTAGAAATTGCAGCTTACGTTTTTATGAATGGAATAATTCTGATTAGTTTTTAAAGAATATTGAAATTTGATGTTTTTCCACATGTTTCACACGTTTGCTCATAGGCTCTACTGCACTTCATTCATTCCTGAGCCTTCACCCAGCCATCACCAGTTCTTTTCCTAGTTCTACTACCTTTGAGGAGATTCAGTTCTTCAGTGGATCCAATTATAACAATGGCATTGATTGGTAAGGAGCTTTCTATCATTCATATCATCCTAAAACGCTTCAAAGATTATAAAATAAATATCCATATAATTGAAATTGGTTTTAAATTATTTTAGGTACATGGACTTCTTCCCATTACCATCAAACGTGAGCACTGACTTCATGTTTGAGAAGAGTGCAAACTATTTTGACACTGAGGTAGCCCCTAAAAGAGCAGCTGCCCTCCTGCCCAGGGCCAAAGTATTAGCCATTCTAATCCACCCAGCGGACAGGGCCTACTCCTGGTACCAGGTAACAACCTCATGATTACAGGATCAAATGCAGTAGTTTTGAACGTTCTTATGTTCATTGTTCATCCGACAGCACCAGAGAGCTCACCAAGACCCTGCAGCTCTAAATAACACATTCCATACAGTGGTGACGGCGAGTGCCTCTGCCCCCAGAGACCTGCTGGCCCTTCAGAGACGCTGCCTTATTCCCGGAGTATATGCCATTCACCTTGAACGCTGGCTGCAATACTACCAGCCCTCCCAGGTCAGTGCACCTGTATTCTGCTGCAGAAGAAAATGGAAATAACTGCATTTTAAATGTCCTTAATAAATAAAACTTACAAGAAATGACTGTATTCAAAGTGCACATTTTCACAAATGTAAATATGTCAGATTATATAGCCTTAGGCTAATTTCCATCCGTATTCCCCCTGGCAGGTTGGTGTTACGACACATGTTGGTATAAACATACAGAGACACTATTTACAGACTATATACAGAGAGATGGGGGCAAGAACAGTTATCGCATCATGTTAGAACAAGCAACAAGAGTGGACAACAAAGCACAATGTAGAAAACCGTAACAGAAACACATCATCTCGAAATGCACATGCCCTGACCGTCCTAATATTACACTGACCCATATTGCACCATTCTGTATTGCACCACACCATACAGTTCAGTTTTAAGCTCTGAATCCACAGTATTTCAGACTCTGTATCCACACATCCTTCTTGTCCAAACCAGCTATTGAGGTCATATTGTAGACGCCAACTTCAGCGCTGCTAATACACACATGCAAAGTATCATTTTAAATCTTTTAGGTGTTAAAATGGGCAATCATTTATTTGATGCACTTTGTCCAAGTGTTTGAGATTGTTCTAACATATCAAAATAGTGACCTTTTAAAAATGCTGATTATACGACCATTAAGGAAAAAAAACATTGACAGATATATTTGAAGTGCAGAATGTATCAACAAAATATCCACATCTGTCTAGCTCACAGTAGACGGTCAGCACAATAATTGTTCCCTTGTTGGCAGTTGCATATTGTGGATGGCGCGCTGCTTCGGTCCAACCCTGCCTTGGTGATGGAGGGGGTCCAGAGGTTCCTTGGAGTTACGCCGGTTTTCAACTACACACAAGCTCTCATGTAATTCACTCATTTTCATCATCTGCTCTGAAAGGCATGTCCATTCTGACGGCTTGGTTCTCTTGGTAGATACGATGACTCCAAAGGTTTCTGGTGCCAACGACTGGATGGAGGTCGCACTAAATGTCTTGGTAAAAGTAAAGGCAGGAAGTACACAGACATGAGCGCTGAGGTAATTCATTCATTCATGTTGTTTAAACAAGGCACTTCTGCAGGCCTCCCTTTTTGACTGGTCTCATCAAATAAGTGATATAAAACATTGTTAATTTGTATTCAGTTTACTATAATAATAATTTCGAAACATTTAACTGAAAACATTGAATTACGTTCAATGTTTGGTGAATTTTAGGCACACCAGTGAAACATCCAAATGATAATCTGGAGCCCTGATAACCAGCCATGTATGTTATACTAGTATGCAAAATATGAAATCTTTCCTAAAGATGCGTTCAGACGATGGCATCCAACAATTAGTTAGAATACACTTTTAACATCAACTAAGCCCCAGCATTTGAACAATATAGTTTTTATGAAACATTATAAAACTATAATGTATTTTGTATTAATTGACAATTTGGTTATTGTATAATTAATTTGTTTAAGCATATGTTTTTTTTCCAGACTCGTTCATATCTATCAGAATACTATCACGAACACAATGTGGAGCTACTCCGTCTGTTGAACCGTCTGGGCCAACCGCTGCCCTCCTGGCTCCGACAAGACCTTCAGAGCACGAGCTGGAGCTGAGAGGGCTGTGAGGGCCTGGCTGTGAGGACCTGACTATAACAGCTTCTCACTGTTGTCACAGGCGCTGTGCGGGGAAAGACTCGCTTTCTGTGAGCAGTGCCCCCTGCTGGATGCTGTTGGCGCTAACCTTTTATATCTCAAATAGGAAAACATGGTTATTGAGCTGCTACTACTACTGTTGGACTCATTCAATGAGCATTTACTGGAAGAAAAGACATACGAACAGAAAAGGCCTTGTGTGCATATCAAATCATACTGAAGATAAACAGAAGATTGAGTCTCTTGACTCAAAAAAGTGCCATTTTCTCTAATGTTGACTACATGACTTCCCATTGCGGGGTCGGCTCTCCTGTTGCCGTTAGCTAAAGCCTTTTCACTAATCACCCGGCTGTCAAAACTAAAGTTTATCCCTTGAAATGCACTTGGTGGAAACATGCTTGTGCTGTTTGATGGAGCTGCCAAGCCACACGGATGTAAATATGAAATGAACGGTTGAATTGGCCCTTTTTGTACTGAGCCCAGATGCTCATGGAGTTCTAAAGCTTTTATACTTTTAATTCCCCATTTTTAAAATGCACCACTATTGTTTCCGTACATCAGTGAGTGAACCACAATAAACAAACTGATGACATTCATCTCTTGTGCGATTTTAAAGTTGTATTAATGTGTGTGCGGGCAAGAATGTTGTGTACGTGGCTATGTGACTGGGGCAACAAGAGATTCCCCCCAGAAGTTCTATTTGTGCTCAACAAGTCTTTGACATTTCATATAAAAACAGATAAGATGTCTAACAAAAAACATTTCAAACAGGTGTGTTCACTTCACAAGAATACAAAGCAATACTTCTGACCTTTTTATTACTATTTAAGTTTGGATGAGCCTCATTGCTAAAGTCTTGTTAATTTGGGCTCTTGCTCTAAAGCACTACATATCTGTGAGCCTAATGGCTGCTGTTAAATGCACTGAATCTTGTCCAGTATAAGGTCGGTGCAGCTGCTGTTAACTGAACTGTCTCCGCATCACATTGTCATTTCCATGTAAGGATTACTGTGACGTCCTTCTGCTGTTGTAAGAATACCAGCTGTGAAGTGACAGATTAGACCTTCTCTGGGCGTAAGATTATGAGTTATTTGATATTTTGACTGGAGTGTTCTTAAGAGGAAAATGTGCGTTGCACAAGAAATAAATTATGTAACCACATTCAACACTACAGTTTGACCATATGAATCGCAGAATTCATTCTGTTGTAGGCCTTCTTGCAACTGTTGTTTTCAAACAGTTTTAAAACAGAAGAAAGTTGGGAGTTGAAAAAAGATGTGGTAAACATTGTCTTTCTGAAGCCCCAGGAGACTCCATGCTTTGGAGTTTAAGTGCCTATGACAAGTATACTAAAGTATAGCGTGTATAAATGTGTTTTTTATTAATGATTATGTTGTCTTGGCTGTGATATGCGTCAATTTGATACTCTGCAGCCTGTGTTCACTGCTGCTAGACTCGGAAATGAATGTAAATATTAAGTACACTTTTTCTGATGCCATGTCATACATTGGGCTCATGGATGATTCTGTCACTAGTGTATCTCTGGACCGTTGCTATAGAAACTGGATGTGAGAGTGGGCGTGTCTATGGGTCTGATGCGCTTAGACCATGGCCTCTGTGGATGTCTGCTCTCTGGAGTTGAGGTGATGCTGCGCTATCCCCCGCCTCTACAGCTGTGCTCCGCTTGTTTTGGGCACCATCCAGGATTTGAAGAATTGCAGTCACATGTACCAGCGGATTATATCACATTCGTGTCCTCCTTCTGTATTGCTTCTAGTCTGCATCAATGTGGCCAGGCGCTTTGCTATAGCCGCTTGAACTGGTGGGAACGACCGCATCTTCAGACGCCCACAAGCCCATGCCAGAGGACGGTAAGGCTGATCAAGCGACGCAGCTTCCCTTCAAACAAAGGCAAGATCGACCCATCCATGAAACGAACATTTCAGATCAATGACAAGTCTATTCCTATTCGCATCTATCCACGTTTTTCTAACCGAAGTCAGGGAGCACTTGTAGCACCTGTAGCTGTAACGTCGAGGCCTGCTGCGGGTGCTGATACTTCATTAAACAAATGGCCACAGATGGAAATCTGAAAAAAAAAATCATATTTGCGAAGCGCCTTTAACAGAGGTTAAACTGATCCACATAACTACTATAGGGTTAAAACCTTTAATGAAAGAAAATATCTCGAGGCTAAGTTGTGTAGACTAAGCATTCGTTTTTAAGAATGTAAAATCTCTTTTGTATGGTAGGCTACAGTACACAACACAACTAGAGTACTTCCAGGCAAAACGACGCCTTCATGGTAACAATCAGTTCCCAGCAATAGTGGCAGCAGATCCCATTAAAAAAGTAAAAACTAACATGTTGTTTCTTGGACTAAATGTCATGTCTGTGTGACAGGTGTGCCATGGCTGACCACAGTGCTCAGGGAATAGCACTTTGTGAGCAGGAGTCTCTGTCCAAGGCAGCATCCATGCAAAGAGCCTCTGAAGATCACCATCTGAAGTGCTCTTCAGCCATCGAGGGGCAACAGGAGGCCCTGAGCAGAGACCATAATTGCAAGCTTTGCACTATTGACCGCCCAGACATGAGGCCACCAGGCCAGCGTCTAGCCACAGATGCCCCCTCATTGTCCTTGTTTGAAGATAGTGCAGCAAAGGACTTGTGCACATTAGTGCAGAGTTCATGCACACTTGTGGACAGCAACGCGCGAGCACCTCTGCTGGTGTGTAAAAGGCCCATGCAGCTGCAGCAGTGCAACATGGTCACGACTATTTGTCGAGGTGCATTAGGCTGTGATGGCACAGGCCCTCAGCTGTTTTACGGGTCTCTTGATCCACAGCGGGCTCACACCACTGTCAAAGAAGACTACGATGGTTCCCAATGTTATGACACTCATTTTCATCATACTAATATGGAGGACACCTTTGCTGCTTACTGCCACCCACAGCCCATTCCAGCCCCTTCACAGCTCCTGCCTCCTTTGACAGGTCCTGAAGTCCTGCCGCGCCTCATTTCATCATTGAGTGAGACTGGGCTAGATTCTAAACCCCCGTCCTGCAGCTGTCAGTTTGGCTGCTCTTGGATGCATGTGTTACCCCAGCCCCAGAGGGCATGCACTGTGCAGATGTCCACCCGTGACGTGGGAACACTAACGACCAGCAGGGGCCAAAGAGACATAGGTGTGCAGACAGAGGACAGTCATTCTCATGTATTCCCTCAAGTTTGTCTCACAGAAGAAACCCACAGAGAGTGTCAGAAAACAAGCCAAAATGCTGAACCAAAACCCAGCTCCAAGTCCCCTGTGAAGGAAGTCAAGTGGGATGCAGAGGGGATGACATGGGAAGTGTATGGGGCAGCTGTAGACCCAGAAGAATTGGGCTCGGCTATTCAGAAACACCTAGAAATGCAGATTAAAGAGACGGCCAATCGTGCTGCAAAACTTTCCCGTCAGAACACAAACACATCTAGACATAGTGGCTCGTGTCAGAGGAAGAGGAGGCTGCTGAGGTCTCTGGGGCCCCCCGCTTGTTGCATTCGCACTTCCACCGCTGTGGACTAATTGACATACCAAATAATGTGACTGCAGAATAGCAATTAACTTTATACTGATTGTTGTGTGGTTGTTTCTCTGCAAGCTTGACCATTTGATGACCATTAATGTCAGCAAGATGTATTACCTGTTACATTCTATGTATTTGTTTGAAAGAGACTGTGTGATATGTTAATGAACAGCTAGTTATGATTCTGTTCCACATTGTTTTTCACGTGAGTTTGAGTTACTTTATATTAAAAATTGAAATTATTTTTAAAATGTCCTCTAAAATCCTCATCAGCCTTGATGGAGATGTCTACTATTCTTTTATTTGTATAAGCACATTGATTCTAGAATATGATCTCTCCTGTTGAAATTGTGCCATGTTATGTATTTGTGTTCCTTAATTGCTAAAAGGGCTATGTGTCTGTGTACACATGAATATGAATGTTTGGAAATTGGGAACGTATAGCCTATTAAAATATTTCATGGAAAAATTCATTTGAGATGTTTGTTTCTAAAATTGAGAATAGACTGACCACACAAAGCAATGGCCAACAGCTCCATGACTGTCAAAAGTAAAATATATTTTTATAAATAAGTTTAGACAAAAGGTGACACCCTGTAACTTGTTGTCCACGATCTCTTATTAACAAATAACAGAAAAACAATGTAATAAAAATGTCGGGAGGTGTCTGAAAATGTGTAACAATTCCACTACTTAAGAGTTTAGTATCAACACATAATAATACTAATAATATATCAACACTAAAAAGCAGTACATAAAATGCATCAGAATTCAGCAAAACAAAATAACCTCCTTTTGTCCTTCCTTGTGCTTTAAACTGTAACTTTAATGATACTTCAAGAGTGGTGAAGTGAAATTTAACACATTTGAAAGATGTTGATGCCAAAAAGGTCAAGGAGGTATTTTTCAGATGCATAGTACGAACGTCAACCACGTGTGCGGACGTTGCCGTGTTGTGGGCGGGGTTTAAGTGTCATGGCGGCCGCTGCGAAGAACGTGCAAGAAATCCGTAATCGGGTGATTTTGGAAGAATTCGGTGTGAAAAATGTAAGTAGACCATGACAAACGTGTGACCCAGAAGCCGACAATGTAGCAGCGCTCAGGCTCATAAAAAACGACGCACAGTCACTTTGAGACGTATGGAGCCAGACATGTATCTCTTTGGAGGCAGACTCAATTTGATTATAGTCCGCCGGTTTGATTAAATGTGTTTGCTCCAGGTTCACACCACTGACTTTCCGGGAAACTATCCCGGCTACGACGACACGTGGGACTTCGGCAGGTTCCAAAAGGTGCGTCCCACAGACTGTAAATACTGACGTACACGTGGTTCAGCATTTCAAAACATTCATGGGTTCTTCGTTCTGCTGTATGCAACTTTCAAAATGTTGAATAGTAAAATACTACGTTGTGGGTTATTGTTGTGAGATTAAAGGAAATATAACTCATTTATTTATCTATTCTGAAAAGAATGATAAAAATCCTCGTTAATACAATAATACATTTAAATCTATGGTGGAAAAGGAGCAGATAAGAATGATCTGTTAACCCCATGATATGATCTGTATGTGAATGATTATTAGATTATATTATTTAACAGACAATGAACATATATACATGAATTTTCCTGGATGAAAAAGTTTGTCACCCTAAATTGTGTTACAATCCTATTGAATTTTAATCGTTTTATGACAAGATAAGAATCTTTTATTTGTCCCTCTGTGTGGAAATTTAAAAATCACAGTTGTGCACATTACAGCAGAATAGGAGAAATAAGAGCATGGATTGTCCATGCATTGTTTATTTTTTGATTGGATGAAAATCTTCAAAATCTTGTCTATAACAGTCAGCAGAAATCATGACGAGTTCTGTAAAGTATGCTTAATGCATTATTTTTTTTTTCAGAACTTCACCATCACATTGGTTCAACTGGACGAGAACAATATGGAGTTTGACATGGTTGGCATAGATGCAGCCATTGCCAACGCCTTTAGAAGAATCCTTTTGGCGGAGGTCTGCTTCATGAATTATGCCACAGTCCAACTTTTCTGATGTGGGGTATTGATTTGAACTGTTTCCAGGTCCCAACTATGGCTATAGAGAAGGTGTTTATCTACAACAATACGTCTATTGTTCAGGATGAGGTGCTGGCCCATAGACTTGGGCTCATACCTATCAGAGCAGACCCTCGCCTGTTTGAGTACAGGAACTCAGGTTTGTTTACACTCTTTCTAATATGTAAGATTTAAGCAATTCTCTTTTGAAGTTCATTTGCAATGAATGGCTGTGAATACTCCCATCCAAACTGCTCGACATACACTTGAGAGCCGCATTACTTCAAGAAATAAAATACATTTTCCTATACGGTCACAAACTTGATAACAACCATATGGAAATAAAATCATAAACTGTATTTTTTATTTTTGTGCCATCTGGAAAATGTCACTTAGTAATTTGGTGCTGTGACTTTGTATATCTTTTTTTTACCTTTAGGTGAGGAAACTGCTGCAGAGGAGGGCTCAGAAATTGATACAATCCAGCTTCAACTGAAGGTGAAATGCAGTCGAAACCCCAGGGCCAGCAAAGATTCTTCCGATCCCAGAGAGCTCTATCTGCACCACATGGGTATTTTTGGTTTTACTTTTTGTAGTTGTTGCAGGGTGTACAGTTTAAGTGATGACATAGAACAACCCTGGGCATTATGCAGGCATTATGCTGCCTTTATCATGTTTCTATACGGCCCGTGGCCCCTTCCCTTCTGTGAAATAGTGTTCTGCCCCATGTGCTACACTGAGGCTGAGTTTACACGGAGACAATGTGGCAGTAAAACGGTATAGTTGGATGTCGGTTTCTGCCAACCGTTCATACGAAGACTGTGTTCCAGGGGGGTCAAAACGTAAGTGTTCAGATCTAGCCTGCAAAGTGGGACAGCTCAGATACGCTGCACAGCAGGGAGCTCTTTCACACCCGCAAGAGGGAAAAAGGTGTGAAATCCCCCTCTGCTCTGACCCCCGCCTCCGCGCTGCTCCCCGCACGTAAATTTGGACATGCACAGTAGCGGAGAACAAACATAAACAACAATGGCGGCCGGTAAACTAACTAGCTTCGTGGGCTTCCAGCGCTACACAGAGGAAGATTCTACTCCTTCGTTCGTCCAAAGGAGACCATGCGAAGCTCTCGTTTCAGTTTTCATTTTCACAGCTGCTGTTAAAATGCAGAATGATGTTGGTGCATTCTGAAGGTCTGGCACAGGAAGTGAGTACACTGCCGAGAGGGGGGCTGGGCACGGGGCTGGGGGTCGTGTGAGTGTTGTAAAGTTTCTCTGCCCACTACTGGCTGGGCGCTAGAACTACATTGTTTTTCAACCTGATGTGAACCCTGAGAAATTTGCATTAGGAGCCAGGTCGTTTCTGTTAATAGCCTGGAAACGTCTGCGCAGCGTCTCAGTATAAACAGGGCCTGAAGCAGTCACACACATGGATCCTCCCCCTTGCCCCCCCCCTCCATCTCCTAAGTATTTTCTTTCCCTCAGTTTATTCTAGTGATCTAAAGTGGATGCCCATTGGAAACCAGGCAGACGTGTTTGCAGAAGCTGTTATTGGACCAGTGCATGATGATATTCTAATCGCACAGCTGAGACCAGGACAGGAGCTGGACGTTGTCATGCACTGTGTCAAAGGCATTGGTCAGTGTTCTCATTGCTTTAAAATGTGTGTCCAATGTCATCTCTGTAACATGTGATTGATGTGTAGGTAAAGACCATGCCAAGTTTTCGCCTGTGGCCACAGCCAGCTACAGACTGCTCCCAGAGATCACGTTGATGGAGCAGGTGGAGGGAGAGCAGGCAGAGCGACTCCAGCGCTGCTTTTCTCGCGGAGTCATCGGGCTAGAAGAGTGCAATGGTGAGTATAGGTTGTGTTTTTATAACTCGTTGTGTGATGTGTGAACATGAGGAAAATGACGGTGAGTGTTGATGGTAAAGAAGACACGACCAAAGATTTTACAGCATGCATGTGGTTTTAAACTATGGAGGAATCAAGGTCTCCTCCTCATATCTGACGGGGCCAGTGGTTATGCTATTTCGACCTTCAAATAACCAAAACATTGAAGTGAGAAATCACTGGCTCCTGCATACTTGCATAATGATGAGTTCAGCTTTAACAATAGTTGCTTCAAAAGTGTTTTAAAAGATCTATAAATAAAAAAAATATGATGTTGAACAAAATATTGGTTTTGTAAAGTGTTATTATGTGTGCTGTAATCTCAAAGGGGAGAAGGTTGCCAAAGTAGTGAACAGTCGCCTGGATACATGCAGCAGAGAGGTTCTCCGACATGAAGACTTGAAGAACTTTGTGAAACTTGGACGTGTTCGAGATCACTTTATCTGTATGTATATCAACAAAGTTTTATCTCGGTGGGTGGGTGGCATGAGAGTCATCACGGAGTTTACTAATACATGGTGCATACAGTTAGAGACAGACCCGCTCGTCACACCGTGCAAATAGGTCTTAAAATAGTGTTATTAAGATACGTCCTCTCTCCTCTTTTTTTAACCGACAGCTGTGACGGTCAACCACCGGTTAAACGGTCACCGATTTACATCCCTAGTAACGCCACTTACAGTCATAGTAGAAGCTCAGGGTGAAGACATATTATTATAGATCCATAGTGAAGACATATGTTCACAAGCACTGACCCCTATCCTCAGCCCTGGTTTGATCCTGGTTTAGCTGATGTTTTGGTTGTTTTTGAGCGTGAGTCCCCGTGATCACTTGCTCTCGGATGTGGAGGATGTTTGTTGCTGCGAAGACAGTTTTTAAGGCAGTTAGATCTATGCTTCAGAGGTCGCACATTTTGTTTGTTGTTGTTTTGGGAGCATACTGTGGCGTGCGAAAACCATAGACTGTATATATTAACGGACAGAATCACGCCTATCTCTGCCGTTCTAACTAATGGGCCAAAAAATATGCTCTACTGGAGCTATCCAAAATGGCCGCGAGTGGTCCCGCCCACAAGAAAATTGTGAAAAAACGCATCTGCGCATGCGTCAGCCGGCGCAGCTCCATTCATTTGAACGAGAGACTTCAAAAATTCACAGCAAGTAAACTTGAGTGGACCAAAAAAAATCACCCCTCTCAACATTGACACACATGTGGAACGGAGCTTTGGGCCAAGAGCCAACTTTTGCTCCATCCTGTAAAGACGTTTTCGAGAGGTCTGCCAATGATATATTTTAGAATTGGCTAATTCTTCTTCTGGGTCCACCCCCATCGGCCCGGGGTGGTATTACAAGCATGTCAGCGCACGTCATTTTGGCCACTTTTGAGCTGGGACCCGCCCCCACTGGCGAAATCGCAAAACTCCGGTCATCTCTGTCTACACACAAATGCATAAACAGATTTGTTTTTAAATGTAATGCGATCTACCAATACTACCTTTGCAATCGACTGGTAGATGAGCACCCCTGGTCCAAAGGGTGGTGACCAATGTCCAGACATGTTCATTAATATTCTGGATCATGCCTTGTCTTCATCTGTGTTTTAAATGTAAATGTGCTTTTCACATTTGTCTGATACCGGCAATTACCAAATGAGCTGTATATTCTGGGGCTGTATGCCTAAAGATTCTGAGAGTCCTCTCACAAAGCTCCTAACTTAACCAAATAACTCCTAGCTAGTCTTAGCTTACAAATTATTCCAGAACATTCTCATAGAACTCTGAGCAAGGAATGGACAAAAACTCCTATCTTAGTGCGGAGGCGTGGCCAACCCCGTTGCTAGGTATGAGTCATCCTTTCAGACGCTGTGATTGGTTGACCCTAAAAGTTAAATAAAACAACTTTTGATGATGATGGGCAAAATAAGGACCCTCAAATGGACAAACTTGGGACAAGTATCAAGGACACAAGCAGCAGTACAAATGGAAACAACCACCTAATAGACCAGGGAGATACAATGCAAAGCTTTGAACGCATCACCTTAAGCCTGGTTCACACGAGACGATTTTAAAATTGTCGGCCGATTTTTCTCCGTGTTAGACCCCACACGGGGAGATTAAAAATCCTGCGTCTAACCACTTTGGTCGTGCAGTGTGTGGTGCGTAGCCACACGGCAAGATCACGCAAGCCACAAACATCACACACGAACCGACACCCCCCTCCCCCGAGCATACCCAGGAAATCTCTCAAAATCTCTCGAGATCAAGCGTGACTTCGGGGTAAACAGTCATGGCGGACGAAGAGGATGCAGTGGCGATAGTGTGCAGTTTGTTATTAACAGAGAAGACACGTAATCCAAAGAAAAGGCAATGGTCAAAGCCATGCTGCTGTGTTTTGTTTTTTTTCCGGTGTTTCCTCACCGGCTTGTCACCTCGTCTTCTTATTGGCTACACGCCGTAGTCATGGCAACGCGCTCGCTTGTCCTCGGAGGACACCACACACGATGAGAAATCGGGCCAAAACAATCCAACATGTTGGATATCCCCGATTTGAGATCGGGAGCAGTCCCGATGTCCTTCCGAGCGACGAGTGCAGTCTTAACACACCACACACGGCAGGATAATCTGTAAGATTTTGTTACGGAAATCGGAGCGTTTCTTAAGATTGTCGTAAGGGGTAAATCGGGTCTAAATCGGCCTAAATATCCTGCCGTGTGAACCAGGCTTTACATGATTTTGGGAAAAGTACTTTTTAATTTGCACTTTGAGCTCCATTTGTGTCTGAAAGGTGCAATACACATACAGCTGCTATTATTATTATTATTATTATTAATAATAATAAGCTTAATCATGGAATCTAATCTTAGGTAGACTGTGTCATTGTAAAGAATGTTCCTTTTATAAAAGATGGATAGCTATGTCAATATAAAATGAGTGCTATGAATAGTAATAGAGATGCACCGATCCAGCTTTTTTACTACTGATACCGATACCGATACCAGAGCTATGGGTATCTGCCGATACCGATATTGACCGATACCGGAAATGATCATGCTAAAATGTATTTAATAATTGAACTCTTTGTTCAAGTAACTGCAAAAGCAGTGGATGAACTAAAGCGCTAAACTTTCCAGATAAAAATGGATTAAACATAAATGTGCAATACTGCAACTATAAAGAGCTGCTCAATGTTTACATTAAACATTCCAAAACTGTATTATACCTTATACATTTATTGAATATAAATGTACTTATATTAACTGTGTTTGAATAAAAAAACACAACAAACAAAACACGCTGCATGAAAATGTAAATAAATAATAGTACCGTAGCTTTAACTGGATTTCAGATGTATTTGGCGACGGCATGTACCTGGGTTCCAAATGGTCTATGGGGCTGCGAGCCCAAACTGATGAACTCCAACACTTTCGGGTTGTTGCTGAAAAGCTTTTTGTGATTTCACCACAGATAAGCTCTGACACAGATATGACTTTATGAAACACAGTATTTACTAAAATGAGACGTTTTTAATTCTATTTCATATGAAGATTTGGTATAATTAGGTACAGAACTGCTGCACATCACGCACTCAGAGACAGACGTGCACACACACACACACACACACAGACACGCATATGTACACACGCACACACAGACACATATGTACACACACAGAGGCAGACACACGCACACAGACGGACACATGTACAAACACACAGAGACAGGCACATACACGTACGCGCACAGAGATGTACCAAACAGAGACAGACGAGTACAGCCGCAGTCCCGCGGATCACAAAGCAAACTATCAAAGCGATGCTCTGAACTACATCATGGATCTATAATAATAACATGCACCACGTCTCTGAAGCCTCAGTGAACGCCACACGCTGCAGCCGCTTCGGGAGCAATCGTTACCGCACACGGCACCAACACACACATTAAAAACTAACTCGCACGCGCTTTGGAGCTTCCTCCAAACTTGTTTCATGTTGTTTTCTTTCATTGTGGCGCGGCTTTGCCCGACAGCTGCTTTACCAACAGCTATCGTAATGCATCATGGGATCACCCTGGGCTCAACCTCAGCTGACAGAGAACCTACAGCTTTCAGAAATATTGGATTTTGTGGGAATTTTAGTGTTCCTTGTCATCCTGAACTTGTTTTCTTCTTAAATCCTTCTGTTTTCTTTAAATCCACACTTTACTGCCACAAACTCTGCTCCTTTCCTTCCCGCTCTGCTGCTGCTCTTATGAGCAGCTCTAATTGGTCAAAGCGCAGCCGAGCCCCTCTGTGCGCGTACATGAAAGCCACACACGCGTATTTGGCACAACGCATCATGGGAGCTCGTCCACTGCGCAGAACCGGGAGGACCAGACGATGCCCAAAAATAGGCGAGTTCTGCTAATCTCCCAGTCTCGTGAAGTCCCATGCGCTACTGAGCACAAGCCATTCATTTGAATAGGGCACCATCTTGGATCCCCCGGGGCTTGGTCAATCAACACATTTAAATGGTAATCGGAGAACACATTATACATGCACATCATTTATACACGTGCACAGAGGTTTTCAGAATTATTTGTTAATGTTTTCATGACAAAAATAATGTTTTAATGCACACAAAAAGCGATCGCCGTAAACCCGGAAGTAGCTATTATCATGAATTGAACATTATAGGACACATCTGCAGAGGATCTGATTATGGATATAGGTTCAGTATATAAATGAGTAACTCAGCGCAGATGTTCAGAATTCTTTGTTCAGTGTTCATGAAGTTCCAGAGCCTATAAAGGCTTGATTCGGAGGTTCCGTGAAAATAAACAACTGAGCATTTGCTCAGCTACGAGCATGAGCGCCGATGATTGACAGCCCTTGGTATCACTTGATTGGTTAAAGTGGACGGCATCGTGGATTTTTAACTATAGCTAAGAGAAGGGAATGCGGGACTTATCCGTAATATTAGAATTCATAAAATGACTTATTTTTTATCAACATTTAAGGCCAGGAGGTCAATTTCATACAATTCTTATCATTTGTAATTCATTTTGAGTTACAGACTATCACTTTCTACTGTCAATAGTCATGAAAAGAATGGACAGGGGTTTCTCATTCAATGAGTTTCCTAACTTTTGGTCTGCATTGTATATTTAGCTTTAATGAATTATAATATGCCTCCATAACATTGATGTCCCCTGGCCCTGTGTGTAAATAATTGCCCACTTCTGATCTAGATTCTCAATAACTAGCTCTCAGTAGGTGCTTGATTCAACTGAGGATATCACACAGGATTTTAACGTTACCTCAAATATTTCTCCTTTTTGGTTTGAGATTACTGAAATAAACAATATTTTTACTAATATTTTCTTTCTTTTACAGTTACTGTTGAGTCAACTGGAATCCTCCCCCCTGACGTCCTTGTGACAGAGGCTATTAAAGTGCTCATGAGCAAGTGTCAAAGGTTTCTCAGTGAACTGGATTCCACAGAAATGGATTAATCAAAACAATTCCCTGAGTCTAGTTGGACAGTGCCTTTGGAGGATCCTCTCGGACTTACAACTTCTCTGGGCTCATGTGATCTCCAAATATGAGCCTAAAGAACTATGTCAAGAATTGTATTAGAGGATTTCATTGCCTGGTAAAAGAACTGAAATACCTGTTAACCAGTTTATTTTATTTGTACATTTTTGCTTGGTCAAAGTTTGAAATACCAACTGCATGATTCTGTGTAAATAAAAGGGTTAAACCCATACTTTCTCATTAGATAGAGAAGGTAAACTCAGTTTGTGGTTGACAATTGTAGGCAAAGCGTCAATATTACCATGTGACCAGGCATGCAGGCCTCCTTCAGAACAAACTTTGTAAGTTAAAATATTTTATGCCTTTTTATTCATTGCAATAAAAACTTGGTTTAATATATTTTGTTTTTATTTATTATTTTATGAATGGGTGTCCTGCATGGACAGTAAATTGAGTACTTGGAAGGTTGGACTATGAAAACTACTGAATGCAGATTTTGAGGCTTGACCAAAGTGTAAATTTATAATGGATTCACACAGCTCCATATATAGATAATTATCTTTATGATCTCTACACATATACGTCACTTCCGCCTCCTCCTTAACAAACCAAGATGGCGGCTATGGTTGAGAGAATTGATGAATGTGTTGGGTCGCTGGACTCTAATGCCGTGGTGTCCAGACAGTCGGGATCTCCTGCGGATCAGTCCCACCAAAATAACCCTCTACTAGGACTACCTATTGTGGCAATAGAGACGATCCTGAACTTTCTAACTTATGACGAAATCAGCCTGCTGCGCTCGGTATGTGACAAAAACAATCCAGCTGCAGGGACAAAGCTAATGCTAATTCTCTCCATGTTACATATAATACAGATGTACGGTACACCATATGTTAGGCAAATGAATGTGTACGCAGTGTGACTATGCGTCAGTGATCCACGTACTGAGAAGTGCGCTGTTCGCCAGAGCTGCTGACGATAATCCCGACCCAGTGGTCTCGGGATTACAGCACTGCTGTACTCAAATGTATACCAGTGGTTGGAAGCAGACTATTTTCCTATACAAAGTTTTATGAAACTGCTATGCGTGTCATATCGCCATCCGTGTCTGCTGACGCATACATTTGTGCTTATCCTTTATAAACAAAGTCGTTTTTTTGCGTGTCCTGTGTTAATCTGAAAGTGGCTGGTTGGAATTTGTCAATCTTTTATTGAATGTTTTGTATGTCTGTAGGTGTGTAAACGCCTGGACATGAACTGCCAGCGAGTACTGAACCAGGGCTTCTTGAAGGTGGAGAGATACCACAGTCTGTGCCAGAGGCAGGTCAAAGCACAGCTGCCCAGGTCAGTGCCTGCAGGCTCCCGGATGTCTGCACGACTTTATTTATTGACGATTAGTAGCCTAAGGGTCTCAGCAGTTCTGTTTTTGAGTTAGCATCAATAACGTACATAGTGAAATCAATCAGTAAGTATTAAATCTTATGAAAAGGTCATCTTACCGTTGCAGCTACTATAGAGTAGCATACAAGCATACCTCCAGACAGACCAGTGATTCCACAAGTGAGGAAGAATATTGAGTTTATTTGTAATTTAAAAAAATAAAATATTTAACCAGGAATTTTTTTTTTTTTTTTTTTTATTATTAATACAACTTTTGTGTAGAAACGTCGTGCCCGAAGGCATTGACGGCTGGTTTCTTAAATATTAAAACATAGTATCAAAAATCAGCCTATGCTTGATGTCCCATAATTTGTTTTTGAAATTGTCCAAGGTGGGACAGTCCCACAGCTCGGGAGATTTGTTTAATAGCTTTGTTAAAAATAGGAATGGAGATCGGTCCAATGCTTATACTTGAGCATTAGCTGGTTAAATATATAATCAAATTATCCACAGCTGCATCCTTGATTATTTGGCCAAATCAAGGAGCTGAGCTTCAGACAAAGTGAGGGCTTTGGTGGATTGCATTTGCAACAGCACTTGGTGAAGTGCAATCTGCCACAGATGACTAGGACGCATCTATATGTGTACCCATTTTAATCATAAAATGCTATTTACTTGCAGACGAGAGTCAGAAAGAAGGAACCATTCCTTGGCCCGTCATGCAGACATTCTTGCTGCTGTGGAGACTCGCCTCTCTCTTCTCAACATGACCTTCATGAAATATGTTGACTCTAATTTGTGCTGCTTCATACCCGGAAAGGTAAATTCTCAGTGTATGCAATTAAAATTATAGGCAGTGGTGGTTGGTGGGTGTGGGTGCAGGGTTGTAGCAATTATACTAAAAAAATTATATACATTTAGCTTGTCTTGTTTCCAACAGGTCATAGATGAGATATATCGTGTGCTGAGGTACGTAAACTCCACTCGTGCTCCTCAACGTGCACATGAGGTCCTACAGGAGCTGCGGGATATCTCCTCCATGGCAATGGAGTACTTTGATGAGAAAATTGTTCCCATCTTAAAGAAGAAGCTACCAGGAGCTGAACTTACTGGACGTATAATTGGTACTGTGCAAGGTAAATGATAAACAAAAAAATCATCTAATTTTCTATTATGTCTTCCAAGTTAATTGAGGTCATTCTAATATATTTTCCCCTTTTAGTGGCTGGTCCCTCCACCTCCTTGACCACTATGTCCCTTCTGGCCAAAAACACACCATCTCGCTCTGAGATGACCAAAGTACAACAACAGGTAAAGGTGAACGGTGCCTCAGTGACTGTTCTGCGCAGGGAGATGCAGGAGATCCGCGTGAAGCAGCTGGAGCAACAGAAGCAGCTGCAGGACCAGGAGCAAAAACTCCTGGAGCAGAGTCAGGTCATGGCCGAGCAGAATGCACGGCTTGCAGAGCTTGAACACAAGCTGAGAGAGCTCCTGGACAGTAGTGCAACTGCATTGGGAGGGTCCCAACCTGCCTCTGCTGCCCCCTCCACATCCACCTCCTCGCCTGCAGCTAATGTTGCCACTGTGATACTGGCAGGGAGCACCAGTGCCTCTGTGCCCAAAGACCAGGATAGACCCCACAAACGCATAAGGAAGAGCTCAGAGCTGACCCGACACTCAAAACGCCTGCGCAGCAAAAAATAATGAAAATAAATCTCTTGGACTGATCATTCAAGTACTCAACATACAAAGAAGCCCCCCTTTCATTGTGCACCTGTGACCTGAAGCCTCTACATCTTATGTGTGACACCAGTTGAGGGTCCCACATACTTATTTTCTGGACCACCTCTTGACGTTTTATAAGTGTGTGTTTTTGTTTTTTTTTATAAATTTGGATGAGAATGTCTGATTGGCCTTTTGCAATATATTTGCCATAAGTAGAGACATTCTACAAATCTGGTTTCAGCTGTGGCATTACTGCGCTGTTAACAACTTTAACCATTACTACTACTCCTCTATTTAGGGTGTTATGACACTTCCACGAAGGTAAGAGTTTTGAATTTAATTGCAGTGGTGGGCTATGACAAAATAACAGGCAAACAATCAAGCCTTTCTTGGACTAGTCTCCTGCCACTGTCTGAGCAGTAATATCATCTTCAGTTAACTCACCCATACAGCCAGGGTGTATTAAGACACAAACAAGCTCTTATTTTGAGCTTATTAACATAGAACTAGATTTTGCCAGCGTTTTGAAGAAAATTATGAGTGCGAACAAGGATGGTACTAAATCATGAAACTGCATGTCAACAAGTGAAAATGCCTTATGGCTATAATAGTCGCTCTGCATCATGTTCTCGTAAAACTACACACAATGGTAAACATTTAGAAACATGCAAATGTCCTATTTCCATATTTCATAATTTCTAAGCAAAACTACTGACGTGATAAATGCTATAAACAATGTGGATCCAGTATCTTCCCAAAGAAGAAACAAAACTTTGTTCAATACAACAGAATGAAATAAGGTCATACTGGTGACAGTTTGAATAAAGGCTGTCTGTATAAAACTACTCATCACAGTAATATGTCAGACTCTACCTGTGTGTTTATTTACGAGGGAAAAATATTTTCAATCTTATCTTTATTTAGAAAGTTTTATGGCATGATCATTGAAAAAGGGTGAGAACCAGTTAACAAAAACGTGTGAAAACACTCAGCAGTCAGATATAATCTAGTGTCTTATTTTGAGACTGCGTCTCAGTTTAGAAAACGTTACTGTAATCTCTAATTTAAACTGTAGATTGTGAATTATTTCATTTATGTATACCAAGAAGTATCTTCAAAGTTTGCCTTTTTGTGGCCAACTGTGGTTTTGTTGCACACTAATGTTAAAATGTACAAGTGAAAAATAAAATAAGTCAAACAACTTATTCTCTCTTGTCCATACTGTGTAGTTCAACACTTTGAGCCTTGATCACTGCAGAATGCATTATCTTAATCGGCCTGGCTCAGCCAGTCGTCTCTTTTGTTTAATGACAGCCAGTAGTATATTTTAACAAAGTTCACACAAAAATATTCCATAAATGTAACATTATCTTATACATACTTAAATATACATCATCTTAAATATACTGCTTCTTTATTCCTACCGCCTACGTGCGTGGCAAAACTGAAATAAGTTCTGAATAGGTTTATTTTTAATAAAATGTTCTCTCTTACACCTTGTTGTAATGAAAATGTAATGCAGTAGTATGAGAAAATAACTCACACTGAAACTGTAACTGAGGTCTTTAAAAAAACACTGGGCAGCTGTGATAAATAATCTAAACGCGCAGGCGCATCAGATATTGCATGTCGTCGCAACAGATCTCTAGAGCACAGTGGGCATGCGCAGTAACACACATAGGGCAGTGCAGTGAGTGCCGCAGAGATAGCGAAACTGTCCTTGTACGGTGCACGGTGGGGACGCCAGCCTAATTCTTTTGGCAATAAATACTTGCCCAGAATTGACAGGTCTACCTAAAGGCCATAACTACATACCGCCATGGGGAACCGTGTACCGCGCGAGGACTACGAATGGGTGTATACAGACCAGCCCCATGCCGACAGGAGGAAGCTGATATTGGGTAAGCTAGCGCTAGCTAGCTACTGTTAGCAAGTTTGACATAGATTGAAATGTATGAATGTTATGCAATTAGTACACTTTAATTATCTGCTATCTGTAACTGGAAGGGAAAGAATCTTGTAAAACAAACAAATGTTTAATTATGGTGAATAGTGTTGTCGGGGAGAAGTTACGTACTGCAAACATGGGCTAGTGTTAGTTAACGGGTTTACATAACACAGGACAGGTCAATGTGTTTTTCTGGTGTATCTCAGATTAAAGAACATAACATATCTCACACATACAATGGGACTGCTTTACTCACGAAATACTAGCGTTGAGGCTAATTTTAGGCTTTGGTACTGTATGTGAAATCTGGCGCAGTTAGCACGACTGCGCCACTCCCTGAAGCTCCTCGCACTCTTGCGCCTAACGGTTCTTGCCCCGACTTGCCAAAAGGATTTTCTATACATATAATCTCCAGGTTACAGTGCGTTGGGAATTTAATCTATCGTTACGATTGTAACATGACGATCCCTCGAGTTGAATTATTTACACTGCGGTGTGGTCTGGGTCTGCAGCTGTGTCTGGACTAGGGCTGGGATAAACGATTATTTTTTAAACGATTAATCTAGCGATTATTTTTTCGATGCATTGATTAATCTAACGATTATTTTTTTCGCTTTGATTCGATTTCGATTCGATTCTCGATTATCTCCCCATTAATTGACTAATATTGATGTATACATGTTGATTTTAAATATTTTAATGAAAAAAACATGAATTCCTTCACAAAATATTTATTGCTTGCTCTTAAAATTCAAAAATAAGACATTCTTAGAGGTAGCTTAAAGCCTTAAACACAGCTTACTGAAAAAAGTGCATCTTATCATTCTTGAAACAAACATTTGATGCTTAGCATTCAATAAAAATATGAAAAAGTTCAGCCAAATACTTGTAGAGCAACTAAAAGAAAACAGTAACCAATGTAAACTTGAAGGCTTTAAGCTAAACAAAGAGTGCTTTTCCAGCAAAAACAGTGGGAGCCATCAGCCTGTCATGGCGTCCTTCCTGAACCAACAGAGTTTAACATTTAAGTTGAAGACACATAGGCCTTAATTACTGAAGTCCATTAATTAAAGTGCATCTCTTAAATTCTTCATTCATATAAAAATAACAGTCAAAACTCTGCCACTCACCTTTTTATTAAACTCAAAATTCAAAAATAAAATTCAAGTAAGAGTGTACAAGAGAAAAACAATGCATTGTGTAGCAAATAAAAAGGTCAACCAGTCATCCTTTCTTTTAGAGTTACTGAGTATATGATACAGTAGAAGTCATCTCAGAGGACTTAAAACAACATTGAAGTCACAAACACAGATCAGAGAATCAATCAACAGTTAAACACATTAAGGATATTGAACACATGTTGAAAAATGTCCATATACGGCGGGCATGACAGTGAATAATACGGCTATTACGGCGCCAATATTCCGTTTGATACAAAGAAAGACAGACTAGTTGTAAGCTGTAGAGTTGCCACAGGACGCGTCATCAGCCTACGTCAGCAGCCGCGGACTGCTATGAAAACATTAGCTTTGTGGTTTCACATGCGCAGTTGACTGCTTAAACTAAACTTTGCACGAAACTTTTACTCTTAAAACCCACATGTGACAAAAAGGAACCAACCACATCTCGCCTCAAATTGCATTAAAAGTGACATTCGTATCTGAATTCGTTCGTATTTTAACTTTTAAAGAAATTCACGGTCCGCCATCTTGGTTTGCTTCGGCTGCCGCGAGACGCGCATGCGCAGGTTTGCATTACATCATAAACAGCTGAGGCTGTGCATCTCTTCAAGGCAGTGTATCTCAGCGTTACACCGGCTTGCACTTCTCTAACACGGCACCATGGATGTATTGCACGGCACCAAGCCCCGGCGATCCAAGATGGCGCCCTATTCAAATGAATGGTTGAGCTCAGTGGCGCTTTGTGACGGCATGGGGGCTGAAAGATTAGCGGAAGTTGCCTGAAACTCGCAAAGATCTATGGGAAACTCGCCTGTATTTGGGCATCGTCTGGTCCTCCCGGTTCTGCGCAGTGGATGATCTCCCACAATGCGTTGCGCCAAACACGCGTGTGTGGGTCTCACACCGGGTCTCACGCACGTGCACAGAGGGGCTCGGCCGCGCTCTGACCAATCAGAGCAGTTCATCAGAGCGGGAGTTAGAGCGAGAGCCAGAGGAGCAGAGTTTGTGGCACTAAAGTGTGGATTTAAACAAAACCGAAGGATTTAAGAAGAAAAAAAGTTCAGGATGACAAGGGACACTAAAATCCCCACAAAATCCGATCTTTATTAAAGCTGTAGGTTCTCTGTCAGCTGAGGTTGAGCTGTTTTAATATGCATTGAGTTCTATGGGGAAAATTTCTGGGTAGCCCACGTGAATTTAGTCTGGTTCAGTCTGCAGTACCGCGAGAATCCCCTGAGCACGTGAGCTATTCAGCTACCAAGCTAGTAATACCCTATCCAGTTAATATAATACATCCATGCACGGCACTCTCATTGCTACCGCTCGCCGCCATCTTTGTTTTGTGTGTGACGCACCGACGCGCATGTTATACGTCGGTGTATTTTTTGCGTCGACGTCACCGATTACGTTGACGCGTTGTCCCAGCCCTAGTCTGGACACGTACCATAGACCTGCAGATCTGCGACAGCCCACATCCTGGACAACTCATTTCATCACTTCCTCATGACACCATTCTGTTCATGGGCTTCAAGCTTAATGGCTAAATGCCACTCCACAGGACCATGTTATTCTTTCGTAATTACATAGTTTTCTAAGGTCTCAGATAGCATTCAATGTTAAGGCTAGTTGACTTAAGCTGAGGTCAGTTGGAGTAACCTACCTGTTGACTTTCCAACATTCTCCCTGTATCACTGAAGTGTAGGTAAGGTTGTGTTAACCACTAGGAACAACCCTGCTGACATGAACACGTGTTCACCGTTATCATGTGCTGACGCGATCACAATGACAGAATTCAGACACAGTGCGAAAATGTATTGAATATATCTTTAGACTAATAAAGAATAATTTACAACATGTCAGGGTGTAGGTGTTGTTATTCCTGTAATGAAGATGTCACTATTGAATGAAACCTGCCAACCCAAATGTGAGCTCATCACGGGCCATGGTACTGTCATATTGGATTATCTGCTTGAGAACCTGAATGAATTACAATGTTTTATTATTTTGATCTTTAAAAGTTAAAACATTTTAATGCAAACAGTTAAATGACTATGCTGTTTGGATGTCACTTTACTTTTTCTTTCCACAGCCAAATATCCAGAGATCAAGTCACTGATGGGCCCTGACCCAAGGCTCAAATGGATTGTGTGCATGATGGTGGCCATCCAGTTTCTAGCTTTCTATTTAGTCAAAGACCTGGACTGGAAGTGGGTGTTGTTCTGGACTTATACATTTGGAAGCTGTATCAACCACTCTATGACGTTGGCAATTCATGAAATATCTCATAACACAGCTTTTGGAAACACCAAGGCACTGTGGAATCGTTACTTTGCAATGTTTGCCAACCTGCCCATCGGCCTGCCATATTCAGCCTCCTTCAAGCGCTACCACCTTGACCATCACCGTTACTTGGGTGGAGATGGGGTGGATGTGGACATCCCCACAGATTTCGAAGGCTGGTTCTTCTGCACACGCTTACGCAAGCTCATCTGGATTATTCTGCAGCCACTTTTTTATGCCTTCCGGCCACTGTGCATCAACCCAAAGCCAATCTCTCAGCTTGAGCTCACCAATGTGCTGATCCAAACCAGTTTCAATGTTCTGCTGTTTTGGCTGTGGGGGGCCAAGCCTGTGGTCTACATGCTGGCAGGCTCCTTGTTGGGGATGGGCTTGCACCCTATCTCTGGTCACTTCATTGCAGAACACTACATGTTCCTTAAAGGCCATGAGACATACTCCTACTATGGGTCACTCAACCTACTGACCTTCAATGTGGGCTACCATAATGAGCACCACGACTTCCCAAGTATCCCTGGATGCAGGCTGCCCATGGTAAGTTTATTCTGACCCTAGATGTCATTGATCCTCTGAATACATACATATCAAATGCACAGTACCTTTTGTGTACAGACCACATATTAAGGCAAAAGGCATGACACTATTTGACTAATGCTGCTTACGTTCCAGGTGAAGAAGATTGCTGCAGAGTACTACGAGGATCTGCCCCAATATACATCATGGGTCAGAGTTCTGTATGACTTCATCATGGATGACACGCTAAGTCCATACTCGCGTGTCAAGAGAAAGCTCAAAGGAGACGTGAAGCAGGAGTGAACAGATCTACCGGCCTTTTGTCCCAAAACGGTGGTCCTCAAATCAAGTGCCTCCAAAGAATATTTTGTCCTGTCGCTTCTTGGTTTAAAATAGGGCGAGAACAATGAATTCATAGTATCTAAATTAGGATGAGCCCATTGAGGCATATTAATGGGATTATATCATTCCAATAAAAATTAGGAAAGGAATCCATGTACTGTATCAACGTTTGAGATAAATGTCCTGTTACAGCAGGCTGAAAATCTAATTTTCCACTGGCACTTTAATGACCTGTTCTGACTGCGAAACTGCATGAAGCAGAATATTTTTGACATACTGGCCTTACCAATGTTCAGAAATTGGAATGCATTTGCCTCACTAATAAAAGTGTAGTTTCTTGATTGGATCTGTGTATACTAACCAAACGGTGAACTTTGAACATATATCGCCTCTGCTCCTCTGAGTGGAATCAGGATCCTGGTCAAAGCAGAGTTGTTGCACCTTTTGCTGATAGTTTGAGTTTCTCCTGAACCGTTGAGCGTTCAGTTCCTGATTAAGTGCCTTCCTTTTAAATATTGTATGAAATCTGTTTTCTTGTTCAGAGGCATAAGGCTATTGCCAGTCTTTTAAGTATTCAAATAACTTTGCTTACTACTGTTGTCACTGAACAAACTTGTGTTGGATAAAGATATTTCATGAAAATAAACCTACATTTCTATCATTTCCATGTGCTTTGTCCCTGAAAGTGTGCACTTTATAAAGATCAAGATCCTTTACGACCTCAACCTGTTGCATTAATAATGCATTCACCAATGCACTGGGAACAAGAGGAAATTTCCTTTTGTTTGCAAAAAGTGCACATGAACAATTGCACTGTAAGGTACACAGTAACTTTAGAATTTATTTATTACAGGGACAGTGCATATTAATGAACATTTCTGTAAATATGCAAGAATTAGCTAAGTGGCTATTTTTCATCTGATGTCAGTGTCTCCTTAAAGAATAACGAATACATGGCACCAAGAGCGATTTCTATTGACAAAAGGTCTTTATTTTTGCAGGACGAAACAGCCCACAAAACTATGTCACTAATAACATTGTAATGGTGAAGTAGACTTGACTTTAAAAAAAAATATATAAATCAGCCTTGCTGAAAGTATGTATAACCGCTTCATATCAAATAGTCTATAGCATTACAGCTGGGTTTATTTAATAAGTCCTGATAGAGTGGTGAAACTGACTATTCCTGGATATGTTACGGTTTACTTCAGGTAAAAAAAACAATAGTTGTGTGTTGCGGAGAAGGTGTTAGTCACCGTTCTGCTACGAGGTGCTGAGAGACTTCTGGAGCTGCTCGTACATCTGTCGGTCCTGAAGACGACAGCAGTGGAAGGAATTTGATTGGAAAAACACTCAGATTACACATGCATCACATCAGAAAAACACAAACCTTTTTTGACACAGACGGTCGAACTTTCTTGAATGCGGTCTCAAAATTCTGTTTATTGACTTTGATGTTTGCCACACATTCTTGACCTGAGAACAGATTGGCATAAGATAACACAAACTGATCCTGTGGTGCATTGTCCCGATTTAGGACAAATCAGGGAACCTTTTGTTTACATCAACTATGAACTACTTCAAGTTTACTGAAGTAACTAAAAAGCCTATCTATACATACCTTCCCCAGTCGCTGAAAGTCTATTGGCCTTAAAGTAGGCACTGAGAGCACTGACCGAAGCCTCTCTTACTAAAGCAGTAAGGTCTGCACCACTAGAACACACACATGACTTTTATTTATGTTTATTATGTCTTAAAATGCATTAATTACTACTTTAACACACTCACGTGAAGCAGTCACTGCGCTCATCAAATGCAATTTCCTCCAGACTGACGTCCTGGTCCAGCTGAGGGCGGGTCCCCCCCTGAAACCACAATCCCTGAAATGACTCTTTAACAAGGACAGGTTTTAAAATTTATATATTTTTACTGTACCTTGGTCACAGTGAGGAGAATTGCATGTCGATCAGCCGCTGGTGGCAACCCCACAAACAAAGTTTTATCAAGACGACCAGGTCTGAGTATGGCTGGGTCAATGATATCTTAAAACCAAACAAACAAGATCTAGGTCTAGATTAGGTCTCTCAGTATAAATGGCAATCAAAATGAAACTCACCGGGTCGATTGGTGGCAGCCATGATGTAAACTTGCCGACGTGTTTCCATACCATCCATCTCTGTTAGCAGCTGGTTAACCACACGTACACTGGCTCCTGACTAAGTACAAATATATGTTTTAAATTCTGGGCTCCATTAGTAATGGCGGGATTGGAACATCTGAAACAATCAAGTTTACAACAACGTACTCAACAAGAAACGCACTTGTAGAGCTCAGAATGGAGCTAGACATTTCTGGGTCATTCACAATACAATTTGCGATACATGGTTCACAATATGACAATACAGCACCTATTGATATATTGCTCATATAATAGTCAATGATCTACATCGACCACTGCTCCTGACAAAGGTGGCATTGCAGGATGGGTCAAATGCAGACAACAAATTTCCCTACGGGGACAATGAAATCACATTTACACATATTATATGGCTCACCCAAGCTTTATTTGAAGATAATGTGCTTATTATAGTGCTCGACCCCCACTCATGTACATACAACAAAATAATCCAGAATATATAGAAATTATAAACAAATATTCTGAAAATCATTTGCGACCCTTAGCTAGTTTCCTACCCATAGGCTCATTTTGAAGAAGACCACATGGACCAGCTTATCCAGTGTTTTTTCTGTGCAAGTTTGGATTATTGGGCTTTTGCATATATGGCTAGTTTTGTTATTTGTGTTTTACATTATGGATGTAGTTTGACCACATTACTTACTTTGAACACAGGCTTGGATTCTTTTTAGCAGTCCTTTTTCTGAACACAATGTGTGCTTGGATTGAGACAGAACTGTAGAACCAAGCTGATTGGCTGATTTACAAATGTACATTAAAATGGTATTGCCAATTGCCATTTGGATTCTAACTTTGGAGTGAAATAAATAATTGAAAAAAAAAGTTCCTGAGAATAAAGCTTCAAAATGAGGTATAACATGGCTGGGTAGCTCATACTAAGACTTAATTGACCATTGACTTCTACAGGTCTTAATCCCTAAACCTTAATTATAGTTTCTCTTAATTTACTTAATCACGCCACACTATCATAAGATGATGAATGAATGTGTGAGTCTTTCAGCTGTTACATGATAAATATTGCCTTGAGTAATAAAAAAATGTTTATACAAGGATACAGAACCCATTCACCATTTTCCAGTGAACACACAAAGCAATGCAGTAATGAATGTGTACCTCGTGTCCAGAACGGCGAGGGCACAATGCATCAATCTCGTCAAAAAAGATGACACATGGAGCAGAATTGTGTCCTCTCTGGAAGACCTGTCTGACAGCACGCTCGCTCTCTCCCACATACTGCACAGAGAGAACCTCTTGAGCCACAGAACTCACACACAGGCACACACACATCTCCCATCACAGAGCACCACGGCTGAAATTGTTGGCACTTTGTGCGTCTATGCGAGGCTTCTCAGGCTGCATGTGTGGCGTGGGAATTCAGACCATTTCATTTTATTTGTGTTCTTCACAAAGTCTAACCGCCACGCCAAGGGGAGTGTGATGCTAAAGTACAAACCAGCCAACAGAGCGCATACACAGCACCAGGACTCACCATGTTCAGCAGCTCTGGACCCTTCACAGAGATAAAGTTTAGACCCGACTCATTGGCCACAGCCTGTGCAGGAAGAGCAGAAGAGCAGTTAAACTACTGTACTTCCCGGACGATAAGGCGCACCTGCATACTTTTTAAAAGAAAAAAATGATGTCCACATATAAGCTGCACTTGAATTCGAGCTACAGGATTTCATGATGTAATGTAGCAGATAGACGACTGGTTTAACTGGTCACAACATAATTAAATGACAAAGTGTTTACCAGCTTACCCATTAGCTTCCATGACTCATTCACCAGTCTATTTATAAACGAGTGACTAGAGTATGGGACTAGAGTCCATATACTCTGCTCTGACAACTCTACCACAATAATAATAATACACATATCAGCAAACTCTCTGTTCACAAAAACAACCATGTTATGCAGAGGTTTTACCTTAGCAAGTAATGTCTTCCCACATCCTGGTGGCCCAGCCAACAGAACTCCTGAGGGAGCAGCAAGACCCAAGGCTTTAAACTGTTCTGGGGAGCGAACAGGGGCCTGTATACACACAACAACCAAGTGTGTAAGGACCAGTACATAGAGCACACTCCACGGATCATATCAGGTATAGGTAGAAATCTGATTTCCCATTGGGATTATCTGCCTGATAAATATTAATACCAATAATGTGCTCATCCTGTGCATTTTCATGTACAACAGTTCTCAAGTCTTATAACCTTTATAAAGCTATTTTCATGCAAACCATGGAACACAACTTCAGTCTTTGTTAGCTAACTGTATAAAGAATAAGCACTCCCAGCTACCAAAGCATTACAGTAAACCATTCAAACAAATCTAAGCATCAAGCTAGGGAGAGAACTAAATGTAGTAATAGTCACAAAATGTATCTCACCAGTATGGCCATGGTGAGCTCCTCCCGGACATCCCTCAATGCCCCAATGTCGTCCCATGTCACGTCTGGGACAGTAGCGAAGCCCTCTCTTTTGGCTGAGGGCTGCACACTGGACAGTGAAGTCTTGAAGTCCGACATGAGAATGGACAATCCAGACAACTCCTCCGCTGACAACACCTTTGAGTCCTTTAAGAGATTCAGTAAACAGCCGAGCTCTCCCTGCGAGCAACAATGATTATACATTAGACCAGTTTGTTCTCAGTCAAGCACTAAGGCATCTGTGCATCCGACTTCATCTTTGTTTATATAGCACACTCAGAATTAGAGCGCATTCACAAGCGTTGCTCTGGTTCGGACCACGCCTGGTTCTGGTTCGGACCACGTCTGGTTCACTTGGGACAAAAAAGATCGATTTATGTATTCAAACCACCTAACAGTCACTTTACAGTTTGCATTTTACCCCAAGTCTCCAGTTTAAGCGAACCGGACCAACAAGTGCCATTAGACTGCTGCCCCCATAACCAAGCAACAGAAAAATCAGAAGAAAATGGATGTATGCACTTGTACGGTCAAATAACATGATAATTAATGTGATAAAAATGTGTCTTTAATTATTCTTAAACCTTCATTAGCCTTTTTTAAGTGTTAATGAAATAATGAATGTGGCTTTTGATTTTGGTATATACTAGTATATACTTAACCCTCAAATATTTATCTACCTGAGCATGTGCAGATTCGGCATTAGGCATCGAGGTGTCCATGGAACACTCCACTGTCTCCTGATTGTGGTCTGTTGAGGCCTCCTTGGTTGGAGACTTTGAACGGGTGTCCAGAAGAGCTCTGTTGACAGCGCACATGGCTGCTTCTCGACAGAGTGCCATCAGGTCAGCACCCACATACCCTGGAGTCAGCCGAGCCATCTGCCCATAGTCTATGTCCTCCGAAAGCTTCAGCTTTCGGCACAATGTCTTCAGAATTCTGGAGCACAAAACATTGCTGATGCTGACCAATCCATCAAGTACATTGTAAGAATTTTAGTTTAAAAGGGAACATTAAAAACCTTTTTGTCCAACTCACTTGGTTTTTCTAAACATATTTTAGTGTGTATGCTGCTGGAGTAGCACCTAACCTGAGGCGGGCAGATACATCTGGGATGCCGAGGCAGATCTCTCTGTCAAAGCGGCCCGCTCTGCGCAGTGCAGGGTCCAGAGAGTCTGGCCGATTAGTTGCCCCAATCACCATTATCTGGGTTGTTACATTCAAACTGTTCAGGTCTGTGCACAAGGACAAAAAACATTATGTTAAATCTGCAGATCTTCATGTCTTCATGAATGTACCATCCATGCAGGTGAGGAGCTGAGCCACAATCCTCCTCTCCATGTCTTTGGAGGCAATCTCCCTCTTGGGGGTAATTGCATCAATCTCATCAATGAAGAGGATACACGGAGAAGAGCTCTGTGTGAAACCACACAAGCAGAGTTTAAATCAGATTTCATAACCCTCATTACTTTTTGAATATTTTGGAGATGATGTACTGACCACTGCAGTGTCGAATAGCTCTCTTAGTTTCTGTTCAGACTCTCCTGATACTCCCGACACCAGCTCTGGAGCAGACACTTTCAGCAGGGGCAGCCCCAGTTCCTGGTGTTTTAATGAGTTACTAACATCTGCTTTGGGTGCTTTATTTTCCTGCTAAAAGAAAGTTATGGTTTACTCACGCCAGCAACTGCTTGGGCCAGAAGAGTCTTTCCACAGCCTGGGGGCCCATGGAGCAGGAAGCCCCTGGGAGGAACCATTCCCAACTGCTGGTACACCTCTGGGTGTCGCATGTGAAGAAGCAGCTTACACACATCCTGTGAAGGGAAAATACAAACAGCTACTTAAAGCCGTTTACACAACTATCCTACATGGTTTTATCTAAATTGTGATTTTCCGTGGGATTGCCTGCAGTATAGTATTCAATCAAACTAGAAACGCACTTGTAGAGCGTAAACCTTCGCCTATAGGTGCTATTCCAGTTTTATTTTTTGAATGCTGTGAATCAGAGGCAGAAAGCATGTGATTGTTACATCTGTGGAGAGGTGATTCTTCTCACTATAAGAGCCTAAAACATCCATAATTGAAGAATGTACATGTTTTAAAATATTATCAGAGACATTCGAAAAACAATAACAAATCTATAGCAACAACCAGATCGCGACCCCCGTCAGAACACATAGGACTTTCAAAAAGGGATTATACATTCTTACAGTCTGAAGTTTATGTGGCGGCCCTCACTTTCACACCTCAACAATTTCTTTTACAGGTTTCAGACTTTACATAAACAAATCTGATTTAAGTGTGTGAGCTTTTTGAATACAATCCCTGATCACAAAGGGGTGGGGAGGCAAACATTTCAGCGATAATTAAATTACACAGACACGTGTAAAAGAAACTCACCTTTAATGTTTCTTCATTTCCTCCTACATCCTCAAACGTCATTGTCGGATATTGCAGTTCTAGATTTTTATTTGCTAAACAGAGACAGGAGTAAGGAACGCATTTGTTGAGAACCCCTTAAATTTGGGAAGAATACCTTTTTTATTCACTTTTCGAGAGTCGTCTGATTCATTCACCGCATTTGCCCTCCTCTTGGATTTCTTCTGAGATTTTCCAGAAATGGTGTTCTAGTCACAAACCAAAAAGGGGTATACTACAGAAATGTACTCTTCAAATCATCACATTTATCTCCATTACGCCTCAAATTGCTCTCGTTTAAACATCCAGGGGAAAAGGCTACAGACTTGCAGCTCACCTGAGCAGCAGCAGCGGGCTCATCATCGCAGAGGTCAATGAGTGGAGCGCCGTCGTTGGGGGATCTGTCGATGAACCAGCTCTGGCTCGTGGTTGGGGGGACAGAACTGCTCCTCTGGGCCGCGGTGCTGTCCGTGCCTTTTCTGTACAGACTGGTCAGAGAGCTGTTCATGTGGTTGGTGGGCTGAGGGAAAGGACAGAACCCTCAATTATACAGTGCATCCAGAAAGTATTCACATTTATTCACATTTTTTCACATTTTGTTATGTTGCAGCCTTATTCCAAAATGGATTCAATTGATTTTTTCCCCCTCAAAATTCTGCCAGTAGACCTCCGAAACAGGATTGTCTCGAGGCACAAGTCTGGGGAAGGGTACAGAAACATTTCTGCTGCTTTGAAGGTCCCAAAGAGCACAGTGGCCTCCATCATCCGTAAATGGAAGAAGTTTGGAACCACCAGGACTCTTCCTAGAGCTGGCCGGCCATCTAAACTGAGCGATCGGGGGAGAAGGGCCTTAGTCAGGGAGGTGACCAAGAACCCGATGGTCACTTTGTCAGAGCTCCAGCGTTCCTCTGTGGAGAGAGGAGAACCTTCCAGAAGGACAACCATCTCTGCAGAAATCCACAAATCAGGCCTGTATGGTAGATTGGCCAGACGGAAGCCGCTCCTTAGTTTGGAGTTTGCCAAAAGGCACCTGAAGGACTCTCAGACCATGAGTAAAAAAATTCTCTGGTCTGATTAGACAAAGGTGGTGGTAGCATCATGCTGTGGGGATGTTTTTCAGCGGCAGAAACTGGGAGACTAGTCAAGATGATAGAGGGAAAGATGAATGCAGCAATGTACAGAGACATCCTGGATGAAAACCTGATCCAGAGCGCTCTTGACCTCAGACTGGGGCGACGGTTCATCTTTCAGCAGGACAACAACCCTAAGCACACAGCCAAGATAACAAAAAAGTGGCTTCAGGACAACTCTGTGAATGTCCTTGAGTGGCCCAGCCAGAGCCCGAACTTGAATCCAATTTAACATCTCTGGAGAGATCTGAAAATGGCTGTGCACCGACACTCCCCATCCAACTTGAAGGAGCTTGAGAGGTGCTGCAAGAGGAATGGGCAAAACTGCCCAAAGACAGGTGTGCCAAGCTTGTGGCATCATATTCAAAAAGACTTGAGGCTGTAATTGCTGCCAAAGGTGCATCAACAAAGTATAAGCAAAGGCTGTGAATACTTAAGTACATGTGGTTTCTTAGTTTTTTATTTTTAATAAAATTTGCAAGAATTGCAAAAAATAAATTTGGAATAAGGCTGTAACATAACAAAATGTGGAAAAAGTTAAGCGCTGTGAATATTTTCCGGATGCACTGTAAAACACTTTATAGAACAAGTATTGTGAATTATTTAAAATGACTACGAGACTAGTTGCTTTATCCTTTTGTGTTTTAGAATATGAAATAATATCTTAAGTACAAAATATGAAGCTAAAGGAGTATAAAAACATCTGTAACTCCACCAGAGAGTTGAATATGTTGGGTTTTCATTTTCAAATTTGAAAATTACCTGAGGCAAACACACTGAAAGTTCTAGTGGCACAATGACATCATACCATAACAGGACTGAGATAGGAGCTTTTAGACAGAGTTACAGGTTTGAGCCAGAAGTGATATTGGCGTGGATGGTACCAAAAACAACTCCAGGTCAGTGATAGATGAGGAACAATGTTGTGACATGGTTAAAACCTCAAAAAAATTCGATTTGCAACATATGTTTGTTTCTTTTTACCAAAAGGTTTTATGGCAAAGTTCTCCCTCATCTATGAAACAATAATAATATAGATTTAGCATTTCCATCGATAAGCCATAACTCCTTCTTACCACATTCCCCAGGATGCAGTCATCGTCCTCGTCACTGCCAGACGACAGGTTGGACCCCTCTCTGTAGACAAAGACAGTTACACCCAGCACCTTGAGGATTATTTTAAATATAAGTGCAAGTAAAACAATTATTATCCATGACCAGGTCTTACCCAGTGTCGCTCTGGCTGTGTTTGGCTTTTTTTGCCAAGTGCTTGCTCTCCAGTTCATTCAGATCTGAATCTTGTGTAATAGACTGGTACACTGCAGAGCACAGAGCAATGCCATAATGATCTGAATATGAACTACTTTGGTCTTAATCACATCACCACTAGATCAAACAAATGACCTAAGTACTTTAAACCATTACCCCTGTCCACCTGTATCCTGAAGGCTGTCTTATTTCTTCTGCCATAGTCCAGTCTTTGAGAAGAAACATAGAAAAGAGGAGATGGTCATATTGAAGCTGGGGTGCTTAGATACAATACAATACAATTTATTCTTGTATAGCCCTAAATCACAGCAGTAGTCATCTCAGAGGACTTAACCATTGAGATCGCCAACACAGATCAGAGAATCAACAGTCAAGACATAAAAAGAATATAGAAAACATGTTGATAAAAGTCCACACATGTTGTAGAATGTTAAAGTGTCCTGGATCATCACAGTCACTAACTGTCCAACAGACCCTTCTGCATCGGCATGGAAAAACTCACAAAAACCCAGTGGGAAAAAATAATACATGTATAAAAATGACACATGTTTATCCAACAGAAAGTCTTGTAAAAGTTACATTTTGTGATAAAATCCAGTGACAACATGCTGTCTTAATGAAAACATGTCTCTTGCATACTTACAGGACTTTTCTGTCCTGTAAAGCTGATTGAAATACAGTATGTGGACAAAAAGAACATTAATGGTAAAACTAGTGAGAAAACCAAAACTGTTTTTAGAACCAAGGACAAGTTACACAGGTTTTAGAACATAGATCTATTGTGTGTAGTTTGGAAGTTGGATAATCTTTATGTAAGAAACAATTACGTATTTGATTATGTTATTCAGTTTACGCATGTGTTTGGCTTTGCCGTAGGAAAAGTGTAACTCCCTAGATTAAGCAAAGACAAGCTTGATTAACAATCTGTATGACTGTAATGATGTATGTAATGATTACTGAGAAGAGTACATCAGATACCTCATTAACATGACAAGTGAGAGGTGTGTGTGTCTGAAAGACCCAGCCCTGGAATCTTCTCTCCAAGATGATTATGAGTAATTACAAGTGAGGGGTTTTCAGCTCTGCCATTTTAGGGGAAAATATGTCTACCTAATCAAAGATGTGTAAACTTGCCTGTACAGTTTCTGCAATTCCTCAGCCACTTCAGATATATCCACATATTGGCTGTTGATGGACGCCAAGTGCTAAAAGATTTGGGGAAATTTCAGTGTTGCATCACAAGTTACATAGTTAAGAAAAATTATGTTCACTCTAGAGAAAGCGATACATACATGTATGTATGTATATATCTGTATCTGTAATACACTAATTGGCACAATAGTCAACTCTGATGGTTGAATGATAACTGCTGCTAAAACAGAATTATTGTTGTGATATAGAACATGGCCCATCATATGTTATGTATAAAAGGATCATAGAAGAATATTTCACCTGCTGCAGCCGGTGTCTGAGCCGCGGGTCCACTCCTCCTCCTCCTCCTCCTCCTCCTCCTCTGTTCTTCATGGTGCAGATGTGTCCAAAAGTTGCACGCTGTGATTAAAAGAGACAACACCAAGGTCCTGCTGAAGCATGGCTCTTTAGCACGAATAATGTGGCACCCTCTATTATCACACAGGTTATAAAGTATCACCCTCAGAAGAAACACGTGTGAATGACAAGAACATAAACAACCCACAACAGTATCGTGTGTGGCCAGAATACTGTGAAAAGAAAACAAGTAAAAACCTGGTCCGATCTGCAGCACCCACCTGGAGCTGGCAGAGCCTTCACAGAGAGTTTAGTGCAGGTTTACACATAAGAAACACATCCATGAGGTTCACAGAGCCACGCAGCAGCAACACAGCGTCACAACGTCAAAGACACGGAAACAGTCACCACTTCATCCAGGTCATGGATCTTCTTCTGCTGTCTGTTGACAAACAGCGCCACCATCAGGGTTTGTTTGGACGCAATATTTCCTCGTTGATTCTTTTGAATAAACGAACATTAATTATAATGGAAGAGTGGATTATTTCAGTTTCTGTCTGTGTATTACTAATCTATGATAAAATCGTGAGAGTGGATTAGTGTAGTTCCAGTGGTGAAGGGGCGGCCCGGTGGGCGGAGTTAGGGGCGGAGCTAGGGGCGGAGCTAGGGGCAGCCTCCTCTATGTTTCGCGCGAAACTTCCATATTTGTTCCTGTGAGAGAAGTGCACTCACTCAGACCGGTGTCTGCTGCTGTGGAAGAGAGATCAATCAGCCGTCTGTCCGTCGCCGTCATGTCTCAAGCTCGAGTCACAGACTTCTTTGCACAAAGAAAGAAATGCGCAGGTCCGACTAAAGCGAAGCTCCGCAGCAGCAGAGCACCCTCCGTCTCGGACCAAGACTTCCACTCTTCTGTCCACAAAGAGTTCGTCCGAGTAATCGACGAAGCTGCGGGACTGGAGCCCTGTGCTGCGGAGCAGGGCAGTCCCCACACTCCCAACAGGACTTCTGAGGACGTTCAGTTTGATCTCGGAGCTGCAGTTTTCTCCGCCACAACAGACCACAGCACTGCGAAAAAAAGCCGACCTGCAGATCATAAACCCCCCAGGAGGACCGCCAGGAAGAGGCTGCAGCTCCCACAGGTACAAACTCCGGTTCCGATCAAAAACACACCAAGTACTTTATGCCGAGATACTGGGTCCAAGCTGTAAGAACTCGTCTTGAGTTAGGATATCTTAACAATTTGTTTACTCAACCTGTGTCCAGCATCCAGCACCAAATCACAAAGAAAGGATCCGGTCACCCTCTCCCCAACAGAGCTGCCAGGACTCTGGTAAACAAGCCAGCACGGCCCCCAGAGCAAGCGGAAGCAAGGTGTGATTCAATACCTCCACTTTGTGTTTTCCTTTTATTCAGTTGTCTCACTGTGTATTTAATCTATTTTAATATATAGATTAAGCTGACCTGAAATACTTTATACATGTGCCTATACACATGTATAAAACCGAACTTTCCCCACTGAGGGACGAATAAAGGACCTTCTTCTTTTTAGGGCCTGTCACACGAGGAACTGTCTGCACTCAAGGCTCGCCTGCAGGGGATCAAGAAACTGGCAGGGACCCTAAGCACATCAGCTCCAACCCCAGAGCCCGCTGCTTCCCCACAACCCTCTGTCAAAACTATATCTCTGACCTCAGCTGAGGCTACGGCCTCCCCTCAGCCTTCGTCCCAAGACAAGGAGCTCAAGAAGACACTCAACCGGGCTAAGGAGCTAGCAGCAAAAGCCCAGAAGAGGAAAGTGGTTAGCAAGGATAGTGAGCCTGCAGAAACACAAAGGTGAGTCCTGCAACAGAGTGCAAAGTATAAACAATACGAGAAGATTATCTGAATATACTGAAAATAAAAAACTACCATGATGAGTTTTAAATGCTTTATTTTGCTGTTCTGGGCTTAACAATTGAGTGTTTTTCTGCCTTGTCTTCCCAGTGATGTGTTGCCTGCATTCCAGAAGTACCACACACTTGCCCAAGCTGTTCCTCCTGGCCTTTCTTTGCCATATCCGTACAAAGTCCTGGCCGAGATGTTTCGTTGCATGGACACAGTGGTGGCGATGTTGTTTAACCGCAGCGAGACACCCACCTTCATGAAGATCAAGAAGGGCGTGCAGGACATGATGCATAAGTATGTGCTTCTCCTGACTCCTTGTGCTGGGTCTGCTGTCCTGTGTCTCATGTGTCCTTCTGTGCAGGCGCTTTGAGGAGAGCCACGTGGGCCAGATCCTGACAGTGTTTCCTGAAGCCTACACCCTGCGGCAGGAGAACAACATCCCCACCTTCAACAACAGTGTCAGGAAGGGCTCTTATCAGCTGACTGTGGAGCCTGTCATCCGGGGTTCGCACTAACTTCTTAAACACTCTCATATTTGTCCTTTTATGCATGCCTTTCTGATTCGAATGTTTGTCGACAGATGACTGTGGTTCGAGGCCCACTCTCACATCAACACGTCTGCTGGAACGACGTCACATCTTTCACCACAACCTGATTTCCCTGGTCAAACAGCATCACAAGGTGCGCCTCCTCCTGCTGCATGTCGCATTAAGCATGTGAACTGTATTGACTCTGTTTGTCCCCAGGCCTTCCTCTCGTCGCTTGACCCTCCTTTGTCTGTGCCGGAAGATAAACTCAGCCGTTGGCATCCGCGGTTTAATGTGGACACTGTCCCGCCGGTTGCAGACAGCGCCTTGCCGCTGCCCCCTCAGACTGAGCGGCTGACCACTGCGCAGGAGGTTCTGGACAAAGCTCGTGCCCTCATGACCCCAAAGGTACTGTCCCGTCTTTTGTTCTTGCCGACTCTACATCTCGGCAAACTATTACATTTTAATAAGGGGAAACTGTATTAAACAATCTTACTCTTGACACAGTTCATAACATGGTGCTTCTTTGCCCAAAGCATCGTATTTGTAGCACCATTTGTGTCGCAGAAGGCATTGGGAACAGTTTCCGTTATCCTCTGACCATTTGAGTCATTCACAATTATAGTCAGTTTCTGGAAATGCGTCTGCATAATTCACCCAACTAGCCCTTTCAACGTGTGCTTTGCATTTACTGTAAATTAAAAGTGTGGGGGGAAGAAAGCACCTTTTTATATTTAGTGCTATATGATGCATTCTTTTTATTCAGTAATTTATCTTTTATAGAAAAATAAAAACCCAGGACTCCATCCATCCATTTTCTACCCTTTAATCCATTTCTGGGTCAGGGGGGTGGCAGTCAGAGATGCCACCCAAGTCTCATAGCACCAGCCCCTCACTGACCCCCTGCAGGTGGTGAGTCCACAGGAGGACGGCTGCTCTCTGACTGTGAGCATAGCCTTGATCTTTCAGTGGGGGCTTTGGGCAAAGTGGGGTTAAGTGTCTTGCCCAAGGACACAACGACAGTAGTCATCAGTGGGAGTCGGTGAAGGTGCAGAGGTGGGAATTGAACCCACAACCTTCTGGGCTTAAGGCCAATGCTCTACCAACTGAGCTACTGTCGCCCTAACCCAGGACTCTTCAGGCATTATTCACCAACACCACCCAGGAAGGGATGTTTTTATGCGAAGGGGGGTGATGGACACTCAAGGCTTTGCATTTTAAGTTTGCAAAATGTTTTCTAATTCTTAACACTTGCCCAAAATGCAGTCTAATGGCGGTGACCGTGAAAGGTGGTTGAAATTGCTAATGTCACAAATATAACTAACAATGACAATCAACGTCAATTGTTTTCAGATGGAGAGGGCATTGGTTTCAGTGGCCTTAAAATCAGCAGAAAAGACTGTTGAGGACAAAGCGGCTCCTGTCCCCGTGTGTCCAGCCTCCACCCAGACGCCTGCAACCTTGAAAGGAGTGTCCCAGTCCCTCTTGGAGCGGGTATGTGAGTCACGATGTGGTCTGTCTGCAGTATTATTGTCTTTACACTCTTGTGGTCTGGTAGATTCGCGCCAAAGAGGCTCAGAAGCTGCAGGCGGCGATGACCCGTAATCCAGAGCAGGACGAGCGGTTACTGATGATGTCGCGTCTGGGGGAACTGGCGAGAATCCTGCGCAACGTCTTTGTGGCCGAGAAGAAACCTGCGCTCATCATGGAGGCCGCCTGCAATAGGATGGTTGCCAGTTACACATCTGCTTTGAGCACAGGTTTGTCATAGATTCCATACATAAGAGGGACAGGGTTTGAGATGGTGCCGGAATCGTATCAATGAACAAAAATGTTACAATATAAGTTTGATTTTGTCTAGCAGGTAACTTCAGAGTTGTTAATCATTTTAAGTTATTACATTTAATGGAGCTGTACATAATGGTTCTGTCCTGCCATTGACTTCACTCAATAGGTTCATTATGTTTCAATGAACTTTGTCTAATTGTTAGTTGTGTGCAGTATGATGGAATGCAATACTTCCTTCATTTTGGACTTTCTGTGTTTCTCTGTGCGTAAGCAGATAACGGTAACATGGTTTATACAAGAGAATTTCAAATAAGGCTGCACATCCCTGTAGTCTGGGCTAGCGTGCTGGATTTAAAAATGCAAGACGTAAAAACAGTGGAAAAAAAACGTGAAAGTAACATGGTTACAACATGGTTTATACAGTCATAGCCTGGCCTTAGCCCTCCGTAAACTCCGGTCAATTATCATTTCCCTACATGTCTGGGTCTGATCCTAGTGGCTGCAGTTACCTCTGTTGAATCCCCTCCGACCAATCAGCGAGTGGGGAAAGCAGTTGTTGTAGATGCGTGTTGGTGACGTCAAAAGTTTGCGCTGAATTTGGTGGTTGTATGCTATGGCGCTGAATGCTATAGTAAAGGAAGCTCTTCTATCAGTTCTGGTTGGGCCTACACTTTAACTAGGCTACCTCAAGTTCCTTAAATCACTCCATATGGAGTGCTACAGAAATTCAATGCCAAGGATCCCCAGAATCTTTGCATTGGTATAACACTTGCCATGTTGGTGCCAAATTGGACATACATTGGATCTTGAAGGGATGAAATTGATTAAATTGAATGCCAAATATTTTTTATAATCTGGCAATAAGTAGTTCATTTTTAGATTGTATACTGTCGGACACCATAATGCAAATTACTGGCAAAATAATTCTGTCCAAATGCGTGCCATGCATTTCAGACCTGTGCTTTAACGTGTGGTCTGCACTGACATCTCTTTATATCGTGTATCCAATCAAAAGACGTGCATGCCCTGACGCTACCCAGGGCCTGCTAGCTGGCCCCAAGGAAGGTGCCTTGACACTGATTGGTTAATGTCACAGGTTATTTTCATAGACTTTTTAAGCTACTGTGGGCCAGCAATCTCTGAAGTCCTAGAGGCAGATTTTGGGCCATAGCAACACATGATGCTAAGTAATGATTGGATAAAAACGGTTGTCAGACCTCCCAAATGTCGACCAGGAGTTGAAAGCTGCACAGACAACATAGTTTGTGGAAAAATAAACATAGAAAAAAAAACTAAATTGTAAATTAAATAACAATACATTGATGTTTAGGCCTGCAAAGAAGGCCTTGCAGTCTGGCCACTGATGGCGTGTCTACATTGAAATTCCGTTCCCAAAACTAATGCCATGTTCAGTTTTACAGATAAATGTACCCATATCTTTGAGTTGACATCTTAGATTCCACTTTACTTTCCGCTTCTCTTAATGACTTACCATGGTCTCTTTTGACATAGGTGAAATGGAGAAGCACATCCACTTGCTGGCTGAGGTTGCATCTGACTGGCTTACGATTGTTTCGATCAGAAAGGACTTTTACCTCAAGTTAAACAAGAGCATGGAGCTGAGCGTCGTACAGGACAAACTGCGTATGCGGCTGAAGGAAGAAGAGCGCTTGTGACAACCACTATCTGGTTATGCACTTTCTACAGTGTAGAAGACATTTTTGCTATTTTTCATTGTATTTTTATGAGAATTTTTAGGACCAGTTTTATTCATATCAAGAACCCAGTCACTAGTAAAACTACATTGGTATCTATATACCAATCCGCTGCCTAGCATGATTGTCTGTTTGGATTACCAAATGTAAGCGTTGATGAATAATTGGATCTTGTTTTATACAATGAAACCTTTTTATTTTTTGTGCAGTTACAATGTGCATGTTGTGATGTAACCAAGTCCAGTACCTATACATGTACCTAACGACACCCAAAGTGTCACTTATTACAAAGTTCCATGATGTTGATCAGGTTTATTTTAAGCTAATTTCCATCTGAAGTGCCAGCGGACCGATGAATCAATAACAAAAACAGATTATATAAAAATAGTGAAGAAAAAAAATGAATATGTACATGAGCAGTAGCCTCATCTTTGCATTGTTAAATATTCTCAGTTCTCATGTTTAAAATAAAATGGGTGAAGATATCCTGATCATGATACTAATTGTTCCAAACATTATAATTCCTGTATCAGTATTTCAGCAGTGAGTAAACTGGGTGTGGTTTTATTTTATCTGCTCCATTGAGCTCCTTCAGTTCCACGACCACCAGGCATCCCAGCACCTCTGCTCGCTGCTGGTTCATCAGGGAACATGCTGCATACAATGTCCCTGCACACAAGATGACGAACACTTATAAAATCACTTTAGAGCCTGGACCCAGTGTTTGTGTGGGACTTGCCTCCAGTAGCTAAGAGGTCATCAATCAGGATCACCTTCTGCCCTGGAGCCACAGCATCCTCCTGAATCTCTGCCTCCGCCTATAAAGACTTTCTATTAATTACCCTCCAATATATTTCAAATGAAGGTTGCACTGACCTTGCCATACTCTAGGTTATATGCAACTGAGACAGTGGCTCCAGGTAGTTTACCCTTCTTTCGTACCAGGACGAAGCCAACCCCAAGTCTCTGGGCTAGGAGGGGTCCAAACAGGAAGCCCCGGGCATCCAAACCTGCTTCCAATCAGCAAGAGTCTGCATTAAAGATTCACCAGAGGAAATGATCCAATCCATATAGTTATCCGTACCTACAACAAGATCCACCTGCTGAAACTGAGCCCTCACATGTTCTTCAAACAGACTGGTCACAGCTGACAATGCTGCAGGGTCCTTCAGGATGGGACAGATGTCTCTGTAAAACCCAAGGCTGTTAAACTCTTCAGCGCAGGTTCAAACTAACTTTTGACCCAAGTGAGGTCTGGAGCTCCAGATGGAGACATTTGTCTTCCACATCAGAGGTACAATTGCTCAGTTTTATGCACACAATATTCAATAATTGTATTTCTTTGATTAGATTTGATATATTTGAACAATTACATTGGAGTATTTTTTAGTTCTATATTTTATAGCGGACGTTAAATGAGTGGTAAGCCACATAGTTCTCTTTAAATAACCATCAACACCTAAACACAGGTTAAGTATCCCAGTGGCATTGTTGTGGTACAAGAGTGTAAACCATTATGAGTTTAAAACATCCCATTTCGAACTGCACATTCAGCCACTTGGGATAATTTAGTCTTGTCTTGAACAGTCTTCCTGAAAATGTGAAACCAGTTTCAACTACAGACCATATGGGTCAAGCATTTGTTTTGCTGTGCATACACGGTAAGATAACATTTGAGACATTATTGTTACTGAACAAGCTGGTCAGGAGGGCCAGCTCCACTCTGGGCTGCTCCCTGGACTCTGGAGGAGGTGAGGGACAGGAGGGTCTAGTCAAAGCCACCTCCATCATGAACAATACCTCCCACCCACTGCACAGGACTGTGGAGGAGCTGAGGAGCTCCTTCAGTGGAAGACTGAGGCACCCTCAGTGTAGGAAGGAGCGCTACCGCAGGGCCTTTATCCCCACCGCTGTCAGACTGTACAATAAGTCACTTTAAATGGTCACTGTGTGAAAACCTGCACTACTATTGACACTGTTTCCAATTGACACTTGTCACTTTATTGTACATATATCCTGCATGTAACATGTTTGCACATTTCCTCCCTTTGCACAATCTGAGTGACTCTATCCATGCCAAATGTGACATGTAAATTTCTCCTCTGTGATAAATAACGCAATCTTATCTTATCTTATTGATCCTCAAGGGAAATTGCGGGGTATTCCACAATAAAAATAACAAAGTAACAATCTGAAAATAAGAATAAAAATGAGACATTATGAGAATAGAACAATCTGGATATAGGTGCCTAGGGTGTTCCTTCTTTGCTACGTGTACGAATTGTACTAAATAAATACAGTACAGCGCCAAATAAAGTTTCTTTGCGTTGCAAACAAATACACGCTGAAAATAACTAAAAATGTAGCGGCTCTGCGTGCCCGGTTTGTCTTGTGTTTTGTATCATGTATCAATATTTTGAGATTTTGACGTGTAACATATGTGTGGATATAAAACAAGCAGTTGCTACAGATTGGTAACTACCTGAAAATTATCCCTTTTTGAGGAAAATCTGGAAAATCTCTAATCCGGGATTGAATCAGATTCAGCCTGTTGTCCTCCACAGCCATGTTCTCTGCACTCCGAACTCTGTACAAAACACTTCCACATTCATACAAATACTGAAGTAACACAGCCCTGTCTCATAGACCTATGTCCCGTCCATAAATGCAGACCACGTGGCGGACTGTGATGTTTACTTCCTGGTATTCTTCTGTTTTATTTTAAAATACTTATGCTAGGATCGACTTTACTCTTCAAACACAGATGATTATATTTAAGATTTCTACAAAGGTTTTCCAAATACTATCCCAGTTTAGCCAATAATTGAGAATATTTATCAGTTTACTGAAACATATTTATAATTTTACTTCCTGGTTGCAAATGATGACATCACGATGGGGATGTTTTTGTTTTTAAATTCAGTCAAAGTGTGCAAAAGTTCTCAATAGTGTAAGGACACGAAATACACATTGACATACCAATATTGATAAATTTAAATGAAATACTTTTATATGAAATGCCAAATCCCCATGTTGCTCCTATGGTGCTGTGGCTAGGTGCAGTGGACACTTCACAACAGCAGATGGCGCACGTGGTAGAACTCTGAACTTCTCGACTCGGGCTGCATCGGGAGCAGGAGCAGGACCGATCCATGGGAGAGACATGTTACTGAACAAGACTGCACTTTTATCTTCGGTTCTCGCGTCAGGAGTGGTTAAGGGACTTCGAGAGCACGGGAGGAGATGGGGCTCACACCAGACCAGAGCCAGCACACGCGCCGGAAATGGTGAATAATAACACCAATAAAAATGTAAACGCAATGTCAACCTCATCTGTGTCATGTTTTGTCTGTGAAGGAAAACTGATGCGCAATGGACAGGATAAAAAGGCGGTGGTAAGTCGACTTTTAAAAGAGTTTTGTTTTAAGCTATGCCACATATAGATCACTGATCGTTCACACAGTTTGGGGAATTATAATAGATCCATGGGAATTATTTGAATTGGTTCATTAACTTCCTGTTTAAAGATCCAGAAACACAGGCTGCATCCGAATGAATTAAATGCATACCTCCTTCCTAAACCCTCATTGCCCTTTCTTCTCATTTAAATACACTCTTTGTGAGATTAAAACAACATATTTTAAAACGTTTATATTTCACTCAGAGCTAAATCAATTTTCGTTGTTGACATGTCTGTATAAACCCTGCACATGTGACCCAGAGTCTCAATTTTGGCAATCATTTGTAAATGCAGACAGGAATAGATCTGTGGCAGATGAAAGAACATCTATGGACAAAACGGGATTACTCAACAATGATAAATGACCACCATGGTAACGGCTTGTGTCTCTTTCAGATCTGTATTGAAGGGAACATTGCCAGTGGGAAAACAACATGTCTCGAGTATTTCAGCAGAACCAATAACATAGAGGTAATTTCACACTACATGTAGGGCATCAAAATGCAGGTCTAAGGTTGCTTTAAACTACAGCTTCTCAAACTTGGCCTTTACTTTCTATTGTAGCATTTAAGACCTTGTTTAGTCATCATTAAGAAACCTACTTGAGACCTGTTTTTAATGCAATGCTACTACAAATATTCTGATGGTGTACTACTGTATTTTATTGTGAAATATGAATTTGTGACATAATCGTTTGGATCAAATATTATGACAGAATACCGGTGTTCCTCGGGGGAGGCACTTTGACATTTTATACACACCAATGTGTTTTGATTCCTGAGAGTCTTCATCAGTGATTCATCAAGATTGTGGCTCTCAGTGTTGTATGTGATTCTTGACTTCTGAGAAGGACTGATGCTTTGAAGAAGAGGTCGTGGTGACATAGAGCAGTATTTTATTATCTCAGGATCATCTGGTTATTCTGGTGTACCAAAGAGGCTCGGGTTAAAAGACACTGAAGTATTGTCTGAACCTGGACTATGGTCTTACTCCACATACGTTTCATATACATTTTATATACGTTATGTATTTCATGTGTAGATCCTGACAGAGCCTATTTCCAAGTGGAGAAATGTGCGCGGCCACAACCCTCTGGTACGTCTCCTGTTGAATTTTCATCTTTTTCTTTTAGACCACTTTTCACTTGTATTGGTTTATATTCATTACAAAAGTAACTAGTTATTGTATTATTGGCTTTTTGAAGTCATTCCAAATTCGGCAATGTAGTAGTTTCATTCAAATTAACTGCACACACACGATGTTTTTATAACATTCTGTGAAATATTAGTTGTGTTTTGGATGAAAAGTAAAATCAAAAAGATGACTCTAGTGTTGTGTAATACAAATATATTACAATGGTAAACAGTAATTTTATATTTTAGAGTGACTTTTTCATACAGTTTTTTTCTTGTTCATTGTAATTGTCCAAGTTGACATCTGTTTTGGTTTATGACAGTATTTATTGCTGAGCTAGTTGCGAGACAGGTTGCATGTAGAAGTGATGACATCAGCCTTGTGTGACGCCCTGCCTCCATATATTTTGTCAGATCAAACACATTAAACATAAATTATATTTTGTTTTTCTCCCATTTTAGGCTTTAATGTATCAGGATCCTGAGCGCTGGGGCATCACCCTCCAAACCTACGTCCAGCTCACTATGCTGGACCGGCACCAGGCTCCATTAGTAGGTTACAGTATAATTAAACAATGGTAGTTCAAATGAAGTCATTTCGGAGTGTTCTGCCACTTTCAGATATTAATCTAAAGTTGTGGTTTTCAGGATGCACCTGTCAGAATGATGGAGAGATCCCTGTACAGTGCCAAGTACATCTTTGTGGAGAATCTCTTCAAAAGGTAAAATGGTGATGTCAAAAATCAGCTGTTGATTGAATAGAATTTAAGATGATCAACTTTAATCTTTATAATTTAAATTTAGTTTTGATTTTATTTATTTTGTAGTTTCACAAAGGACTGGGATTGACCTGCGATTTATGTTTTCAGTGGAAAGATGCCAGAAGTAGACTATGCTGTCCTCTCTGAGTGGTTTGACTGGATCACGACAAATGTACACATTCCAATCGATCTCATTGGTACGAAAAAATAATTCATTTATTTTACCTTTATACTATTATGACCATTATAAGGTCCAATCCAAACTAAATGTGTAGTCTTTTTTAATGTTATCTTTCAGTCTACCTCCAGACCTCTCCAGAGACTTGCCATGAGAGGCTGAGACTCCGTTGCCGGGAAGAAGAGAAGGTCATTCCCCTTGTAAGTCCTTAGCTTTTGTTCTAACCTGCCCCCTAACCCAGTGGAAAATACCCCACTATAAGTGCCACTATATCAAAAATAAGGTAGAGTTACCACCAAGTGTGAATGTCACCACAACAGCCAATGTATTTCTACTGTAATGAAATAATTATATGAGACATTTAATAGTGCAGGACTGCAAAGATGGAAGGGTCGGCTTTGTTTGGTTTTGCCTTCCTTTACTCAGTGGCTTGTAAAAGTAACCTGGCCTCCTCCATTGGCACTGTGGTCTTCCCTGTGGGGTATGACTACAATCTAGAAACGAGAAGTTTTTGTCATTCATAATTACAAAACTCAAGCCCCCATGTATGATACACTGTTGAGGAAAAAAATCTGTTTTTGTGGTTATAAACATGACAAAATGTGCAAAAGTTACAAAAGTGCTAAGTAGTATTAGTACTAATGCAAGCGCCTGTGGATTCTCTTCCTGATAAATATAACATTTAGCAAGACCTGGAGGAATAGAACAACATAAGAGATTGTTTGGGCCAGGAATATAAACGTGTTATAAATGGATTCAGTCACAATTGGGCCAAATATCAAAAAGAGAAAAAAAGTTAACATTTTAGAAGAGATACAATGATGTTTCCTGAGACAATAGGCTTTACAATGAAGTTTAACATGCCATTGTAGCCCTTACATCAATGCTGCAAGTTGATAAAGATAATTAAAAAGCATGTCAGGGGCCACTAAATTGTCTCGCGTTCAGATTTGGCCCACGGTCCTGAGTTTGACATGCCTGGAATAGAGGAATAAAAGCACATTTGGATGATAAGTGTATCATTTCCTCATATTACATTTTGATTTTGTTTCAGTGTTATTGTGGTCACGAATGACTATCTTTCTTTCAGGCGTATGTTGAGTCCATTCACCAGCTGTATGAAGACTGGCTTATCAACCACAGTAAACCTCTGCCTGCCCCTGTCCTGGTCTGTCCCCATTTCCTGCCTCTATAAATGTTTAAATATAGTCAAATAAATTAGTTCAAACAAACGTACGCATGTGTCGCAGGTCATCCCAGCAGACCACGACCTCCAGAAGATGCTGGTTGAGTATGAGGAGCACCGGGACAGGATCCTGGCAGCAGCCGGCTCCAGAGGGTCCCAGGGTCACTCCCCAAGCCTTAAGCTCTGTATATAATGTCTTTTGAATGTTTTTGTAAAGATATTTAAATGTGTTTTTAAATTGTAAAATACTTGAATGTTTTTAATTCCCACAGTTTTGTAAGCGCTTCCTGTGCATTTATCTATATGTATTATTTTATGGTCAATCTTCTCCTTGGTTTATGTGTATTATCCTGTTTCATTTTTCAGATAAGGGATGAAGCTATATTTTCTTTTCTTCAAAATATGCCAATTTAAACTGAGGTACATTAAAAAAAATACACAAAAAATTATTTGCTCTCGCTCACAAAACAGCTTGCTTCTCTGATGTTGACATTCCGTTGACAAAATGACAAAACAAACTATTTAGGACACCAGAATATGTACCCCAGCTTATTAGCAGCAGTATGATTCAAGATATATTATTTCATAGAGTTTATTATTTATGCATAGACCTTTTTGGAATGTTGGAGTGTTATATTCAGCAGAGGGAAATGTTATGTTACACCGTAAAAATAAAAAAATGCAATGTTGCAGTTGAGATATTAAACGCTTCAGATGTTAAACAAATTCAAATTTTTGTATATTGCTGTTTTGGTCTTGGATTTCTGTGGAAATTTACTCCAGGCTCTTCCAAGCTCAGGATTCCTTGTAGTTTGGCATTTTTTGTGAAATGGGAAAACCAGTTCCAAAGAAAAAAATAATTAAGCTGGAATTCTAACGTTTATTGGTCCGAGTTGTATGATGTCCCTATGTTCAGTCCGTCATGGTCCAGAGCTGGCCTGTGGGTCTACTCTTAGTCCACCAAACTCTATCTTACTCTGTCGTGCCTAGTCCCACTGTGTGTTGTATGTGAGACCTAGTAATCGCTTCATGGCAGACTTGGCAGTGGTCAGAGTGAATCCTCTCCGCTTGAGTCTACGGAGGTGGTCTGGTCCTGCATGTGATCTTGGGTACTTCCTCTTTTGGGCATCTCACACACAGCGTTTTCTTCAGAAAGACCAGATTGATCTATGAGACACATATGTCAGATTTACTAGTATAGTGTACTTTTGAGAATTATTACTGTTGTATTATATATTTTTTCATCATTAGCATAAATTATGTTATATATTTTAAGTAGTCTGTAGGCTACTAAATACTCATTAGACAGGCCCTAAATACTAACTACTAAATACAAGTACCTGGCCTGAGCCACTGGATGCCTGTTTGTGGTCTTGATGTGATGTGCAGAGAGAGCCCCAGGGGTCCACTCAGTCCGTCGTCCTCCCTGAGGTCTTGGCTTGGTCTGGGTCTGTAACTGGGAGGCCTTTGCTCTCGAGCTCTCTGTGCACGGCGCCTGAGTGGGAACATGTCTGTCTGGGGTGAAAGGCTGGTATCATCCTCCTGCAGAGGGCGGCCCCTGAACACCAGGTCTGTGTATGTCAAGTGCAGACGATCGTTCGGCTGGTCGTCAGTGAGTCCTGAGGCTCCCTCTGGACACACTTCTCTGCCTGGATCAGCATCAGTTTGGTTCTCCTCTCTCTCTGCACTGACTGCCATGCACTCACTGCGACGTGACAGTTCTGCAGGCAAATTGAGTTTGAGGTTGTCCACACACTCCTGGAAAGTATATAGCCCTACATATCGTTATTTTCCCATTTTTAGCAAATTTTCTTCCACTTGGGACTTTGTGCAGAACAAACCTGCAATGAAGCCTTGCTGTGCTGCTGGAGCAGATGAAGGCACAGAGCTCTAGTCAACAGGAGCTCAAAGGCCACTTGGACGGCGCTCTCAAGACTTGCATCTTTAAACAGTCTGTAATCACTTTACAGAATTTTGTTATTCTTATATTGATGCACTCAAATGAGCCATGCAACATATATTCAAAGATCTTTGTGAACTACCTGGGTGAAGGCCCGGGCTTTTCGGGCATGTATCCGATTGATGCCAAGAGGGACTGGAGAGTAGTGCAGCCGAGGGCCGGCAGGAGGCAGTAGACGAATGCACCTGTGAAAGACTGACACGCCAAAGCAGATATAACACGCATATAAATACGTAAAAGAAAAGTAAAACTGGACACAATGGTAGTTTAAGATCATCATTCCACCTTAAGTTTCCGGATGTCCTTCCTCCACGGATAAAAGTACAAGTTGAGGCAAAGTGTCTCTAGTAGTTCAGTGGCCCGGACCAGGCGCCGCAGGTCTGTGTGGTCTGTGGACAGGGTCTCCAGCACATGATAGCACAGCTGGATCAGCGAAGCGCTGGTTACAGGATGCTCTAGGAGCGCCTCTGCCCCTCGTCTCAGGAGGTCCTCATCCTGGCACGGGCCGGGCTCAGGGCACACGGTCACGTGACTGCTCAGATAGTCTTCAAACAGACCCCGCGGGTCCTCCGGGTCAGAGCCGCGCTGCATGGCACCAGACCAGTCTGTTCACGAAACACGCGGAAATGAGCCGTAAAGGAAGTGAGAGGTAAAACAAATATGTCTACACATAATTTCACCACTTCTTCATATCTGAAAGCAGTATAGGGGCTGTTAGTGGGCACACTTGGTTGATTTGATGAATCAATTTGATGGAAGCCCATCGACAGGCCGTGGCCAGAGCCGTGACCAGGGCAATAATTGTCGTGTGCATGCAGTAAGAAACGTGTGACTTGTTTACTACGTGCATGACGTGTGTATTTTCAGTAGATGGCGCTATTATCACACATTAGGACACGTACAAGTTTGTCAACTTTTTGACTATGTATGTTCAACTCTTCTTGCCGTGAGTAAACATTCAAAGAGTATGTGGCTAGCTGTGTTAGTGTGTCCAGGCTAAGGGCAGTGTGCTCGGGTGTTTGTCCTCCGGCAGGGAGCTCTGTGAGCAGGGAGCAGGGAGGTGACTGTGCAGCTGGAGAATAGCTCCTCTATGAGCAGACACGCTGCTGACTGTGAATCACTTTTTCCACCTACTCCACTGAAGCTGGACGGGACTTGAGGAGGAGTTCACTTTCTCTACACCAACAACTCCGTGGAAAAACTTCTCTTCGGACAGCGGGGCCTTAGGACTCTAAATCTCACTATCACTATTCCTCAGTTGAAACGGCGACATCAACACTTTGGCAGGAGGGTTTGAACTGAAGTCATGCCCACAGCTCGGAGTACTTCCCTTTTGTCATTTTTCTTTCCCAAATGCGCTCATCCCGATGGAGTGTAGCGCGGGGCGCTCGCTGCGGCTCTGCGCCTGTCATGTACCCGGTCTGAGGCAGACATGGATATCCAGGTGGCTGTGTGGTTCTTCTACTGCTTTCTGCTCCCTGCGGTCCTACTAACAGGTACACACACGACCCTGGCCCCATGGAGCACACATCATGGGCAGACATGGGTTTGAAATAGTGACACAGAAACTGTGGACACTCATTCATGCCCTGTCCAAGTCTGAACTCTGAGACCACTGCACAATGAAGATGCTCATAGAAGATGTCCACTTGTTAGAGATGAAGACGACAGTAGTTTCATGTTATTTATTGTCTTTTCTGTATACCACATGCACGTTCATTTTTAATGCCACTTTCATCAGAAATTTTGTGGAAAAACCCTGGCTCTGTGATTGGAGTCACATGACAGCCCTACTGGACCAATCACTAGACTATCTCAGAAATAGAATATGGTCTGGGTTTAGGGGGTCTGGAGCACTGTACTTAAAATTCCAAACATTAGGTATTAGGTGTTATGTAAGCTATATGAAGTATTAACAATATCTATACCAAATGTACTTCACATACAGGAAAACATTTTCGTGTTCCTGAATAGCTTTAGAATCATTTTGAACTATATTTGAATAGTTATAACTTCTTGACACTACATTGAGTATTGAGTTAATTCATTAGTATCAAAATTGACATTTTAGTATTATGACAACACCAGTAAACATTTGTTTCAACAGAACCTGGTGACTGAGTGGGGAGCACTCATGGTTCACAGCAAGAATGTTGTGGGTTTGATCTTGTGTGGGTCCAGGCTGTTCTGTTTGCATGTTTCTCCCTGTATCTGGGTCTAGGCTCAGTAGTCCTGACCAAGCAGTATAAGCACTGGTTCGGAGCCTTTGTGTCTCTGCTTAGGGAGATTGTTTCAGGTCTGTCGTAACTTTACATTTTAAAGAATCGTGCAGTGAGAGTATGTGGAGAATGTGGGAAGCTCACACAAATACCTCTTACTTCTGACTGAGCTTCGCTGGATGACATGACTCTACATAGAGTAATTCAGTTTGGTTGTTCTCATTCACTACTCAGGGGGTTCCTCTCTGTCATGCTGCATTCTGGTTGTGTGTAGACTAGAAACCGAAACCATTCAAAGCACTAAAGTTCTTTATTTTAATCTAAACTATAGCGCATGTTCTTGTATCTTTTGCTATTCTAATTTGATGCTTGTTTACCCAGATATTTGTGGAACTGGCTCTATTTAATTTTTAGTTTTTCTTAAAGCAGAAACAATTGTGGGACAATTGTGACTCTCAGTCTATGGCAACATCTCCTCCCAGGACAAGAACATTCCAGATAATTCCAGATATTACAAGATATAACTTTGTTTTGTGTACATTCCTTATGTATGAAGTCCAAATCTTCATTGAGTTGTCACAAAACAAATGTTATGATTTTTGGAATGCCACAATGTGTGAGTCGCAACAGGATGCGACCGGCTCAAGCTGATCTTGAGCTGTTGAGTCAACAGTAGTTTTGAGTCAGGAGGAACTATGTGCCAGATGCCACATTGGCACACTCTTAAGCACACACGCATCTCAAACAGTAGACATAAAACCATAAGATAAGAGTAAGGCAATAAGACACGCCTGTACAACACATATACAATTTGTTATCTCCATGGAGACAAACATAAACACAACCTGTTTGGACGACTCTATCACAGTTTTGTTTGGAAACACTGCTGGAACCTTGGGGGAAAAACACCTAATTGAAAATGTCTCATTTATGATGAACAGTGTTATTGCAGCAGCAGTAATGTCCTGTGGTCAAGCGCTGTGTGCCCAGGGCACAGTGACTCTCCTCCTACAGAGCAATAAAGCAGGACTTAAGGCGTCAGTGAGAAATACTGTCTGTGCGTGTGAGCTTCTTAACCTCCCTCAGCCCTCAGTGGGCAATCTAGGCAGAGATCTCCCATTCTCCTCCTGAAGGATCTCCGTTAAAGTGTCCATGGGACAACAGTTAGACAAGCTGAGACCTGCAGCTCAGACGGCAGCTTCTCTGGAGCTACAAAAAGCTGTCTTCAAGGAAACGTTGTGGTGAACACTGTGAACAGGTGAACAGGATGTGTGATGCAATGTGAAATATTAAACTGCTATTCATAATAAGCCACACCTTGTTATGGTCCAAATTAGATGTCTGTTAGGGAACACAACCTCCAGGCACTTAGTCTGCACATCTCCTTGATGTGGCAATGAGGTCGCATTCTATATCATACAATAATATGGTCGGATTCCTGTCGGTTGAAGTGATTTTTTTGTAAATTGTATGTTTAGCGTGTCCATGTAGTGAACCTTGTTGACTCATGTGGATTCACCATTGTGTGGTGTGCTTTCCTGTGGAGAATGACCTGGACTGAGAGGAAGGTGTGTTTGCAACAGTCTGCTATCTCTCACACACATCTTTGCAGCGCACTGTCCAACGGAATAAACTATAAGTATCAAAAAGTTCATAACATTACTTTTTGAATTGTGTTTCTTGTCGTCTCCCTGTTCCAAGAATATTAAATTACACAGCGCGCAGCAGGGTAGAGCCTCACGGGAACTCTAATTACAGTGCTTTCATGTAACCATCATAGTCAAACCATGTGTTTATTGCAATTAGAGTTATAAACCTGCTTAAGTAAAACTCACAGCGTGCTAACGTGTGCAGAGGCGAGATATGTGCTTCAGTGCATGTTCTGTTATCATGGGAGCTCATGGCTTCGTAGAGAGACTGGGTGGGGACCGTTCTTGTGGTCGCCAACATAACGTTTCAAAAATTCATCATTCAATTGATTGTTGTTTGTAGTACTGTAGACAAGGTTTGTTTTTGCTTGTTCTCTCTGCGGTTCTCTCCTACACGCCTCTGTTATGTGCTATGATAAAACATAACAGACTGAACACAGCACTTTGATTCTGGGAGAAGCTTATCCACTGAAGAATTACTGGTATTAGTGTTAGATATTCACTTTAGTATTCTCTCTAGACTTGACTTGAACTCTACCTTCATGTTGGGTGTGAGATATTTTCTGAAGTTAAATTTCCTCTTGTCAATTTGAACTTTTACTTTAGTACTATAGAACTGTTGCTGTTAATCAGTTATTGGCAGCTAATTGTTTTTTTTTTTTCAATAACCGATAAGTATTAATCGTTAACTTCATAACTCCATCATATTTAAATAAAGATTACTTACTTAGAATTCTTGCATACATGAGCTGTGAAATGTGGCTTAACCTTAAACATTATGTCTAGTTTTAATATTTTAATAAAATGAAAATCTATAACGTTCTCCGATGGCTTCACTTCAGCTTTTTTGGGAGTTAAATCACTGACTGTACATTATGATATATAGTCTATGGGTCAAATTGAGACAAAACATTTATATTTATGTTCTGGATATTTGATTTAGCTAAAGAATAATAAAGAATAATCAATGAATTCATTGATTGTCAAGAAAATCATTAGTAACAGCTCAAGTTATCTAAGAATTTACAATCCTAACCATTCAAAGTGTTTGAGGGAAACTACATCATCTATCTACACCATGATCTACACCAGGGATTTACAAACTAAGGCCTCTGGGGCAATTGCGCCCCTCTGTGTCATTTCTAGATCCTAAACATAAGTTCATCATAAGTCATCCAGCCAACTTTAGCTCAGCCAATATCGACATTTTATACCTCATGGTCAAGATCAGGGCCTCTATAATTCAGCTGTTGACTGTATTTATGTAAACGGAGATTTGTTTTTGATTGGGTAAGATGGTAAACATTCAATGTTCAGCCAACTTTGACTCTTTCATAGCTCATTTTAAAGTTTGGAACAGCCTGAATCCAGTCAAAACCAGGTTGTCTGGTGAGACAGGCCTCCTCTCTGACAATGTTTAAAACCAGGTTAAAGACAGTTCTGTTTAACTGTGCATACAACTGAGGGATTTTATATTTTTATCTATCTTTTTAATGTTCTGTGATTATTTATGTTTCTTGTTTTGTTCAGCACTTTGAATTGCCTTGTGTATGAATTGTGCTATATAAATAAACTTGCCTTGCCTAATGTTTACTGCTCACCCTGTCAGCCTAAAGTGCATATGCCATTTAACATTCTTTCATTACAACCTATTTTGGAGAAATGACACTTAAATATAGATTATAGTTTTACATCAATTAAGTCACACTTTTTGGAAAAACTTTGCATAATATCTTTAAATTCCTGAGAAGTGGAGCAACTGTTAAAGAACTGGTGACATCACACGAGGGATCGACAAAACACTCCTCAATCCTAATTGTATTGACTTTTCTGTGGTTGTGAAAAGTAAAATGAAATCTGTCGTAGGTACTTTAAGATGTGTTATTCTAGACTCACTCCATTTCAAATAATCAGCGTCGGGTTGTAAACAAACTTTTTGCTATCGATTTTATGTATATTAATTGCAACTAAATTATTTTTGGAAATAGTTTTTGAACCACAGATTTGCTCATGCTGAAGAGGTTTATGACTCAAAGTTAAAAGTCTGTATTTTTGATTGAACAATATTTTTATACTTTTGTTCTTCAGTGTGAAATTTACTTTGGTTGCATTCATTTGTTTGAATCCTATTTCAGGCTGTGTTTTGAGATCTGAACAACAAATTTCACTGAATATTGATTTTGTTGTTTTGCCAACCAAGCATATTTAATTTTTTTATATTTGAATAATGAATTGCTGTGGAGTTCACTCTGATAAACACTTACGTACATCTACATCCGGTTGTAGTGACTTGTTGAAACACTGCAACTATCTGCTGAATGCCCCTGAGGCCTTTCCACTCTGCTGTAATACAGCATGTATATTGTACATTTGTCGTGAGGAAGGGGGCTGGGGACTAGTGAGAGTAAAATATATTATGGAAATTCTTTTCCTTATATCAATCAATCTCAAATTTCAAAAAACATTTTTTTCCCATATTTAAATTACACAACCTGGATAAGTTGTTTATCAAATTCAATTTGTGAATTACACAAGCATGCCGCCTGTCCCTAGTTTAGTTCTTTCTCCTAAATGTGTCTTCAACCACTTGCATTGTTATTGCTATTGTCTCTCAATTTTAATGCACTTTTTGATAATTGAGCAGGTATATCACAATCTTTCAATCTCTTTTGGGCACTTCCAAAAGTGAGCGTGAGAGCCCCTAATAAACATCCCAGGTCCACAGTACATCGCGGATATGGCTCTAACAGATGACGTGGGCACAGTGGATATCCCAGACAATGGGGACCAGAGGATAAGGTGCTGGAGGAACCATCAAGCCCCAACATGGAATATACCAGCAGAATATAATTGAAGTGAGGGATCTCAAGAATCTACCATGGCTCAAAAAAGCTTACGGAAGACCTCAAAAGGACTGCATAGGAACAGGCCCTGAGCACCGGAGCGATAGGGCCTCAGATATCACACCAGACCCAAGGTGTAGACTGTGCAGAGAGGCACAAAGAGGCACCTGAGACACTTCAGCACAGAACAGCATACAGGGACTTACAGTGAGGGTTCCTAGTTAAATAAAGGTCAATCCAGAAAGCTGTGGTGATTGGAGCACTCAGGCAGTGTCCCCCAAGCTGGAGGAGTTTACAGGAGGTTTATAGCTAAATCCTTGGGTCTTTTATTTATGGATAAATCAATTGTTTAAATAATTATATACTGTAGAATACTATGGTACTTGTAATTAATTTACAATTACAGCCCTATAGATCTTTATCATTGTTGATCATATTTTGTCCCATTTCTAAAACGTTAAAGAAGCTGGACAGGAAATATTTGACTGTGTCCTGTTGCTGAAAGGAAATCTGTTGTAAATGTATTTTTCCTTCAATGCAGGGCTATTACCGGCATAAACAAGGAGTTAGCACTCCTACTTCTCAGAAAGAAGCAGGTTTCCTCTGGGTGCTCCAGTTTCCCCCAGCACTAAAGTCATGTACAATAGGTACAATCCTCCAGCTTTTGTGTCAACATCTGCTCCAGACAGAGGCCCTAGTAGTATTGAGTGATTGGTCAAGTGCAGAGGACAAATTACCCTGCAGAGATAAAACATTTTTTACTTTAACTTTAACCGTAGACTCTCATATATGAATATTATTACAGAATATGTTACAGTAAATGCAATATCAGTTTCATGTTATTAACCATAAATGTGAGAACTTTAACAGTGATTTGTCCAACCTCCTAAAGTCAATGAGACGTTTTAATGCTGCTCTGGCGCAGAATATGTTTGGGATGAGAAGCCAGTGTCCGTGTGGAAAAATGTGACTCAGAACTTGCCTCCGTTTTCCACTTGACCGCTATAAAACACAAAAGTCTTCCTCATGTGAGCGGTTCTGTTTTGGGGTCAACTGACTAACAAAATTACATATTGAGGAAAAAAATACTTGTGTCATTCAAAGGTGACGCTCCAAAACGGCGAAGAAGTTTGGTTTAAAATATGTACATTCCTCAATTGTGATGATTTTAGTGCTTGGATGAAAAAAAGAACTGTGAGAAGTCTCGCCTCTCTACATTTATATTTTAAGTAATATTAATGTTGGACATAAAAATATATAATAAGAATATTTACTTTGTCATTTCATGTAAAAGAATGTGAAACAATATCATGCCCTATCCCTATGGTACTGTTGCTTTGGCTTGCTACAACCACAGAAAACCATGTGATGTTTTTTATATGGACCAATTTTACATGGTTAAAAGATCAAAAACTTTGATATTTCTTTTAACTAAGTATCGTCTCCAAGGTAAAAGGAAAGTTAAATGACAAACTGTATAAGTATCCAGACAAAAACATCTAGATGAATCCATGCAAAGAGCGGGTTGGGAAACACTCCTTTTATGAAGGCCTGGTCGCTTGGGCAGACTTTCCTACAGTTGGACTCAGTATAATCACGTCATAGATGAGTCTTGCCTCATTGCTGAGAATTGTGCATCTGGAGCAGACCTACAGCCCATTATCATCTCTGCTGGAGTTTACTGCTGAAAATCACCTCACACATGCTTTTGTTTTCACATCCCCCGGGTCGGCACGTTGTTTTAGGCCAACAGCAACTTGTAAAAGGCTCTTTTAACAAGTGTCAAACACACACTCGCCGGGATTAAGGCCAAATAAAGGTTATTTTCAAACGAGTGATTCTCAACAGTAGTTTAGAGGGAAATACAAAAAAGAGCATCTGTTTGCCCCACGATGGGAAATGTCAGTGTTGCAGCGCACACAACTAGAACCGTATACAATATATAAAAGGAAGGCGAAAAATGATTTAAATGGCTTTAAATGAGGAAGCCTGAGTCCTGGATCGATAGACCATCAGTAGGAGGGGATCCATCCCTCAATCTGGGCCTCCCCGAGGTTTATCAATATTCCTTGCCGATGCAGAAGGGTCTAAGGGCAGTGGTGTTGAGACTCGACATTCAACAACATTTATGGACATTGGTCATCTGCCTCTCATGGACCAATGGGAGATGCAAATGAATAAGATTTTAAATATAAAATAAGTTTCCATCTATAGAAGAAATTAGATTCAGATTAGTTGTCTCACCTTTGTCAGTCTGCCCCCATGGCAACTACAGTTCAGTTTACCACCATTGAGTACGGAGTTAATGAATAATGTCATGTGAATTGTCTTGGCGTGTAAAATGCATTATTAATATGCATTATCAATATTAATATAGTTTTTTATTAGCAAAATTAAAGCATGATAGTTATTTTGAATGGGAACGTTATGGGAATGTCTGGTATGCCTTAATGAGAGCCAGTCTAATGTTAACCAACACCATTAACCATTTAAACACATTTTTATTTTATTTATTTTGGGCCTCTTGTCTTTGTAGCCTGCCTGTTTCGCTACAATGTCCTGTCGCTGGTCTACTTCCTGTACCTGCTGCTGCTGCCATGGTTCCTCTGCCCAAACAAGCACACTATCAAAGGTAAGATCACTGCAGGTATGTGTCATTAAAGCACAAGTGCCACGATTTAAACTCAGAATCGATTCAGTCTTTGTCTCACGCTTAATGAAGTGGCAACTTTCTGGTTTAGTAAAGTGTGCAATAAAGCAGTGAAACAAAGAGAAAAGCGGGGGGCAGGGGATATTTCCCTTGTGGAAAATCCAACGTTCTACCAACACACGTGCACACATGCTAACACTCACACAAGCCCATACACACTGAAGGAAGCACTGGTGTTTCCCTGCTCACTGGAGCCGTCGCCAGACTTCAGCACTCGAAGTACAACAGAATACTTGACAGATTAGATCATTTTGAAACATACTCCTAAAGCACCATGGGAATACTTTGGATGAATCCAATTCTCCCCAGAATCACTCGAATATAAATGTGTGTAACATTACAGAGAAAGAGTTGCTTACTTGCCAACTATTTTTCTACATTAATATTTAATTCAGAAAATATTCTGGTCCATTTAGGAGGAATGACATATATTCAAACTCATAAGGAGACAGAACCTTTTAGGCATAATTCTTTTGTTTACACTCAGCTCAAACTTAAGTGCATCAACGTTTATGCTGACAGATGTTTAAAACACTGAATACCAGTGAAGACAACTATAGGCTCTAAATGATACTGGCCACCAATGTTCCTCATAGTAAGGGATGTTCCTCACTTGTTCACATAATTTGGATCAGAAATAATAAATAAATCAAAGTAAATACATTTTCCCACAGGCCACACTGGACGTTTTATCTTGGCTGTTTTCTGCACGTCGCTCCTGTTTGTGCTGGGTCACATCTGCTTCCAAACTGTGCTGTTCACCTTCCCGCCTCTGGACACAGCACTCGGGGACAATTGCTCTCAATGGGAAGCGATCAGCCGGCAGATTGGCGTGTCAAGGTACAGCACATGTGCACACATTAATACACACTGGCCCTCGATTATGAAACTTGTGTACTGCCAAATCAGGGTGTAAATGAGGTGCATGGAAAAAAAGTATACTTTTTGGAATTTATCAACCTGGAAGTGAGCTAATGGTGCTCACAAAATATGCAACTGGTGTACATTTTACACCCATCTCAACCATTAACACAACACGCAAAAAACCAAACCAAATTAAAGGCACACCTCTCACATTACAAATATGCACTTTCACAAAGTTATGTTTGGGCAATGCCGATAGTTTGTGTTATTAAATAACGAGCAAGATGTCAAAGTAAAAACAACAACAACAACCACAACTTATTCTTGTATAGCCCTAAATCACAACAGCAGTCATCTCAAAGGACTTAACAAAACCATTGAAATCACCAACACAGATCAGAGAATCAACAGTTAAGACACAAAATATACGCATATGTATTGGTCCATAGGGAGAGACCAATGTCGTAGAATGTTGATAAATGTCCATACATGTTGTAGAATGTTAAAGTGTCCTGGATTATCACCACAGTCCTTCTAGTTGGACACTATCTGCCCAACAGACCCTCCTGCATCGGCAAGGAAAAACCCAGTGGAAAAAAAAGTGAGAAACCTTGGGGAGACCCACATATTGAGAAAGGGATCCGCTCCTACACGGACAGACGGGCTAATGATCCAGGAGCTAAGCTACAGAATGAGGACCAATGCCACGCAGCGGCCGCAGAACATGGACAGGTGCGGTGCAGGACTGAAGCGCTCCCAGGCGGGTTGGGCAGGGCAATCCGCAAGTGCAGATGGAGAGGTCAGTTTCAGAGGTCCCGTTGAGGCGCCATGAAACAGACAATGGAACAACGGATGAATAGCAATGAACACACTACAGTAAAAATCTTAATAATGCTAAACAGATAAAGTAGGAAGGAGGAGAGGATAGTGCTTAAGTTACCATACTTCTCCCAGCAAACTGACTCCCTACGCAGCTTGACTTGCAGTCTTAGGAGTTTAGCCTTCCCTGAGTCTTACCTTTCTAACCATATGCTAAACTGAAGAGGACTGTTTTAAACCTAGCCTAGAATATAGAGATTGTGTCCGAACGAAGGTGAGACAGCAGCAGCCAGGGCTAGGCTAGCCCAGGCTATAACACCAAAGATTCGTGGATTACACACCAAGTATGTAAAGCAAACCAGACAAACAACCTAACCATATGCTAAATTAAAGTAGAGTGTTTTCAGCCTGGCCTTAAATGTGGAGACCGTATCTGCTTCCTTAACATGGATGGGAAGCTGATTCCACAGTGAAGGAGCTTGGTAGCTAAATGCACTGCCGCCACCAGTGCAAGTCTCCCACAAATGTGTGGATGTGTAGCACCTAAGCCCGATCACCTACAATCAGTGCAACGGCAATTGGTTCATGATGGTCCAAGCAAAGACATGCACGCCAACGTGGAGCACTGCGTGGGTCTGATCAGAGGAAGGGTACGCTCTGATACCTCCGGTATAAGTGTGCCACATGATCCTGGCTCGGTTCTCCACAATAGGCACAGGACCACAGTGTGCCATTGGATGCACTGGTGGAGCAGCCCATGGATGAGAGACCATGGCCAGCACCGCCGAATTCGGCCTGTACAGCTCAGATAGGCTCTCATTCAACAATTTGAAAATAATAATCACACAAATAATTATTTTGGGTGGTACAAGCGTGTAAAATTATTTAAAAGACCAGTTGCTCAATTGGAAGAGGGGTTTAACTTAGTAACAAAAAATTGAGTTTTGACTTTTCAGGTAAAGGCAAATTATGAAAATCTTAGAAAATCAAAATAATCCAAGGCTGGTCAACTCTCTAAACTATTGCCCACGAGTGCCTTGGATTTTTTTGATTTTCTAAGATCTTCATAATTTGCCTTTACCTGGAAAGTCAAAACTCCATTTTTGTTACAAATGATTTTTTTTTCTTTTGGATGCTTTGGTCTGGGCTGCTGAGCACTTCTTCTACAGGCTGCTAAACGCCTTTTTGTTGCCGTTTAAAGGTCGCTCCATTTTTTTTCACCTGAAATAAAAAAACAGTGACACAGTGCAACAAGACATTATTTATATATTTGTTCTCACTGACTGAAAATGAACTATGACTTTATAGAAAGTAATAAACAGGGCTCGACATTAACGGTTGTCCGCTTGCCCGGGCAAACTAAAGATTTGGGACAGGAAAGTGCGCTGTTTTAGCAAGTTGCCCGGTCGGGCAAGTGATGTATTACTTTAACCCATTCAGGCCGCACATTCCCGCATTTCTTCCTCTGGAGCCTGGAGCGGACACGTCTGGAAATTTTCCCAACAATATTCGAAATTCCCGACTGTTTTCTGCTGACAATGCGAGAACTTTCTCTTGCTTGCTGTACGGACTCGAACGGGATTTACATCCTCCGCTCTGACCCCGAGAGCAGCTGCCGCCGCTTTGTAATGACAGCCGCTTTGGCAACAGTTCACTGAGGGTGCTTTCACACCTGTTGGTCCACTAAAAGTGGTTCGCTTGGGCCCTAAAGTTGTTACAATGTTGCAGTTCTCAACTAGTTCGGTTCTCATTCACACCAGTGTTTTTGCAAATGAACCAACCACTGTGGATGTTACATATTCTGCCACCCATGTGGTGGCGCTGTTCACAAAATACTGTTTATTGGATGATGTATGTGAAACCTGATTGGTGCAGGATGTGAAGAGGGAAGAATAGCAGAAGAAAACAAACTTGTCAGATCTTTAACGATAAACTGTAATGCTCTGGTGTGAGGCTATTTTTTTATCATTGTTGCTTTGTGCAGCACAAATACTGTTGTATACCAGTATGTATCACAGATTCAGCACAAGAACAATCTGCAGGTGTTTTTGACTATTCTATCATATAAAAAAACAATGTGTGTGTCAAAAAGTGAGCTACACAACAGAGCAGGGCCATATTGAGGCCGGTCTGCGTTCTCACCAGCAGTGAACCAGACTGGAGTCCGCATGGAACCGTACCGAGACCAGCTCCCTAAGGTGGTCTCGGTACAGTTCTTTAGTCCGGACCAAATTTAACTGGTCCACTTTCACACCTGCTCAAACGAACCGTACTTGCAGGTGATCCAGACTCCAGTCCATTTTAAGTGGACTAAATGGTACAGGTGTGAAAGCACCCTGACACACAGCCATTACGTCGTACCGAGTGCGGACCATAGACACGTGGATAGAACCATAGAAACGCGGACCATAGACATGCTGACAGGACCGTAGACGCGCGGACCAAAGACACGCGGACAGAACCAGACGCGTGGACAGAACCATTGACATGCCTTCAGGACCATCCCCAGCTTGTTGCAAGTGCAGGTCTCCCCCGTGTCTCCCACCTATGTGCAACCACAAAATTAAAGCTCAGTTACCTAAATCTCCCCTCGCGTTAAAAATGCATGTTGGTTGTGAACAAATCAAACAGAACACATCACAACAGGCGTCTTGTTTTTTTATTTTGCATACTTTTGACATTGGGCAAGTAAAATATAAATGGAACAGTACTTGCCCAAAGGGCAAGTGACTGACAAAGCTTATTGTCAAGGCCTGATAAAAACAATTCAGATAAATTGCTCGATAATGTACTATATTGTGTGTGTTCAGGCTGCCGCTGCAGGAGCCCTGGACCGTGGCCCGGCTCCTCTGTCCTGACCTGGCCGTGTGTCTGGTCTCCTTGGTAACAAGCGTTCTGTGTCATCGGTTGGTGAAGAACAGGCGGACGGTGGCGGCCGCGAACATCACGTCTGTGAGTCACAACATTTCAGTTACATTACAGAACACTCAGCCTCTGGGCCAAAGGAACATGGTACCACCACAGTTTGACATCACATAGAATATCTCGACACTTAAATGGTTATATTCACACATACAGTGCCTTGCAAAAGTATTCGGCCCCCTTGAACCTTTCAACATTTCGCCACATTTCAGGCTTCAAACATAAAGATATAAAAATGTAATTTTTTCTCAAGAATCAACAACAAGTGGGACACAATCGTGAAGTGGAACGAAATTTATTGGATAACTTAACCTTAAAAGTGGGGCGTGCAATATTATTCGGCCCCCTTGCGCTAACACTTTATAACGCCACCTTTTGCTGCAATTACAGCTGCAAGTCGCTTGGGGTATGTCTCTATCAGTTTTGCACATCGAGAGACTGGAATTCTTGCCCATTCTTCCTTGCAAAACAGCTCAAGCTCAGTGAGGTTGGATGGAGAGCGTTTGTGAACAGCAGTCTTCAGCTCTTTTCACAGATACTCGATTGGATTCAGGTCTGGACTTTGACTTGGCCATTCTAACACCTGGATACGTCTATTTGTGAACCATTCCATTGTAGATTTGGCTTTATGTTTTGGATCATTGTCCTGTTGGAAGATAAATCTCCGTCCCAGTCTCAGGTCTTTTGCAGACTCCAACAGGTTTTCTTCCAGAATGGTCCTGTATTTGGCTCCATCCATCTTCCCATCAATTTTAGCCATCTTCCCTGTCCCTGCTGAAGAAAAGCAGGCCCAAACCATGATGCTGCCACCACCATGTTTGACAGTGGGGATGGTGTGTTCAGGGTGATGAGCTGTGTTGCTTTTACGCCAAACATATCGTTTTGCATTGTGGCCAAAAAGTTCGATTTTGGTTTCATCTGACCAGAGCACCTTCTTCCACATGTTTGGTGTGTCTCCCAGGTGGCTTGTGGCAAACTTTAAACAAGACTTTTTATGGATATCTTTGAGAAATGGCTTTCTTCTTGCCACTCTTCCATAAAGGCCAGATTTGTGCAGTGCACGACTGATTGTTGTCCTATGGACAGACTCTCCCACCTCAGCTGAAGTTATCTGCAGTTCATCCAGAGTGATCATGGGCCTCTTGACTGCATCTCTGATCAGTCTTCTCCTTGTTTGAGATGAAAGTTTGGAGGGACGGCCGGGTCTTGGTAGATTTGCAGTGGTCTGATACTCCTTCAATTTCAATATAATTGCTTGCACAGTGCTCCGTGAGATGTTTAAAGCTTGGGAAATCTTTTTGTATCCAAATCCGGCTTTAAACTTCTCCACAACAGTATCTCGGTCCCGCCTGGTGTGTTCCTTTGTCTTCATGGTTCTCTCTGCGCTTTAAACAGAACCCTGAGACTATCAAAGAGCAGGTGCATTTATACGGAGACTTGATTACACACAGGTGCATTCTATTTATCATCATCAGTCATTTAGGACAACATTGGATCATTCAAAGATCCTCACTGAACTTCTGGAGTGAGTTTGCTGCACTGAAAGTAAAGGGGCCGAATAATATTGCACGCCCCAAGTTTTTTATTTGTTAAAAAAGTTTAAATTATCCAATACATTTTGTTCCACTTCACGATTGTGTCCCACTTTTTGTTGATTCATGACAAAAAATTAAAATGTTATATCTTTATGTTTGAAGCCTGAAATGTGGCGAAATGTTGAAAGATTCTAGGGGGCGAATACTTTATACATATAAAAGGGGTCATGGGCCAGTGACGGCTGCGAGGGCCAAGTTGAAGATCCTCACTTTTTTATAAAAATATTTATTTAAATGAAAACATTTTTCTCTATAATCTAAAGGAATCAGAGCATGATTATGGCCAGAATGATACATAATGCTACACTTGGATATGAATAACTTGACACAATACAAACTTAAAATAGAAAAACTGAAATGCAAAATATTTTGTCTCAGCTGGATCCTCTGACTGACACTCACTCCGACGTGGATGACAGTGAAGCGGAGGAGGCTGAGGAGGGGCTGTCGGAGGATGAAGATCATCAGGATCGCTCTGTTGCTGATGACCCGGACGAGGAAGTGTCCGCTGGAACCCGAGCTAAGCAGCTGGCGGAGCGTCTCAAATCAACAGCCTGCAGAGTGCTCCGTGACCTGGGTCGCATCCTGGCTATCAGCCTGCTGGCTCTGGCTGGTACTGCGCCCTCATACAAAAGCACATTCACAGTTTCTAAAATAGGGAGTGGGTCTTGACTCTTGTCATTCCACTGTTCATGTCCTGCTGACAGCAAAAGTAGGAATGCTTTTGGGGCAGGTGTTCTCCACAAAACAACAATTACTTCTGGTTTATTCTGGTCGTTCCAAGTGCAGGCTGTTTACTACATGCCACCCTGCATCACTCTGGTCACACTTCTTTTAAACATTTGTACAGATGACAGGGAGGTTCTAGTGTTTCAAGCTCAATTTAAATACCACGTGACAACTTTAAAATGCGTAATACACATAATAGTATAATAGTTATAAATACATACTAAAATACTTAAATACATTCTAAGTTATGTATTTCTTATTTTCAGAATTGTTTTTTTCTATGATAAATATCTAGTTCTGATTCTAATTTCAATATTGATTTATATCTTTGACAACAGTGTGTACACAGTTTTCTATCTCTTATTAACACAATGCTTCATGGAGAATAATTTATCAGTATCTTGCCATTTTTTTATGGTTTTAATTGGGGTGCATTATATTAGTAAACAATAATATCAACATTTTCGGTCGTCAAAGGAATGTCGGAACATGCAGGTTTATGCATAAGAAAACATGCAGAGATTTATATATGACATTATTGCATATCTTTGTAAACATTATTGCACTTGCTATTATCACTATAACAATATATTTTTAAACATTGTGCAGCTCTAGTATAATCAAAATACATTTGAAAAATGTCCCCTGTACTGTAGTTCCTGTTATCTGCACTTTTGTCAATATGCAATATAATATGTCATTGTTTGTTCCAGGTATCACTCTGCCCTCAGCCTTCTCAGCCATCTACTTCCTCCTCTTCATCGGGGTGTGCACATGGTGGGCTTGCCATCTTCCCATCAGCCACTTGGGCTTCAATGCGCTGTGCGTGATGGTGGGCTTCTTCACGGCGGGTCACATGGTGTGTCTCTACGTTTACCAGAGTTCCTTGTCCCAGGCCGTGTTCCCTCCCAGCAGCCTGTGGGCCCGGTACGTGTCAAACATGTTTACACTGAAGAGCAGAGGTCAGTCTACACCTGTCTCAGCCCCGTCTTTACTCTCTAATGACCGCTCTTACACCTTTGACACACCGTCTGCATTCCCACAGTGAAATGTTCCCACAACATTATGGCTATAATTAATGATCCATGAGTTGGGCGATTATTCTTTTGATTGATCTATTAGTTGTTTAGTTCCTTAAAGTTCTTGGAATATGGGATTTTTAAAATACATTTTACCAAAACAAAGCTCAAGTGATGCCCCTGGAGAAGATCTTCATGAAGATGGCTTGTTACACAATGGGTTGTTTGATGAAAAGTACTTTTTCTGCAGTTATTATAGAACTATCTGAGTCATACAACCTCTTCTCAGCATGTTTAACTCTTTGTAAGGATTAATCAACAACTAGTTGTATATTATACTAGTTGTATATTATGAGTAATAATCAATTGCAAGTTGCCATACACAATATTTACCCTGAAATATGATGCCCTATTCCAATCCCTTTGAACATAAATAGTGCATTAGCTCCAAAAGATGTGGGTTCTTGTTCTGCTTTTAAAACACGACAAAGCAGTACACAGAAATCTGCTCAAGTTCATCTTGTTTTCAGATGACGCATTGGTCTCAGCTGAGTTTCGCACATACTAATCATGCTTTGTTGCTGTGCTCTTTGAAAGGGAATGTCCTGAAGTTTCACATCCGCTTTTTCCTCCTTTTACCAAACAGTGTGAACTTAAAGTTTAACAACCAGTCGTAAAGCTGCATATTGTTTGCACTGATACATGTTTTTTCAGCGGTCCAAAGACCAGTGACAGTAATTTATCATGAGGTTTAGTGTTTCCTTAATCCATTCTGTAACACAGGAAAGAAAGTGTTTTGTTGCAGTGTGGGCACAGTAGTCTTATTTGATTCCTGCCTTTTCTTTTAAAATGCTGTGAATGTGTGAAGCTTTAACAACAGTTTTATCAAGTTTACAGTATTTTACTTAGACTCTACCCCTTCCCTCTTCATAACTGGGAGGATGCAGCCCTTGAATGAGGACACAGCTCATGACTTATCACAGAATTCACTGAGGAATGTTTTAAATGTACCAGCACCACTCCAAAAGAATGTTCATTATCCTGCTCTTCCCTCACATTGATGTAAAAACACTGACACATTCAGGTTAGTCATCTGTGATTTGTTTGGAGAGTATAACACGTCTAAAGGAGGCAACATTTATATAGTACTCAAGGTGCTGGCTTAATTATTTCATAAATCTTTGATATTAACGCTGTGACTTTGTAAAAGGACATACTGAATTTCCTAGTGCAATACTGATTACTGAGCGTTAAGTGATAGCTTGTATTCACTTACGCTTTATTGATTTTGAGTATTTTTATACACAGATATGGTTTCCGTAGTTTTTATAGTCCCACTTTATTTAGACTAATACAAGTTAAGCCCCTTCTGGCAGAGTCCTGCGAAGCAGGGGGTCGACTTGAGGCGAGGAGACATAGGTTAATGCTGAGGTTACATAGCCTGAATAGCTCTGGAGCTTGCTGTTGGGGTTCGGACTTGGATATAATTACTGCTGGCTTTTCCCCACACATAGAAAGATGTCAAAAAATTGCCTCAATGTGATGAAAAGCTGAGACTGTGCTGAAGATTTGGTCTGTAGTTGATGACAGCTTCTCAGTGCTGCCAAAACCACCTGTAGGCTCTGTTAATGTCAGAGATGGATTACTCTGGTGGACGTCCAAAACCGTGAAACAGGATCTACTGTAGATCCATCTGCCCCATGCAGAGCAGTAGAGAAGTGACCAGTGGGGCACCTCAAAGCATTTCACACTCAAGTTCAACTATTTTTATGTCAGTTTATTGGTCCTGTTAGATGTTTTAATAAAATTGTTAAAGTCTAACCCAGTGCTTCGCTACGCAGGATATAAACTTGAAGGGCCTTTACATGTTGTCAATGGATTTGTCAAAGATTATACGGCTGCAGGAGGGTCTACGGGCAGTGGTGGCGATCCAGGAAATTTAAGGACACGTGTGTGCTTAAATGTGGGGTTTATTAATATTTATGGTTATTGGTCATTTTGGATTTTTCGCATGGATGGATGGATGGATGCATTTCCTTTGTTTGAACGGTTTGATTCTCTGATCTGTGTTGGCAAATCCACAACTGTCTAAAAGTCCTCCGAAGTAACCACTGCTGTAGAGCTACACAAAAATAAATTGAATTGATTTGACTTTTGTGTTGGAACAGACTGTTTGGCTTGAAGGACATCATTATACCTGGAAACTGCTCCTCTCCGTTTGAGCTCCGCCTAAATTCAGAACATGACTGGCCTGTGTATGCCAACCCTGGGGTCCTCTTCCTCCTCTACGTCACCATTACCACCGTTCTTAAGACGGGCTACATCAGAGCGTCTAAGGTTGGCTTCGGTGATAACTGTATTTTCACTTGATAAACTGAATACAGATGAAAGATCCATTTGTGCTCTGATTCTTTCCGTGTGCAGGAGGAAGAGCAAAAACCGGGGCCGCAGGCGGATTCTCCAGAGAATGAAGAGATGACAGAGTTCAGAACGTGGACAGGAAGCAGTGATGGCTGTCGAGATGACACTCAGGTACAGATTCACACACCCCATGTTCCTCAGAGTCCCAGCAGGAGGCCAGTCCCTGTGTTCCTCAGAGTCAGAGTTGGTTCATATGCCACTAACATATCATGGATGTACTTTGGTGCGAGGTCATGGAGAGACTTGTGCTCAAGCAAAGCTGTTTTAAAGTCTATTTTCTCAGCCACAGGAAGCCAGTGCAGAGACCTGAGCACAGGACTAATACAGAGAGTTCTTCCTCATGGACGAGAGTATTGTGCAATGATTATTTCTTGTTCCCTAGCTTAGAAATGCTCACTCATAAAATCAACAGATGATGTCATTTTTTTTTCAAGCTTGCCCAGTGAGAGTTTAGAGATTCAAAGCAGCATGTTAGATCATGCACATGAAATGTGTCAAATCGCCAACACACCCTGCATGTCTTCCATAACGGACATTCACAAATGTATATAATTTCTATGCATTAGCTTATTCTTTTTTTCAACGTTGAATACTTTGTCCTTCTTTATTTGACATGTGGTCTTCTTTCAGCTCATGCTGTTGTCCATGGGAAACGAAGGGCCCAAAGACGTAGCACTGGCCTCAGAGGAGAACACAGAACTTGGTAAATTTCCTTTAAGAATCAAGCACAACATTTCTTCACAAAACTATTACAAACACATTGAAACATTGTGGGACAAACTCAATGCTAACCCTTCTCTTCATTGTCTTAATATCCACAGTCTTTGTAATCCACATAATTTTTATTTTTTACCTGTTAGGTGCAGAAGCTGCCCCTAGTGGTGGAAAAAGTGAGAGTCCATTGTTTATGCTTGGAAGGGTGGTGATGCAGCAGAGCTATGTTTGTGCTCTGATCGCTATGATGGTGAGGAGAGGACATTCTTAAACACATCAATTCATAGTATAGGAAGAAAAAGACAATTACAGTCTGTTTGTGTGTGTGTGTGTGAGTAGGTGTGGAGCATTACGTACCACAGCTGGCTCACCTTTGTGCTGCTGCTCTGGGCTTGTCTCATCTGGATCCTGCGAGCCAGGTCTAGCATAATAAAGAAAGACTTGAGCAGTGTTTGAGTTTACTTTTTCTCATTTCTTGCTGTCCTGTGGTTCAGGCGCCATGCGGCCACCCTGTGCTCCCCATTCATCCTGCTCTATGGATTGGCCCTGTGCTGTCTACAGTATGTCTGGGCCATGGAGCTCCAGCCCGAGCTTCCATCCACTGTGGGGAACATGAGTCTACGGCAGCTGGGTCTGGAGCAGGCGCAGTTCCCCTGTCTAAGGCTCGGAGCTCTGGTGAGACATCCCTATCACGCTTTCATTCCCCAGTACATATAAAGACCACTAGTAAATCTGTACGACAGAATAAGTAAATCAATGTATTGTGTCTCTGAATATTATTAATATTGATAATTTCAATGTATCAGTTTATCATTTACCTATATTACACTCTGATGGCTAAAGGCTGGGGCACACGTAACTCATCATTCAGAGACTGGGTCGCGTTCAAGAAGATATACTTTCGCCTCATGGGGTCTGTACTAAAGTATTTCTGAAATAATAGCTTCTCTGCGCTCCTTCCTAAACTCTCCACACCGTTTAGAGCCTTCTTTTGATTATTGTGTTGTGACAGATTTTTGATTGACTACATTAGTTTGATTTGAAAAAAGGTTCATTCTCTACCTTCTTTAAATGAACACATCACATGTTATTGTAAATTGTGGACATAACAGAACAGATATTTTCTTTGTGCAGCTTCTTTTCACCCTGACCTTCTGGCTGCTGTTGCGGCAGTCAGTGAAGGAAAACTTTAGCCGGAAAAGGAGCATGATGGCCTCACTACAGGAAGTCACTACAGGAGGTTTGAACCTGTGCAAACACACACATGGACACTGCCTAAAATGTTTTTTATTGGGATTCTTACATACATGCACAAGCAGTTAGATAGACAGACAGATACGCTCACAGTATTTTTCATAATTTAACACATGTTGTTATTGTTACTATTTCATGTGTAAAAATAAGAAATACATTATACAATTTATAGTGAGCAATACATTTTCTTCAAATTGTGTTCAAAGGATTTCCCATAATGCTACTCTGCATTTCCACCAGAACAAGGTCCTGGCAATGAGTCTGTGCTTAAAGTCCTGGGGGGTATGGTCATGTGCTGTTATGCCAAATACTGGATCTATGTGTGTGGAGGGATGTTCATCATGGTGTCCTTTGCTGGAAAACTGGTGGGCTACAAGATAGTCTACATGCTGCTGTTCCTGCTCTGCCTCTGTCTTTACCAGGTACTCTGCCCTGACTCTATTGCGGCGTGTTCACTTTGTATTGACTTTTGTCTCTCTGCTCCAGGTTTACTACTCTCTGTGGCGGCGACTGCTGAAGATTTTCTGGTGGCTTGTGGTCGCATACACCATGCTGGTGCTGATTGCTATCTACACATTTCAGTTTGAGGACTTTCCCGGTTACTGGATGAACTTCACTGGTTTCACAGAGGAACAGTAGGTGTCGACATGCTTAGTCATGATTCATTGTTCAGAGAAATTCTCACAGTGTTACTTTGTTTCAGCTTCTAGCATATGACACTCTGATGCTAGATTTTAGTATAATCAAAATTTGTATTATTCAAGAAATACCCACAAAATGTAGCCTAATGTCAACAGCTGCAGACATACAGTCATACTTCCAAAACCGTGACTTAAACTGAGAACTGTGGTTCTGTTTTTGATTGACCTATAGCTCACACAATCTGCTTATGTCTGAACCAGGCTGGCAGCAGTGGGACTGGAGACCTTTGCCCTTTCAGAACTCTTCAGCAGTATCCTCATCCCAGGCTTCTTCCTTTTGGCCTGTATTCTGCAGCTACACTATTTCCACACCCCCTTCATGAAGATCACTGACCTGGAGAACGTCACTCCTAAACGCAGGTAACAGATCTGTGTTTTGAATCAATAGGAGAGAGCATTATGGTTCAATGGAGGATCATCCATCCATCCATTTTCTTCCGCTTCATCCATTGCCGTGCCGCGGGGGCAGCAGTCTAAGCAGAGACACCCACACTTCCCTATCCACACACACTTCTTCCAGCTCATCCGGGGGGATGGGAACGGAGAGTCAATTTTCAAGTTACAATTGGCAATGTATTACTTGAACAGCTAATATCTGTACCAAATATTTTCAGAAAGAAAAGTGAGACGACTGGGGCGTGTTGCACAGATGAAGCAGCAGGAGTCTTTGAGGAGGATGACGAGAATCTGGAAATTGAGTCTGAAGGTATCCCACCTGAAACATCTATTATCAGTGTTACTTCCTGCCGGATTGGAACAAAGTCTTGTCTATCCTTGTTTTAATTGTTATATATTTAATCAATCCAACGGCTGCTTTTCACATCCTGACTGAGACTAGAACATTATCTCATATTACAGCTGTATCAAAAAATGTAAGTATTCAGATTCAGGCACAGATTGACTTTGAAATTCTTATAATAATCGAGAAAGCCCTCCATAGCCTCACAGCCATCGCATGACTGGGGTATTTCTGATATGTTTGTGCCACAGAGCTCTCTGATCAACATTATTCTCTCTGTAAATGGAACACTGACTTGACACTGACTTAAGAGCAAACTAAAGACTCATTTGTTTTCTAACTTTCTGTTACTGATGTAATTATTATTTGTTAAGCACATTTTCTGTATGACTGTAAGAACTGTGCTATTTAAGTACATTTCCTTCCTCTATTTCCTTGCTTCTCCACCAGTGGCTCTGACGCCCAGTAAATGGGGCCTGGTCATGGACAGACTGCTGGTGCTCTCCAGGAAGTTCTCTGATATCCTCACTAAAATCCAGGGGTTTCTGTGGCGGCTGTTGGAGCTACACATCATCAAAATGGTGGCTTTCTTCTCTGTCTGGGTGTCTCTGGAAGAGGTAAATGCACTGATCCCTGTCACAGTGCATAGTGCAATGGCTGTAAATCCGCCAGTACTTAACACCTACAGTATGTGCTTTTCAAACATATATACACGATTTAGATGTAATTGTGTAAAAATAAATATGGGGTACACATTACAATTGTGGTCACAAGTAAGTGATGTGACTACTGCTAAGAATTAGGTGCAACTCAAAAAGGTGTTGAAGCAGCAGTTTAACACTGTGTCAAATATCTGAAGCAGTGGCTTTTATGTTAAGCATGTCCATTACGCATCTTAACCATCCACAACACAGGGTTTATGTATTGCAGCTTTTGTGTCTCCTACGATCAAAATGATATACTACACTTGTCAGAATATGTTAGCAACATGAAGCATAAGCTTCATAATAAGTAAGTGTGTGTGTGTGTGTGTGTGTGTGTCCTCAGCCGTCTGTGATGAACCTGGTGCTCGTGGTGCTCTGGTCTCTCGCTCTCCCCTACAGCCGCTTCAGACACATGGCCTCCTGTCTCTCCACTGTCTGGGTGTGTGTCATTATCATGTGCAAGATGCTGTACCAGCTCAGTGTGGTCAACCCAGCTGAGTATTCCAGCAACTGTACCAAGGTAAGCTCTCTTTTCTGTGTGATAACATAGTGTTGAATCTGTATGATAGAATTCTCTGACAACAGTGTTGGTGCTGCTTCTTTTGGGTTCATATAAATTATCCACTGGTGTGAAGATCACTATTTGGATTTAAATGTTGACAAAGAACAAGGACATGATCATTGAATTCAGTCGTCTCAAATGGTGTCATTCAGGGAGAGAATGTTGAGGTTACTGACAGACATAAAAAACTTCAAACTACAATCAACTACAAATTGTAGTTTGACCTGAACTAAGAGTCCATCATAAAACGAGGTCAACAAAGAACATATCTGTTGAGAAAAGTCTCACTTTCTTATCCATTTTTTGTTTTGGCCTGATGGTGAAGAACAAAAACTATTTTCAGAGCATTGTAAACACTTTTTCTAAAATCACTTCCTCTCCCTATGGGAGGAACACATACACCACACACAGGAAGTATGTACAATGTGGGAATCATGTCTATTGCTCTTATATAAAACTAAAATTCTAATTGAACATGCAACATACATCATATTTAGGAGCACGTATAAAATATTTAAGCATATATAATTTAAAATCTAAATATACAGTATATATCTTAGATGTTGTGTTGGTAATCAGTGTTCTGTGGATTCTCTGTCTTTACTGTTCACTCTTTCAGCCCTTGACCAATGAGACCAACCTTTTAGAAGCGGAAATGTGGAATTCCACTCTGTACAAGCCTGTAGACCCTGCGAGATGGTTTGGGATCAGAAAAGAGGCGACGGTTTTGGGCTATAGCAAGGTACTTCAGTGTGTAGACCTCAGACCACAAAACTTTTTATTGAGAGAAATGTAATACTCCATTCTCATTATGGTCTACGGTTTTGCAGAATCACCTGATTGTCTTGATGCTGCTAGTTTTTGAGGCCACAATCTACCGCCACCAGATCCACCACTACAAGCAGCTGCAGAAGTCTCCTCCCACCATCCCGGCTCTGTTCCCCACAGCCACACGCGACACGCTGGACCAGGGCCTAGTCCCCTGCATCAAATATCTGCTGAACTATACCTTCTATAAGTTTGGACTGGAGGTGGACTTTTACATTCTTTAGTCATCTGGGTGTTTGTGCTCCGATAAGTCTAGCAATGGCATTCTATGCTGATTTCAGATCTGCTTTCTGATGACAGTCAATGTGATTGGCCAACGGATGAACTTTCTGGTGATCATTCATGGCTGCTGGTTGGTAGCCATCTTAGTGAGACGTCGACGAGCAGCCATTGCTCAGTTATGGCCGCGTTACTGTCTCTTCCTGTCCGTCTTCATGATATACCAGTACTTATTGTGTGTGGGAATGCCCCCTGCTTTATGCCTGGGTGAGTATTAAAAATTTACCCTTACTGACCCTTAACAACATTATCAATAAGTGATCATATTTATGATCACTTATACAAAGTTATTTATCTTTTATGATCCTACACAGATTACCCCTGGAGATGGAATACTCCGGTGCTCATGAACTCTGCTCTGATCAAATGGATGTACCTCCCGGACTTCTACACTGTACCCAACTCAAAGAACCTCATAGGTGGGTAGTGTTTCCCGTTGTTTACATTCATCCTTTAAATATCCCTGGGGAACCCATACACATGTAATTATTAGGTTGAAGATTAAAAAAACATTCATCATTTATTTGATAAATGTTATTAAATCAATTACATTTACATGGCGGTTCAAACATGAACAAGTAAGTTAGTCATCTTATTTAACGCAGACCAATGTCACGCAAAGCCTTTTATTGTATGGTTTCATTGGAAAATACCAGCCCCAGCTAGATTTAATTCAGTTTATTTTTGTATAACCCTATATCACAACAGTAGTTGTCGGAGAGGATTTTACTAAACCTTTGATTCGCCAACACAGATCAGAGAATAGTTCAAACACAGGAAATTCAATGAAGCTGAAGCTTAAAAAAGTCCTCACAGTCTGACTCTTTTCTAGTTCCTTGAGTGTGAAAAGTGTGGTTCCTTTGTCCTCTGACAGTGATGTCTCTTCACAGCTGACTTTGTGCTGCTCATGTGTGCGTCGCAGCAATGGAAGGTGTTTGAGGATGAGCATGTGGAGGAGTGGATGGTCTTGGCTGGGGAGAACACTGATGATGCTAACCCCATGGAAGGGCGCCTGTTCAACCCAGCACCAAACTTTATCAACTGCAGGTTGGCCTGGTTACACATGGTTTACATTAAGGTTTGCACTACCCTCTCTGACACCTGACTGTGTCTCACAGGAGTTATCTGGACATGGCCAAAGTGCTGGTGTTCCGCTACTTCTATTGGTTTGTTCTGGCTGTGGTGTTTGTCACTGGAGCCACTCGGATATCAGCTTTTGGACTGGGTTACCTTCTGGCCTGTTTCTTTTTCCTTCTCTTTGGAACAAAGCTGCTGCTGAAGCAGTCGCGGACTCGTCTCACTTTGTGGGACTGCCTCATCATTTATAATGTTGCAGTCATTATATCCAAAAACATGCTTTCTGTGAGTTCCATTTTGTTATCGTTGTAGTTTGTTTTTTATATTGTATTTATACAGTAGGGATGTGGTCAATATGTCAGATAATAGTTCTGACAAAAGTTTTTTTGTCTTTGTTCTGATGTTGTGGGTGGCAGATTCTGGCCTGTGTGTTTGTCTTTGAGATGCAGAAATCCTTCTGTTGGGTTATCCAGCTCTTCAGCCTCGTCTGCACAGTTAAAGGCTACTATGACCGTACGTCCAGAAGCATCTCTCAAACTCAAACATTGTCCATTACTGTTTATTATGAAGTGATAACAAGTCAGGTTCATGTTTTTAGCTAGTGCAGTTGAGGATCGGAGCTGCACCCTGCCTGTGGAGGAGGCTGGGATCATCTGGGATGGGATCTGTTTTCTGTGCCTTCTGCTGCAGCGGAGAGTCTTCCTCAGCTTCTACTTCCTCCATGTAACCACGGAGCTCCAGGCCTCAGCCCGACAAGCATCAAGGTACAAGTCCATTATCATTACATTTGACCTGTACAGATTCTGATACTAGTGTTTCTCCAGAGGATTTGAGCTGTTTAAGGCCAGCATCATTAAGAACATTAAACACCACCAGCAACTGGAGCAGAAGTCTTTGTCTCAGCTCAAGAGATCGTAAGATTGTCCCGTGCAAAAGTATGAAATTTTAGGCAACACTTTCCTCACTCCCTCCGGTGTCATTCGCAGGATGCAGCGTATTCGATCCAAGCAGCAAAAGTACAGAGATGGACACAAAACACACAAGCAACCAGACAACATTGAAGGTACATCTACACTGGGGTTGAGTTTAGTACTATAATCATCCTCTCCTTTGTTATGTCAATTCATGCTTTTATTTTCACCAAAAACTCTTTTCTTTTTCATTCAATAAAATGTATTTCATGATGAATGTCTAAAGCAAACCGGCACAAACTGGTTGCTTTGCTTCTGACAGTATGCCACAGGGCAGCTGTGTCTGGCCTTGGATTCCGGGATTTTTCACACAACTAACAAATCCATTTCATATTGGGTGGGTGCCTGCCTTGACCCATAATCTGAAAGTTGCGATGGATGTGAAAATCTGCTCTATGTGTAGCATCTATACTGTCACATCACGCACAGTATTAGATCTTCAAAATGTTTGTAGATTCATTATAATTGATTTAAAACTACCATCTGCAGAAATCCAAAAGGAGGAAAATATATCCAGTAAGAAGAACTGGTACCAGCCATGGTTGGACCACGCCAAAGGTAAAGTCTATGAGACATTGTTGTTCCACACAGTTTGCTTTCAGTATCTTTGTGAGATTATTCATACCCAAATTTCTGTTTATATTTAGTGCTCCACTCCGGGGACTACTACCTCTTTGAATCAGACAGTGAGGATGAAGAGGAGCAACAGGCCGATGAGCAGAAGCCCAAAAAGCAAACAGCCTGCCAGGTCAGTCCCTCTCACGCGTCACACATTTATAGTAATATTTATTTTTACTTGAAACACCAAATCACACCAATGAAAAAGTCAGTCTGTTTTAACTACTTCATAATAAAAGAAGTAGAAAGTGCGTCATAAACAGGGTTGTTGAAAGTCTCTGGTTTGACAGTTGGCGTACCAAGCCTGGGTGAGCAGTGTGAAGGAAGCTCTGAGAGATCGACAGAGGAGACAGAGGCAGATGAGGCAAATGGAGAAGGCAGCAGTGCAACAGCCACACACTGACACTGGTCTGGACCCACATTAACTGCTATTGATTACAATAATATAACATAATATACACTGTAACTGATAACATAAGATGAATGCAAGTGAACGTGAATGTGTGAACAGGGGGTGCAGACAATGATGTGTTTGAGGAGCCTGCTGAGCGGGACGGCAGCGAGGAGCCGGAGGAGAAAGACTCTGGTGTGGTCTCTGTTCTCTCTGTTAATACCACGATTTAGGGGAATCTGTTTAACTAAGCTGTCGTTCTGTAGGACATGGAGAGATGGTTCAGAGAATCCTGGACCTTCTTCGCTTTCTTTGGGCCATAGTCCTAGCCATGGTGGATGGCCTGACACAGTGGCTCAACCTTCTGACCAAACAGTACAGAGAAACATCCACAGTACTGGGCAACGAGCGCTACTACATGATCCACAAGATAAAACAGGTAGAGCTTTTACTGCACCAGTCCCCCACTCTGAACATTAGTCTCATTAGGTGTTCCAATGTGCCACAAATGTCATAGAGGACTACTTCTGATGTTCTCAATTTATCTTTAATGGGGAAAATAAAAAGTGCTATTTTTTCCAAACCATGTCCACAGCAGCAGAACGGAGCCTCCACAGATGACCTTCACTCCCAGGGCAGTGGCAGTCACACTCTGGAGACTTGTCTGGACGACACTGAGGCTGACAATTCCAGATACAGTTGCCTGGATGTAGTGGACGTGGACAGTCAGGGGGTCCCAGGCCAGTCGACCCCCAGGCCCCTGCTGGCGAGCGCTACCAATCTACTGAATCCAGAGCTTCAAGACAACAGCCTGGAGCTGCTCCCAGATCTACCCAAACAGCAGCGACACTCCAGGACAGCGAGTGAGCTGCTGGGAGAAAGGTATTCACCCGACTCTTCTTGTTTCCCAGTATTTACAGTAAAGTAAGTTACAGTGCTTGAGAGTGTGCTGGCTAACCCCTGCTCTTGTCTCTGTATACAGACAGTTTTATGTGGAGGAGCTGGAACAGAGCCGGGACTTCTACAACAGTCAGAACCGTCTGCTGAAGCTTCTGTTCGCACTCTACAACCTGCTGGCTGCAAACTCTGAGCTGGTGTGCTACCTCATCATTGTCCTGAACAATGTGGTGAGTGCGTCGGTCATCTCCTTGGTGCTGCCCATCCTGGTGTTCCTGTGGGCCATGCTCTCCGTGCCCAGACCCACCAAACGCTTCTGGATGACCGCCATTGTCTATACCGAGGTACGGCTTGCTCAACAGATTTACATATCAATCTCAATGCTTTCAAATAGAACAAATGAAACAGTAGTATCGGAATATCGGGCCGATCTACACTTGTTATGCTGTTGTATGAGGTATCTTCAGGATCACAGACAGTGCCTTGTTTTTCTTACTTTGTTCACTTGATTTCATTATATTGTAGTCCAAGGAATGTCCTGTGTTGGACTTTGTGTAGGTGAATTTATTTTCAGGCTTATTTCAGGCTACATATTGGTATGTTATTTTTCTTACTTTCATGGCAACAATGCCCTCATAATTTCCTATTTTAGATTATTTTTCATTTTTTACAGTGTGTTAATAAACAAGCTGATTTTTAATGATAATTCTAGATTTTTACTCTTATAACAAATACACATCTTTGTCTAATATTATTACCTGTAGTTCTTGTGGATTGAGAAACTGTACAAGTTCTGGGCATTATTGTTTTTTGTTTTTTAATAACAAATCAAAGAAAACCTTAAATTAGAAAGTATACCTGTAGGGAGATATTTGTTTCCAACTGAAATGGCAGTTCAAAAAGAAAAAAACTATATGTACACATTTATTAGATTTTATGAAAAGTTAGTAGTATCTGAGAATCCCACTTCGTTAATTGATAACCCTAACTTTAAGGCATTTTTTTGTAATATGATTTAATGGGTGATGGTGTGATGTGTTGTGTTTCATGCTGTAGGTGATGGTGGTGGTCAAGTACCTGTTTCAGTTTGGGTTTTTCCCCTGGAACAGTGTGTATGAGATGACCCTGAACGAGGACAAGCCGTTCTTCACACCTCGCATCCTAGGCCTGGAGAAGTCCGACAACTACATCAAATACGACCTGCTGCAGCTGCTGGTCCTGTTCTTCCACAGATCTCTGCTCATGGTGATTACGTCCACATGCTGCTCACTGTACTCATTATTTAACATGTGGCTTATTACTGTCTTTAACAAATGTGTGTGTGTGACAGCGTTATGGTTTGTGGGACCACGAGGGGCCCATCAAAGAGAAGCCCTCCCCTCAGAGCAGCACTGATGATGGCAAAATTGCAGATGTGTGTGAAGATGCCACAAAGCAGGAGACTCAAGAGGAGCTGATCATCACAGAGGTGGATACACAGTATAATGAAACATTTGCTGCTAATACACAGCTGCAGGGTCTAACCATGACTCCAAACTGTTTAGCAGGACCCAGTGGAGTATCCAGAGTCCAGGAGTGACACACCAGCCCCCGCATCGCCTCCTGTTGTGAATTCAGATACTACAGCATCTGTGGATGAGCAGGAATCCACAAGCTTTGACTCCACAAATCTCCAGGATAGAACACAGAGCACCAACCCGGGACCAAAGAAGAGCATCATGCGCTTTCGCAAAAAGAAAGCAAAAAAAGATCAGAAGACAGGTCCAGGTCAGTTATGCATTTGAACTACTGTACTGAATATAACAATGCATAATTAAAATTAATGAATAAAATACATAATTTTATCTCTAGCTGCGGCCTCCGAGGGGGAAACACCAGAACCTGAAGATCCAGAGAGAGAGAATAAAAATCCAGAGAAGAAGAAGAAGAAGAAAAGTAAAAGAAGAGAAGCTGCCCAACAGCGGCTGGTGGCGGTGGGACAGAAGCTCAAAGATGTGTATTTATCGAGGTGAGTCATAGTCACAACTTTAAGCACAGTGAATAAAGATGAGTCTGCTTAGTTCTGTTGCTGTGTGCAGTGTACAGGCCGTGTACCAGCCCACACAAAGCTTCTTCAATGACATAGTGCACGCAGAGTATCGAGCTGCTACTGACGTCTACGCCCTCATGTTCCTCACTGATGTTATCGACTTCATCATCATTGTCTTTGGCTTCTGGGCCTTTGGGGTATTGTGCTCCTAAAATGATTCATATTGTGAAAGCTGCACATTATTAACTGGCTTTTGTATACAGAAACACAGTGCGGCTGCGGACATCGCCTCCTCTCTGTCGGAGGACCAAGTCCCTGAGGCCTTCCTGGTGATGCTGCTCATTCAGTTTAGCACCATGATTATTGATCGGGCGCTGTACCTGCGCAAAGCTGTTCTGGGAAAACTCATCTTCCAGGTTACTAACTTGTTAGATCAACATTATTTTTTTCAGTTGTTACATTGTTTGTGCTTGTTCATGGAAAAATACTGCTAGAGTGATCTATTTTCACCAAATACCACTCTGGTATTGGCAGGTCATCCTGGTGTTTGGGATCCACATCTGGATGTTCTTCATTCTGCCTGCAGTCACAGAGAGGTACAGCCTCACAATGCAACACTTCACTTCTGTGTAACAATGAACAGTTGAGATGTGCTTATCTATCTGCAGGAAGTTCAATCAGAACTTTGTGGCCCAGCTCTGGTATTTTGTCAAGTGTGTGTACTTTGGCTTGTCAGCCTACCAGATCCGCTGTGGCTATCCAACACGTATCCTGGGCAACTTCCTGACCAAGAAGTACAACCACCTCAACCTGTTCCTCTTCCAGGGGTATGAGACCGTTCTTCATTCATGTTTCTCCCGTCCTTTGGACGACGACTCTGATTTGAATCAATGCGCTTAGATTTCGACTGGTGCCGTTCCTGGTGGAGCTGCGGGCTGTGATGGACTGGGTTTGGACTGACACAACTTTGTCGCTGTCCAACTGGATGTGTGTGGAAGACATCTACGCCAATATCTTCATCATCAAGTGTAGCCGTGAGACTGAAAAAGTTAGACACCACTGCTGTAGCTGCACAAGCAAAATGAATAGACCATGGAATTAATGTATTTGTGCTTTTCTTTATTCAGAAATATCCCCAGCCAAAAGGACAAAAGAAGAAGAAAATTGTCAAATATGGGATGGGCGGTCTCATCATCTTTTTCCTAATTTGTATAATTTGGTTCCCATTGCTCTTTATCTCATTGGTCAGATCCGTAGTGGGTGTGGTCAACCATCCCATTGATGTCACTGTAACAGTTAAGCTTGGAGGCTATGAGGTACACATGCCAAACCCCTTGTTTAAACTCTGAGTGAGGTTCTTTTTTTAAATGACTCCCTTCTTTCTTTTTACAGCCTCTGTTCACCATGAGTGTTCAGCAGCAGTCTATAAAGCCTTACTCTGAGGCTGATTATAATCTCCTCACAAGGACATTTGGCGATAATGCGGTACTTATATCGACTTCAATTCAAATCTATGTAGTCGCCAATAACAGCAAGTACATCATACAGCAAGTGCACACATCAGTAATAGATTTCATTCCAAATAACATGAGAATTAAAGTTGTATGAGACTATAAGCATACTACAGTGCCTTGCGAAAGTATTCGGCCCCCTTGAACCTTTCAACATTTAGCCACATTTCAGGCTTCAAACATAAAGATATAAAAATTACATTTTTTGTCAAGAATCAACAACAAGTGGGACACAAACAAATAAAAAACTGAAAAGTGGGGCGTGCAATATTATTCGGCCCCCTTGCGCTAATAGCGCCACCTTTTGCTGCAATTACAGCTGCAAGTCGCTTGGGGTATGTCTCTATCAGTTTTGCAAATCGAGAGACTGGAATTCTTTCCCATTCTTCCTTGCAAAACAGCTCGAGCTCAGTGAGGTTGGATGGAGAGCGTTTGTGAACAGCAGTCTTCAGCTCTTTCCACAGATTCTCGATTGGATTCAGGTCTGGACTTTGACTTGGCCATTCTAACACCTGGATACGTCTATTTGTGAACCATTCCATTGTAGATTTGGCTTTATGTTTTGGATCATTGTCTTGTTGGAAGATAAATCTCCGTCCCAGTCTCAGGTCTTTTGCAGACTCCAACAGGTTTTCTTCCAGAATGGTCCTGTATTTGGCTCCATCCATCTTCCCATCAATTTTAGCCATCTTCCCTGTCCCTGCTGAAGAAAAGCAGGCCCAAACCATGATGCTGCCACCACCATGTTTGACAGTGGGGATGGTGTGTTCAGGGTGATGAGCTGTGTTGCTTTTACGCCAAACATATCGTTTTGCATTGTGGCCAAAAAGTTCGATTTTGGTTTCATCTGACCAGAGCACCTTCTTCCACATGTTTGGTGTGTCTCCCAGGTGGCTTGTGGCAAACTTAAAACGAGACTTTTTATGGATATCTTTGAGAAATGGCTTTCTTCTTGCCACTCTTCCATAAAGGCCAGATTTGTGCAGTGCACGACTGATTGTTGTCCTATGGACAGACTCTCCCACCTCAGCTGTAGTTATCTGCAGTTCATCCAGAGTGATCATGGGCCTCTTGTCTGCATCTCTCATCAGTCTTCTCCTTGTTTGAGATGAAAGTTTGAAGGGGCGGCCGGGTCTTGGTTTGGATTTGCAGTGTTCCGATACTCCTTCCATTTCAAGATAATTGCTTGCACAGTGCTCCTTGAGATGTTTAAAGCTTGGGAAATCTTTTTGTATCTATTTATCATCATCAGTCATTTAGGACAACATTGGATCATTCAAAGATCCTCACTGAACTTCTGGAGTGAGTTTGCTGCACTGAAAGAAAAGGGGCCGAATAATATTGCATGCCCCACTTTTCAGTTTTTTATTTGTTAAAAAAGTTTAAATTATCCAATAAATTTTGTTCCACTTCACGATTGTGTCCCACTTGTTGATTCATGACAAAAAATTAAAATGTTATATCTTTATGTTTGAAGCCTGAAATGTGGCGAAATGTTGAAAGGCACTGTATAGCAGTTATCTGATTAGTTTATATAATGTGTTCCAGGTGGCGATGCAGTTCATCACCCTGTATAATTCCGAGGACATAGTGACAGCCATGATTGAGGGCAGCTCTGGCTCCGTGTGGAGGATCAGCCCCCCCAGTCGACAGGAGCTCATCAAGGAGCTGCTGGAGAGTCAAGTGGACCTGACGCTGAGGCTGGCCTGGACCTTCCAGAGGTACACTCACACAATTGCATAGTGGTCTGAGCTGGGAAAAGTTAATAATAATAATATCATTCATAATAATTCCTTTTTTTTTCATGGTGCCTTTCGAGACCCCCAAGAATGCCTTAAAATAGAAGAAAAACATCATGCACAATATTAAAAACACAGAATACTATATATTTAAAATATTACAAAGAATAAGCCATTTTAAAAAGGTTGGTTTAGAGATGTGACTTGATAATGCCCAGAGAGTACAACTGTTGCAAGTGAATCGGTAGAGTGTTCCAGAGTTTGGGGGCAGAGTGGCTGAATGTTTTGTACCCCATCGTGGCCATTTTGAAGTGATGGTTGTCTGGTATCATTCCCCTCCACAGAGATTTGGGAAAAGGTGGGACTGTGGAGCACACCTTTGACAAACACTCAATCGATTTGGAGCCAGGGAGTCTGGTCCGGTCGGACTTGGCCTCTCTGCTCGTGGGCAACCGCACCAAACCAGTGTAAGTGTCCTAAGAGCTGGGGCAGGGAAGACGGTCACACTTTATTTAACACGATATTGTCCTCATCAGACTCGTGCCGCACATGTTTCCAAACTACATCCGAGCCCCAAATGGAGCAGAAGCCAAACCTGTCAGTCAACTGTTTGAAGGTAAGCTCCTTTATCCCGTCACGGTTTATTCCACATCATTGTTTGATCTTGTGTTTAATATTGCAGAAGGTGAAAAGGGCTACATGAACATCACCCTGTCGCTCATGAGTGATAAGTCCCTGAAGGCCAGTGGGACTCAGGAGTGGTGGGACATTGCCATCGCAGACTGTCCGCCCCCCTCCTGTGGAGTTCTGCCCATGGTGGTCTTTAACGACAAAGTCAGCCCCCCCAGCCTGGGCTTCCTGGCTGGATATGGGTGAGCCTTAAAAAATATGATTTCAAAAGGTTTAACAGTCAGTGGGCTATTATTGTGTTTCTGCTTTTATTACTTGTCTGCAATGATCATGTATTTTAAAATGTATCTATTACATATTATTATGTATATTTTAAAAAGTAATCATCATTATTTTAGGTGCAACAAAACTCAAACAATTTCTGTTGAATCTATATTGCTCTCAAAGTTATTTGTTTTATGCTCATTTCCTGATAGTCTTTTTCCAAGTACAGCAGCAAAGTTTCAAAGGTATATATAGATATGAAGGCGTGCATAAACATTCTCAAATAAGTGTTTAGATTACTACTATATACAAGTGCAGTAAGTGCACACAATATACATTTAACAAGGCATTAAAGTGACAGCAGTGACAGTAGTAAAAGGTGATGATTGTAAACAGCAGGGGTCGAGTGATGAGTTATGAAGTGCTCAGAGGGGAAGAAACTTTTCTAATGGCGGGAGGTTCTGAGTGGACTGTAGCTTCCTGCCTGATGGCAGTGGTTGGAATAGTCCATGTGAAGGTGAGAGGGGTCAGCAGTGATTCAACCAGCCGTCCTCAAGCTCGGGCGATGTACAGGTCCTGCAGGAAGGCCTATCACTTATCAACTTTTTTTCTGATTTATTAATATGTAACAATGTTACTATAATGTTGAACTTTGTATGTTTCAGGATTATGGGCCTCTATGTGTCCGTGGTGTTAGTGATCGGAAAGTTTGTACGTGGATTCTTCAGTGAGATTTCTCACTCGATCATGTTTGAGGAGCTTCCGTGTGTGGACCGCATCCTGAAGTTATGCACAGACATATTTCTGGTTTGTGTATTCAATTAATATTTCAATATTATTTTTTACTTTTAATGATTCTGTTTGAGTATTTGGAACGTGGACTGAGATATGTGTGTTTTAGGTGCGGGAGACGGGAGAGTTGGAGCTCGAGGAGGAACTGTACTCTAAAATCATCTTCCTTTATCGCTCTCCAGAGACTATGATCAAATGGACCCGGGACACTCTGAGTTCTAACCCAGAGAGGCGCTGACTCTCACAAACACCACTACAGTAGCAGGACGGCACCATGTTGTGTACGTGATGTCTAGACTCTCACAGATGCAGGAGCCGCTCCTCAGCATCACAGACCTGCAGAACTCACACAGGTCACGCACAGACAGGACATCCACCACCGGCAGGAAGTAACTGCAGAGTGTGGAGCCTGAAGGACTGAAGCTACAGATGTGCTCTCTTTCATGAACAAGAGGACTAATGCCATGAACCACAATGATTATTGTAGTTTGATTGTACGTGTTCTCGATGCCTGAGTGCCTTAAAGATCGTCTGAAGTGTCGATCTACTTGATGATGTCAGAGCCTAAATTATTTCACATGTGTTGTGACAATATCCAGAAATCTGAAAACTGTTGCTGTCTTTTTTGAGACCGCCCATGTCTTTCACAAAAAAGTGGTTGCAATAAAACTTTATGCCTATGTTAAATAGGTAAGACTTAAGGATGTTATGTATCTGTGTAAGTATTCTTTGTTTAATGTTTCAAAGATGTGTAAGATCCTTTGGCAATGCGTGTGACTCCAGTTTAAGCGTAACGTTTGGTTTGTTCAGGCACATCCTCTATATACAGTCAATCAATGCTAAATGATTGCTTCTAACATGACACCTTTAACCAGTTACGTAAGGGCTGGTAGCCAGATAATCACCCAACAAAAGTTTTTTTTTTTATCATTAATTTCAAACATAAATATTACCATATTTATTTTATAAGATATAATGATATACTAAATCTTCCTGTGGACCCAGCACCTGCCGGAGGATCAGCTTGGGACTGGTGCTATGAGCATTGGGTGGCAGCTGTGATTGCCACCCCCCAGAACCAGAAATTGACGAATAAAGGGGTAGAAAATGAATGAATGAATGAATGAATGATATACGTGGACAAGAACAGTTACAAACATCCTTCAATGTTTTCTGTTACAATATAATGGCCTTTGTAAATACCCTATTGTGGAAGCTTACAGCTTTTTCGAGTAAACAAACATAACAAGGCCACTCACAGGATTTTAAAAAAAATAAGTGTTTCTTGATGAGAAAAAACGGTTTTAACACAAACAGAGATTATAGATAAACAGCGGACCCCGGGCCACAGTTTGAGAACCTGTGTGACACCACGACGGTAGGTGGCAGCAAAGCAGGCAATCTTCCGGATATGTGCGCAAAGCTCATGTGCCAGTGTTGATGTTGCAGCCAAAACAAAGTTGACAGCGTGGATATCTACCATGGATCTGTGGTATTAACTATCTCTACAGATCTCTACAGTGAGAGATCTCGGATGTGCTCTGCGGGTTCTCAGCGCACATGGACCTTGGCTGCAGAGGAGAGCAGCTGTGAGTGTCATCATGCTGGAAGTGTAACAGGCTGATGTCTCTCTGGTGTAAATGTAAAGCATTAGAACACTATGTGACGTCACTGGTTTGTGTTTTAGGAGTGCCCTGACCATAGACTGTAATGCCCTGACTGAAGCAGCGCGCTTAGGTCATCATGCTGCTGCTGCCCTGGGTGGTGACCACACAGGTGGATGTGGTCCTGCTGCTGGTCTCTGCGCTGGCTCTCTGGACCAGACTGAGTGGACTGAGCTATCCCAAGAGTGTCGTGTGAGTGTCTCCCTAATATATATATATATATATCTATATATATATATATATATATATATATATATATATATATATATATATATATATATATATATATATATATATATATATATATATATATATATATATATATATAATTATACGCGCACACACGCGCACTTATTGATCTCACGATGGAGAAATGTACAATGGAATGAATGGTCATAGCAATACATGTCATAGACAAACCTATTCCTAGTTGCTCCATGCAGTCCACCAGACAGCCAGAGGAAACAGATGAAATACAAGTTACATCTGAAGGTCAGACCTACATTAGCTGTCGTGCCATTTTTTCAATAATCATTGTTGAGTTGTTATTAAAGCTGGGGTACCTAACTTTTACACCATAACAAATAGAACCAAACTCATGTATTACATGGATATACCACCAGTTTACAAATACATGTCGCATATTTAGATAATAAAAAAGTATTATATTATAATAGTATTATAAGCATTAGTTAGGTACCTCAGCTTTAACCTGTAGAGCTCAAAGACAGTCTATGGTTGGGGGTTGAGTTTTTCCGGATGTATTCTCACATTACACATCACGATCATATTATTGATTGACATGTTTCCTGATTCTATTATACATGTGCCATTCTAAAGGATTTCTCTTTGTTTCTTAGATTTGATGAGGTGTACTACGGCCAGTTTGTGTCTCTTTATATGAAGAGGGTGTTCTTCATTGATGACAGTGGGCCTCCTCTTGGACATATGATTCTGGCGGCTGGAGGTTAATGCAAACGTGTAAACATCCACTAAAACACACAAAGGAATCACTATCTATCAACATTTAAAGGGGGAGCTTTGGTTACTGGGGTAACAATGTTTTAGTGTCATTATCAATAATAATTGTCTTGTATAAGGAAAAGGTTGTGAACTAATCATGCTGTCAATTGTATAAGTCACTACATGAGACTTTGACCTGAGAGCTGATTGGCTGAGTGAGATTGGTTCTCTCTCTTTCATTTTTGTCAGAATAAGTACTGATAGAAACAAACTTTTCTGAGAAAGGAAAAAGTTTGGTGGATTTTATTATATAGCATTTTGTATGGTTTGAAAGCTCAAGTAAAATTTCTAATCAGTCCCTGTCTGTTCTGTGTTACAGCATATTTAGGTGGTTTTGATGGCAACTTTGTGTGGAACAGAATAGGAGCCGGTAGGTGACTTTTTATTATAGTAGAGTGGTTCGACAGTGTGTTTCGTGTTCATACGTCTACTCTCCTTGTGCAGAATACCCAGAGAGTGTGAATGTGTGGAGTCTGCGGCTGGTGCCTGCTCTGTGTGGGGCCCTCAGCGTTCCTCTGGTCTACTGTCTGTCCCTGGAGCTGGGGGCGTCCCACTTGTCTGCTCTGGGGGCTGCACTGCTCTTTTTGCTTGGTAGGTATTCACACAGGAGGACGTTATCTTGTGTCGGTAAAACTTTGTTTAATTCTTTATGTCAATACAAAAGTTGCATTCATGTGATGGAAAAAGGCAGATGAAAGATTGAATGGAACTGACGAGGCCTGCATAATTAATCGCAATTGTAATTAGCAAATCACTACAATTAAAAAAAATGCATATAGACACAAGAAATAAGTCTTAAATGGCTCAGATTAAGGAAAATAAATTTTGATTTTAGTAGGATTTGACTGAAATTGATGTTTGCCAATGGATTAAGGGTCTTTAGTCTTATTTTAAGCACAGTTGCCTTTTTCTCAGTGTGAAATTTCTTCTTTTAGCTTGTTCCAACTTTGCAAATCTGCTTTACAACAATTCATCAAATAAAGAGAACAATACTATTCTCAAAGAAAGAAAAAAAATACTTGTATTATTTTCTGTATTGTATCGTTATTACCAAAAACGTCTGATAAAGTTAAAATATAGAACTCTCAAAAGTTAGAATAGTAATTGTGCATAAATTAAAAAAACCTGTGCGTACGCCCCACACTGTTGAAAAAACAAAACAAAAATCACAATCGTGCTGCTCTACAGATGACTTGCTTCTAATGTCATCACAATTTGGGTCCTGCTGTATTTACTTATGTGACCGGTGGTGGTTTCTGGCTCTCAAAAAACTATTAACAATCCCAATTATTTAAAATGGCATTTAATATCCATGTCAAAGTTCAGAAATACCCTATTATGGTTTTGTTAAATGTGTTTCTGTGCTTCCAGAGAACGCCCTGATCGTACAATCTCGGTTCATGCTGCTGGAGTCGGTTCTCATCTTCTTCATCCTCTTGTCCTTCTTTTGTTACCTGCGCTTCCACAACACGTGTCACAGGTGAATATTCCCCAATTTTAGTTCTGAACCGATCCTGGCCTGGTTTATATTGTACAGTGTGTTATGTTAATCTTTCTTTTAAGCTCGTGGTTCAGTTACTGCTGGCTGCTTCTGTCTGGAGCCTCCATTGCTGTGGCAGTAGGGTACATATCACTTGAGTATGTTAGAATATTTGAGTGTTCTGTGGTCTTTGTGTAATACAGTGTGATTTTGTCTGCTCAGGGTTAAGTACATGGGCCTCCTGTCCTACCTGCTACTGTTGGGGGTGGCCTGTGTGCACACCTGGAAGCTGATTGGAGACCGCTCCTTCAGCCATGTAAGTTCTCCGCGATTCCAAAAATAGAAATTACTCAGCGCTAACTTTTATTTTTATTTCTTTATTTATTTTCACAACACCATGGATATCAAATACATACATTTTTTGTGCATATCTTTGTGACATTTCGACTCTCCAAAAAGCTCTTCAAAGCTTGTAAATGGGGTCACACATTGTGTAAATATAGACAAAATACAAAAATACCAGGATGGCTAGAACAGAAATTTTTTACTTATTTACATAATGGTAACACTTTAGTAAGTAAGTAAGTAAGCTTTATTTTATATACCGCCTTTTCACTGCACATAGGAGTCTCAAAGCGGTTTACAATTGTTATTTTTTGGAGTGGGGGTGCCAGTACAGGAGGCACATGCCAGACCTATTGTACATATTTTTAGTGGTAGGGGAAACCGGAGCACCCGGAGGAAACCTACACAGACATGGGGAGAACATGCAAACTCCACTCAGAAAGGCCCTGGTCCAACCGGGATTCGAACCCAGGACCTTCTTGCTGAGAGGCGAGAGTGCTATCCACTCAGCCACCGTGCCGCCACTTTATAAATGAATGCAGTACATAACCACACATACGCACTCACATCCACACTCATTTATTTTTATGAATTTATTTTGTATTTTATTTTGACTTGATATAAGATAAATAAAATTATAAATTTATTTTGTTTATATTGTATTGATTTATGAATTCATAATATTATTTCTTTTGCTATCCATTGTACAAGGGAAAAAGGTCAGGTTGCAGGCAAAAAAAAACTTGTGTAACCCGTGTTTGTTCTCTCAGCTGAGAGTCTGTGTGCATGCCGTCTGCCGATCAGTGTGTTTGGTTTTGGTGCCGGTTCTTCTCTATGTGTTCTGGTTCTACATCCACCTCACTCTCCTGCACCGCAGCGGGCCCCACGACCAGCTGATGAGCTCTGCTTTCCAGGCAACTCTAGAGGTACAGACTCCAAGAACTGGTTTCCAGTTATGACCAGCCCAGGCCTCAGGGATAGCCCTAACCCTATCCTAACTGACCTTCCTGTGTCTCTGCAGGGGGGCCTGTCTCGTATCACCCAAGGGCAGCCACTTGAAGTGGCCTATGGCAGCCAAGTGACCCTCAGGAGCTCTGCCGCCAACCCTGTGCCCTGTTGGCTACACTCGCACAAAGCTAACTACCCGATCAGGTGAAAGGGTCTCAAACCAACAGCAACATCCATGTGTTCATGTTGAGATATATCCTTAGTATATTGAAAGTGTAATGGAATAGCCAAGACCAGACACTTTCACTACTCTGGATCAAGAGGCACAACAGTGAACAGAAACCACAAGCCGTAAACGTACTGAATTAACAAACTACCTGTGAATGTGAGTCAGTGGTGTATTAAGTGATGTAGGTGCATGTAATTAATCAATACATAGATAAATCAGCTAAACAAAACAAAGACAAAAGGAGCAGCTGAAAACTGGAAGTAGAGCAGGGTTTGAATCAGCCAGCTGCAATTAGATTTAAACCCAGGACAGCCGAGAACCTGGGTTTTATCGACGCCCCTAACCTCCTGTCCTGGAGGGAAGCAGTGTAGTAAGGCCTGCTCAGGTCACACACTACTACACACAGGAGGTCTTCTCTATGAGAAATACTGACAGACTGATTAAAAAATCAGATGAACACATGGGCTGTTCATTTAAAAAAATACAGATGTTTTGGAAGGGAAAGGGAGTTACAATAACCCTTTGTTCTAACTGTTTTATATCCAGGTATGAAAATGGGCGAGGCAGTTCCCACCAGCAGCAGGTTACCTGTTATCCTTTCAAAGATGTCAACAACTGGTGGATTATAAAAGATCCTCTGAGGTCAGGCTGAAGTTTCTCCAGAGATGACTTTTCAATAGACAATTTTAGGATTTCAATTTGAAATCTCTACTAATCTCTTAAGTGCTTCTTGATGCTGTCTCTCAGGCAGGAGTTGGTGGTGGGCACTCCTCCCAGGCCAGTGCGACATGGTGATGTCATTCAGCTTGTTCATGGCATGACATCACGTTTTCTAAACAGGTAAAACTAATATAATAAGTGATTTAGGTACTTACTGCAATAATCTGTGTTTTGGCAGTCACGACGTTGCTGCCCCGATGAGCCCTCATGCGCAGGAGGTGTCTGGTTATGTGAACTACAATGTCTCCATGGCTCCTCAGAACATGTGGACAGTGGTGAGTTTCAGTTCTCTAGTCTAGAACCTTGTTCTATGCTTAAGACAAAAGTGCGTAAATATGTGTCTTTTGTCTTTAGTGTCTTTAGTAGTTTTAAATTCACCAAATTACAATTGAGCTGCAGGAACATGTGTGCGCTCTTTTTCAGTGTGTCTAAGAATCTCTATATGCAACAGAACACACATTATAGTAGATATGTAATTAATCCAAACAGATTTACTCCTAAATGCCAAAGGAACATCCAGTAACAGGAGTATTTCTGTTAAATGAAGATGATAGTTGTTGTATTTGAGAATAATTATGTGAGTGAACATTGCCTGCTCTCCAGTGATGCAAAACATTATTGTTTTTATATCTGTCTCAGGAGATAAGTAACCGAGAGACTGATGGCGAGGTGTGGAAGACCATTATGTCTGATGTGCGCCTGGTCCATCTCAACACGTCCGCAGTTCTAAAGGTTGTGAGCTTCAGCAGTGGTGTTTCTTTATTTCACTATTTGTCATTTGTCAGAGTAATGCATGTGGCCTCGTTCAACTGATGGTAACTTGAATTTCCACTTAAATGGGGATAAAGGTGGGATAAATAAAGTCTTTATCTTTGTACTTATGTGCATACAGCTCAGCGGGACACCCCTCCCTGACTGGGGCTTCCATCAGCTCGAGGTAATCGCGGAGAAACTGTTCACTGCTCCCAGCACGAGCCAAAGCTGGACCGTAGAGGAGCACAGATACGGCACCAGTATGTATTTTTACCTTGTCTCATTGGACTGGTGTCAAATGGACTGAAGTCAAGTTTGTCCTCATCCATAACAGTTAGTTATCTTGTTTTTATTTATCTGTATTAGGTCAGGAGCAGAAGGAGAGGGAGCTGGAGCTTCATTCACCAACTCATATTGATGTTAACAGAAAGATCTCCCTGTGGGCAAAGTTTATTGAGCTCCAGGTATCTAGCAGCTGAGCATGTGTTTCATTTATTTGATTACATTTAATTTGCTCCATCAGATAATGCTTGATTTATTTATTTTTTGACAGTGGAAAATGCTCACAACCAAACAAGAAAACTCGGAACACAAATACAGCTCGAGTCCATCTGAGTGGCTGACCCTGGAGACCAACATTGCTTACTGGCTGCACTCCTCCTCAAATGTAGCACAAAGCTCTCACAATCTGTAACTATAGAACCTCCCTCATTCCTTCTTCTCCTCTGTTCCAGGCTCAGATCCATCTCATTGGAAATCCCGTTTCTTGGGCTATAGCCAACATCAGCCTGCTTACATATCACCTGCTGGCTATCACCTACTTGCTTCGACGCAGGAGAGGCTTCAAAGACATTCCCGAAGGTACGCACAACACAAGACGCCTGGGATCTTGACACAATTGTGCAGACTTCACGTGGTTCTGTTGTTTTTGTCCGCAGATGAATGGAACCGCTTTGTCTCTCTTGGTAGCGTTTGCGTCGGTGGGTGGCTGGTGAACTTTTTGCCTTTTCTCCTGATGGAAAAGACGTTGTTTCTGTATCACTACCTGCCAGCTCTCTGCTACCTGCACCTGTTAAGCCCCGCACTCTTGGAGCACGTCCACTCACACCTGCTGAGGTATGGCCATGTCATGGGCAACAAACACTGTACCTGTAAAGAATGGAGTGGTTCTTTTATGGTTTGGGGACACTACAGACAGACTCCGGTCAGAGAATCTTCACTCAGCTTTAATGCAGGGTTGTCAATTTGTCACAATTTGTACATTGGTGTGTGTATGTGGCTATGAAAACAGAAAGGGACAAAGAAAAAACAGTATTAATAATAATTCTATAGTGCATAACATAGTAAACAATAAATAGTCAATGTATCTTGACTAATAGGAACTAAAATAAATCAGAAAAAATAATAACATAAAGTCCAACATAGGTACCCTTTAAGGTCTATGAGAGGTTAACATAAATATGTAATTAATAATGTAAACCACAAACAGTGGTAACTGAAATGGAACTATTAATACAAGGGTGCAGGAAAGTATACATGACGGGTAATATTAGCATAGAGAAGCATCCTTAGCTTACTTAGCTGAAAACAAACACAGATCAGGAAAACCACTATTTAACAAATATTTACTTTACTTTACTTTATTTTACTTTATTTGAGCTGTTTAAACAGTACATACAAGGACAAGTCATAACTACAGTTGTGTATACAATCAGATCTTGAAAAACATTCTAAAGTCACTTTACTGCCCATCATACGTCACTTTACTTCACTGTACTGCTGTCACCTTACAATGTGTGCACCATGTGCACTTGTATATTGTAAATAGTAACTGTAACTCTATTTTAAATTTAAATGTATTCTTTAGAAGTGTTTTTTATTCTTATTTTTATTATCTCTTTCTGACTGTTGCACTGAGCCAAAGCAATTTCCAAGTCTGTGACCTCCTGTTACTTACGTGGCAATAAAAATGATTCTGATTCTGATTCTGTATAGAGCTCAAAAGGAGCAAGCAGAAGTAAGGAAATACTTACTAAATATTGACAAACTATACAAGTAAACCTTCCTTCCCAAACTCGTGTGAGGAACAGTGAGACTACAGACACTTACTTCTTGAGTCACTAAACGCACAAACAATACACAGTCCTCTCCTTCGTTCGGCTGCGTCCCCCCGCGTGGCGAAGCAGCGTCAGTATGGCACCACACAGTCCGTGCTGTGAACGCACCCCGCTCCCGTGGTGAGGCGTTCAGGTGCAGACGTCAAGATGAGTGTCGCATAGGCTTTCAGACAGTACCCAATCCACTTGCTAGATAGATACATAAATAAAAAGATGGATACTTTATTGATTCAGGTGCAGCAACAAAAAAACTATGCATACAAACAATTAAAAGATTCTAAAAGTTACTAACAATAGTAATAAAATGCAACAGCCCTTGAGGTCACAGCTGCAGAGGTGGTGTTGCAGCTGCTTCTTGTTCAGAGTGAAATTCGGAATGATTTATTAGCATTTTTTTTAAAGATCCGTTTGGTTGGGACCGTGCATCCTCTCTGCTCTGGTCTGGTTCAGTGGAAAATAATGAATGCTGTACTGTAACAAATAACGATTGTAAAGCACAAAACAACAACTGTTTCAGAGCTTCTCAGGACTTGCTGCCATACTAGAGATTTGAACAGGCAGACATTTGGAAACATTATTGCCATAACATTTGAACTGTTGTTGCTATTAAATTAATCTTAGTTTTTTTTATGAATAAATACAAATATTATCTAACCGGTTCCTGGATCTCAAAAGTCTTGTTCTATCACAAGTTGTCACATATGCATTTTTTTCTAGCAGCTTTTGCAGACCAAAAAGTAAAAAAGATAAGACTACCTCTACTGCATAACAATACTTAGCCCAAAATGAAATACTGGCTTACAAGGCTCTTTCCTACAGGTATACAAAATATAACATGTTTTATAACCCAATACAAACGCAGTGTTGTGGCCTCATTTGTTCGCAATATTTTACTTTTATGACACTCTTCCTATCTGTTAGGACAATATTATAATTCATTATATGAACATTGTTTCGTTCTAATGTGTGTGTATGACTACTGTTGAATCTACTTCAGAATAGTCAGAATATGAGGAGTTGTTTACGAGTGAATGTTGTTGTACTTTCAGGTGTGGGACTCAGCGGCGTGCCATGGCCGTGTGCGTGCTGGGGTTGGCCGTGTCCGTTTTGTTGTCATACAGAAACTTCTCTCCTTTGACCTACGGGAGCCCTCAGCTGTCGACGGCTGAACTGCAAAGACTCAAGTGGAAACAGTCCTGGGACATCTTGTACCGGCGCCGTTAGTCTGTCTGCGCATTTCATGTTTCATGTTTTACTGTAAATAAAAAGGGATTATATACAATACAATACAATACAATTTATTCTTGTATAGCCATATATCACAACAGAAGTCATCTCAGAGGACTTAACAAAACCATTGAATCACCAACACAGATCAGAGAATCAACAGTTAAAACACAAAAAGAATATAGAACACATGTTGATAAATGTTCATACATGTTGTAGAATGTTAAAGTGTCCTGGATCATCACCACATCCTTCTAGTTGGACACTAACTACCCAACAGACCCTCCTGCAAGGAAAAACTCTTTTAAAAAAAACCTCCCAGGCGGGTCGGGCAGGCCAACGGGTGAATAGCAATGAACAAACTACAGTCAAAATCCTAATAATGCAAAACAGATAAAGTAGGAAGGAGGAGAGGATAGTGCTCAAGTTACCATACTTCTCTCAGCAAACTGACTCCCTATGCAGCTTGACTGACAGTCTAAGATATTTAGCCTTCCCTGAGTCTTACCTTCCTAACCATATACTAAACAAAGAGAACTACTTTAGCCTAGCCTAGAGTGTAGGGTTGAAGATGCAGCGGACCTTAGCCAAATGCTAAGTTGAAGAAGAGTGTTTTAAGCCTGGCCTTAAACGTAAACGTGCTTCCTTAACTTGGGTGGGGAGCTGATATATATGTAAAGACCATCTGGATCATTTTTATTTGTTTGAGTACCATAACTTAATCAACTTTGGTTTCTTTCAGAATCAGGAACAAAATTATTCATTTGTAAATGTTGTGAGAAGTGCACGCACTGGTGACAGGGGAGACGCGTGAGTGAAAGTGGCTGATGCTCTAAGCTACTACCCCAGCAGATTCAGATTCAGATTCAGTTCAGATTCAGATTCAGTGGCGCTGTTGTCACATTGGCTCCTGCACAGAACTGTTGCAGCTCGTCTTCTGTATGGGGGATTAATCAAGTACTTTACTTAAGTACTTTACTTGTATCTGTAAAGTATTTAGTCAGCCACAACTTGTGAAAGTTCTCCTACTTAAAAAGATGAAGGCGGCCTGTAATTTTCTTTATATGTGTACCTCAACTAATCCAGAAATGAATTTCGTGTGTGTGAATGGTTGGTGGTGGTCGGAGGGGCGGATGGCACATACTGGTTGCCTCAATTCTGTCAGTGTGCCCACGGCAGCTGTGGCTACAGTAGTAGTTTATCACCACCATGTATGAAGCGAATGAATTATTGCATGTGAAGCGTCTTTGAGTGTCCATAAAAGCTCTATATAAAACCGATGCACTATTCAATTTGTGAACAGCGTTGACGGTATCTGCTGCTACGCATAAAGCCTAGTTTATACTCGCGCGGCGCGGAGCTTACGGAGGTGACGTGACGTCACTTGCGCAACGCGTTGGTCACCGCAAGGCCCTTACGTCGCCTGCCGCGCAGCATCGAAATTTTCTTAAGGGTCGCCGCAAGGAATCTCCGCTGTGATTGGTCCGTGTGTGTGTATTGGAAGGAAGCATGAAGCGGCGGCTGCAGCAGGGACATGGACGAGGCACTATGGAGCAGAGAGCTTTGTGCTTCGAAGGAAAAGCAGTTTGGGCTCAAAGCCTGATATACAGGAGACTGTGGACTATCTAACATATATATAACTTATATCTAACATATATATAACTTATAAACTGTGCAGTCGTTTGTTTTGCACTGTTCCTGTCTTTGTTTGAATCGTAGCTGCGTTTGTTGCTTTCCTCCTGCACTCGTAAATTGTTCATGTTTGTCTCAGATATTTACCACTATTATTGTTTTGCTGTTTGTGCTGAAAACGATTTAATAATAACTATGTTTCCAACAAGAACTGTGTCTTTATTCACAGCATCACAGTTGAAATGACTTATAAAATAATGAATCCATAAAACTATCACATAAACCTACAGTAGAAACACGTGTAATGAGCTCAAACAGCTTTGTTTGCTATTGTTGTTCTGAAGAGGACAAAGTAGCAGCGTAAATGGGACCGCTCCTGTGTGATCTCCCTCATGTGGTTTGTTGTGGGATTACAACATTCTCCTCAAAACTCCGTAAGGGGAACGCGCCAGGATAACATCAATTGTGCTTACGTAGGTCCACCGCAACCGCTAACGTAAGCCACGCCGCGCAAGTATACACTACTAGGCTTTAGACTGTCTGAAGTGTACAACGAGCAGCATCTCCCCATCTGAGCGGGAGGCTGATGGCGTTTGAAACTAATGTCAAAAGGTGCAGGGCTAGGAGTGAGGTAAGCCAGCAGGAGCTCATGGATGAAGGCGGGTTTTTATGTGCTTGGGACCTGCTATGCGCGAACAGCCAATGCCACTCCCCAAACAACACCTGCAGAGAACAGAAAACATACATGGCCACAAGAGGGCAGCCAAGAAGGGGCCATGACAGTAGGGTCTCAGGCGTTGGGAGGGGTGTCCTACTGCATGGGAGAGGGGCTCCACAGATCTTCTGCGCTGGAGGCTCCTGCAGCAGGTGGCAGAACTGGCAGTGGAAGTGGAGTTGGAAGTGCAACAAGAACCGATTAAAAATAATAATAATACATCTTTATAACAGGACACTTTGGGTCCAAGATAGTCATTTTTCTTACAAGCAGACTGAACGAAAAAGGCAAGTAAAACGTGTATTTATAGCGATAAAACTTCATATTTCTTATCTTATTAGCTAGCAAAACTTTGCTAGCAGCTGTTAGACTACCAACTTCGTGAATAAACTACACGGAAACAAGACTTATCTTCTCGTTGAAAAAATAAAAGTTGCCATGGAAACAGACGCGGGAGCTATCCATGCGGAAGTGGTGGTGATGGCGGCACATAGAAGTACAGCTGGTTAAAATGGCTCAGAGAACCATCTGACTGCTCTCCTAAATGCAGCACCTGGGCCCACAGCCGAGAAACAGGACCAGAGCCACAATTAGCAGCGACATGGCTAAAACTGAGAGCAGAGCTGATCCCAGCGGGAAGATCTACAGACAACTGTTCGACGCACAGGTGACACGCTCCTCACGTAAAACTACACGTTCTTCGATACTTTGGTAGACCAGTCGTAGAATACTCTACCTGGCTCCAAAACTTGTCTTTATCACAACATACTTGTAAATGACCACAAAGTGTTTGATAATATTTTATTTCAGCTACGGTTCACATACGGTTTTAGTTTTAGGAATTTTATTTTTTGAAGGTAGTTTCTTTTTGCTAACTGTTAGCGCGCCCACTGTAAGACCTACTTCATGACTCCCACTGATGACTGCTGTCGTTGTGTCGTTGTGTCGTTGTGACCCAGAAATGGATTAAGGGGAAGAAAATGGATGGATGGATGGCGCGAGGCGCAAGCCATCTCAGTAACCACGGCAACAGAAAGGCGCTCCGAAAAAGTTCAACGGAGCGAGCGCGTTATTTTTTAGCTACCCCTTTGTTGAGGAAAAACAATAATATTATTTTCAATTTTCAATATAGTATTATTATATTGAAAATGTATAATTGTCAAATGTACATTTACACTTTTCTTATTGTGTTCTCAGCTCTTACGGTGAATTTGAGGGTTTAGTGCCATTACACTAAAAAAATCATCAGTATTCTTCCTTTATGCGGGGGTTTGCTGCAATACTTAACTTCTCCATTTGATGGTTTTTACATTCTCTTTGAGGAACAAACTTAGCTTTAGTAAAATATTACCTGAGTTGTCTAGTGCCAGTAACTTAACTGTGGTTTACATGATCAAGTATTATGTTTGTTGGGAAATACAGATGCAGCCGGCCACAAGAAAGAAAGAGCAGAGTGCCCAGAGCCGTGCTCCGTGCAGCACCGCCAGCAGGTACACTGTACGCTATTACAATACAAAACAAAATCACAGCAGTAGTTATCTCAAAGGACTTAACATAACCATTGAATTCGCTAACACAGATCAGAGAGTCAACAGTTAAGACACAAAAATATAGAACACATATGTATTGGTCCATAGGGTGAGATTAAAGAGCGACTAAACACCAAATCAACTTTTTCAAACTCATAAACTGCATAAGTATGTTTATTGTAGTGCTGTCTACATATCCTGGTCATTCTTTTGACATTTTAGTTCAAATTAGATAAAATATCACTTTTGAGCCAAAAAACGCTGTGTGGCGCCCTCTCCACCTTTTTGGTGGTACTACATTTGAATTTGGTTCTGGCCTCTCCATTGACTCTGAAGTTCTCTATGACATCAGTTGTTTTGTGTGACGTCAGTCTGTCAGAGCCAGATATGTGAACCCATCCAACTCTCACACACGCCCCAGCTGCAGTTTGGAGTATTCTGGCGCCATCTAGTGGATTCAAATTAAATTACATGAGTCATTCTGAGATTATTGAGTGTGATTAGGTTCAGGTGTGTAGCTTTACAATTATCTTAGTGTGTAAACAAGGGTGGAATGAGACTTTCTGGTCTGTAAACTATTGCTTTAAGCAGCAATGACAACTGTCTGTTTTTGTGTGTGTGACAAGTGAGCTGTCAATCACAGCCCAGACCACGCCCAACTCTAAGCCCCCCTTCTTGTCCCTTGGTCCTCCAGGCAACGCCCTTTTTAGAGAACATTTTCAAATCTTCATGTGGGCGGAGTCAGGCTGGGCACAGGTGTTTAGTCGCTCTTTAAGTGTCCTTAAGTGACCACAGTCCTTCTTGCATCGGCAAGGAAAAATTCTAAAACCTAGTAGGAGAAAAGTGAGACACCTCAGGGAGATCCATATTGAGAGAGGGATCCAGTCCACACAGAATGGCTATACATCCAGGACCTAAGCTACAGAACGAGGACCACGGCCACGCAGCGGCCGCAGAACATGGACAGTCAAAATCCTTATAAAGCAGACAAATATATTTGGAAGGAGGAGATGATAGTGCTCAAGTTACCATACATCTACCAGTAAACTGACTCCATACGCAGCTTGACTGACAATCTAAGATATTTAGTCTTGCCTACCTATTAACTTATGCTAAATTGGGAATACATTTCAGTGAAAAAGAACTCGCCTCCCCTGATGACATTGAGGAAGTGAGCGGACTGCCTGACTCTCTGGGTTTGTATATACAGAATGTCATATTGTAGATTGTAGATCACCACACATCTTGTACTATAAAACATATTGTGTTATAGTAACCAGTGGTTCCAGTTCAGATGTTATTGAGCGAATGTCTAAGAAGAAAATGGTAAAACACCAAAAAACACTGGATCAGCTTGATACAGAACTGTCAGTCATCTCTAAGGTACGATGGGTCTAAGAAGTATTATTGCATCATCACCATAACTTTCACGGACCAATTGGACATTTACCTGTATTTTTCTTTGGTTTTGTTTTTCACATAGACGTTTGGGTCACTTGTGAGGGAAAAGGCTTTAGAATTAAAAAGTTCTCTACTAGAGCTGGACCGGAGTATTCACAAACTGGGTCAACAAATGGAGCAGGCTAAAGCGCTTACGTCTCAAAGTCTTCAAGTGAATATTCAGTCTTTAATCTAATTTATAACTCTTTGTTCCTTTGTTCATTCTTCAATCTTTGTCTTACAGGATATATGTGACCTGTGGGACAAGGTGGAGAGAATTGTGGCGCTGAAAAATAACAGAATCACAGACTTCTATAGTCTGCTGTGCCAGAATGAATCACAAAGAACTGCCAGGGTCAGAACACTATAGTCTAAACGTGTTGGATTTATGTTGTTACGACATGAAAAATTAAATGAGTCTGTGTTTTGATGTTTAGATTCAAGTTGTGTTGAGGAATCACTGTGAAATTCTGGAAAGGAACAGCTTTCTGCCTCCGTCTGACATCCAACGTCTGATTCACTCCAAGGCAGCTGTAAGGTCTTTGCACACAAGCCAATTCATTTACACTGAGCAAACCTGGGATTCATCCTTTGGTATAGTTGTAATTGCACTGTAACACCTACCATGTAACATTTAACATCAAACATGTTTTACATTCATTGGGATGGACAATAGAAGATGGACATTTACATTTTCATTACTTAACAAGCCAACCTCTTGATTGATCACACAGATCCTTGGCATGACTATTATGTCTGATGTTGTTTATAGACGCTAAACCTGTCTTTGCTGGCTAACCGGCGCAGTCTTTGTGATCTGCGGTTGCGCCTGAATGTGGAGAACATAGATGGGGCAAATACTCTCCACCAGAAATGGGAGCACTGCCTGGAGCAGTGGAGGACCAGCAGAGTCCAGCAGATTGTACAGAACTTTGGGTGGGTGCTTAATTTCAACGATGACTATGGTGGTTATACCAGCATTATCTAACTGCAGGTTGAGAAGACATTAGTCCAAAATGTCCTGTAGCCATGTACATACAGTGCCTTGCGAAAGTATTCGGCCCCCTTGAACCTTTCAACATTTCGCCACATTTCAGGCTTCAAACATAAAGATATAACATTTTAATTTTTTGTTATGAATCAACAACAAGTGGGACACAATCGTGAAGTGGAACAAAATTTATTGGATAATTTATACTTTTTTAACAAATAAAAAACTGAAAAGTGGGGCGTGCAATATTATTCGGCCCCTTTACATTCAGTGCAGCAAACTCACTCCAGAAGTTCAGTGAGGATCTTTGAATGATCCAATGTTGTCCTAAATGACTGATGATGATAAATAGAATGCACCTGTGTGTAATCAAGTCTCCGTATAAATGCACCTGCTCTTTGATAGTCTCAGGGTTCTGTTTAAAGCGCAGAGAGAACCATGAAGACAAAGGAACACACCAGGCAGGTCCGAGATACTGTTGTGGAGAAGTTTAAAGCCGGATTTGGATACAAAAAGATTTCCCAAGCTTTAAACCATCTCAAGGAGCACTGTGCAAGCAATTATATTGAAATGGAAGGAGTATCAGACCACTGCAAATCTACCAAGACCCGGCCGTCCCTCCAAACTTTCATCTCAAACAAGGAGAAGACTGATCAGAGATGCAGCCAAGAGGCCCATGATCGCTCTGGATGAACTGCAGATAACTACAGCTGAGGTGGGAGAGTCTGTCCATAGGACAACAATCAGTCGTGCACTGCACAAATCTGGCCTTTATGGAAGAGTGGCCATTTCTCAAAGATATCCATAAAAAGTCTCTTAAAGTTTGCCACAAGCCACCTGGGAGACACACCAAACATGTGGAAGAAGGTGCTCTGGTCAGATGAAACCAAAATCAAACTTTTTGGCCACAATGCAAAACGATATGTTTGGCGTAAAAGCAACACAGCTCATCACCCTGAACACACCATCCCCACCTCAGCTCTAGCTATCTGTAGTTCATCCAGAGTGATCATGGGCCTCTTGGCTGCATCTCTGATCAGTCTTCTCCTTGTTTGAGATGAAAGTTTGGAGGGACGGCCGGGTCTTGGTAGATTTGCAGTGGTCTGATACTCCTTCCATTTCAATATAATTGCTTGCACAGTGCTCCTTGAGATGTTTAAAGCTTGGGAAATCTTTTTGTATCCAAATCCAGCTTTAAACTTCTCCACAACAGTATCTAGGACCTGCCTGGTGTGTTCCTTTGTCTTCATGGTTCTCTCTGCGCTTTAAACAGAACCCTGAGACTATCAAAGAGCAGGTACATTTATACGGAGACTTGATTACACACAAGTGCATTCTATTTATCATCATCAGTCATTTAGGACAACATTGGATCATTCAAAGATCCTCACTGAACTTCTGGACTGAGTTTGCTGCACTGAAAGTAAAGGGGCCGAATAATATTGCACGCCCCACTTTTCAGTTTTTTATTTGTTAAAAAAGTTTAAATTATCCAACAAATTTCATTCCACTTCACGATTGTGTCCCACTTGTTGTTGATCCATGACAAAAAAATAAAATTTTATATCTTTATGTTTGAAGCCTGAAATGTGGCGAAATGTTGAAAGGTTCAAGGGGGCCGAATACTTTCGCAAGGCACTGTACATTGATTTACTGTAGAACCAAGATGACCATTGTTTAGTCTTTGTCTCGAAACAAGTACATTAGGGTGCTTCTTATTTGGGGTTAAAAAAAAAAAAAAAATGTTTTTCAGTGGGCCACCCACTGAAATGGTTCATTTTGGTGAGAAAATAAATGTGTAAAAATTTCAAGGGGAAAAAAACATTTTTACTGGGTGCTACCAGTCATTGAAATTTAAGGCATATTTTACTATGCGCTCGTAGTCATTAACATAGGAAAAAAAATCATAAAAGTGATGGAGACTGGTGATAATGACTCATTTACTTGGTACACATTTATTTACTTGTTACATGCATTAAAAACATCCATTTTCTCTCATTGCATTTCTACTTATTTATTAAAAGACAGAATTAACATGCTTTTTTACTTTGATTGTAGGTTTATTTAAGACAATAGTTACTGTACTAAGATTAATCGCTCATGAGAGTTGTCTTTTTTCTGTCAGGATATTTCTGTCTATATTTGTGAACTACCAATAACAGGAACTGCTTTTGCTCTTCGTTGTTTGTACGTAGTCTATTATATTCGTCCATTAGTGCTACGCCACGTTCTGCAATGTCGTTGACAACCTTCATGCTTCGAACAGTGGACTTTATAGTCTTGAACTCATCATCCTGTTCCCATTCGCTCACACTGTTTTGAAGAAAGTGTGATGGAAGTCCTGTGATGCTGAAAAATCTTTGTGTATTAAACGTGACAAAGTCCTCCAGCTTCTTTTCTTGGATAACTGAGCAGTCCACAGTAGCCCGTTTCATAGGTATCTGATCTGAAACATTGTTCAATGCTTGGACCATCTTGACCTTCGTCTCAGGGCGAACCTCATCATCAAAAAAAGCTAAAGCAACAAGTTCCTCTGATAGGTACCAGAGATGCCCTTGTAACTTCTTCACAGCAATTTTTGAGATCTCAGGATGCTGGGTCTTGTAGGCATCCAAGTCTTTCAAGAGCTGCAGATCAAGTCAAGGAGCTGAGGTTGCTTCAGGAGATCTGTACCAGGCTGTAATGTACAGTCGAACCGTGAAAAGGCAAATATCCCTTATTCCCTTCTCCTCTCTTATTGTCAACCTGAATTGGTCTCTAAACATCCAAATCTTCAACGCATAAATAGCTTTTGCCATCCAGCGAGCACGGTGTAGACCGGCAGGAGCTCTAAATGAAATGCCCCTCAAAGGTGCTCCTCCCAAAAAAACAATAGACAACTCCAAAAGTTCTCGGTAGTCGTCACGAGGTTGAAAGATTTGTAGTTGATCTTTGCAAAAGACGATTCTTTCATCAGTGATATTGGTAAGAGCATTTGAAGCGTTCTTATCAGACTGTGCTGTGTGGTACTTTGTAGAATCAATTGAGACCCAACTTTTCTGAAATCTTTTAAAGAGTGGTATGTCAGGTCCACTTGAAGGGCCGAGACACAGCAAAACTACTGCTTCCAAAATAATTTCCAGAATGTGATGACGACATGCCAACCACAACATATCTTTCCCAAACTTCTGCTCTAGAAGAATGCAAGCCCCATTTCTTGGCCCAGTATTGGCTGCAGTAGTATCAAAGCACATGCACTTTACTTGATCGTTAATTCCCCATGCCACTGACACGTCATGCACTGCAGATGCCGCATTTTCACCTGTTCCTGATGGTAGTTTTGGGACATTAAGAAGCTGCTGCACTCCTACTCCAGATACCAGAATTGGAAGTCGGTCAACAGTTTCTTTACCGGTGATGTCAGCGAGTAATTTTCCATCCCAATGAATACATAACGGAACTTTGGGTTTGAATTCCTTCATTAAACCTTCTGCTACCTTCTTGCGGTGTTTTATTCGTTCCCTTCGAATGGAAGCTGGATTAACATTGTATTCTGTTGGATCATGACCAAGAAGTTGTAATGCCGGTGTTAACACAAGTGCCGCCCCACGATCACTCAATTTAGCCACATCTAAATTAGCCGCCAACTTCTCATTCAGTATATTTTTCCTGCCACGTCTAGGACGCTTTGGAGCCGGTGTACCTGAAGTTGATGGCTCAGGGTCATCTTGGTTACCAGGCCAGGCATCTTCTTGAGTTATGCTATCTTCTTTAGGGTTATCTTCACCTTCAGATGATGATGAAAGAACAACTGTTTCTTCTCGAGATTTTCTTGCCATCTCCTCTCTGTCCCTTTTTTGGTTCATTTCTTTTTGTCTTTTTCTTGATACTTCTTCTTGCTTTGCCAATTTCTTATCAACTGGACCCATTTTGCCTCTCCGAATTTTCTCTCTTTGGCATAATAGGAAGTCCTTATCCTCCTGAATGGTGATCATTTCCAATGCGTTGGCATGGGCAATATCGAATAGTTCTTCTAACCCTTCATTCCATTGGTCTTCCTTTTGTTTCAAATAATCTGAACGCTTGGCTTTATTCTCTTTATTTTTCTTCAACTTTTCCCATTCCTTGTAAATGTTTTCGATTTTAGGGACAACGTGCTTCTTTAATTGCACAGGTATTCGGGCCTTTGACCAAACTTCAAAAACATAATTTGCTGTGGAATGTAAGGCTTCCCTAATGCTTTGCTTGGCAATCTGCTTGTAATGGAAGAAAAGGGCCAACACTTCCCTTTTTGATGGAAGCATGACACTATCTAAAGAAGAGGACATCTGTCCAATAAGCCATATCTCAGTTTTCTTTCTGGTTGATATTGTTGCACTGGTTGATGAAGCCATCACTGTACAGTAGTTACACTAGTTTAACCTGCAAAAGGAACAATTAAGCAGTGTTATTAAGTTTGGATTCTCTACATCTAGATAATCAAACGATATATTAGTTCATAAATGTATTATGATAATTATGATATGATTAAAGACCTTATGACGGGTTTAAAAAAAAAAAATAGTGGATATCAAAATTGCATGACAATGTCAATTTGAAAGAGATTCCGGCAAAAAAAATCCTATATTTTATAAAAAGAACGTGTTTTTCATGAATTTAAGTTGTCTATGCTCTAACCTGTGTGTGACGTCATAGCGGGTAACGCCCATGCATTGAAAACCATGGATCTATGCCACAGGACTGCCTTTTCTCTCTTCTCTCCACTGGTGCCCAACACAATACTGCACTCTACAGGTGACAATTGCTCACTACACATAAATTGCCGTTTTGAGTGTGAAAATGTGGCTGAGGTGGGATTTGAACCCCAGTATCTGGATTGGCAGTCCATCCACACAACCACTGGACTATCTCATTGACAACGAAACATTATTATCTAGTAGTTATCTTAGACTCGCTGTACACCGCCTTGTCATCTTGAATATCCGCAAAAAAAGAACAAATACCAAATTGTAAACAACTTACAGCGTTGAAACGTACCCGTTCTGACGTCACCAAGGGCTGTGAAGTTTTTTCGTTTCTAAGGGCGTTGCTATGGGGTTATTTTGATTTGGGGGGATCAGACAAAAAAAACAACTGATTTTGAAACCTTTAGTAGTTCTCTTCTAATATAAAATGGTATTAAAACTGTATTTCTAAATAAATCAAACCCATCATAAGGTCTTTAAGTTTGTGTACATTATAAATGAATAATACTGAACAGTTCGAATACTATAAGTTCTCAATTGAAAATACTACTTCACAGCGGTGATGTTGTGACGTTTCCAATGACGTCAAACTACTTCAGAATACCGATGTTATCCAGAACTTTTATATTTTGAACTTCAATCAGATTCTATATAGATGCATTTGATACTTAAATCATGTAAATATTGGACAAAGGTATACATGAAGTCCATATGGATAGTTTCACATTTAAGCAGTTCTAAGCAAAACTTTCTTGACACGACGTGTAAGCCCAAGACTAGGCAGAGCACATTTTCTTAGACTAGATTCTAAATCATAAATGGTAGATCTTGTATGCGAAATATTTCATTTAGCCAAGTGAAAAATGGTCGGCAATAACATTGGGTGTATAGCATGGGTTACTTATTTACCTGTTATACCTTGTCTTGATAAAATACATCCAGTAGATATTCTCTTGATCCTCTGAGATTGAGAGAAACCGCCGTTACAAAACATGCGTATGGACGCAACGCTATCGACGGAGTTGCAACGCGACATTTCCACCGCGTGTTACGGATAACGTATATTTTAGGTTTAACGTTTACAATATTTGAGGATACTGTAGGGTCGGTAGCAACCCCTAAAAATCATTCTAAAAAAAAAAAAAAAAATTAGGGTATTACTTTTTTGTGATAATGAACCAAATGGCAGGGTGGCCCATGCAAAAATCGAATCTTCAAAAATAAGAAACACCCTAAAGTACATAGAGAAAATGAGAGCTGTTTGATCTGAACCCTCTCTATAAGTGCATGAAGTTAACTCTACCCATGTTTGTAAAGTGGCCTAGTCCAGCCAGACTTTAGCTCTGTGCTAGAATCAACCCCTCTATTTGTCAATCATGTGTTGTTAATTAGTCCTACATTTATTAATGCCCATGCATGTTACCATATATGTATGTGAGAAAAAAACGTATGAAAGAATGTTCACATATGAAAGAATATGCAAATACGATCAAAACATCTTTATACAGTGCCTTTCATACAAAGATATAAAACACCAAACCATCCTGTTACAAACACACAGTTCAACAGTATATCCTGCATTTAACATGTTTTCACATTTCTTTCTTTTGCACAATCTTGAGTGATTCTATCCATGCCAGATGTGACATGTACATTTCTCCTGTGTGAGATCAATGAAGTCTATCTTATCTTATCTTATACATGCACACACTTATTTTAACTATATACTGTAGGTATAGGTATTTGTTAGTGTTGGTGCAATATGCAAGGTTTTGTAGCAAATAAGTTATTGGGCACATGCTTCAGTGGTTTCAATAATTTTTTTTCTTGTGTTGACACAGTAAATTATTTAGCAATGATTTTGGTGATGAGTTTCTTTCTGAGCAACCAGAGTTTTCTGCACTCTATCAGAGTCTGAGAGAAGTGAGTGCCAAACGCTGTGAGGTTGTGAGCAAACTGAGGTGGGTGACATCACACATATTATATTTCAGAACAAAGACTCATGAAAAGCACTTGTTTTAGTACGTTGACCCCGCCCACCTGTACCTCTGTCCTGGTTTCTGAGTGGTATGAGCAACTTAAAAGCTTCAACCTTCAAATTGGTATTTTTCTTTAGAATTTCTCTTCCTCTTTTTTGTTGTTGATAATTATGAATAAAATTTGTTCATAGATGACCTCTATACGGATCTTATAAGGAACATTCGGAATTATTATGACCAGATGTGGCAAGAGCGCCTTGAGGAGGTTCACCGCTGTGAGGTATCACTAAACTAGACATTTGCACTTTTCTGCTTTAAATGATTCAAATTCTTTTGTTTTTCTGTCTCATAGGAAACATTGCGGAATTTGGGACTCTCAGAAGCTCAGGTCACAAACATTGTACAGTCCCAATGCTTACCTCTCATGGGTCAGAATCAGAAGGAGGTTGACCAACGATTGGCTGCACTGGATGTCAGTAAATGCTCAATTTTTTTTTCAAGGAGAAGCAGTGATTATTGTCTGTGTTGTGTGCAGGTGAGCTGTGACTCTGTGTCCCGCCATAGTCTCTCACTTAGCAGTTTAGTGTTTGGGATAATGCAGCAGGCATCATCTCTGTGGGAGGTACACTGCTCCAATCTCAAAACTCTACAAACCAAAGTCCAACGAGACGTAGAGAAGCTGAGACGGTTGCAGAACAAAGAGCTCCAGGTATCCTACGATTGTTTTGATATTTATTTACTCTCATAACTACTGCTGATATGTTTATTTTAGAGAAAAACAGTCCACTTGGATGAGCAGCTGCGCATTCTGCGACAAGGGAGCAACGAAGAGGCCTTGAATGTATCTCTGGACAATGCACTATTGGAGCTGCAGAGGATCCATGACAGGTACTGATACAGGACCCCAAGCCAGGCAATGTTGAGTTGTATAAACTTCAGTTGGGTTTTATAATCTACACTTCCAGTCCCAGCCAAAGATCTCATTGTTTTGGCCATATTTTGGAATGAATGATAACAGTGTTTTTTCCCCCCACACCACCAGTGAGTGGTTGTGTGAAACTGCAAATGCACATGTTTTCCATTTTAAAATGATATGATATAGCTCAAATGAAATTACATTAAATTCAAATTATTTGAGCTCTGTGGAGATCTCAAATGTGCAGATTATGCAAGGTAGGTCACGAACTTACTGGAACTGAAAGCTTTGGTAACGCTTTATATTAAGGTGTGCTTGTTAAGTATTAATAAGATATTAATAGACATTAGCAACATGCTTATAGATTGCTTATATGTACTTATAAACATATTAATAAGCTGCTCATTTCACTATTCTCTAAATGATGTTCTTGTTCTTTTAAGCATTTAATAAGTAATTAGTAAGATACTTATTAAAGGAGGAATATGTTTATAAATATATGAATAAGCTGCTTATTAAACTATTATCGATACCATGTTAATAGGCCATTAACAATATGCCTATAAAGATATTAATACGCTGCTCATTAATAGGCAATAGTGGTAATAGGCCACTAAAAATGTGCGTTAATAAACTGCTTATTACACTATTTTGCAGTACCTTAATCTAAAGCGAGGAGCCTTTTTGTTAATGCAGAAAAAAACACAACAATGATCTAAGATGTTTTTATTTATTCAAACAGCAACAATTAAAGTATAATATATGAAAATTAAGTTTGTGCCAAAAGTTTGTTAGTAACTTCAAGGAGCCATGATGAACCCACTCATGCTCCGACCTGCTCTGTTCATGAATTTGGCTTTGGCAAAACAGTGAATCAACTGACTTCACGAGCCTGAGAGATTAGCGAAACTCGCCTAATTTTGGGCATCGTCTGGTCCTCCCGGTTCTGCGCAGTGGACGAGCTCCCATGATGCTTTGCGCCAAATACACTTGTGTGGCTGTCATGCACGTGCACAGAGGGGCCGTGCTCTGACCAATCAGAGCTGCTGATCAGAGCGAGAGTTAGAGCGGGAGTTAGAGCGAGAGTTAGAGCGGGAGCCAGACGAGTAGAGTTTGTGGCCGTAAAATGTGAATTTAAAGGACAACTCACCCTCAAATCCACTTTTTTTTTTGCTGATAAACGGTATAAATGAGTGTCCAATAGTGTTGTCTACATATCCTGGTCATAATTTTGTCACTTTGGTGCAAATTAGTTGAAAGTTAAACTTTCTGCCTAAAACCATCTGTGAGGCGCCACCTGCTGGCGACCTGTATTACTACATTTACTTAATATATGGCTACATTACGCATCTCCATTCTATTTATCATGAAATAAAGAGTTTTTTATTTTATTTATGCCATAAATTGGCATATTGTATATTTCTGACCAATATATCAATAATCGTCATATCGTGATAAAATCGTTATTGTAATCTTTATCGTGAGCTTTGTATTGTGTATCGTATCGTATCGTGAGGTACCCTTAGGTTCCCACCCCTGTCCGCTAATCTCTCAGGCTCGTGAAGTCAGCTGATTCACTGTTTTGCCAAAGCCAAATTCATTAACAGAGCAGGTCGGAGCATGAGTGGCTCCTTGAAGTTGCTAACAAACTTTTGGCACAAACTTAATTTTCATATATTTTTTCATTTAGACTTTAATTGTTGCTGTTTGAATAAATAAAAACATCTTAGATCATTGTTGTGTTTTTTTATGCATTAACAAAAATGCTCCTCGCTTTAGATTAAGGTACTGCAAAATAGTGTAATAAGCAGTTTATTAACGCATATTTTAGTGGCCTATTACCACTATTGCCTATTAATAAGCAGGGTATTAATATCTTTATAGGCATATTGTTAGTGGCCTATTAACATGGTATCGATAATAGTTTAATAAGCAGCTTATTCATATATTTATAAACATATTCCTCCTTTAATAAGTATCTTACAAATTACTTATTAAATGCTTAAAAGCATATAACTAGAACAAAATAATTTAGAGAATAGTGAAATGAGCAGCTTATTAATATGTTTATAAGTACATATAAGCAATCTATAAGCATGTTGCTAATGTCTATTAATATCTTATTAATACTTAACAAGCACACCTTAATATAAAGCGTTACCAAAGCTTTTTGACAAGAAGAATTTGCAAGTGAAGAGTAGTTTATATTATCTATAGTTGGGCTTGGAAATCTACTTTCCCAGTCAAAGATATCCTTGTTTCGGCCACACTGAGGTTCTTTAATTATTTATTATTTATTTGGTTGGGACAGTACATGTTAATGAACACATCACTCCGGATTGTAGCCTAGAGTAGATTCTGTTGTCAATATAATTTGAATGTAGAAAGCAAATGGCGTGTAAACTTTCAAGCAAAACTATATTTTCACAACTAAATTATTTATAAGAACTTGGTTAATGTGTTGTGCAGTTTGCATTTTGTGTTGCTATGCTCTTTGTGGTGGTAGCTGTAGAAAGCATCTATCGGACCAGCAGACTGTGTTGGACCAACTTCCTTCTCTGTATCTCTTGGAGCTCCAGAACTACAGCAGCCGTCTCAGTGCGTTCTTCCAGCTCAACATCACCTATTCCCCGGTAACAGATCCTCTTGAATACATTCTAATAGAAACACATGTTTTTCCCTTATCAAACTTTTACTTTTCTTTGTAGAGCCTCAAAGAATTCAGCCACTTAGGTCAGTGATTTGATATAATTTGTAAATGGGTGGGGAGGCAGGGAAAATATGGAGACTGGAATCTGTATACAATTTCACGCCATGCTAACCATAAAGTATTATCAACACCAGATCATTACTTAGAACACAAAACTTTATTTGTCTGGTATAGAAGAACCCAATACTTTTAATTATTTAGAACCATCCAATCATCTGCTACTTTATCTTTCTGTAAAATACCATATTTTATGTTTACTTACTGTTTTGTTCCATGTGTAGATCCCAGTCTAAAAGCTGCATTTATCCCAAGTGAAGCGAGCAGTGAAATAAACACTAATGCTGCACAATATCAGGTGAGATCAGTCAGGTTTGTGAATGTCAGGGTTTTGATAATCTTCTCAATTGCATTTTAACCACACATCTTAACTTTACACAAATCAAGATACTGTTTATGAAGAAAATGTGTAGAATATATGAACTTTGACAGGACGGAAAGCGGATATCTAATAATTATATTAATACCCTGTTTTTTTATTGCACCTTACTTTTCAAAAAATGCCAGGCCAGGATAAAAATTGCAATGTTGGTGTCTCAATTGGAGAAATATTCATGTTAATTGTGAAATGTGGTTACAGACGCTTTCAGCATTTTGTTGTCCTTCACACCAGTGGTTCTGTGTCTGATCTAGATGAGCACTGAACTACAGGATTTGTGCGACAAAAGCAATTCTGTGGAGTTTTCATCATCTCGGGGCCTTACTTACACTGGGCCCGCATTTACATGCCCTGTACTCAAAGAGCCTCTTGATATCAGACAGCTGGAGGCATTTCCTGTCGTGCTTCTCTCTGAGACACTCACCAGGTGCAAGCACACACTTTCCTCATAGTTTGTTTAATCAATACTGCAATATGTATTTGCATTTATTTATAGTGATTGTACCATTTTTATGTCATGTTACTAAACACAAGCTCAAAATTGTATTCCCCATGTCTATGTAATGAAAGGTGCATCAAGTTCATGTTTCTCTGTTATTGACAGGATGAGGAGCTTGTACGTGGATAACATGGAGCAGCACTTCCATGACAGTGTCCTTTCGGCCCTCTCTCTGCTCTCCCACTTCCGACTGGAGGCGCTCACTGTGCAGGAGATAATGCTGCAGCAGTTCAGTGCCCAGCATGTCCGGCAGCACATTTTCCAGCCACGTCTAGGTACGGCCAACACAAAACTTATTTTGACGCAAGAAAGTCATTACATAACCTCTGCGGTTTATTACGGAGCCCTGGAAGTGACATGAAGGGTGTTTAAAAGAAGTTGTGAGAACAACTTCATGACAATTTTTGGAATAGTGATCCTCATCATTTGGACATTGATGTTGTTTTAATAAATAGTTTCTACGAGATGATAAATTGTTCTTACATGCACACATTCACATTGTTGTTTATTTTTACCATTCATCCATTTTTCTTCCGCTTCATCCGTTGCCGGTTCAGTCTAAGCAGAGACGCCCAGACTTCCCTATCCATACACACTTCCTCCAGCTCATCCGGAAGGACCCCAAGGCGTTCCCAGGACAGCTGAGAGACATAGTCCCTCCAGCGTGTCCTGGGTCTTCCCCGGGGTCTCCTTCTGGTGGGACGTGCCCGAAACACCTCCCCAGGGAGGCGTCCAGGCGGCATCCGGAGCAGATGCCCGAGCCACCTCAACTGGTTCCTCTCGACGTGGAGAAGCAGCGGCTCTACTCCGAGCTCCTCCCATGTGACCGAGCTCCTCACCCTATCCCTAAGGGAGCGCCCAGCCACTCTGCGGAGGAAGCTCATTTCGACCGCTTGTATCCGCGATCTCGTTCTTTCGGTCATTACCCAAAGCTCATGACCATAGGTGAAAGGCCAAAAGGCCTTTCGGCTCAGCTCCCTCTTTACCACGACGGTCCGATACAGCGACCGCATTACTGCGCACACTGCACCGATCCGCCTGTCAATCTCACGCTCCATCCTTCCCTCACTCGTGAACAAGACCCCGAGATACTTCCCACTTTAGGAAGGACCTCTCCGGCTACCTGGAGGGGGTTAGGCACCTTTTTTCCGGTCGAGCACCCTGGCCTCGGATTTGGAGGTGTTGACTCTCCTCCCAGCCGCTTCACACTCGGCTGCAAACTGTCCCAGTGCATGTTGCAGGTCCTGGTTCGTTGGAGCCAGCAGGACAACATCATCCGCAAAAAGCAGGGATGAAATCCTGTGGTCCCCGAACCGGACTCCTTCCGGCCCCTGGTTGCGCCTAGAAATTCTGTCCATAAACACAGTGAACAGAACCAGGGCAGCCCTGGCGGAGGCCAACATGCACCGGGAACAGGTCTGACTTACTGCCGGCAATGCGAACACAGCTCTGGCTCCGGTCATACAGGGACCGGACGGCCCTCAGCAGAGGACCCCGGACCCCGTACTCCCGGAGAACCCCCCAAAGGACACCCTGGGGAACACAGTCGAACGCCTTCTCCAAATCCACAAAGCACATGTGGACAGGTTGGGCGAACTCCCATGAACCCTTGAGTATCCGATGGAGAGTATAGAGCTGGTCCAGTGTTCCATGACCGGGACGAAAACCACACTGCTCCTCCTGAATCTGATATTCGACCATCGGCCGTAGCCTCCTCTCCAGCACCTTTGAGTAGACCTTACCGGGGAGGCTGAGGAGTGTGATCCCACGATAATTGGAACACACCCTCCAGTCCCCCTTCTTGTAGAGAGGGACCACCACCCCGGTTTGCCACTCCAATGGTACCGCCCCCGATCGCCACGCGATGTTGCAGAGACGTGTCAGCCAAGACAATCCCACAACATCCAGAGACTTTAGATAGTCAGGACGGATCTCATCCACTCCCGGCGCCTTGCCACCATGGAGGCTGCCAACCACCTTGGTGACCTCAGCCAGGGAGATAGAAGTATCCGTCCCAACATCCTCAGCCTCTGCCTCCGGGGCGGAGGATGTGACGGGGGGATTGAGGAGAACCTCAAAGTAATCCTTCCACCGTCCGACAAAATCCCCAGTCCAGGTCAGCAGCCCTCCACCCGCAACATACATGGTGTTGGCAAAGAACTGCTTCCCCCTCCTGAGGCGCCGGACGGTTTGCCAGAATCTCTTCGAGGCCGACTGATAGTCATGCTCCATGGACTCTCCGAACTCCTCCCAGTCCCAGGTTTTTGCCTCTGCAACAGCCCAGGCCGCGGCACGCTTGGCCTGCCGGTACTGGACAGCTGCCTCAGGAGACCCACGAACCATCATGGCTCGATAGGACTCCTTCTTCACCCTGACGGCATCCCTTACTGCCGGTGTCCACCACCGGGTTCGGGGGTTGCCGCCGGGACCAGCACCAGAGACCTTGCGACCACAGCTACGAGCCGCCGCATCGGCGATAGAGGAAGAAAACATGGTCCACTCAGACTCGATATCCCCCTCCTCCGCCGGGACCTGGGAAAAGCTCTCCCGGAGGTGCGAGTTGAAAGTCCATCTGACAGGGGGCTCAGCGAGACGTTCCCAGCAGACCCTCACTACACGCGTGGGTCTGCCAAGTCTGGCCGGCTTCCTCCCCTGCCAGCGGATCCAACTCAAGACCAGGTGGTGATCGGTTGACAGCTCCGCCCCTCTCTTCACCCGAGTGTCCGAGACACGCGGTCAAAGGTCAGATGATAGAACAGCAAAGTTGATCATCAACCTCCGGCCTAGGGTGTCCTGGTGCCACGTGCACTGGTGGACATCCTTGTGCTCAAACATGGTGTTTGTGATGGACAAACTGTGACTAGCACAGAAGTCCAACAACTGAACACCGCTTGGGTTCAGATCAGGGGGGCCGTTCTTCCCGATCACCCCTCTCCAAGTGTCACTGGCGTTTCCCACATGGGCGTTGAAGTCCCCCAGGAGAATAATTGAGTCCCCGGGCGGTGCACTGTCCAGCACACCTCCCAAGGACTCCAAGAAGGCCGGGGACTCCGCACTGCCGTTAGGCCCGTAGGCCGTCACAATAGTGAGAGACTGTTGGCGGAGGGACGCGATCCTCTCATTCACCGGGGAGAACTCCAACACGTGGCGGCTGAGATGGGGGGCAATGAGTATGGCTGTGGTCCTCTCTGCACCACACCACCATGGACCCCTCTGCAGGTGGTGGGCCCACAGGAGGGCCTGCCCATGTCACCCTTTCGGGCTGAGCCCGGCCGGGCCCCGAGGGTTAAGGCGAGGCCACCAGGCACTCGCTTGCGAGCCCCGACCCCAGGCCTGGCTCCAGGGTGGAGCCCCGGCTGCGCAATGCCGGGCGACATCACGGTTCATCTGTTCGTGCTATCCATGGTTGGTTTCGGACTGCGCTTCGTCTGACTCGTCACCTGAGAACTCCCAGAATCATCCGAGAACTCCCCCCACCACGTTAAGGTGGCAGTCCAAGGGGGAGTTTATTTTTACCTTCAAATACAAAGCTCTACTCTGATCTATCTCTAATGGGAGCTGATCAAATAGAGGTCGTCCTGTGGAATAACGTTTAAATGTATTTTGTAGCTGAGCTGCAACTGCACTTAAATCAAGTGGACGTTCACTGTGAAACAGTGTCCCACACTCTGTCCTCCCTGAACACGGACGTGATGGACCTCCTGGAGGCTGTGAGCCAGAAGAACCAGACCTTCTTGAGTACAGTGTCCAGCTTTGAAAACTGCCTTCAGTCTGTGGATAGCCTTCAGCGGTACATCTCCATTCTTATTGTTGTACTTTACATTATATGTGTTGCTTCAAACTGACCAATAACGCACTGTTTGAGGGAATGTATCCTACTTTTCATAACTTGGTCCAAATTTTACCCTACTTAGACATAGTGTGTACTGTATTTGTTTTGAACATGGTATGGTCCAAGTTTGAAGATGAACCTTTATTCGTTCCTTAGTGGGGAAATTTCAAGTTTAAATTAAATTTTCTGGTATAAAGTTGGTTATTTTGAGGGGTGACACAGTAACAGTGTAAACACAACTCTGATTATTCTTATTGTGAATATGAATGTTTCTTATATTTCTCACTTCTGTCTGTTTGATGCAGATTGGAGAGCCTCAGTTCCAATCTAAAAAACTATCAAGAGAATCACATGACAGATATCCAAATTTCTCGATCCAGCTTCAGAAATAGTGCAGAGATTCAAATGGAGAAGCTCAAACAGACCACGAAACAGCTTTGCTGCTCCTTCAGGTGATAAACTTTTTGAAGTTATAGAACAGAAATTCATTACATTTAATGTAGTTCAACATAATGACAGAAAACGTTATAAAACATTAAATTGCTTATTCTCTTTGCGCCTTGTCAACATGTGCACTGTACAACCCTTTAACAATATGGAAACTTGCTGATATGCAAATTAAGCATAATGTTATCTGTCTTTCGGAAGGCTTTTCATGGAGGGAGGGGACATGAGTCCTTATGAGATTCAAATATTTCAAAAGAAGTTGAAAAAGGAAATGGAAAAGATAGATGCGGCGGAGGAGTCCATCCATGGTCAGCTGGAGGCCTGCCACCCGAACAGTTTGCAGCAGGTAACGTCGTAATCAGCAGTAAAATGAAGCTGCCATCTTCTCATTCTCTGGCCTCAGCTTCAGGTCAGCGAGGTCTGCAGTCTGCAGGAGAAACTGACCTGCCTCAAGTCAGAGTTCATTTTTGTGGAGAAGACCCAAAGTATTCTTCGTAACATTCTCGTCAAGATCAAGGCTGCGGTATGTCGAACTAAAACAAAATTCAAACTAATCACAAAACAATTGACATGAATAGTATGAATACAATTCTAGCGCGATCTGTTTCCAGGCTGCCACAAGCAATCATCTGCAGTCTGACATCAGCAGCAAGATTCATGAGTTACAGGATCTAATGGGAAGTAAAGAGACACAGGTACAGTATACAGGTGCAATGACACGGATCTTCAGAGGTTCAACTTATTCTGATACGGGTTAGCAAAGTAAATATGTAATACGTATGCAATGTGATGTTTACTTGCATCCATTCATTACTATCTCTGCATAAGATGATTTTGTTTTGAAGGTGCAGATGTGCCAGGTGCAGGCGTTATCCATCCTCTCTGGCCTCAGTCAGACGCTGCATCAACAGGCTCAGTGTCTTCATGTTACCCTGGTATGAGGTGGTATTTGAAGTATTCCAGAATGTTTATGACCAAGAAATCAATGCACACACAAGTACATCATAACAGTTGACATAAGCAGACTTCTTGGAACAAACCTGGGATGTGGGGTGGGGACTGAAATGAGTGTGCACACCTTCTTCTGGTCAGGAGCCGTCCTTACAGTGGTGAGATCTGTTTTCTCCTGAGAGCCACATTGAAATATCACAATACTGTGTGGGGGGGTGGTGCTTTTTTTATTGTTTGGTCTCATTCTTAATCTGAGCCGGGGGACTGCATGAACCAAACCAGTAGGAGTACGAACTACACACTTAATGACTCCAGATGTCACCCCACCTGTTCACATTTATTTATTCAATGTTTATGTGGTTTGGAGAGTGCATGTTGATGAACACACCTCTCCAGATTCTAGCCTTGGGCTAATTTGCCTCCGTTGTTCCACTGTTGCTCGCACAAACACACACATCCACCCCAATATATTGTAATTTTTTTGTGGTAGGGGAAACCGGAGCACCCGGAGTAAACATATGCAGACTCGGGGAGAACATGCAAACTACACAGACAAGCCCTGTCTGGAGGTGGACCTTCTTGCTGTGAAGCATAAATGCTAACTGCTGCTCCACGGTGCTTTTTTGTTTGTGCCAAGTCACTGAAGGACGACATGGTATACATTAGGCCATCAGCTCTGTTTAGTAAGGAGCTACAACACAAGGTCACTGCATCCGTCACTGCATCCATGGGTGTGGGAAGGGGCAAAAGGAGAATAGGGGTACCATTCATCACCCTCACACCCGTGGGAATACACTAGCTTTTATTTCTTCTGGTTAACGCCACTTTTATTCTCATTTGACTTAATTGACAAGTTGTGTTATTTGATTTGCTCTCTCACAGCGCTCTCAGCAGAAGGATGGCCTGCAGTCAGTGGGTCCCTCTCCCTGCTCTGCGCTGCAGCCCTATGGCCTCGGAGGTGCACTGCACGATGACCCGTTGCTGGGCGTCATCAAATCTCTTAACAGGCATGTCTTAATATTTACAGTCTATGGTCTGCATGTAGTATAATAATGTGTTCAATCATAAAATTATGATTTTAACTGTGTTCTTATAGAGACAGAACTTCTGCCTCTACTCAAACTGCACAGAGGGGAGGAGCAGGTAACTGTCTTGTGTCAATTCTCCTTCTCTTTGTTACGTTCAGAACACTTATTTTCCATCTTTACCTGATTTGTTCTTAGCAGCAGTTCAGAAAAGAGAGGAGTGTCCAGCAATCAGGTAAAATCTCATTCTGTAGTGGTAGTGTTGGAGAGAACAGAGTAGCATATTGTGAACACTTTGGATGCATTCACATTGATTTGCATATTACAGAGTAAATGTGGTAAACAATGTTGTTTTTTGTGTGTAAATTGGTTAATCAGACAATCGCACCAAAACTGTTTTCATGTTAAGTTACATTAGCAATTACAAACAATGCCTTTCAATTTGAGCTTTATTACTAAGCAAACCAAAAATAATGTATCAATAGGCTGAGGATCTAACCTTTTGTGCACCCATATTTAGAAGGATTAAATCATATTTTCATCAATCATATTTATTTTTTCATAAACATAGTATTATTATGGAAAAATAATTAAAAGTGTATTCACTAATAATCTCAAAACCTTGCTGCTGGCTAATTGGCACTTCCTGGTGGACCAAAAATGGCATTGAAGTTGTGACATCCTGGTGTGTTTCAGGAGAGGAGGCAGAGCTCGAGTGAACTGGAGGCTGCAGATGTTTGGGCCCAGACCAGAGCCTGAGCAGGACCCTCTGTGAGTGAAGCCTCTCTTTTGAACAAACCCTTTATTCCTAATACGTTTTTTGTTTTGTTTTGCTGCAGCTCTTTCAGCTCCAAAGTGAGTGCCCTCTTGTGGGAGGCCAGTGATGCTCTGATGCTGACTGCTGAGGTAACATCAGGAACCATTGGATCATTATTTAGGACCTTGCTTTGGTCCCAGAACAGAAAAATGAAAAATAATAGGAAAAAAATGTACCTTTCTTTTAGTATTTTTTTGTGTATATGTCACTACTTGTAAAGTACATATTTTTGTGATTGAATGCAATGCCTCTTAATGTTAAACAAATTGAGATGCAGTTTGTATATGAAATGTGCTTTACCAATGCATTTTCTTTCATGTTTAAAAATACATTTATTTTCTGGAACTCTCAGGATTTCTACTGGAGCAATCGTTGGTTTGCTCATTTCATGTTGATTCCTGACAGTTTGGAGCAGTGGGTCGACAACATGCTGCAAAAACTTCTGGAATACCATGAGCAGGGAAAGACTTTTCTAAGCTCCAATCAGAAAAGTAGATCAAGTTCTTCTCCTTTGTGTAATAAATATACTGGTGAGTGTTATATGTCTAATGGCTGTGTCTGATTCCCAGAGTTTGAACAACATGTGTCTACATTAGAACAAGTTTGCCTTCAGTTACCCTCCTTTCTAATACGTATGCATGAGCATCAGCATCTAGAGAAACTCAAGGCCGAGATGGACAAAAGGAAGCAGAAGTTTGACCAGACTTTAGCTGAAACTGAGAGAGACAAGGTATATTATATTGCTTTATTGTGGACTGGTTTTTTGACCTTCCTTTAGACCAGGGGTGCTCAAAGTGCTGGCCATTTTTAGTGCACCCCATGATCTGAACTTTCACTATTGCTGATGAGTAGTTACTGTGGGCTTCCGTGGAATGTCTTATATCATTTAAAGGAGACATATTCTGCAAATTTTACTTTTTTGAGCTCTACATACAATACAATACAATGTATTATTCTTGTATAGCCCTAGGTCACAACAGAAGTCATCTCAGAGGACTTAACAAAACCATTGAAATCACCAACGCAGGTCAGAGAATCACCTGAAAAATATAAAGCACACACAGAAGAAAATGTCCATACATGTTGTAGAATGCTAAAGTGTCCTGATCATCACCAATCCTTTCTGTTGGACACTAACTGTCCAACAAGACCCTCCTGCATCGACAAGGAAAAACTCTTAAAAAACCCAGTGGGAAAAAGTGAGAAACCTTGGGGAGAACTAGGGAAACCCACAGGGAGGGAGACCCATATGAGAAAGGGATCCGCTCCTCCGGACGGACAGGCTAATGATCTAGGACCTAAGCTAGCTACAGAACGTGGACCAGTGGCCGCTGAACGTGGACAGGTCCGGTGCAGGACTAAAGCACTCCCAGGCGGGTCGGGCGGGGCAGTCCGCAGGTGTAGATGGAGGAGGCCAGGCCCAGAGATCCCGTCATCGTACCATGAAACAGACAATGGGACAACGGGTGAATAGCAATGAATAAACTACAGTCCAAATCCTAATAATGCTAAACATCCTAAACATGCTAAGTAGGAAGGAGGAGAGGATAGTGCTCAAGTTACCATACTTCTCCCAGCAAACTGACTCCCTATGCAGCTTGACTGACAGTCTGAGGAGTTTAGCCTTCCCTGAGTCTTACCTTCCTAGCCATATGCTAAACTAAAGAGGACTGTTTTAAACTTAGCCTTGAATAAAGAGAGCGTATCTGAAAGGAGGTGAGACAGCAGCAGCCACGTCTAGGCTAGCCTAGGTTACAGCACCAAGATTCATGGATTGCACACCAGGTGTGCAAACCGATCCAGGCAAACCTAATTATATATTATATATCATATATACCATACATATTATATATAATACATAACATAACATACAGCATAATATATAACATAATATACAACATAACATAATACAGCATATATATATATAATATATACACCATATTATATATATATATTACCTAATTATATGCTAAATTAAAGTAGAGTGCTTTAAGCCTGGCCTTGAATGTGGAGACCGTATCTGCTTCCTTAACATAAATGGGAAGCTGATTCCACAGTAAAGGAGCTTGGAGCTAAATGCTCTGCCACCAACAGTGATTTTTGAGACCTTAGGAACCACCAGACGTCTGGCGTTTTGTGAGCGCAACGCTCGACTTGGTTGATAGGACACTAACGTGTCTTGGAGATAGGAAGGAGCCAAGCCATTTATGGCTTTATATGTTAAGAGAAGGATTTTAAACTTAATTCTGTACTCCACAGGGAGCCAGTGGAGTGATATTAACACCGGAGTTATGTGCTCCCTCCTTTTGGTACCTGTTAAGATCCTAGCTGCTGTATTCTGAACGAGCTGGAAGCTCTTCAAAGAGGCTTTAGGGCATGCTGCCAGTAAAGCGTTACAATAATCAAGTCTTGAGTCGTGACAAAAGCGTGAATACGTTTTTCCGCGTCACTTTTAGGAAGGAAATTTCTGATTTTAGCGATGTTCCATAAGTGGAAGTACGCCGTTTTAGTCGCTTGGCTTATATAAGCCTTAAAGGAGAGTTCTTCATCAAAAATTACTCCAAGATTCCTCACAGTGTTACTTACATCATTGTTCCTCATTAGTCCCAGACCTGGTGTTGTTTTTAGATAAAGCCACGCTAAAATAAGGACCTCCTTGCACAAACATGTAACTCTGCCCCTTCTGTCTAAAAGCTCCCGTCTCATTCCTGTAATAGTATGATTTGTCATCACTGTGACATCACACTTGTTTTCTGCCTCTTAAAATAGAAGTATTGCCCCTAAATTAGTCTTAGTAATTTCTCGGTTGAAAACAATACAACAAATTCTACTCTTCTCTCTGGTGGTAGCTTTGGGAGTTACAGGAGAAAAGCATTTTTTTTACTCTTCATTTTTTTCCTTCTTAAGACATCATTTCTAATTATAAAACATGAAATGACAAGTAAATTGTCTTTTTGTAAATTTTTACATCAACAATAAAACATTTATAATAGAAAACAACCATATCTAATTAATTCTAAACATTGAACCGCAAGTTCAATTAGATTAAATAAAAGTTCAATCCAATCATAACTGAACAAATTCTGTTCCGAACAATCTCCCTGAAAAGAACATATAAACTCATGTAAATAAAAGTAATTCAAATGGCCATTCTTACAGACTATGAGCTTTAAACAAACTTTCCACTAAGACTTTTTAAACCCATGAAAAGTTTTTTCCATATACATTTTAAAATACTTTTGGCACCCCTGCTTTAGATCAACTTTATCTAGTATGTGTTCCCCATGTGCAGAAGGATATTGTAAGATGGCTGCGGCTGTGTATAAGCGGCGAGGCTCTGCAGGCACTTCGGCTCAAAGAGGAGCACCGGCAGCAAGCCATTAAAAGGTCCATCGATTGTTTTGTCGGAGCCCAGACGGTAAGACATGCATGAGACATTTAAAAAAAATAGTTCAACAGTGCTGCTATTTCCCCCACTTTATCAGGAGTGTTTGCAGCTGGCCGGAGAGACCTTTGTGACCTCACTGGCCTCTCTGACAGAACAACTGCTGACTTTGTTCGACCTGATAATGACAGTTGATGGTAGGTGTTGTTTTCAGAAAGTCTTTGGCGTAAACACTATGAATCTGTCACGCTGACGTCTAATTCTTTTACAGAAGAAAACACAGCGTCGCAGCCCTCTGAAGACGCAGCTCACAGGCCACAGACGGGCAAAAGGTGGGTCCTGTCTTCACTGCAAAAAATATTAGTGCTTTGTTGAAGAAAAGGTGTACCTAAAGGTGCATTAATTATGAAACTGTGTGCCATGGTGGTTTCATTGCAGTGTAAATTCAAAAGCACTTTTGGAAATGATATACACAATTGACATGTGTTTTAGAAATGTCCAAATATTCAAAAAATACTTCCATTACACACTCAATGGGCTCAATGTTCCCATTAAGAACATGTGTAACATCTGATAAACGTACGTGTTGTAAGCTGTACGTAAATTCTACATGATAGTATGTAATCTTCCATCTAAGAAAGATATTGAATAGATGTACACTGAAAAAATTTACACTGTCCATACCAGACAAATGTGATATGTCAAGGTAATTACATTATTGTAAATCTGTCTAATATAGAGGAACCAAATTATTAACTTACGAACAGAGAACCCCATTTATTCAATGATCATAGATGACAAACGCATCTGAGCGATTACACTGTACAGGTTGGCATTTTTAAAAATATGTGCCATTTTTCAAAAAATCCTTTCACAAGAAAAAAAAGACAATCAATTCACTGATTTAGCATGCTTCCCTCTTGTTGAATGTGTTCTGCTTTATAAAATTGTCCCTTCTATTCTTGCTTTTATAGAACCTGGCAGGGCATCCCGTCTTTCACTTCATCTGTCGTCGAGACAACTGCTACTATCACCACAAACAAGTGCACCCGTGGACACGAGGGCGTTATCCAAGAAAGAGACTCTTCTGTCAAGGCAAAGAAAAACTACAACTTATGTAATTCCCACAAATACTTAGGATGTTTAGTTTGTTCATCTGTATCATTCCAGAGGTTTGAGGAGATCTATAGAAATGAACTGCTTGGGATGGACTCCGACAAAAACAAGAGACAGGAGGAAATGGAAAAATGGAGTGTCCACTGGAGTCAGCAGCTGCATGTACTGACACATCATCAACACTGAACATTCAAATACTCTCCTCCATACTCAGGCTGCACTTTCACAGTTGCCCTGCACCCCATGTGCTTTACTGTGCTCATTAAAATACCTTTTCTATAGTTTATAGAATGTGAGATGGATGGCACTAGTCTCACACAACTCACTTTCACTTTTCTTTAATATTGTAAAACATTAAAATTGGTGTTCAAATACTGATGTGAAATAGGTTCAGAATACGTATACAGGATTGCTTTGACAATAAATTAATACTCACTCCATGGAAATCCCTGTTTTATTCTTATAATAAATATCATTACCATCACTTGCATCATAAATACCTAAAATATACTATACTTCCTTACATGAAATTCAGATTACACATTTGTCTAAACACATGGAAAATTACATCTTTTTAAAACATGACAAGATGTCAAGTGGATTTACCCACTTACACTAAGTGAACTTCTTTGTATAGTCCTGGTGGAGTCAGTGTGTGCTCCCTGATCCACCTTTCCTCCTCTGTCGGTTCTTCACGAGCTCAAACACTTTATCCAGCTCCAGTGGTTGTTTGGAAGCTGTCAGTTTCTCTGTGTTGCTAAAGATGTTTTTAAAGACCCTCAAATGTTCCTCCAGTCCACGTTTCAGCCACATGACCTCGTCCTGGAGCCGTGGATCCCTCTGTCTGCTGCTGTTCTGCTGTTCTTCTATGCTCGCCACTCTGCGCTGTAGTTCCTCCACGGCCTGCTCCAGTTTCCACAGATCACTGCCATCTCTGAGCTGGGGCCCATGGAGACGTTGGTATTCCCTGACCATGCCCTTCCCACCGCTACTGTGGTCCCCAGAGAGCCAGTCAGGCTGAAGGTGTGAAGATGGCTGGTCAGCAGCTGGGACCTCCTTTGGATCTGCAAGGGTATATTTTACTGTATCAAAGCTTGTTACTTTCAACATGTATTTTAGGTTTATCTGTCAATAGTGAGTACTATATCTTTGACTTTCTCACCGGTTCTGTGTTTTGTTAGATGTGCAATACTCTGGTTGTGCACGTTCAGCTGCTCCTCATGCAGTCTCAGACGCTCTTTCAAGGCAGGGATGGAGTGGGCCTCTTGGTCGAGAATGGGCCAGTCCAAGAACTCAAGGATCTCCTCTCCCAGCAGAAGCTCGAGCACGTCGCTGAGGCGCATACCGTCTGTGAGCAGAGAGTTAAAGGATCCCCGCAGATTCATGTTGTCCTGAGTGCGCTGTGCTTCTGTCTGCTGAAGGTGTGTGACCTCTGCCTGCCACTGCTGCAAAGACCAGTTCAAATCAGCCAGACTATGCTCCACTCCTCTGGTCCGGTTCTCCTCCAAAGCCCAAGACAATTTAACCTAATTCAAGAAAGACAGGTGCTCTTGAATCACAAAGACGATGCATATTTATAATTATTATATAATGTAAAATATGTCAAAGTAAGCTAAGAGACTAATTTTCGAATCAATGCATGTCCTAGGAACAAGGGTTTCAGTTAATAACAGTTAATTTAATTATTTAAAGGCTCTGGGACTTATATTGGACAAAACTTCCACCCTGTACTTAACATTGCACATTCAAGTGTTTCTGGAGATGTTACCTGCTGAAGTCCTTGTTGCAGAGCCTCCACTGCTGGCTGCCAGTCACCGTCCCCCCATGGTGCCCCCTGATCTTCACCCTCTTCCAGGGCCAGTCTGTTTTCATTGGCCAACTCTGTGACATTACTGAGCCCTGACTGAAGGTGTGTAATGGCAGTCCTCAGGTCAGAGCAGCTGTTGTCTCCAGTGGAGCTGTTCCTTTTGTAGAGGACATCAAAAAGGTAGTCCACGTCCACATCCAGCTCCAACAGCTTCTTCCCTTGGACACTCATGTTTCCCGCGAGTTCCTCAACTCTCTGTAGCACCACTACTTTGGCCGCCTCCACCTCCAGACCAGTCTCCATGAACTGCACCTGGCTGCGGCGGGAGGTAGCATTGATGCGTTTGTCTTGTTCCTTGTAGAGTCTGTGAAACTGCTGTACGCTGCCTGACACCGCCTCCACATCCTCGCGCAGTGTCAATACCTGCGTCCAAACAATATATATTCACTAATCAACATATTGTTTCAATCAAAAATATTTAAAAATATATATTATTAATCCCCAGCGACCACTAGTTTAGGAATTACTACTAAATAAATAAACCACACACAATGTTTTACTTCGCACCCCCAGTTTAGCACCTGGATTGATAAATTAGACCCAAAATGTATTACTTTTAAAAAACATTGTAAGGAAAGAGTTGTGGTCTGTCAGATGCAAGTACCTTCACTGAGTTGTTCACCACCTGGTTGTCTAAGCGTTCTACGGCCCTCCACAGAGCTGAGGCCTCCGAGCCTTGGGCCAGTTCTGATGCGGGCTGCTTCATGTCCAGCTTTAGCTGAGACAGACTGTGATTCAAAGATTCAACTTTGACCTAGGATCAGATCTCAAATCAGTTATTTGGTCATAGCTTAAAAAGACACTGAATTGTCACGGTTCCATTTATTTCTGAATCTCACGTCCAAGTGTGTCTTGAGTCTGGTCAAGTTTCCGAGCAGCAGAGTATGATGGGATTCCAGCAGGTGCTGTTGCTGATGCAGCTGGTCCTGTGTCATCCTCAGCTCTTGATAAACTGGCTCCAGTTTGTCTTCGTCGTCTGAGTCATCTCTGATCAGAGAGCTGTCCTGGAGTTTAGGAGGAAGCGGGCTCCTCAGCTCAGCCACTTCCAGGGTCAGGGCCCCCAGCTGACTCTGCATGTGCACCAGGGAGCGGTTGAAGGCTTCCAGGACGGGCTGCAGCTGGGACATAACCAATGCCATCATGTGGGGCACTGGGAGGACAGCTGGAGTGTCCTGGTATCGGAGGGCCACAGGGTCAGTCTTGTTGCCTACAACTGTGCACAACTCATTGTGAGATTCTCACTGCAGACTTTTCAACCCTACATCTACACAACCAGCATTGCGCCAGGGAAGGGAAGGGTCACACAGTAAGTCATTGACACAAATAACACATAGCAATCAAATGTTGCTGTAATGTTGACAATAGCAGTCAGAGATGTAATTTAGTCCCATATGGAAGATTCAGTGTACATATGTCATGGACACACCCTTGCAGAGGAAACAGGACATCCTGTGGACGTACGTCTGTGATGACCCCACTATCATGTTCGGCAAGTACATCATTCAGACACCACTGCAGCTGTCTTTGCTGTCATGAGATGCGGCTTCAATACTTCCAATAGTTCTCTCTTCATGAAGCCATGTAATTGTGCACCAGTCACTTATTTGTACCAGCTTATACAAATACTGTATTATATTTGCCAAGGGTGAATCAGACTTCTGCTATGATTTATTTATTTTTATTTGACCATGTTGTCAAAAAGTAAAGCTGTGAGTGAGATGTAGCCTTAAAATACACCTAGAGTTGAGCCTCAATTTATCATAATTAGTTTCCCCACTGTTTACATCTTTGTGTGTGAAATGAGTGGAACCACACAACTCTAATGCCCCAGGCAACAATGTTTATTGCCTTAAGTTTTTTGATCTTGCCTTAGATGTGCATTTCCCACCACAATATAAAAGTATCTCCTTCAATAGTGTGTCATTGAGAATGACTCTAGAGTTACTACTTCAAAGTATAACAATAATAAAAAATATTATGTGTTTTTGAAGCATATATAGTATAAATCAGACTCACCTGGTGACCGTGTGTTTGGGTCCTGGGTTCCCGTGTTGGGCTGTTCTGGTGCTCTGTCCCTGTGCTCTGAGTTGGAGACTGTATGTCGCAGAAGGTTGTGTTCTTGCCGTTGGGCGTGTCCCTGTTGGTCAGGGTCCAGAAACTGGTCGTAGGCTTCAGGTTGGTAGTTGGGATCAGAAGATTCGTATGCATCTTGTGGGACGTTCTGAGGCGTGTCGGGTTGACTGGTGTGCTGGTCGTTTTGCTCTTGATGAGGGTCCATGTGTTCCATCTGCTCTGCTGCAAACATACACATGGTCCGTAGTGGAATCTGTTGTCTGCACAGTTTCTTTAAGTTGATAGTTAAGCTGATGTGGTGAACTGTATGCTGATGACACAGTGTAATGAATACCCAGCAGCTGAAAAACTCACTGTAGCTATGGAAGTTGAGGTTGAATGGCATTTCATTCAAAATAATTTATTTATTTTGGTCACTTTTAATAAAAAAAAAGTACAGATAAGGATAACTTTTCAACATTCAGACCACATGTACTGCCTTCAGTACCTCACTCCCATCTCTGTGTGGAGTGAGAGACAAATTCCCACAATTGTAAAACGCTTTGTGACACTGGTCTGTGAAAGGCGGTATATAAATAAAGATTACTCACTTACACACTTACTTAATCAATCAGGTTTTAGTAGCATACAGTGCAGCAACCTCTGGTAGTCCTGTTGCTGACATTTCGGTACACTTTCCACTCCAACTATTTTTTTGTTCCAAAAAATCTAGAAAGTGCCCCACCCAGTTTGAAAGGCAAATGTTTTGTATGGCTGTGAGTCATTGCTGTATATTTAAAGTTCCTGCTATTGTGTCCAGTGATGATTTCACCACACTAGTTTAAGTGCAGTTAAATGGTGTGCGTACAGATCCAGGACCACTAGGAGCATCAACCTACTGTCTCCTTTGAGGACCAGAAACGCATGTATACGTACGTTTTACAGTTTTATGTACATTGTCTGTCTGTTTTAAGAGGGAGGATATCCGTTTTAGATTTGTGATAAACACACGACTTTCCCACACACCATCACAATCTCATTCTAAATTAGGTTCCACTATCATTGGAAGCCAAATATAAATAGATCAACACAGGAAGCCTCTATATTCTGGGACAGTTCTGAAGCGGGGTGAAATAACAATCTGTACTAGATTCCATAATAGGGAATTCAGTAAGTTATCTATAGCTGTGTTCTGGGCGGATGGTATTGGCTGATATTAGCTGAGCCATATAAGATATGGGTGTTAAGAGACATACTGTACAGGTCAGGCAGAGCTCTTACCTGCGTACTCACAGTTGGGGCCAGAGTGGCCACGACAGCACTGCCACAGCAGGGCAGAGACCACCCTTGGGGTCTGCTTGTAGAGTGGCCGTGTAGACAGCTTGTACCTGAACACAAATAGCTTTAATATAATGGAATAATATACAGTGTATTTTCAATTTTTGGAATAACGCCTTCGGTTTGTGTTTTGTAACTACATAGTTCAAACAACAGTAACATTACAATTTGAGACAATAATAAAATCGATTTCTATTTCAAGGCCCACATTTAAGAAAACATTTGTAAAGGTTGTAAAAATAACAATTTTGGCTGTTGAGTAGATGACTATAGTTTCATAAAAAGACCTTCTCGTCAATCACTTGATGCAAGTTGTTCCAAGGGGCTGAAAATAGAATTCCAAACGTTCATTTTTTTTTAGCATCTCTCACCATCCATCCCCAACTGTTTAGATCAGAGGAACATACCGGATACAAAGAGGAACCTCTGAAGAAGTCCTAAGTCAGGTGGGCTCAGACTGCAGTGTCATCAGTGGGAAGAATCCAGTCTCTATGGCAAATATGAGGCCCCTGCAACATGGCCCCATGCTCAGCAGCTGTATGATTCTTCTGCAATGTGCCGCATATAAAACACCTCAAGTGAGGTCAAAAGGACGCAAGGTCTTTGAATATGATTCATTTTAAAAACGTCTCTCTTAGATGCCGTCTGGTCTATATATGGTTTTTGGGCTGCAGACAATCCAGTAAAGGCTTCCTTTTGAACGATGAACGCCCCTTGTCAGACCACCAATCTGATCTTTTATTCCATAACCCTGCGAACCTTTACACTTCAAAATTACTCTCTGTGTGTCTTACCTTGGCAGCATTTGTGCTTTGCTCGAGAGCATACTTATTCAACTTAACAATCTGTCTACATTTGACAACAGAAACCTCTGCCCTTATGCCATCATGAAGGATGACAGAAAGTTACATTGAATCTCCATTTTTCAGTATTATGTTTGTCAGACGTTCTCTGACATACGTCATACTCACATGACGAGCTGGCAGTCCGGGACTCTACTCGGACATGGGCTTTGAGACTTGGCGGTGTACTGCTCTGTTCCACTCACAACGACTGCTGTCACCACTCGCTTCTGCACAACTGGACACCAGTTGCTGCAACATACACAGATTCTAAATTATTGTGATTGCACATTAAAACGCTATCTCCCAAATCAATAACGTTGGGTCTCATTTTTTGTTTGTTATTTTAATAATAACAATAATAATAATAAGTTTTGGACTGAAAACCGTAAGAGCCAACAGTTTTGTTTTATTTTGCTAATAGAATGTATTGATGCAAACTGTTCTTTGGAATCAATAAACATGATTGAAACAATTTGTTCCCATAAGATCCATCCCCTCCACAGACATTAACTTTTTGGTTTTTGTTTTGACAGTGTTGACAAACTCTTATTGTTCTTTCAAATACAAATGGTTCATACCTTTTGTATCAGTGACAAATGTTACCATGGTACTCATGGAACTTACCCTGATCGAGCTGGAACATCTCCTTGTGGCACTCCTCCCTGTGGTACATTGTCCTTTGGCACACTGCCTCCCCTTGTGTCAGGAACCCTGATTCCCCCATCCTCCTGCTCCATCTCAGGGTCCCGGGCCCTGAGTTCAGAGTGAGCCGTCTGTAGAAACAGCAGCAGCAGCAGCACTTGCCTCATGTCTGCCTTGTTCTGAACCTCTCCGAACCAGTGGAACAGATTGGGGGAGGTAGGCCACACCTCTAGCTTCCTCTGCCCCCCATATGTGGGGGTTGGATTTGTGACCAGTCCCAAGAAGACTTTTTCTGAACATTTCTGTGACCTCAGTATCCTGTGCAGTGTCATGAGACATGATTATTTGTCTCTCTCTTGTTGTTTGATGAGGTTATTTCGGAGATGGTCAAATATTGCTGTTTACCATTTACTAAAATTTTGTGATTACAGCATATCTGAAGAGAATGTCTAGACTTGAAAAACCCATGTTCTCTAGATGACATACATATATATACATATATATATATATATAGATACATATATATATATATATATATTATTATCATTATTATTATTTAATCACTGTATGTGAAATGTGAATGCTGCATAACAGTTCAATTCTAAAGCTTGTGAGCTCTTCCTGTTGGTATGAAAAGAGCAGAGGAAGTCCAGCTCCTTCCTGACAGTCTGACCTCACAGTCATACAAAAGCAGGCTCTTGGTCTCTATACTTTTCTCATAAACTGCACAAAGGCTCATCTGATATTTTGGCTGAAGGTTTGAAAAAGAAAACGTTTAGAAGAGGGTAACTAGACCTGCAGTTTTCCAGCCAGCACAGAGAGGTCTGTGTGGGGGCTGGGTGGGGACTGCTTCCGAGGATTGTTGTGGACTTGCACAGGGGTCAGCGGTGACAGACTGGTTGGACATTCTGCTGGTGGAGGAAAAGACTTATGACTCAAAGGCTCAAAGCTTTCGTTTTTCATGATGACGCTTGCTCAGTATCTGAACGCAGGCACTAAACAAAATAATATTTGAAAAGGCTAACTATGATTTTTAGTCATTTCAGAAAGCAAAAATAAAACAAATTTAACAACTTGATAAAAATTTTCCCTTCCTGAAATAAAAAGTTTTATTTTGCTTATTCATGTCTGTGATTTATTTGAATAGTTGTCCCATGCTCTCCTCCTGTAGTCTGTACTCTCCTCCTGTAGTCTGTACTCTCCTCCTGTAGTCTGTGCTCTCCTCCTGCAGTCTGTACTCTCCTCCTGTAGTCTGTACTCTCCTCCTGTAGTCTGTGCTCTCCTCCTGTAGTCTGTGCTCTCCTCCTGTAGTCTGTGCTCTCCTCCTGTAGTCTGTGCTCTCCTCCTGTAGTCTGTACTCTCCTCCTGTAGTCTGTGCTCTCCTCCTGTAGTCTGTGCTCTCCTCCTGTAGTCTGTGCTCTCCTCCTGTAGTCTGTACTCTCCTCCTGTAGTCTGTGCTCTCCTCCTGTAGTCTGTGCTCTCCTCCTGTAGTCTGTCTCTCCTCCTGTAGTCTGTGCTCTCCTCCTGTAGTCTGTGCTCTCTCCTCCTGTAGTCTGTGCTCTCCTCCTGTAGTCTGTGCTCTGTCCTCCTCTGTAGTCTGTGCTCTCCTCCTGTAGTCTGTGCTCTCCTCCTGTAGTCTGTGCTCTCCTCCTGTAGTCTGTGCTCTCCTCCTGTAGTCTGTGCTCTCCTCCTGTAGTCTCTGTATCTGTGTCTGTACTCTCCTCCTGTAGTCTGTGCTCTCCTCCTGTATGTCTGTGCTGCTCTCCTCCTGTAGTCTGTGCTCTCCTCCTGTAGTCTGTGCTCTCCTCCTGTAGTCTGTGCTCTCCTCCTGTAGTCTGTGCTCTCCTCCTGTAGTCTGTGCTCTCCTCCTGTAGTCTGTGCTCTCCTCCTGTAGTCTGTGCTCTCCTCCTGTAGTCTGTGCTCTCCTCCTGTAGTCTGTGCTCTCCTCCTGTAGTCTGTGCTCTCCTCCTGTAGTCTGTGCTCTCCTCCTGTAGTCTGTGCTCTCCTCCTGTAGTCTGTGCTCTCCTCCTGTAGTCTGTCTCTGTGCTCTCCTCCTGTAGTCTGTGCTCTCCTCCTGTAGTCTGTGCTCTCCTCCTGTAGTCTGTGCTCTCCTCCTGTAGTCTGTGCTCCTAGTCTGTCCCTCCTGTAGTCTGTGCTCTCCTACTGTGTCTGTGCTCTCCTCCTGTAGTCTGTGCTCCTCCTGTAGTCTGTCTCTGTAGTCTGTGCTCTCCTCTGTCTCTCCTCCTGTAGTCTGTGCTCTCCTCCTGTAGTCTGTGCTCTCCTCCTGTATGCTCGTGTGCTCTCCTCTGTAGTCTGTGCTCCTCTGTGCTCTCCTCCTGTAGTCTGTGCTCTCCTCCTAGTCTGTGCTCTCTCCTGTGTCTCTCCTCCTGTAGTCTGTGCTCTCCCTGTAGTCTGTGCTCTCCTCCTGTAGTCTGTGCTCTCCTCCTGTAGTCTGTGCTCTCTCTGTGTGCTCTCCTCCTGTGTTGTCTGTCTCTCCTCCCTGTATCTGTGCTCTCCTACTGTAGTCTGTGCTCTCCTCCTGTACTCTCCTACTGTAGTCTGTGCTCTCCTCCTGTAGTCTGTGCTCTCCTCCTGTAGTCTGTGCTCTCCTCCTGTAGTCTGTGCTCTCCTCCTGTAGTCTGTGCTCTCCTCCTGTAGTCTGTGCTCTCCTCCTGTACTCTCCTCCTGTAGTCTGTGCTCTCCTCCTGTAGTCTGTGCTCTCCTCCTGTAGTCTGTGCTCTCCTCCTGTAGTCTGTGCTCTCCTCCTGTAGTCTGTGCTCTCCTCCTGTAGTCTGTACTCTCCTCCTGTACTCTCCTCCTGTACTCTCCTCCTGTAGTCTGTGCTCTCCTCCTGTAGTCTGTGCTCTCCTCCTGTAGTCTGTGCTCTCCTCCTCTTCAGATGGTTCCATTTACGTAGGTCTTGGTGAAGCATCAGCTTCTACTTTTCATCTTTGAAACATTTGTTGAAAGTGTTCTTGGTTGTGTCCACTAGAGGGCACTGCGGACGTTCCGTCATGAACATTGATGGCCAAAAGTGATAGCTGAGAAATGCAATAGTGTTTCCCAACCGGTGGTACCCAGACCCTGGTTATGCTAGGGTTCTACAGAGGGTAATGGAAATTGCAAACGTTATATAACATATATACACTGAAAAGTACCTTCATAATTTCAAATAATACATACAAAATAATCCGATGCAAAAGATGAGGTAGAAACCATCTTTCCATAAAGACAATTATGAATGAATGAATCTTTATTCGAACAATACAAAATGAAATAGAAAAGTTAATAGATACATTTTAAAAACCTATAGGTGTACAATGTATGTACAAATAAAATAAACAATCATGTTCGCAAGAAGAAAGAAAACAGTAAAGGGATGATCCAGAACACATTTGACCTTGTTGAGTAGTGCTACACTTTTAGATATTTTGTTTTGGATGTACTGGAATGATGACACTTTATCCTGACAGTAAAGACAAAAAAAATGCTTGTTGGGGCAGTGTGGACTGTGGACATACTGAGGTAGACAAAATATGTGAATAAAAATAAAGGCGTTGTCCTCCCATGGATCCTCAGGCGTCTTCTTCCATACACACAGTGAAGGTTCAGAATCTGCTCTTTATTTCATTATGAGAGAAACAACACAAACAGCAGAGTTTTTTTTGACATAAACAAGTTTATCTTTATGGGAAAAGTTATTTTTTTTAATGTGACTAAGATTTGACAGATTTGATCACAAAAACAAACTTTGCATTAGCAACAGCATTAACATTTGAAAATAAAACTAGCTGGTTTTCTCTCCTTTTGTAAGTTATAATTGATACAAATGAAAACCATACCATAACAATACAGTTCACCAGTGAGCTTGTGCCCATTCTACAACATGTCACTTTAGGGTTTCTGAGGCGGTGGCTGCTCAGCCTGCAGGCGTGAGGCCTAATGAAGAACAAGCAGAGCAGGTCTGTTCAAAGTGATCAGAGCGGTTCCACACCCATCCATTTACAGTCACATGATTTTAATTTAATTTGCATTTTACACTTCTGGCACCTGTGAACATCCCATCATTCATCATGCAAACTTTGTTTGGGAGAATACTTTGCAAATGTATTTAGAATACCTGCATTAACATTAATTTTCTAACATATTCTGTTTCATCTCCATTTAATGAGTTAGTAGAGTGTATGTACCACCATCAGTAATACAGAATGAATTATATAAATACATGTATTTATTTGAGCACAAGGATACAGGGTATGATTACGTTGAGAGAATAGGCTAGAGGCATGAGCTCATCAGGGCCTACCCTCTTTCTCATCCTTAAATCAGTTTGATATACGTTTCAAAATACAAAATCCAATACCAATTTCTTGGGCTGAACAAATAACCACAATGTAGATCTAACCAAACTAAAGTTATTTTCTATAAGGATTAGATCAGATGGAAAGCGGCAGGTGTTAATGATTTGATGTGACTATCGGAGGTAAGGTCTAAGTCTGTTATCACCCCAATCATTATAAAGAGAGAGACTGCTGGTTACTGCTTTCTCTTAAACACATAACTTAAAACCTCGGTGGAGTGACACCAGGTCTTCTTTTGATCAAGGCACAAATAACAGCATGTCTATTAGAAGGGTGTTTCACATTTCAGAGATGTAAATAAAAATTTGTGAATCATAGATTCTTATGAAGGGAGGAAGGTACACCAGGACAAAGACTCTCGAAGTGCGCATGAGAACAAAGACATAGATGTAGAATAACAGGTTCACCGTGAGGCACCATCGGCTATAAAAGCAGCACCCGCACAGCACAGCACAGCACTGCACAGCACTGCACAGCACTGCACAGCACAGCACAGCACTGCACAAGCAGAGAAACCCAAACATGTCTTTCCTGAATAATTTAGGAGGCAAGGGCATTGCAAAGATGGCCGGGGAGAAAGCAGGTGAGTTTTTACCCATGTGTACTACGTGTAAGTGCGTTATGGAGTATGGTTTACATTTTTTTTTATACATCTTTATGTGCAGGAATTTAGTTAAACTGAAAGTGGCTGAAACTTAAATGAGAAGTTTCTGCTGTGTGCCTAATGTTTTGTCATTTAAACTTGAGTTCCAGTAAACAATGTTACGATTGTAATTCTGTAAGAAGTTGATTGACTTGACGATAAAGACATTTTGTAACCTGCCTGTATTTGAATGTGCACATTGTTAATGAAATCTTGATATCCATAGGGGATTTTGTGGAACAAACTGTTAGTAATATTATGGATAAGAAAGACAAGGCTGGAGGCGAGGGTGGTGAAGCTAAAGCTCAAGGGGAAGACAAAAGCGGCTTTGACATCTCCAATGTTGTGAGCCTCGGAGACAAAAAAGAAGAGAAAGGCGGCCTGGACATTGGGAACGCGCTGGGCATGCTCGGAGGAGACAAGGACAAGGACAGCGGCGGTGGTGAGTGTGCTGCTGAAAGTGCATTTTTGTAGATGAGATTACAGACTATGAACGTTTAAATAAATAATGACCTAATGAGATAATCCTGACAAAGAAAAGAAGCATTATGAGAATGTCCCTCTGCCCTCAGGCCTGTCCGGAGCCCTCGGAAAGCTCTTTTAATGATGCTGCACAGGACACACTTCAACCATCTCCTGCGACAGCTGGAGCCCTGGAAATATCTTTGTCACAGAATGTGTGTAAAGATGTTTTTTTTCCTACAACCAAATTTGCAACAGTAATAATGAAGATGAACATTATACAAAATGTAAACAAAGTGTAAGCAAATAAAGTATTTATTGTTGTCAATTATCTGAACCATTATTGGATGGATGTATTTACAGTGCAGTTTGGTTTTGGGCCAATTCTATCCTTTCATTTTACTTCCTGCTTGTAAATGACATGAGGAACGTTACCGACAAAATGAGCCAAAACATTTCCTTTGTACAGAGAATAAAATCAAAAGTAAAAGGTTGGTAGTAAATTCTCCCTCTTGTGATGTCATCAGTTCAGGACCCTCCTCTACCTTCTGTACGTTATGTAATAAAACAGGAAGGTGCAGAAAAAATAGCGTTATACAAAAGCTCTGGTGTGTACCGTCCTGGTGCACACTGGGGTGGTCTTGTACAGTTTTTCCAATGTGGTTTTACTGCAAATGGCAAAATAATGATTGAATCTTGAAAGAGTCATTCCATCATAGGGAAATGACAAAATGATATGAAATTCATATGTGCCCTGATAGCTCTTTACACTGCTTAGACCTGGCACACAATGGTTTGCTTAAAGTTCTCAAAATACTTAATTCTGGAGTCTGGACAAATTATCCCTTTTTTTTTTTTTTTACAATAAACAATGAGTTATTGTTACATACAGTATTGAAGATGCAGTAGTATCCTTAAACCTTTTATTTAATAATATGAGATGAGGCAAAACGGTCTCTCACACTGTGGATCGGTATCAGCCCACAGCCCTGACACAGGTGGCTCTGGCTGAACTGGTCTGGGTTCAATCCTTTTCTATAAAGTTAGGGTTAGAACGGGCGGAACATGCCTGGAGCCCTCTTTTAACAATGCTGCACAGGAATGGCACAGGCTTAACCACAGCACACACATCAACCATCTCCTGCGTTCAGCTGCCTCCATTACAGAGCCCTGGAAATATCTGTGTGTTTGTATGTTTGTGGAATCAATCTAGCAATTGACCTGTATTAAAACAGGAGTCATTCCACCAGAGAAAGATAAATTACAAAATGATATAAAACATGCCCTTGTATTGCTCTATACAAAGCTTAGACCTTGTTTTAATGGTTTTCTTAAAGTTCTGCTTAAAGACTGAAGTCTGGACTAACTGCAGACGAAGGTCTTAATGTCTGTAGCCCATCAAGTTTTCCTGCATTTGTCAAAGATATTATGAAGCCTGTTAATATAAGGAAGCCAAAAAATAAATAAGCATAAACAAAATAACAGTAAGAATTAAGGTTTGTTTTGAACACCCAACAGAGCAATAGTGTATACATTACTCTCAGAATTTGAAGCTATGTCTTAGTAATTATTTGTGTAATGTGGAGATGTATATATTATTATCATTATTATTTTTTTGGTCGTCCGAACTCCATCTCTTCAGGTTATAGGGCCCATTTTTTTCAGTCACTGTATATTTTTTCAGTCAGTTACTGCATATACTACAGACCTACTTTACACATGCATTTGACTTCCAAATCAGTTGAACGAGAAGCAGCGCTTAAAGCTCTGAAACTCATGGAGTCATAGTCGGGTTAAAGAATTGGTACTGCCTTTATGGAAGATATGCCTCATTCATGTGGTTTGACAGCCCTGGGTCACAGCAGCAGGGCGGGGACAAGGTTGTGCAGGGAGACAAGTAAACTCTGGTAATAAAGAAATACGCACAGACACACAAAGTACAACATATGCATAGTAGACAAAGAAAAATAAGACAAATCCAGGGCATGCATAGATATTTGTAGATGTAAAGGGCATGTATCAATTAATGAGAGAAGTAGTTCTTAGTTTTAATGATATTATGTGAAGTATGAATTTGTTTGAACTCATTCCTCCAATGGATGTAGACAGGGATGGATTAAAAAAAACACATTCATATACGTCACCTAAGTAATTTAAACTATTATTACCAAGCATATAATAGCTAAATTTGGATAGAATTCCTTGTGCATGTATCCCTTGTTGGAAGTCAAACTAAAATCTTGGGACAGAATCTAAATTTATGCACGACCAATTTAAATCTGCACTTCAGGAATTTAGTTGTATACTTCCTATTTAATGTATCTTGAAAAGGGAGACACCTGCTGCTCCTATAGATTGCAGCTCTGTATAAAACAGGTGGAGTCCATGGATGGTGGAGTCATACTATGGAAACATCCCACTGAAACAGTCACATGATTATCTAAATGAAAGTGAAAAAAAAAAAAAAGATGTGTAAATATTATTATGCATGTATTTCCGGGGCGACAGTAGCTCAGTTGGTAGAGCAGTGGCCTTTGGGCCTGGAGGTCGTGAGTTCGAATCCCACCATGGGACCTACTCCAACTGCTCCCACTGATGACTGCTGTCGTTGTGTCCTTGGGCAAGACACTTAACCCCACGTTGCCTGAAGCCCCCGCTGAAAGATCAAGGCTGTATCACAACTGATGGAGCAGCTGTCTTCCTGTGGACCCACCCCCTGCAGAAGATCAGTGAGGGACTGGTGCTATGAGCATTGGGTGGCAGCTCTCATTGCCACCCCCCCAACCCAGAAATGGACAAATAAAGGGGTTGAAAATGAAATGAAATGCATGTATTTCCCACTGGGGTGATGACTCGGGGCATGGCTGTGGAGAGCTGTTATGTGCTGCTGGGATCATCCTCTGTGCAGTTTGTCTGCTGCTGAAGTGCTGCTTGTTGTTCGGGCTGTGGTGCTGAGCCCGCTGTGGCGTATCATTCAAATGTGATGTGATTGGATGAGTTATTACTATTTTTAAGAAACGGCTATAATTTATCATAATATACATGGGGTGGGAGTTTATAAGTTTTTCTTCTTCCCACTCCATTTCGAGCTCATGGAGCAATTTGTGTTTAATAACAACAAGGCCTATGTGAATGTAAAAGGCGGTTTATTTATTTATTTATTTTTTGTGCACAGGTGCATCAGTGATGTGGGTTGACTATACTTGTTGGTGTGGTCTGCCCACTGATGCACCATTGTGCATTTGGACGCTTGTTGTGTGTACAAATGTGTACTGTTATGGGCTCGGAAGGAACAAATAAATGAAATGAAATGAAATGAAATGAAATAACCAAAACTATATTATTCTCTTTGTACTTTTGGGTTTATCATATTTATACCTGCATATGAAAGACAGATCCTGTCAGACCTCTGGAGCTCAGCAGGATCGGGGCCTGGTAAATACTGTGATGAGAGACTTCTGGGAACACCAGGTGCCACAGTGGGGCGGCTGCGGCTGTAAAGTACCAAACTGTCATTATGTCCTTAGGCAAGATACTTCACCCACAATTCCTAGAATGAGTCTAGGGTGTGTGTGTGAGTGTGAGTGTGTGTGTGTGTGTGTGTGTGAGAGTGTGTGAGTGTGTGAGTGTGTGTGTGTGTGTGTGTGTGTGTGTGTGTGTGTGTGTGTGTGTGTGTGTGTGTGTGTGTGTGTGTGTGTGTGTGTGTGTGTGTGAGTGTGTGAGTGTGTGAGTGTGTGAGTGTGTGAGTGTGAGTGTGTGAGTGTGTGAGTGTGGGTGCGTGAGTGCGTGAGTGTGGGTGCGTGAGTGCGTGAGTGCGTGAGTGTGGGTGCGTGAGTGCGTGAGTGCGTGAGTGCGTGAGTGTGTGAGGTGGTGGTCAAAGAAGGCCGATGGCACACTGGCTATCAGATTCAGATTAATTTATTTGCCATTTGCAGTAAAACCGAATTGGAAGAAAACAAATAAAACAGTAAACAGTTGTCACTGTGAAATCGATCGACTATAACAGTTTCAGAACAAGTGCAAGATCATTAAAGTTCTCTGTTTGAACTGATTGTGGGAAGAAGCTGTTAGCATATCCAGATGTCCTGCATCTCAGAGAATCTGAGGGAAGAAGTTGGAACAAGGCTTTTCCAGGGTGGCCAGAAGAGTCATTGATTATTCTTAGAGCTCGGTTTAAAAGTCTGGATTTATAAATAACCTCCAGAACAGGAAGTTCACAGCTCACAGTCTTCTTTGCAGAGCGGAGCACCTTGTTTAGAGCTCTCCTTTCTTTGTCTGTGATATTACCTCACTTCTGTTAGTGTGCCCCAGGCCAGCTGTGACTTCAGTATAGTTTATAGCCACTGTGTTTTGGAGTCAATGAATTTGACATGTGAAGCGTGTCATATTAAAGTGCTATTTGAAACTGAAGCATTATTATTATTATTATTATTAAGATTATATTTCACATGTGTCGCCACTTTTCTCATATAATTCCAACAGCTACAAAGCTACAAGAGAGGGTGATCAAACAAAAAAGTGCTAATGGCATTGTTCCATATAGAAGAGCCCTCACACCTGGTGTGATTAATGATGAGATGAGTCCCAGGTGTCTCTCTCAGATGGTCCAGCCCGCAGCCCGGTCCGCCCAGCAGGCAGCAGGTGGATCAGGCTGGACTGGTTCGGCCTCATGCCTGTACCCGAAGGCCTCTCTCTGTGTGTGTGCGTGCGTGCGTGTGTGTGTGTAGGTGTGTCTCAGGGCGGGGCTGTGACGGTGTCTGGTTCGGTTTGATTTGACATAAAATAGCACGGAAACTTGCAACAGTAAGACCGACGCGGACGACCTAAAACCATGTCGTTCCTTCTGAATAAAATGGCAGAACATGCAGGTAAATGACTATCTCTGTTTCTGTGACACCGCAGGCTGAGGAGGGCATCTACACTATTCTGCGATCTATGGACATTTATACCATGGCACCCAGCCTGGGGGCCCCCGCTGCACACACCACTGCAACCGCAACTTGTTTGATATCATTCATTTCTTGAGTGGAAATATGCTTTACGTAGTTTATTGTTAAAGTTAATTTAATTCTATTAAAGTGTGGTTTCTTTACTGGTCCTCGATCTATTGTTAATGATATTGAAAGCATCCTGGGAAACTACCTTTTGCGTGAAACAATGGCAGGCTCCATAGGTCATGATACGTTACGATGTGATATATCCCAATACTAAAATATTACTGCAATAATTTGACTTTGGAAAAAAGCTAACAGTGGTACAATTTTGCAAGAATCTGCTGTTTTTCTAGTGTCTCGCTTTTGAATGAGAATATAAGTGCACAGCAATTTAGACAGCATTAGCACCCAACTAAATTCATACACACATTGGGCCTCATTCACGAACGGTTCTTAGGAACAGATTTGTACGTAAATCCTACTTACGCGGTTTTTACGAAGAAAGTGGCATTCACGAATATTTCTCGTAACCAGAATTTCTCTTGGGCAAGTACAAATCCTACGAGTCCTCAGGAGCACTCGTACGCATTCAGTGCCGACATGTTCACACGCCGGGGTTGTCCTCTTTGGTGAAGTTGAATAAAAATACAACATTCCAGTGATATGTCCGTCATATCGATGTATGTATTTATTTATTTGTAGTAATCTTTATTAGTAATCTTTATTTATATACCGCCTTTTTCACTGCAGATCTGGCCTACTTTTTAATTCATTTTGAAATGAAATGTGCCAACGCTTTATCAAATACATTGGAAATCTTGCCGTGTATTAGTGACCCCTTCCTATTTATAGGGGGCATTTCTTTATCCACGGGCCACAGAACAACGGCATATACTGCTGCTGCAGGAGGTTACTGGGTCCGCGCTGAGTCTCTGCGCTGGTCTCTCCTATGGATCTATACGGGTCTGCACTGGTCTCTCCCATATACGGGTCTGCACTGGTCTCTCCCATGGATCTATACTGGTCTGCACTGGTCTCTCCCATGGATCTAGACGGGTCTGCACTGGTCTCTCCCATATACGGGTCTGCACTGGTCTCTCCATACGGGTCCGTGCTGCATGCTCCTGGATCCATACGGGTCCGCACTGGTCTCTTAAGTCTGGTCTATGCGGTCTATCTTCACCGCGGTAAAGAGGTCCGCACGTAAAAAGAGGGGTGTCACATTATGCTGTTACTTACGGTAACACAGGAAAGCGAAGCCGCGGGGATGGGCCGCCACAATGCATTTTTTAACATGATTCTTTTTTTATACATAAAAAACCTTAGAAAAAGCTTTCACTGCACACTTGTTCACTGTGAAGCCCTCTATTATTGTGCAAAGTCACATTCACTTTTACTGTGGAAATTCCTAGAAAATAGGGGTCAAAGTGTGCAATAATGATCCAAAATGCACTTTTTAACCTGGATTCTTAAAAAAAGTAAAAAACCTTAGAAAAATCTTTCACTGTACTGTGAATGTGACTTTGCACAATAATAGAGGGCATCACAGTGAACAAGTGTGCAGTGAAAGCTTTTTCTAAGGTTTTTTACTTTTTTTTTTAATCCAGGTTAAAAAGTGCATTTTGGATCATTATTGCACACTTTGACCCCTATTTTCTAGGAATTTCCACAGTAAAAGTGAATGTGACTTTGCACAATAATAGAGGGCTTCACAGTGAACAAGTGTGCAGTGAAAGCTTTTTCTAAGGTTTTTTATGTATAAAAAAAGAATCATGTTAAAACATGCATTGTGGCGGCCCATCCCCGCGGCTTCGCTTTCCTGTGTTACCGTAAGTAACAGCATAATGTGACACCCCTCTTTTTACGTGCGGACCTCTTTACCGCTGGTTCTGGAAAGCCGGACCTCTTTACCGGGGTCTATCTTCGGTCCGCGCTGGTCTCTGCGCACCGGTCTCTCCAGTCAGGTCACTCCAGTCTATGCGGTCTCTCCTATAGGTCCGCGCTGGTTTCTGTGTGCTGGTCACTCCAGTCTCTCCTCGGGTCTGCATTGGTCTCAGCGCTGGTCCGCGCTGGATCTCCTCCCAGGGTCCAAAATATTTTGAGATTAATCTCAAAAAATTTTGAGATTCATCTTTAAAATAATACATAATATATTTTTAAATTAAGCTCATAACATTTTGAGATTCATCTCATCATATTCTTAGATTAATCTCATAATTTTGCTAGTTCGACTTTATTATCATAATATTTCGACTTTTAAGTCAACATTTTATAACTTTATTCTCAGTCTGGTAAAAGAAGAAAAAAGGGTGACTCTTTTGCTCCGTGTAACTCTTTGCTTTAGGCCTGTTGCTGCAGGGCCGTCTGCACACGGCCCTGCAGTCCCTTATATGGGCATTAGTGGGCGGTTACTTATGCTAAGTACCTATGCTAATGAAGCACCTGGCACGCGCGCTGTACTTACGAGGAAATGGGATTCATCAATCTGAGAGAACAGCTGCGAACAATTCAGCGGCTTACGAGTGCGTTGATGAATCCCACGTGGGGACTTCTTAGAAATCTACTTAAGGACAACTTGAGAAGAAAGTTGAGTAGTTTCTTACGAAGTTATTCGTGAATGAGGCCCATTGTCTTCTAGAATAGTGAATTATTTTTTTTTCTTGTGTTTGACCTGCCACTGAAATTGCCAGATGATGTCTCTCAAACATCTGACTGCAAATGAATATTTTCTAACATCCCAGTGTGTGTTTGATCTGTCCAGGTGAAGCTGTGGCTGATGGGATAAAGGGTGTATTTGGCATAGATGACGACAAGGACAAGAAGAAAGACAAAGATGGTGGCTTTTTGTCAGTTTTCAAAAGGGATAAAAATAAGGATAAGGACGAGGACGATGACCACAAAGGAGGGCTGTTCTCTTTTGGAAAAGACAAAGACAAAGGCAAAGGCAAAGACAAGGACAAGGACAAAGGCAAAGGCAACTTCTTCCCAAAAATATTTAATAAAGATGACGATGATGATGTCGGAGAGAAGGTCCCCAAGAAGACAGGCTTTGCAGGACTGTGGACAGAGCAGGACCAGGCGGGTGCAGGGAGGCCAGACGACGGGGCCTGTAATCACATGTCAGAGGGGGATCTGGGTACGTACCACACACCTCACATGAACTGTCAAAACATTGGATAAAATAACTTCACACAAAGGGCTCCAAGGTCAACTGTTTTTGTTATTTGGCCAAGCATTGTATAAAAAGGTCAATGGAAGAGGATTGAAGCTGTGTGTCTGCCCGTCAAAGAGATGACCTAAACCTTACATTGTACTGTTTATATATGACCTGATTTGTTTGGTGTTTTAGCTCCTGGCAGAGGACAGTGGCCCAATTATCAACATTTTACAATAATACAATTCTGCTTTGGGGCACATCTATTAAAATGTAGAAGGACTTGGCCACATCACATCACAGTAAATGTTGTATTCTTTGCAGAATCAGGTCCAGAGTGCCAAAGAGGAGCAATCCTGATACCTGCAACAATATCCTCCAGTGTCAGGGTTCTAGATAAATACGTAGAAGAATCTTGGGTTGCTGAGTGTTGACTGTTGTTGGCCAAGTATTTATGAAGCTTTGAATGATTGAACAAGCCACTGATAATAAATTCAGTGACGTTTTTTGGTTGTAGTAATATTCAATAGTCTTATTGTGAAAATGTCTCACTCTTGAGAACCACTGCCTTAAATGATCCAAGACGGTATAAGTCTAATGAATCACATTTTTGTGTTTGCAGACATGATGAGTGACCTGATGCAGGTGGCCAATGAACAGTCCTGAGTTCTTACCATTTTATTTCCCCCATCATTCTCACAAACTGGTGACATATCAGCAACTTAAACCAACAATTGTACTTGAAGAGTGTATTAATAATCATTATTACTGTGGGCTTCATAGACCCCTTTTCTTTGTAAATTAATTCATAATGTGACCTTTGCTAGGCCTATTGTCGTTTTGTAGTGTACTCTTTTTCACATAATAAATAGTGACTCAACTGGTCTTTAGTTTTAGTTTTTCTAATTTACTCCTAAGAGGAACATATTGTAGTAATGAACTGCTTTAAAGACTGTCTTGAACGCCTTAATTGAAAACAATCACATGGCACACCTCCAGCTGAAACTGACACAAACACAACTGCAGCCTTTGAGAATTAAATTTTATTTTTCACGGTGTATCATAGAAAAGCAAATTTTTCTAATCTTCACATTTCCTTGTTATTTTGACCAATGAGGTGATATTGGATCGTTTCCAAAGGACTTCAAGGTACACTGGTTGAAAAACAGTGGCATAGATGAGTACAAAAGGTTTTTCATTCATGTTTAACCTGGCTCTGACAATCCAGCCCCTGAAAGTTTTTAAAACTTCATTAGACATATTCATTATTTAAATAAATGAATATGAGAAAGCAATACAAATATTTAAATTGCACTTATAGGGTTGTCAAATATAGAGTTCAACATACATTCCAGAGATTTCTCAGATGGGCTCAGAGTCTGCGGAGGGTGACCAAGGAGTGAGCAGAGAAGCCAAAAACATAGCATCTCCTGCATGTGCTGCTGTCTGATTTCATCTGAAGTTCTATAGAAAGTCGAGCAGTGTGAACTCCTGATGAAGGGGGACACTGTTACTGTCACACAGGAAGTGCGTCTGGACCATCACAGTGAAGTCTTTGGTTGGGAGTGAGAGGACATGATGAAGGCGCTGTACTGCCAGCTCGATGTTCTTCACCTCTGACCCTGGAGCTGGAAAACGCAAAAGAACAAGTTTTATTCCAAATATTTACTTGTAGTAAACTTGTGTAGTAGTTAATATTCCAGCCAAATATATTTAAGCACCACATCCCACAGATCATACTGAAATGTTAATGGGGTGTTTTTAATTACAGATACACAAACACACTTTGAAATTTAGACAAAGTCTGGATTGTACTATCAATGTTATGGTAGTGCAAATTTTAGTGCCCTTGGGCAGGACACTGATCTCATGTGACTCGAGTGAAAATGATCCCAAAACTACAATCTGTCAAGTGTCTCTGACCTGTGCTCCTGCAGAGTTTGTCAGGGGGGACGGTGAAAAACTTGTGGAGCAGAACAGGAGGCACCTGAACACACATCTGATGGTCTCCATCTGTGAGGGTGAACACTGCAGGCCTGAGGGACAGGGAGCTCCAGGTTTGCTTACTACATACAAAATATGTGGTATATTTGTTGTAAATAGATGAGCACACCTGTAGTAACAGCGAACACTTGTGTGAGGGAGGCATGGGTAACAGGGGCAGAAGATGCCATTGGAGTCTGTGTCGAGCTCGGCTGCACAGCGGCCACAGCCCATGAATGTGATGTCACTTGATAGCAGCTTGTGCACCGCTGCAGGGGAGGAGGTCCGATCCAGGACCACTGGAGGAAGTGGAGACTGGGGAGTTGAGCGGAAATGGAAGGAGTCTACATTAACCCTTAGTTCAACATCACCTGAGAACATGAACAGTATAATAAAACCACAGGGCTCATTTCTCAGGGGAATACACAGAAATAAGTGTTCTCACCACTGTATTTCTGAGACAAAAGTGTTTTCAGGTCCAACTCCACACTGCAGCTGTTGACTGTTCTGAATGGCTGGACAAAGCTCTTGATTCTGGGGTCAGTTCGGTCCAGGACGTGCACAGAGCTCCAGCAGGTGGAGTGCAGTTCAGGACTGTCGAAGGCCATTCCCTCTCTCACCAACAGATGATGGAAGTCCCATACGGTGTCTAAACAGCGCAGAACAAGGTCTATTGTATATCATATCCATCATATGGTTTACACTTTGCCAAAAAAAAATTGAAAAACAAACTATGGAACTATGAGTAAGTGGTCAGCAAGTAGCAACGATTACATACTTGTCTCTTGGATTAAGCGTGGCAACCATTCGACAGCGGCCCCCCACAGGACGAGCACTCCCTGCTGGCCTCCAGGCTGCTCCACACTGACAACAGCCCTGCGCTGAAGAGCTGACCTGCACCGGGAATCTGCCTCACACTGCCACTCTGAAAAAACACATCAGAAGTTAGCAACCACAGCACTAACATCATCTTCAGTAATTCAGTATTATTTACTAAACACAATACAATTTTGTTGGAAATTAGAGACTTTTTTCAATTTGGCATTGTACATCATTCATATTTAGCTACAAATATATGATGCAGAAACCACTCACCTTTGCTGAGGTGGGTATGGGTCACTCGCAGCAGCATGTGCACCAGTGTATTGAGTCTCAGTGACCGGATGGAGGCGTAAGGGATGTGACTCAGTGTTTGCGTTGGAGCGATGGGCAGTGATACCAGCAGGGGGCGGTGTTTGGTTAGAAAATCATACAAAGGTTTCAAAGCTCTGGCCCTGACTTGTTGAGAGCCTGAAATAAAGAGAATAGCTTTATTTGTGCCTATTATCTCTTGTATGAAACAATAACGAGGCCGCAAGGACAGAAACAAGTGCTTTCTGCTGTTTAGCTGCCGTTCAGCTGTGTCGCACCTGTCAGAGACCCAGGGCAGGGGACTCTACCCAGGTTCAGGAGTTTACTGTTGTATGTGGAACGCAGAAGTCGCTCTCCTCTCCATGTGTCCTCATTTATCTGCAGTTCTGACACAGCATAGACATGTAAAGTACTGTTCTGCTCACGTCGTACAACCGATGTTTATTGTAATGCTAATTACCAGTTATCAGGAGAATATCGGCAGTATTGACAGTAAGCACCCAGAATGCTGCTCTCCTCCAGAGGGCCACCTTCATCTCCACTCCTGATTGGTCCGTAACAATGATGGAGGCAAGAGGTAAACGTGTTCCTGATTTAAGCTACCAATAAAAGAAATACAGACAGAAAAATGTCAGACAGAAAAGTGACAAAGAGTACCACCCTCACTCAGCCAATAGTGAGTCAGATAGTGACAGGGCTAAGCGTGCAAAAGATAAATATTTATGAAGAGATGTTGTGGTCTGTTTTGTTCACAGAAGACTTTAAACATATGAGTTTGTTTTCCAATATTTGTAAACATTTGAAAAATAGCTGTTGCTATAAATGTTGTAGTGTTTCACAAGGTGATTGTGTAAACTGGTCTCTATAAAATAAAACAATAAAAAGTTATGTTCCACAGCTTTAAGAAAATTGAATGAAGTTTGTTTATTTAAGGGATAGCGTGTAGTTACATTAAAAAGATGGCTACACCAGATTTAGCATCATGCTATTTTCCATCCGTAGTGCCCATAAAGATAGTACAATTATTTGTTATGTTATGTAATGTGAGCAGAAAAATCTATTATTCTGTTGTTCAGTCAGTGGAAGTGACCTGCCAGATTTTAATATAAATACAGAGATTGCATCATTATTCTAATGGGGACATGTGTTGCTTATTCAGCATTAGTGGTCCAGCGTAATATATGGCCTTTATTAAATGTAGAAAAGGTGATAATGTTTAAACACCTACCTTTATCTCTTTTAAATGACATGGATGCACGACAGCCACCAAAACAGAGTAGTGAGTTCCAGCTTTGACACAAGATGCCAACCGTGTGGTGGGGCCGGCATCTACAGAGCCATGTTTTTCTACAGAGCCATGTTTTTCTACAGACGTTTTTGCAATGTACTCCTCTGAAAGTTTTGTGTTTTTAGATGGCGACTCATCCGCCTCTTGCCCCTGTGAGCAGAGAAGCCCCTCGGCTGTGGCCTTGAGCAGCACGCAGTCCTCCTCATCTCCAGAGGTGGGACTTGACGCAGAGAAGAGCTCCGCTGAGTGTGTGGCCGGGCTCAAGGACAGCTCTGGGGTGGTGCTGGAGGAGCTGGCTGAGACCTGAGGAGTTCTGGACGGTGTCTGAACAGTTGTGGACGCTGAGGGGCTTCCTTTCAGAATAAGAGCCTGACTCAGAGTCCATGTGCTGAGATACTGGGAGTGATGGGACAGGCAGGAGGGAGCTTTGGGAGGCTCCTGCTCCGTTCTTGGAAAACAGCTTTCCAGATACTCTAAGATAGAAGCTGAACATACTTTGTCCGTGGATGTATTTGGATATTGACCTCCATCAGCAATTGACAATGGATGGTAGATAAGTGATGACTTGTTAGCAGAAGCCAGCATTTTCCCTGCAAAGAAAAAAAATTGATTTATCTACCTTTCACTAAATGCCTTGAGGTGATGCCTTGGAACTTTAAGTTCAATTCACACAGGCCATAGAAAATATATAACTCACTAATATTTTATTACAATAAAGTGATAGTATGTAACTCTAAATTAAATACACATTTTAAGAATTGTAGTAAATTGACCTCCTGGGCTTAAATGTTGATATAAAATAAGTCATTTTATTAATTCTAATACTACAGTTACGTCCCGCCTTCCCTTCTCTTAAGCCTGGTTCACACGGCAGGATATTTAGGCCGATTTAGACCCGATTTACCCCTTACGACAATCTTAAGAAACGCTCCGATTTCCGTAACAAAATCTTACAGATTATCCTGCCGTGTGTGGTGTGTTAAGACTGCACTCGTCGCTCGGAAGGACATCGGGACTGCTCCCGATCTCAAATCGGGGATATCCAACATGTTGGATTGTTTTGGCCCGATTTCTTGTCATGTGTGGTGTCCTCCGAGGACAAGCGAGCGCGTTTCCATGACTACGGCGTGTAGCCAATAAGAAGACGAGGTGACAAGCCGGTGAGGAAACACCGGAAAAAAACCAAAACACAGCAGCATGGCTTTGAACTACATGAAAACTGAACAAAGAATTCTGAACATCCGCGCTGAGTTACTCATTTATATACTGAACCTATATTCATAATAATCAGATCCTCTGCAAATGTGTCCTTTAATGTGCAATTCATAGCTTCTTCCGGGTTTGCCGCAATCGTTTTTTTGTGCATTAAAACATAATTTTTTTCATTAAAACCATTAAAAACAAATAATTCTGAAAACCTCCGTGCATGTGTATTAATAATGTATATGTATAATGTGTTCTCTGATTAACATTTAAATGTGTTACGGAAACGTAGGCGTAGACCAATCAGAAAGGAAGGGGGAGGGAGCTTGCGTTGTTTTTTTTCAAATCAAGTACCTCTCTCTCTCTCTTTCTGACAAACTGCAGACAATCACTTTAATATGAACAATAATAAATGTGAATACAGACCATAGTAGTGTGTATATAATATATATTAGGTAAAAATAGCTAGCATACATGGATATTGGGCATTTGTTGATTTATACACTACATTCATTTTTCCTTCCTCTAAAAATTATACTATTGTTCAAAAGTTAATTTAGTTTTGGAATTCAAATGTTCGACCGGAAAAAGGTGCCTTGCCCTCTCCAGGTGCGTGGAGAGCTCCTTCCTCAAGTGGAGGAGTTCAAGTATCTCGGGGTCTTGTTCACGAGTGAGGGGAGGATGGAGCGTGAGATTGACAGGCGGATCGGTGCAGCGTGCGCAGTGATGCGGTCGCTGTATCGGACCGTTGTGGTGAAGAGGGAGCTGAGCCGAAAGGCAAAGCTCTCGATTTACCGGTCAATCTTCGTTCCCTCCCTCACCTATGGTCATGAGCTTTGGGTAATGACCGAAAGAACGAGATCGCGGATACAAGCGGTCGAAATGAGCTTCCTCCGCAGAGTGGCTGGGCGCTCCCTTAGAGATAGGGTGAGGAGCTCAGTTACACGGGAGGAGCTCGGAGTAGAGCCGCTGCTACTCCACGTCGAGAGGAACCAGTTGAGGTGGCTCGGGCATCTGTTCAGGATGCCTCCTGGACGCCTTCCTGGGGAGGTGTTCCGGGCACGTCCCACCGGGAGGAGGCCCAGGGGAAGACCCAGGACACGCTGGAGGGACTATGTCTCTCAGCTGGCCTGGGAACGCCTTGGGGTCCCCCCGGACGAGCTGGAGGAGGTGTGTGTGGATAGGGAAGTCTGGGCGTCTCTGCTTAGACTGCTGCGCCCGCGACCCGGCAACGGATAAAGCGGAAGAAAATGGATGGATGGATGGATGAATTCAAATGTGAAACCAGTGTAAAACTCATTACATGCAAAGTGACATATGCCGAGTGTTTAAGGCGTGCAAAAATGAACTTTTTACATTTAATATGCTGAGTGTTTTTTATGATATCTATTATTATGGCTGGAAGTTGATTTAATTTAAGTTTAATTTAAGGTTTGTACAAGCTATGAGCCAATTATCATCCTTTCAAATAAAGGCTTGATATACTGTTTTGTAAAAATGATAACAGCACAAAATAATTGCCCATCCCTGACCTTATACATTGTGAATCTAGACTAGTAGGAAGAAGAAAAATAAGAAATAATTCAAACTAAAGAGTAATAATTGTATTACCATGTTTTATTCTTTGCACTTAACCATCATAAAAAAGTGATTGGTGGTTAAAACAAAAGCTTTCACCAATTGTGGGAGCAAAGAATCATGCAGGCAATTATAAAGGGGCATTTAAGTGTCTAGAAAAGTACAAAAACATAGCTTTACTAATACGGTTATAATTACTTGTTTGTAGTGCCCCATCCTGCCAACTCAGCTCCACTTCGGTCCAGGCTGCAGAGCTGCTATCAACACAGTCTTTATCAACAACTGAGGGTGCCAAGAACACATGAGTCCTCTTCTGCGAACACATCACCTGAAAATAAACAGACAAAATATTATGTAGAAAGTCAGAAGAGAACAAAGGTAGTCTGAGGCACTCTGTTTTAGTGAAAAAATTAAAAGTCCTTTAATGAATTGGACTGCCTACGCGTTTCGACCAACAGCGGTCTTCGTCAGGGCATGCCCATTAAAGGACTTTTAATTTTTTCACTAAAACAGAGTGCCTCAGACTACCTTTGTTCTCTTCTGACTTTCTACATGCTTAGATTGCCCCGTCTTCAAAGAGCACCTGTTTTTATTGCCTTCTACCACACGTACCCTCTGCAGCACTCACCTTTTTTACTTTTAACTAGACAAAATATTATGCCATTAAACTGATATAGTATCTCCATGGAAGTTGTAGAGTGGCAACTGGCAAGCCCCGTTCACTAAAAAGAATAAATGTTATTTTAGATCTGTGTTCATTATAAACATTGAATTAATACATATACCATACTGTGGAACATTTGTAAAGTAAACAAGTAATACCAGATTGTCATGATTGTGAATGGCTGTTGTCTCGCCACGTTTGGCCACTAGAGGGCGCCGTAGGAGTGCGTTTATCTCTGTTGCTAATACATTATAATTTTGGGAGTAATGTTTAAGAATGGTCATTATAGTAAGCCAAGAGCAGCGTAAAAGATAAAAGGTTTAAGAGGGGCTGATTCTGGGAACAATGGAGCAAAGTAGGGCATTAAGATGCCACGTCAACTGTGTGATTCCATAGTATTAAAACCTAAAACATCGACGGATCGGAGCCCCCCCCCTTCAAGTTAGACTAAGTTCATGGAGATGCAAGCCAGTCATCACAAGGACATTTCCTCACTGTAATAAAAATAATGAAATGTTATGTAATATACTGTGAGAATATTAGTATTCTGTTAGTTCAGTCAGTGGAACCTGACCTTCCATGTTTTAACATAAATACCATGGATCTATTAGGTAAATACAGATTATTATGTCAAAATGGCTGGTCTTGTTTTTTGGATGCTAACGCTAGCTACTGGTGCTAGCGCTAATGCTAGTACTAGTTAGTGTGTAACGTTATTAACGTTATTAAACTTTTGACCAAAGTTAAACAAACAGAGGCGCACGTGCCCGCCCCGCACGTGTCCTGGTGCAGGTCTGGTGTCAGGACAGAAACAGGAAGGGCTCCTCCTCTCCCGTTTGACTCGTCTCCATTTCGCTTCCTTAAAAACTCTCTACTCGGTAACGTGTGATAAAATGTACCGGTATTTCGGTGAGCTCGTGAGCCGGGGCCTCGGGGTGGTCCCGGGGCTGTCCGCAGACTGTGTCCCAGCGGCTGCGTGTGCGATGCGGCGCAGCTACAGCCAGTGCGTGGACCCCAACGACGACCCCAACTTCTTCACTATGGTGGAGGGCTTCTTTGACCGAGGCGCCGCGATCGTGGAGGATAAGTTAGTGGAAGACCTGAAGACCCGTGAGACCCTGGAGATGAAAACGAAGAGGGTCCGCGGGATTTTAAAGATTATTAAACCGTGTAACCACGTCCTGAGCCTGAGCTTTCCCATAAGGAGAGACAACGGAGAGTGGGAGGTGATAGAAGCCTACCGGGCTCAGCACAGCCAACACCGGACTCCCTGCAAAGGAGGTGAGCCGCTGCTGCTACTGCTACTGCTGCTGCTACTGCTGCTGCTACTGCTAGTACTGCTGCTGCTACTGCTACTGCTACTGCTGCTGCTACTGCTGCTGCTACTGCTACTGCTACTGCTACTGCTGCTGCTACTGCTACTGCTGCTGCTACTGCTACTGCTACTGCTACTGCTACTGCTGCTGCTACTGCTACTGCTGCTGCTACTGCTACTGCTACTGCTACTGCTACTGCTGCTGCTACTGCTACTGCTGCTGCTACTGCTACTGCTACTGCTACTGCTGCTGCTACTGCTACTGCTGCTGCTACTGCTACTGCTACTGCTACTGCTACTGCTACTGCTGCTGCTACTGCTGCTGCTGCTGCTGCTGCTACTGCTACTGCTACTGCTACTGCTGCTGCTACTGCTACTGCTGCTGCTACTGCTACTGCTACTGCTACTGCTGCTGCTACTGCTACTGCTACTGCTGCTGCTACTGCTACTGCTGCTGCTACTGCTACTGCTACTGCTACTGCTACTGCTGCTGCTACTGCTACTGCTGCTACTGCTGCTGCTACTGCTACTGCTACTGCTACTGCTACTGCTACTGCTGCTGCTACTGCTACTGCTACTGCTACTGCTGCTGCTGCTGCTACTGCTACTGCTACTGCTGCTGCTACTGCTACTGCTGCTGCTACTGCTACTGCTACTGCTACTGCTACTGCTACTGCTGCTGCTACTGCTGCTACTGCTGCTGCTACTGCTACTGCTACTGCTACTGCTACTGCTACTGCTGCTGCTACTGCTGCTGCTACTGCTACTGCTGCTACTGCTACTGCTACTGCTACTGCTGCTGCTACTGCTACTGCTACTGCTGCTGCTACTGCTACTGCTGCTGCTACTACAAACAGTGCAACAAACACTGTGCCTGCAAGGAGATCACAAGTTTTAGAAGCACATCCACGACACAAACCTAGTGAACAGATCTTCGAAAAAGTTATGATGTCCAAAACGGACTGATCTTTGTTTCCGAATAACGTGTTTATTTAGTGTAGTGCAAGTATAATCATGTTTATGGCCCTCCCCATGTAGGAATGTGAACAGACTGCCCCAGTGTTACCTGTCTGCCCGAATCCGCCTCTTTCTTCTGTCCTTTATTCTTTGTGACTCCGACTATTCCTAACCACCTTTACAACTTGTCCACGTTAATCTTCTGACTGTGTTTTTCATTTTATTATATACGAGACCATTCACAAACCGGGTATGCCAAAGGCACGTCTAAAAAAAATGTAGATGGAGTACTGTTAACTTGAGCAGGATTATAATTTAGCACATAAAACATATAATTCCATCACTTATTGAGGAAAACCCCTCAAATAAACCGCTTTAAGTGACAACAGTCTGAGACAAAACTGTGGCCATGAATCATCTTTTTAATCTAAATAGTTAAATTAACGGATACAAACTAAATGTATTTTATTAATATAGATGATTATGAATAGGTATATTTTACTTGAAACAATTCACAGCACATTTATAAAGTACTCCATGAATCCATGTTTTCATGCAATTGTATTTATGGTGAAAAGTGACGGGTGTTTTTTTGTGTTTTCCACAGGTATTCGGTACAGTACAGATGTGTCTGTAGATGAGGTGAAAGCACTAGCCTCTTTAATGACTTACAAATGTGCAGTGGTTGGTACGTTGGCACACACACACACACACACACACGCACACGCACACGCACACGCACACGCACGCACGCACGCACACACACAAATACCTCTGGTTGTTACAAATGTGTTTCAGATGTGCCTTTTGGTGGTGCCAAAGCTGGTGTCAAGATTAACCCAAAGAAATATTCTGTAAGAATTTCTTCCTTTTTGCTTTTACATGTAGTATTCACTATTCATCTTCCAAAAATATCCATGATATATGAACATGTTTTTAATTAATCGGTCAAGTTGTTCCACAGTCACTCCTCGCACAGACACACAATGATTTAGTAGTTCTACATGTAGACACATAAGTTGATAACAATGAATTTAACACTGTCAGCATCAATAATATTAGATAAGATAAAGCAAACAAAATTAAAGGGCCAGCATCATCAAACAGACTTTACCGCCTTGCGACCTCAAACTTGCTCTCAAAGGAGGTGGTGCTTTAGCGCCTTCATTATGGCTCTAATGGAGGAAAGCTAATATTGAAATTAGTTTCATCGACGTGTCTCCATTGAATAACATGGGAACTTTTATACATCCCTATCGCTGTTGCTATGGAAATAACCAGCATTTTTGAGACAGCTGCTCGTACAGTTTAGGTGCAACTAACATTTGATGCTACACTTTTTATAGATGTTGTGAATTTGTGCCCTGTGGGTGAAATGGCAGAGAGGCAGATATTACTTAACTCATTGATGAATGGCTGCACCATATTTGCCCCAAAACTTTTTCAAATAATGTTAATGACATTATTTGAACTATTTTTTTTTTAAAAATAAATCCACACGTTTGGGGAACAACCTGCTTGTTTTCGTCTGCTCTCATCTACTCTCATCTGCTCTCATCTGCTCTCATCTGCTCTCATCTGCTCTCATCTGCTCTCATCTACTCTCATCTGCTCTCATCTGCGCTCATCTGCTCTCATCTTCTAACTGGCTTAACACGGCAGGCTGTGTGCTTTTTGAATGAGAAGTGTGTTCATGAAAAGTCAATAGTCTGGTAAACATTCACATTTTCGACATTATGTTTATTTTAGTATTTATCTTCAAAGGGCAGTGGACTGTAGTGATGGGTACTTTAACCTCATGAAACTCTGCACCACTTTGAACTTCCTGCCTCAGGCTGAAATTATTTGTAATGACGCCATCTGTTGGTTTTCTGCCAGAAGTACATGCTCTTGATTACTGCAATTTCATCTGGTTTTCATATCACCTCTGATCTCTAAACAATGCAGAAAATACATATGATTTCTAGATTTTTATTATTTTAACATAATACAGTTGGCGGTGAGGTATATATATTGTGGTGGCTTTTTTGAAATAATTTTAGGTCTGTAACAAGTTAAACTAATTAGTTTGGACTCTTACACAGACTTATCATTCTAAAAAGACATCATGTGTATATGTATATGTATGTATGTCTGCAAAATCACCTGAGCTTTGTATGTATACATATTCACTGAGCTGAATTATAAAATGGCTGATTTAATTATATCACTGTATATTATATCTGTATTCTACATGATGTGATTTAAAGTGTCCCAGTTATAAATTCATTCTTAACTATGCAGAATGAATGTGTAATGTTTTATTGTAATGAACTGAACATGAAAAAGGGCATGTTTTATATAATTTTAGGACACTGAGCTTGAGAAAATTACCAGGAGATTTACCGTCGAGCTGGCAAAAAAAGGTTTTATTGGTAAGTAAATCCCACAGTTTGTACAGTTCTATTTTTACTTTCCACTTTCCCTCAAGAGTGGAGTTTATCCTTTCCAGGTCCAGGAATTGATGTCCCAGCTCCTGACATGAGCACTGGGGAGAGGGAAATGTCCTGGATTGCAGATACTTTTGCCACCACCATGGGTCACTATGTGAGTCACTGTTCAGTCTGTATCCAAGCGAAGAGTCGGGCAACACACTGAGCATGAAGCAAGAACAAGAGGAGTGGATTAAGCATATTCAAACATTCTTTAGTTTAAAAAAATGTGTGAGAGTACACAAATGGGCCACCCTTTCTTGTGTAATTATTAGTAGAAGTAGTTGTAAGAATTTATTCCAAACATTCTACAAAAGAAATCAATATAAACAAGATATAAAATAAAATAAAAACAGACACACACACACACACACTCCACACAAGCACAACACTGGACAAGACACAGGCCCAAACGCTCTCTGACCACACACACCTCCCTTTACTTGCTCTGAAGTCCTCACTCCTTCTAAACAACTTTTTAAACTGTAACAGATTTGAACATGTTTTTGAATAATAGGTCAAGTTGTTCCACAGTCACTCCTTGCACAGTCTCACATAGATTTGTATAAAATAAATCATTTAAATGTGTCTTAAAGGATATCAATGCCCATGCCTGTGTCACGGGGAAGCCCATAAGCCAGGGAGGAATCCATGGGCGCATTTCTGCCACTGGCCGAGGAGTTTTCCATGGAATTGAGAACTTCATCAATGAAGCAGCCTACATGAGCCAGCTGGGAATCAGTCCAGGGTTTCAGGACAAAACCTTTGTCATCCAGGTAGCTGTATCAAGCTTCAGATAAAAAAGTCCATATAGTTCCCTTTTGATATTTAGCATTTAACACAATTATCTTCTCCTACTTTCTGTTTAGGGCTTTGGTAACGTAGGCCTCCACACCATGAGGTATCTGCACCGCTTTGGGGCCAAGTGTGTGGGAGTGGGAGAAATTGATGGGAGTATTTGGAATCCGAAAGGCATTGACCCTAAGGAGCTGGAGGACTACAAACTAGTCAGTAGTCCTTGATACATACTGGTAAATATGTCATGATTTATACCTGATAATCTTTTCCCAGGCCAATGGCACTATTGTGGGTTTTCCAAACTCCACTCCATATGAAGGAAGCATTCTGGAGGCAGATTGTCATATTCTGATTCCAGCAGCAGGGGAGAAGCAGCTGACCAAGAGCAACGCACATAAGATAAAGGCCAAGGTCTAGATACACAGATGAGGAGTCTTTTTAATTCAGCTTAGTCATCTATTATTGTTTTTACTGTCAGATCATTGCAGAAGGAGCCAATGGGCCCACCACTCCTGAGGCTGACCGCATATTTCTGGAGAGGAATATCCTTGTCCTCCCTGTAAGTCATTGCATCTCAGTCTGGGTGCCATGAAATGATTTTAGAGTTTGATAATGGTTGCGTCTCAAAAGGTTGTGTATGTTTCATTTAACTGGTGCCCCAGCGCTGTGCCTCATCTTCTCCAGCCAATACTTGTACCTGTGAAATTTATTATATAAAAAAAGAAAACATATATTCAGATATTCAGGTTCAAGTTTTCTGGTTAACACCCACACCTAAAAATGAATGGAGGTTTTACTGCACTTTAATTGTCCCTTTCTTCAGGACATGTACCTGAATGCTGGCGGTGTCACCGTCTCATACTTTGAGTGGCTGAAGAACCTGAATCATGTCAGTTATGGCCGCCTCACCTTTAAATATGACAGGGACTCCAACTACCACCTGCTCAGTGAGTCTGTTATTGCTAACGCCACATGTACAGTGGCGCCACCTGCTGACCATGTGTATTTGTCCAGTGTCTGTACAGGAGAGTTTAGAAAGGAAGTTTGGAAAACATGGAGGAGCAATCCCTGTGGTTCCCACATCAGAATTCCAGGCTCGGATTTCAGTGAGTTCATGAGGCATATTTTATAATGTCTGCGGGTCTAAAGGATGTGCTGACCACAGTGACCAGTAGGTGGATATTGTGTTGACTGTTTATGCTGAAAGTGACTTTCCTTGTGTTTCAGGGAGCGTCAGAGAAGGACATTGTTCATTCAGGGCTGGCTTTTACCATGGAGCGCTCTGCTCGGGTATGTTTGAATTTAAAGATTCTGGATCATGCAGACTTCAAGTCTGCATGATCCAGAATCTTGAACGCGGGTGAATCAGAACGCGGGTGAACGTGGGTGAATTAGTCTGGGTGTGATTGAGTAAAGGGGGTCAGAACGGAGGATGAGCGAGGCTTTTTACCTCAGCTATATGGAGCATGTATCCACCCTTCATAATACTGTTTGAATAACAGTTTACACCACAAAGCTGATGTTTGCATAGCACTGCCACAGTTTAAGACGCATCTTGACAAATGATCTCTATTGTTCTTTGCAGCAAATTATGCGGACCGCCAACAAGCACAACCTGGGCCTGGACCTGCGCACAGCCGCCTATGTCAATGCCATCGAGAAAGTGTTCAAGGTTTACAGTGAGGCTGGTCTGATCTTCACATAAACATTTCACTATGTCTGCTGGGTTCCAGGAATGAGCATTTGGATGTCTTTTCCTTTTGACCAGGTGCAATTACATGTTTATTTGTTACAGGAGCAGCAGTGTAGCTCTCAGCTTTAATGTTTTACTACAGGTCTTAAGACCACGCTCTCTGTGGAGGTGTGATCATACTTTAGGTCAAACGGGTCTTAATATAGGAATTTATATCATTGCATTTTTACAAGTTTATGGTCGATAGGAAATGTAGGATTTACAAAGGGATGTCTTTATAACCACCCAACACTCGGCACGTTGATTATGAAAGGTTTTGTACACTGTGTCTGAGCATGAATCACCAGCTGTTGTAAATATTACAGCCTCTTTTATATTTCAAGTGTATAAACCAAACCTTCTCAGGTGTAACCGACAAGTGCTGCTTATATGTTGTTTTACCCTCCAGCCTTAATGACTCTTCACTCACACAACAATTCCATCAAAATGGACACTGATGTGCAGACAGCCACACAGGTGTTTACAGCTTCTACAGGACCGTGCCTTAGTTGTATTCATGTTTGATGCAGTCGATTCGGTTGCAATTAATTTTAATGCAATAAATGAGATTTATCTGTTTTTATATTATGTTGTGTATCCGTGTAGACAACCATTGCTCTCTTGACCTTTAATGCTTTGTATTGTTTCTCTCTGTTACCAAAATAAAGTAAATGGTTTGATTTCTTTACTCGTTTAAGTTTTTACAACTGCACTTGCCACCCACACTGGAGAAGTATGTGTGTGTGAGTCCCATAGACTGTTGTGCTTCCACTGCGTGGCGTTGGAATTCCCCTCATCCCTTTTCTTTTACAGGGTGGCAGGGGAAGAGGCCCAGATCGGCTGCTTTCGGGCCCGAGAGCTCCATATGTGGCCAGGTTAAATCACAGTCAATGGGTTAAATGTAATCTTAGGCTTTCTTTTGGTTGAAATTGTTTAGATGATAAGTAATAAAACAATTATTATTCCTCTGCCGTCCTGTAAAAAAAATACTGACTTTCCCCTCCTCTTCCCTGTGGGGTTTTCCGCGGAAGTTTTGCCTTCAAAATAAAATATATATACATCTAGATGGCCTATATATCTTCTACAGTGAATGGTGCACGTCCATGTAAATGATGAATAATAATAATGAGCTGATTTTCTTTTTATTGTTAGTTTAATGATATTTTCTAGAACTATTTCAGTCTTAATTTCTTCCTCAGAAGGTTGTTTTGTTTCCATCGTTAGGGAAGTTTTGAGAAGTAGAAAGCTGTTAATTTACTGAAATAATCCATGTTTAATATGAAGCGTGTGAAAGTAGCAGGAAACGAGTTGTTTTGACAAGTTCCGGATGTGACTGTAGCGTTGAGCCAAAGCTGTGGCTCACAACAGCAGCGCACGGAGCTCAGCTGACAGGTAAAGACGGCCTCTCTGTTTAGGCTCTTGTTTTTAGACTTTTACTATTCAGACTTTTACGGTTGTGTTTGTGTTTTGTTCTCAACAAAACAGCTGCTTTCATCGTTGAAGGGTATTAAACCTGTCCTTTTGCAAAGCGTCTTTCAGTATCCAAAAAGTGCTGTATTATTATTATTAACATTATTATTATTATTGTTTAACTGCACTACTTTTAAGTTGTGGCTATGTTTACTGGCTCACGTATTTGGTGTGATGTGTTGTTATTAAACTACATTCCGTTGTAACTAGTGAAAAGTTGTAACCCTTGTTTGCAGATGTTTTGACTTCTTTGATCAAGACACTGTTGGTGTGATGGCTGGAGCACTGAGGTACTTTCTGTCATTCATGTTTGTGTTCTGCTGTTTGGGGCATTATTTGTCCCACTGTTGGGTATAGTTGCAGACAGAGGCCTGCTGCTCTCTCTTGGGGACTTTCCATCCGCAGCAGATCACTTTAATGTCTCAAATCAACTCCTCTCTGTTCTTATCGTTTGTTGTGGGGGAAATTAGTAAGTGGGTATGACTCTAGTTTTGATATAAATTGGTAAATTCTGAGCAATTATCGTGTAAGGAGTGATGAAGAGTAGATTAAGCCACGCCTCCTTTGAGCTGGAGTTCTGGGGGTTTTCCTTGGCTGCTCTTCCAGGAAGTGAGTGAAACTCCACAGATGAGAAGAGTTTCCCCACAGTATTTGTACTTATTACTGTCCTTGAGAGCAGCCCAGAGCTGGTCTGAGGCTCAGAACCTGTGCATGTGACAGTGACACTGTGCTGTGCTTATGGCCTGCAGGATGACCGAGGGGCAGCTCCTCAACATCTACGACAATGATCCTGTAAGTGCCTCAATTCACTCAACATGACATCTGTGTTTACATCTAGGATCCACTTCACCTACATCTCATTGCCACATGTTAAGCTATAAGACCAGTGTGTGATGGCATATTTCTTCACTAGGAATTGATTTGTCAAAAGCTAAAACTGTGAAAGGGCTGATGCTTGCATGAACCTGACTCACACAGCCCTTTATTCATACATGGAATGTTTCAAGCTTTCATTGTTTAAATTATATTCTTACATGTTTAAAGGCCAGAATGTAAGCAGTGATTACTGGTGCATTCAACCTGCTGGGTTTAGCTAGAAATGATTCTCAGTCAATTACATATAACTCCTCAATTTTGTATCCGCTTTCATTTAAACAAATTTGAGATACTATTTGGATGTTGTGAAGAGCTAAATTCCACTCTTTTTCTTGAAAATTGTAAATTGTCCATAAATATTATGGACATCATGTTCACTATATTTTCAATGAAGAGTAAGTCAACTTTAAACTTTTGTTCATAAAAGGTCAAGTATGATTCTTACCTGTTATCTGAGGACACACATAAAAGATGTGTATTAGGTTTGAAATGAAAATATTACATACAGTCCCTTTTCCAAATTCAATATTTTCTTTTAATAAATATTGTTTTCCTTCACAGCTAGGCTAAAATTATCTCATAAATGTCACTTTTATGGACATTCAGGGAGAAAGGTTGGTACTGTAAAGGAAATCGTTGGTGGGTAGTTCATTGTCAGTTTCACCATATTAACATGTGTTTGGAATTTTCTGACCTTAGTATTTTAGAGGGTGTATATGTGATGATGACACATAACCAGTGTAGACTGAACCCATATAATTCATAGAATGAATGTTCCTATTCTTTCCACACAAAGAGTTTAGGGGACATTGGTCTGAAATACTCTCCTTATTCTGCAGTTCCATTTTATGACTCCATATGAATACATTCCTCCAGTGGAAATCAAGACGGAGCCCTACATACCTGAGACTGGTAAGCCACTATCTTAATGGTTACCGCGTGAAAACAGCTCTGATATAAGTGAATTTATTTTTATTATTAATCTTTATTAAGGACACAATACAATACGGTCCATAGTTAAAAGAATAATAAGTTAATTCATAGTTAATTCCATAGTTAATAAGAAACAAAAACAAAAAAATGAATGTTTAGTGTAAACACAAATTATGCCTTGTTGATTAATGTTTCTCAATATTATAATGACAGTACAATGATAAGGGTCATCTCAGTCATGAGTTTAGTGGAAATTTACAATGCTTTGTGTTTTAGCTCACGGCCCTTACATCCAGATCATAGAAGAACCAAAACAGGTGACAGTGCAATTACATTCAGGCTTCTTTGAGCAGTACTGCAGTTAGTGTAACCCTTTCTCTGGTTTTAGCGAGGTTTTCGTTTCCGTTATGAGTGTGAAGGGCCTTCCCATGGTGGGCTCCCAGGGGCCTCCAGTGAAAAGAACAGGAGGACATATCCAACGGTCAAGGTAAATAATCTAGTCTTCTGTATGTGCACTATATTTACCATGTCACTACATGTTTCCTTTCCTTAACTATGGTCATTCTCACACATTGTGGCAAATGATTCATTGTTCTTTTTCAATACTCATTTCTCACCCTAAAGGAGAATGCTCTAAAATGTTGGCAAGATGAAAATATGAAAAACTCATTCTCTTCACGGTCGATATCACAAATCCGTAATTGTGTTTGCAGATTAGCAACTATGTGGGTCATGCCCGTGTGGAGGTGCAGCTGGTGACTCACTCGGACCCTCCTCGTGTCCACGCGCACAGCCTTGTGGGACGCCACTGCAACGAGAGCGGCACCTGCACACTGGACATCGGGCCCAACGACCTCACAGCCTCGTTAGTAAACAAACATGAGTCTATGGTGTACTCTGGTGTACTCTGGTGTACTCTGGTGTACTCTGGTGTACTCTGGCGTACTCTGGCAAACTCTGACGTACTGTGCTCTTGGCAGGTTCAGTAATCTGGGCATCCTTCATGTGACCAAGAAAGGAGTTGTGGAAATCCTGTGTCGGCGGTTGAAAGAAGAGAAGAGACGGCAGAAGGGGGCGGTGCTCCACCAGCTCTCTGGTAAACCGCTCTGACACATCAAGCAGTTTGTTTAACCAAACGACTGTAGACTGACCCCGTATTTAAACCATTTACACAGTTATTGAAAAAGGTGTTGAGCAGTTTCACACATGTTAGAATGCATTTATGAATAACATGGGTCAGGTTTTCATACTTTCCTTTTGTGCAGACTCAGAAGACATCTCCTGTCTGAAAGAAGCAAAGGAGCTGGGTCGCACCATGGACCTGAACATTGTGCGGTTGAAGTTCACAGCGTATCTCCAGGACAGCAACGGAGGCTTCACCCGAGCGCTCAAACCAGTGGTGTCCAACCCCATTTACGACAGCAGTGAGTGAATACTGTGCATGTTGTGACATTTAACATATAATGTTGTTTGTTCACCATGGCAACACAACTGAACTCAAGTGGGTTCTAAATGTTCACTGAGCAAATGTCTCAGAGCAAACATGCGTGCTAAAACAGTCCTCAAAGAGGATTCAGAAATGGTGGAACATTTTGAAAAACATTATGGAATGTGACATTTATTTGCCTCCAGAGTCCCCAAATGCCTCAAATCTGAAGATCACTCGTATGGATAAGACGTGTGGCTCGGTTCTTGGAGGAGACGAGATCTTCCTGCTGTGTGACAAAGTCCAGAAAGGTTTGATTTTCAACCGATGCATTAGAATAATGTTATGTTGAACATTTCAAAGTGTCATAGCTTTTGCTGCTTGTTGCAGACGACATAGAAATCCGCTTTTATGAAGACGACGAAGGCGGCTGGGAAGCGTTCGGGGACTTTTCGCCCACAGATGTTCACAAACAGGTACAGCCGCTGCATGTGGCACATTCGGATCTTCTCACTGATCGCTTCTGTATCTTGCAGTACGCCATTGTATTCAAGACGCCTCCGTATCACAGCGCTGAGATCGAGCGGCCTGTCACTGTGTTCCTTCAGCTCAAACGGAAGAAGGCTGGAGACCGGAGCGACCCCAAACACTTCACCTACATCCCCCAGGTCCAAGGTCAGCGCTGCCTTTGGTCACTGCATGATCACTGCATGGTCACTCAACACCACTTGCTACATCTTTGTGTGTTTTGTTGCTTCAGACAAAGAAGAGGTGCTCAGGAAGAAGCAGAAGCCCTTGCCACACTATGAGAATTGGAGAAGTGGAGGACGAGGGGGTGGAGCTGAAGGCTTTGGGGGCGGGGCCTCTGGAGCTGGTGGAGGGGGAGGTGGGTAATCGATTTGATAGTGTCTGTTCCATTGTATAAGGCAAGCATGTCCAAACAGTGCAGTGTCCATTTTGTTGCCACAAATGGTGATGTTTAAGAAGTACATTGACTATTTTACTACATTTTACTAACCCTAATTTTATTTGATATTATTTTTGTACAACCAAAATCAAGGTTTTATTGTGCATCTTCTTTGAATATCACTAAGGATCTGTTGGCCTGCCTTATCAGTGATAAAATCACCTATTTAAATGTACTGTACTGTATACTATATACTGTAGTTCTACTGTACTAATATAATGTGTTTTGGTTAGGGTTATAAGGACAACCAAAGCATCCACTCCTGAAGAGTAATACTTCTCACTCTTTCACCTTAGAATGTTGTCCTTTTGTTTCTGTGCAGGATTTCAGTTTTGTCAGCAAATGAACGGAGGTGGGAGTTTCCCTATGGGAGGTTTCACAGGGTTCTCTGGAGGGGCACAGATGTCCACCTCTTCACTTTCAGATTCACCACAGAGTGAAAAGAACACAAAGCAACCTGCAGGGCAAACGGACTCACTACTGCAACAGCGGCTTTTCCAATTAGGTATGGACATACAGAAGCACAGCAGGACGATCTGCAGATCTCATCCTCGGTGCAGAGATTTGTGAGAGTTTCAAAGCCTCCATGATTGATTCTATACTAGCACCGATCACTATTGATTGGTGCAGCTCAGGTCGAGGCAGTGCCCATTTAGAGCAGAAAGAGGCAGATCCACACCCAAACACCAGATTAGAACACTTGACCATCATGTTATTATGGATCAATATTATAATTATATCAGTTAAAGCTATGTTTTGAATGTTATTGAAAACTGAAGTCAGTTCTATTTGTGTGTTCAGCGGTCAGCTTACAGAGCAAAGAGTCCCAAAGTGCCAGGCAGACGGCTGCAGCTCTGCTCCACTACTGCAGCAGTGGAGATGTCCGTGTGCTTTTGTCCATCCAGAGACATCTGTGTGGGATCCAGGACTCTAATGGAGACACGTATGTACTGTACTGAGAGTGTTTTTTAAAACCATAATTAGCTGAAAACAGGCCTTTTCTAATGAATTGTTTAATGTCCAGTCATCACAAATTGCACAAATACTTTGTTCAACAATTCAGTCACATGGTAAATGTGTTTTCCCCCTAGACCTCTGCACCTTGCTGTGATTCACCAGCAGAGTGGAGTGATTCAGCAACTGGTTCATACTCTGATCAGTGGCCAACAGCAAAACCTCCTGAATACAGCCAACCATCTCAGACAGGTGCATATCCTACATTCTCTTGTCCTGGCTCTTGTTACCCCTGTATGCTCACTGAACACCCTTTTATCACCTGTGCTGACAGACGCCGCTGCACCTGGCGGTCAGCTCGGGGCAGGTAGCGGCGGTGGAGCTGCTGCTTCGGGCCGGTGCAGACTTGAGCCTTGTGGACAGAGAGGGTCGCAGTGCGCTGCATCTAGCAGCTCTGAGCGGAGACACCTCTGTGCTGCGCGCAGTGCTGGCTCATCTCCCAGAGCAGCAGGCTCACCTGGTCAATACCCCCGACTATCACGGTGAGAGCATCCACCTCAGGCCAGAATAACTAGTAATGTTTGTCAATTATGTGCTTAGACAAATAATTTCATTGTTTATTTATTATTTATGGATCATTTTAAAATGGCCAAACATAACTGTTCTATTTCAAAGTGTATGTTGTGCCCTGCAGGACTGCAGCCACTGCATCTGTGTGTGAGGAGAGATGGGGAGCGCTGTCTTCGTCTGTTGGTGGGAAGTGGTGCTAAGATCAATGCTCCTGAGCAGAAGAGTGGTTCCACTGCGCTGCATCTGGCTGTTACTGCCAACCTCTTCAAAGTAGCCTGCACACTGATCACAGAGGTATGAGCTTTTGCTTTGTGTGGTTCTGATCGATAAAGATTACCATGAAACTGAGGCCACTGTCTCCCTCTCTATATGTGCAGTTAAAAGCTGATGTGAACTGTTGCACGTTTGGTGGGAACACTCCTCTGCATTTTGCCGCTAGTCAGGGTTCTCCAACACTCTGCTCCATGCTCATCGCTGCAGGTCAGGAAAAAGATCTTAAAGCCTTCTTTCATTTTGAAACAATTTGTATTGCATTATGTATCTGACAAAGCCTCTGTGTACAAGGCCATTTGAAACATTTCTGAGTAAGACATTTAGTCGGTGAGTTTGTTTTTGCTTAAACCTTACCCACACTGTGCAGGAGCTGATAAAAATCTACAAAATGATGAGCCCCTTGACTTCAGTTCTTCTTCTGATGAAGAACTGGACGAAGGAGACAAAGAACAGACAGAGTTTGTCTCACAATCAAAAAGTTCTCACAAAAGACGAGCAGGACACACACCTCTGGACTTGGCCATGTGCCAAAAGGTATGGACAAGGACCTTTTTAAAGGACAAGTGTACCCATGTGTACCCTATGTCCCTGTGCTGCCCCTGGTTAAATACTTCTCATATGTCCTGATCTTTGTTCAGGTGAGAAACTTGTTAACACCAAAACCAGACAAACCATCAAGTCGGCAAAGCACCAAGAAGGCAAAACAAAGCTCAGAAGGTAACAAAGTGCTCTTATTGTCTTTGACTGATTCCTACATCATAAACATTTAACTTCAAACAGTGCTCCAGCTCTTTAATCTAACTATCAGGCTATCATTCCTCTTCTTTTCCTCTCCATTGTGTCTTCATACCAGTGGTTTCTGGGCTCAACTGTGACACTCTGACACGTCTGATGGAAGTGCTCAGCGTTCAGGAAGTTCCCTGGAGAAAACTGGCCGAGAAGCTGGGGATGATGACCTTAACCCACTTGTATGAAGACAGCCCCACGCCCTGCCACCAGCTGCTGCAGCACTACCAGGTGCATGAGCTGAAATGAGACTTCCAATGAGGCATACTCTGCAGATTTTAATACATGTGTGTTGTAGTTGGGTGGTGGTCCAGTGGAGGGGCTTGTGGAGGCGTTTCAGTCTTTGGGCGTGACTGAAGGAGTGAGGCTGCTGAGAGACAGTCAGTCGTGGGAGGACAAGCACAGCACAGGTCAGACACCAACTATCAACCTCATCTCAACGTGTTTGTTTGGCCTAAACTTTCCATTTCCCAGCAGACACTACAGTGGACAGTGGATTTGGTAGCCAGGCCATGGAGGACGAGGAGCAGCCTGTAGGGTTATAGTTCATCACATCAACAAAGGAGAGCATAGTGCATCAGCACAGGAGCCGAGGGTCAGTCTGTGCACTGACATCTTCTGAACTTTATCGCTCGCTACGTTCACATGAAGCAGGTTAAGAACCCGAATGATCTCTGTGGAGTCACATGTGGACAGAAAGGATACAGTCACGTTTGTTTTCTTCAGTTTCTTATGTTTCTGTCAATAGATGACTAGTAGATGATATAATCCCAAATGTATGGTTGCATTGCATTGCCCAATAATCTACATATTTTCTTAATTTCTTCAGCAACATCAACATGATCAGACAAAAAAGCTCGACCCCATCAGATAATTTTCTGGAGCTGTTACTTGTCCGCAAACCTAATTTATTATAGCTATCATTTGTTAAAAATCACATTTTAAGATTATTTATTTTTTACCAACAATGAAAAGTCAGCTTTAAACAAAGCGCCCTTTAAGTGTTTCTGGGATGAACTGTGTCATGTTGACCATGTGCTCTGAGCCTTTGAGATGATCTGCCACTCATTAAGCAAACATGTATTTATAATTGTAAAGTTAATCTCTTATTACAAGAGAATTGTCCTGTTTCTAGCATATCCTGTAATTGGTCCCCATCTGATAGTGTATATATATATATATATATATCTTTTTTGTAAAACTGACTCATTGACAATAAAGAAGTATTTTGAATAATGTTTATTCTTTGACACAATACTGAGGTGGACATTATGTACAGCTGCAGCAAATACAAGGCTAAAAAAATAGAATCTCAAATATATTAACTTTTGCTGTTGATTGAAAGAATAAATAAATTCCTTTTTTAAATTTTATTTAGTATTTTAAAATAAGTACCCTAAAATGCAGCTTAAGCTCACTGCTATATGGCTTTTCAATGTGAAGTCATGAACGCTTCTGCATAACAAGGCTTTCAGCTTCAAGTTGGAATGACTAAGAACAGAATCACAACCTGGAAATACCGTTTAAACACAATAGTGATGAAGGAAGAGCCAATGGCCGGAGCCCAAGGGCGCCCCATGAAGGAACCCTAACTTCTTCATCGAATTCGCATATAGCAAGTTTGAAAAACAAAAGTAACAGCAGGTGGGAATGTTTTGAGGGGCTGAAATACATCTTGTAGAGCTGCTGGCCACAAATACTGTACTTTAATGTTATTGCCAAAATAAAGTAGTCCTATAAATATATATATCAATGTTTCCTTTACATTAACATGCATTCACCGTCAGCTTTCGTCATAAACCTTTAAGTTGATAAAGTAACCAGCTTAATTACCACCCGTTTTGGATCAAACTTTTCAGATCAATGTTAAACTTATACAGAATTGTCTCCAGAGCATATTGAGAATCTCACATTGAATACTTGACTGAACCTCAGGTGTATTGTATATAATAAGCTAGTCAAGTACTTTGGTAATATTTTAAGCGATATGCCATAGGAAATGTGTATTGTATTTTGGCCTTTTTGTACAATAGTAATATAGTGTATACTGATCTACAGCATTGCAAAGCTTGGTCCGATTATACGCGACACTACAGCTTAGACTAATAACACAGCACTGTGATGGAAAAATACAATTCACAAAAAACAAAAGCACAAAAAAGAATGTAAAGTGCTCTATCATCAAAACGTACATTTGAGTCTTTGTGGAAAGATGAACACAAAAGCAGGAGGTCAGTTCAAACACCACAGCGTCTCCTTGGTAACCAGTGGGCATGAGGGCAGTGACATACTTATTTGGAGTGATTTGTACCGTAGTGTCTGCATCAAACATGAGCTGCACAAGTCTTCACTGTCAGTACGACCGACAAAAGGATAAGGTGGTACCTGTTTAAACCTCACCGGTGATTTTGTGGGAAAAAAAAAATCTGAGTGGTCTTAGTATGTTTGTACATTTAATCTTTCACTCATCGGGATCACGTTAAGGCAATTCAGTCTTGCTCTCTGCGTTGTTGTCTGGCTTGGTCCCATTCTGGCTCTCCTCTTTGGTCTGCGTTGAGGTGACTTTGAGACTCCTGAACCTGCTGCTTGGGCCCCTGTCTTTCAAAGAGCTGTACTGGGGCAGGGCAGGGCTGGAGTGGGCTCTTTGGAGACCACTTTCACTCAACAATCGGGACTCGAAGGCAGAGAGGTCATCAGTGGCAAACTGGAGTTTTGCCCGCATCAGCATGGCATACGTGCCGTAGCGGGTTTTCTGTGGGACAATAACACAACTTTACATTACATTAAAACATGACATTACAATAAAACATTACAGAGGCAAACACACTGTGCTAAGTGAATATTAAATATAGAACATCTCTATATTTTAATGTCTTTTCTTTAGCTTAATAAAGAAACATAGCTTCTGTAATCAGTGGCTGAAGGACGATCTTGAGGCTTGGATTTGGCGCCAATCACTCACAGACGTGAAGAAAACACGACCAAGTGAAGAATTGTTAGTTTAAAAAAAATACTTTCAATGAAAAATATTCTGAGCTAAGACTGGTAAGTTACGGAAATTCTTAAAAACACTGATACATTGTCACAGTTACACAGATGAATGAAAACAATGAAAATAGAACATAATTAGAACTACTGTGTATGTGGACAGTTTATTCACTTTTGGTTCTAACATAAGATCAAAGCAGGTTACCCCAGCATACCTCAAATTCCAGATACTCCTGCCGTTGTTTTTGCTCCTCCACTTCTCGACCTTTACTCTTGGAATCTGAGATGAGCTCCGTCAGCTCAGCAGACACAGCGCGAAAGCGGTTTTCATGAGACTTCAGCTGGTCTTCCTGTGAATGGGTTATTTGGCAGTTTTGTAGCCAACTCAAGTATATATTTCAGTGTGTGTGTGTGTGTGTGTGTGTGTGTGTGTGTGTGTACCTGGGACAGTTTGGAGTTGGACCCTGGCAGAAGGGGGCGGCTGAACCTCTTCTGAGAGCCAATGGCCGGTGGGAAGGGTGGAGCAGAGAACATGGCTGATACTATGTTAATGCGAGTGATCCAGGACTGCATCTGCTCCGTCGTCCTGCAGAGAGGAACAACACATTTTCTTTATTCAAAGCCATTGTACAAATATCAGTCATTTGATCTAAACTGTGGGACTACAGATGGAAATCAGCTACGAATAGCAGCAATGTGGTGTATTTACAGTTACAGCTGTTCATTAATACACACAGTCAAATTCAAATAAAAAAATAACAAAAATATAATAAACTAGTAGACTGGGACATTAGAGACTATTACATAGTTTCTGAATTATTAAATTAAATGTATCCAGGAAGGTACAATCGTTGAAAGCGCGTAATGCCATATTGTTACAGCTACTGTATCTGATTATTTTATATAGACCATTATTTAATGTAGCCTTAATTTAGAGTCAATATTTTCATCATTCCAATTTACTTTTCTGTACCCTTCTCTTTGGAATAAATGAAATGTGTGGAGCAGTGCTTTAAGGGGGCACATGGGGTATATCTTTCAGTGGAATCCTGAATATTGAATATTTATTTTTAAAAGAAAAACATGTGCCCTACATATGTCCTAACTGTGAGCTGGCTTGCATCCTCACAGATCTGACTCATACCCTGGACCTCTTCTTGCTTATTTTCTACAATAATAATAATAATATTAAAAACATATATCCATGGTATGGTTTAAATTCAATTATATATATATATTATATATATTATATATATATTATATATTATATATATATTATATATTATATATATATTATATATTATATATATATATATATATGGTTTCACAAAGTTAAAGTGTTCTTTAAAGTGTGGCTTTAAAGAACAAAAGGGCCATACGATGCCTGCAGGAGGAACACCCTCCAGTCGGCCGTCCTCAGGTAGAAGACGTTTGCTCGTTTGCTGTAATCCACTGCTCTCATGGCCAAAGAGTGGTGCACAGACACCGCGTTCTTCAGGTCCTCCTGAGTCAGCTCCTGACCCGAGCGGTATTCCTCCTGAGGTCAAGGTTAAGAGATAAAGAACAAAATCTTTAAAACATAACACCAGGGATGCTCAGCCGAGATCAACAACATATGGGACTGATTTTGAAGCGTGGCGTGTGGTGAGGAAGAATGGTACCTTCTGCAGGTAGAGCACCAGGCCCTTCAGCGTGGCGTGGAAAGACTTCCATCCCCTTTTCCCTCGTGGTGCTGCGAAAACAAGGATTTGTTCATTTACTTTCAGCAACAGACTATTTCTCACTCAGGGCCGTGTGCACCGGCTTCGTAAAACGTACTCCGTAGCCGTCCAAACGTGTCCGTTTAATCCCCGTTTCCGTTTTTTCCATGAGGGTGAATGGAAGTGGCTCCACTGCCCGCGACATGCGTCCGTATGACGCGCTTAGGGAGCAGTCCGTCCACGCAGGGTGCAACGGACGCGAATGGACAAAAAAGAAACAATCCTATTTTTTACGTACGTCGACGCGTGTCTGGTCCGTTTTCCATTGGAAATACAATGGAAAAATGTATTTACCACATTATTAAACATGTATTGATTATGCTGTAGTCCTTGGTTATAAGTGTTTGTTTATTTATTTATTTAATAGTTTATTTGAATAGGGACGATACACATTAATCAACATTGCTGTAAATGTGTCAGTATTAGCTAACAGCTAGTTTCCAACTGTAGTCCCTAGGCAAGGTGTAAAATGCCATTGTTAATGACAATGATTATTAACAAATGTGTGTAATTCATTTTCATGTATTAAATTGAAATAATTGTTTCCTGATCGTAAATCTACAGTTTATTTTCGCGTAATGTTAATATTGACTCGCTTTCAAAAAAGCCTGGATATGTTGGAGTTCTTTTCTCTCTGCCTTTTTCCAATTGCTCGCAATAAGTTTTGCCTCATCCATCGCAACGTCCTCGATGCTTCAATATGCCGTACTTTGCATAGATCATAGCCACAGCTCATGCACATCACACACCACTTCTTCTATTTAAAACAAAGCCTCATGGGGTGCTGATAAACGCACAGCCAGAGCTGCGCACTGCTGAAGCCGGTGTGGCCACTATTCCGTTTTACGCACGTCTGACGGGCAGCAGCCTAAGCGCGTAAACGGAGACGCGCCCGGTGGAGTCCAGCATTTAGTGTCTCATAAAGTCATAACAATTACATCCAATTTTGTTGCCAGTCAACGTTATAGTGCGTCAACGTTAGCACATATAGTTTCTATGTGCTGATTTCTCATTTCTGTCTCAGTATAAAATCATGTTAACGCTGTGAAAACTCTGGTCCTGTCACTCAATAACACATGCCTCCTGCTGAGACCAGTATCTTTGTCATTTTCTTCAGTCCCTTTGAATAAAAGTAATCATTTGGTCAAAATACCTACTGTACATGATGTAAAAAATAAAAAATAGCTACAGGTGCTAAAGATGAGCTACAGTAAGAATAAACCTTCCCCAATTTCGATGAATAAGAGCCTGAACGGTTGACCATTATTTCTTGTTGGACTTTATCAGCTGGTTTCCATGTGACCAACTCAAGTCAACAGCCGTTTTATCAACTGGAGAGCCATAAGCTTTCAAACATAAACGTGTTTAAAATAAAGAATAAAGGTATACTGAATGTTCTTCAAAAAGATGTCGAACATACTTCTCTTTCCGTCTGGATCAGCGTGGACCTTGCGCACCAAGAGCCCGCTCTTGTAGAGCTGCTCGTTGGTCTGCTGAGCCATGTTGAGCAGAGAGTTCCCGCTGGGGCCCTGGCGCTTCAGTGTGTGGGACGCAGAATCTTTTCGAGCGTCTGTTGCCACAGTGGTCCCAGACTTCTGCACTTCCTCCTCATCACTGAAATATAAAAACCATATTTATACTTCTCTCATTTTTATATCATTACTATTATTTTTTATTCTTATTTTTTCCCAATCCATCTGTTTGTAGATGCATATTTATGTTTGCGTTTATGTTGAGGTCCGTGCAGAGACCACTGATATATCAACATAAACACATAATATGTTACATAATATGTTACTTTTAGGACATGGTAGAATGTAGTCCACAATAAAAAGACATTAAGATCATAATGACAGTGTGATATGTGTACATTTGTTTTGGGAAGAACTACATGCGACGGTTGGACTTTAAAAAGTGATTGTCTTTCTGTTGAAGATGAAACTGCTCCACAGCTGAGCGGCACAGATGGCACCAGCTCCAGTCTGTGGAGATGTGAGAGCTACACACACTGAAATGGTGGCTCTGACAACTGATCACAGATTTCAAATCAATATCATATTGTTTATAATTAATCTAGGATATAGATCGTTACATGTTTGCCCTTTTGAACATACAAAAGAGTAAAACCAATCCTTTCTAAGGGCCTCTGAATAAAACAGCTACAAACATTTAAATACTATATTCATGACAAGAGTGAAAGCTAAACCCTAGAGAATAACTACTGTGCCACACAAACAGTTTGCTTGTGGGAGTTCACAATTGTATAGATGCTGACATATAATTATTAGAAAAAACAGAAGGAGATGTTCCCATGGTAACAGAGGCTAAAATAACCCTGTGTCTCAATCATAAACAAAACAGGATTTAAACAAGTGTCAACTCACATAGTCCACTGTAGTTTCTCACTCCGGATGGACGTGTACAGCGTCTGTGACACAAAACCATTCTGCTGTCACTTCATCAACTGGTCTGAGCCACGTGATGAGAAACTGATTTGCAAAGACATGCATCTTAAGGCATCACATTTCAACTATTCAAGTGAAGTAGCTCCCAGCTGCTGCGACTTTTAAACACCACATTGAAGATATAATGTACACATTCCAGTCGGAACCGTGAGAAAACAAATGTCCACCTTTTCCTATTCTACACTAAACCAGTGGTTGATGAAGTTGATGCTACAACCTGCAAACATGAAATGCAGGATCTTCACCAGCGAGATCTGGAACCACAGAGCAACGTCACTGTCACTTCCAAACTTTGGGTCCTTTGTTTTCTTGGATTTCTAGCTCCATCAAGGTAGCATGGAAATATTTAGATGTGGAAATATTTCTATTTCTTTAGGCATGGAATGGTGGAATTCTTTTTCTCCTGTTTTAATTTACGACATTCTTACCAATAAATGTCCCGTAAAACAATGTCAATGTAAACAATGGTATGAAAAGGCGTCCATTCCCAGACATTCCCATGTTTGTTGATAGAGGCTTACATTCATCCAGTTTAATTTACAGCAGTCGATTTCTTTGTTTGCTGCAATAAATACCTACAGAGGGCCTTGGCCCTTTGTCCAAAACCCTTGTTATAGTTTATAAAAACCCAAAACACCAACAGCTACTTTGGAACTTCATACATAGGTCTTTCTTAACACCAGGTAGATCTTTATCCAGAGCCGACCTGCACATTGTGCCATGATGGCGCAGAAGGTCCGGGTTTTGAGAGATGGTGGTCTGTCGTCCTCCTCTTTTGAATGACTTTTCCGGATTTGGATTTACCAAGGTGCAATTTTTTTTTTATATCTGTTCTTTCAAAAATCCAATTTAAAAAATAATAATATAATAAGGGTACATAATAGAACCAACAACCGGAATGGAAGTAAGTTATACATTTACAATATGGTGAGGGTTTCCTTACACACACACATCTATACGCTAGTACAAACATTTATATTAACCCCAAAGTATAATAAGACATGACTTCAGGGCACTTTCTTTACAGCGACCAGACAACCCTTCCCCACATATTTTTTGTCAGTAGTTCCCAGATTATTATTTTTTTCTAAGATTTAGGATAACTAAGAACACAAATAATGTATGGCAAAAGTGCCTAAAACCAAGTGAGATGCCCCAATGAGGGAGATTTCAGTTCCAAGCTTCAAGTAAATATAGTGACTCATAAAGTGATCCACCAAATGGTTGAGCGAACCACTAAAGGGTTAAAGAGTTTCAGGGCTCCACGGTTTTGTCTGTTTCACATTGCGGACGCCTAAACCTGATGCCTAAAGAGTTAATAGTATATAGAGTGGCACTATGCCCAACATTTGCCGAAATACCGCTGAGTCATGCAACAGTGTATCCTAAACGCCTCACGACAACAGTTGACATTACAGAGGTCAGAGTGTTTCCTGGGTGAAGTTGGTACCTTCTTGCTCTGGTCCTTGGACTTGGGCAGTAAGTTGGAAATGGCCAGAGGTTTGAGTGAACAGCTGCGGTGCTTTCGCTGACTCCTGAATGTGTCGGCGTCTCTGGAGCTGCGTCTGTTCGGAGCCACACACAGGGAGCGGGAGCGAGTGCGGTCCGTTGACTGAATGCTGTTGACTCCAAACATTTTTATCGAGTAAAAAAAGATTTGTAAATAATCTAGGAGTAAATGTTCATCTCAACAAAAAGCCTTGAGACTGGATAGAGAAGTTGGCAAGTGGCACTCTTCCTCCGCTGGTGCAGGGGGGCAAGCCTTGACTAATAGTCCCCGAGTCCTCTGCAGAGCTGCATTAGAATTCTGCCAACAGCCGGGGGAGAAGACTGGGGGGTCTTCAGGACACAACTGGCATGGAGGGAGAGGAGCAGAGGCTTGAAGCTGATTACAAGCGTTCGCTGGTAGTGTAGCTGAAGCTGCAGTGTCACTCCAAAAGGAATCCTCGTCTCCAGATTCTTGTTACCGCGGAAACAGTCGGCGGCGCTGAAGATGCACCCACTCACGCACACCCACTTGGAGCGCACAGGTTTACAGATGCAGACCGACGGGTTAAACACTGCTGTCCTCGCCTGGGCACTCACAACAGCACGGCTCTGTTCAACCACCCCCTCTAACTACCTCTCTCCCCCTCTCTCTCTCTCCCTCCCTCTCTCTCTCCCTCTCTCTCTGCCCGTTAATCTCTCCCTCTCTCTCTTAAATGCACAATTTTTCAAAGTTACAGGGATCCACCAGTGTTGGCAACTAAAATTTCTGCTACTTTAATCTGTTGCATGCAGCACATTCAAAGGTTTATTTAGTTTAGTTTTGATTTGTGGATTAGAATGGAATACAGGATGAAACTGAACATGGATGTCTCTTGAGTGAAGTCAACTGTGGACCACTGGCTTTGCATTAAACAATTCAAAACATTGAGAATTTATGTTTGGAATAGAGAAAAGTCATCAAAGGAGCCCAACATAAGAAAAGGTCAGACCTTGTAATGAACACTGAACATAGGTAGTCATGTGGCAACGTTAACATATGTACCTTCAGAAGCTCTTTGGGGAAGTCTTTTCCGTCATTGAGTCCTTCCAAGTTTGAGATAAACTGGCTGCAGGACATCCTCTTCCCCAGATTCTACACAAACATGTCAACATGAGGCCTCGCAATTGTTTCAACGTCTTGCATTGTAAAATAGTTATTCACAACATGATGAACAAACTAAATGTTGAACAGGACAATTGTTTTTGTGGCCATTTGTTGCCAGTGAAAGCAGTGGAGGATACTCACATTTCCATGAAGGTCTGAGTTTAGCAGCATGACAGCACAAGTCAAAGTGTGGACACTGTCTGTGGAGCAGTAACACAACGAAGCTCAAGAGAAAGTCAAAGTTAGTTCAATTGTACTTGTTTTTATCCTTATCAGTTTAGGTTGAGATCTATATCAGATCGTTATACATCGGATGGTTTTCTATGTACATTCAATTAAAAAAGCACTGGCAGAACAGTTGTATTTATAGTTCTGTTTAAGACATTAAAGCCAGACACACACCAGAATGTGCCCCACTGTGGCACATTGTGGCGAGCGGAAAACAAATGAAGAAATCCACGTTGCACGCCTCTTTGAAGGCTTTAACACAACTTGTGCAGGTTTTTACGATCATATGACTGACATGACAGCTTCAACATGATGATGTGAGAGGAGCAGGCACTGATTAAAAGCTGATAGTTCAGATTATTGACAGGAGTTTTTCCTCCAAAGTGAGACTCTGGTCGGGCAGAAGGGGCTTTGTTCCCTCTGTACACAGTGTTTGTGTCACAGAGCAGAGTCCAGACTTAATCATTCCTAATCAAGGCACAGGCTCAAGCTCAGCACGTTTGTCTTTTCATTGAAAATCAAGGGGTGCTTGGGCTTAAGAGTAAAGACAGCGGCCCTTTAAGTTTTGATGAGGAAGATTTGAACGGTGAGAGAGGGCAGTAAGCACCTTCAGTGTTGAGGCATTGAGGGTTGCATTGTGTGTATCTGTGGGAGAAGTGAGTGAGGAGTCTCTCTCGTTCCTGAGTCTCTCCCATCAAAGCCAGCCGCCTCAGAAATAACCTAAACACAAAGACGTCACATAAGTATTGCATCATCTTTGAGCAGTGTGCAGACATTTGATTGGTCAGTGGACCTGAGCGCCTGGTCGACGGAGAGACCACTGAAGTCGAAGAGGCTGAGGTATTCCTCTGCCACGGAGCAGCTGAACTCATTACTGTTTACACACAAACATAGTCTCACACTATTCCTTTATAATCACATGTAGAATGAGACGCCTTATTCTCACTTTTTGTTGAGGTGTCGGGCCACATCTGACTTCTTGAAGCCTTCCAGGCTGTAGAGCCGCTGAGCCAGCCGCTTGGCAGCCTGTAGATCCGCTTTGATGCCGTTCAGAGCATCGATGCTGTCGGCGTGAGTCAAACGCTGTGCCACTTCGGCCTGAGGATACAGCAGCTCCGGAGGACGCTTCACATGCTCCCTACAAAGTGCAAATATGTTATTTTAGAACTAAGCATCGGCCATTGTTAATGGGTTGAGGTTAGTATGCTACTAATTAGGGCTGAACGATATGGGAAAATGTAATATTCGTGCCACATATCATTACAATATATGTTGGTCGTTGGTTGTCTTCGGTTTATGGTTGGCTGCTTGTTGTAATGCATTCAAGAGAAAAGGTATATTGTGACTGCCAGGGCGTTACATGCAGGGCGAGCACAAACACCAATATTGTTTATTTTGTAGCTTTTTCTGTTTTAATACCGTCTCAATATCAATATATAGATATATATCTTTCAGCCCTATTATCTAACTATGATATTCTATGGAAGCATACATCACAATACCAAGAGATTTTAACTGAAAAGTGGGTTTAGTTTTCAATGTGTGAGTAGCTGTTGGATAATTACTGTGTAATTATCAATTCACACATAACACAAAAAAAGAAGTTTGAGATTTCTGACGAGAATGGCTTAGATGTGTTACTTTGAAACAAAGAACTTAAAGGAAGTCGGTTCAAACAGGAAAAGACCCAAATAACTCAAGCTCGACCAAAATTCCTTGTCCTTGGTAGAATAAATAACATAGTTTTTTGTCTTATGAAAATTATTCTTTTCTGAAGTCCTTGACAAATTGTTGTGAATGACACAAAAGTCCAATGAGGCGATCTGAGAAAATATATTTTTGTAGTATTCTACAGCACACACATGAAGATTTTACAATATTGGGTGCATATGGTAATAATACATTACAGTAGGTGCCCTGAGAAAATGTGAACTAACACTTGGTTCAGCGGATTCCTATTTTACTGAAACGTATTATCAGTGATTACACACAAGCCCCGTCACCAGTAAGCACTCACTAACTTCACGAGCCACTCACGTGTATGAGGCCAGGTAGAGCGGAGTGTACAGCTCCCTGTCCTCCTCCAAAACTCCTATGTGCCAACACAGGAGTCTTGCCATCAAACAGCCATGAATCAGATCCTGAATTATCCCAAAATCTCAAGTCTATGGGTGAGATCTGAAGGGGCCATTCTTCCCTCAGTGTGTGCCGTGGTCCCCTCAAAGCTCCACTGTGGTGAGAGCTTAGCTGTGGTAGGGTGGGACTTCCTACAGCCCCATTCTGCTCTGTCCTTCCTTCTCCTTCCCAGAGCATTTCCTCTCTTTGTTATCCAGTGTCTCCTTCACAAATAAGTGTATTTGGATGTGGACAAATTCTCCTCATAAAGACCATTCTGTCTAGAATTCTTTGCAAAAAGTAAAATGTAAAAGGTGATGCTTGTTTGTCCACTCGTTTCTACCGTCTAATATTAAGAGTGAACTTACTTGACATGGAGTGATGGAGCTGAACTAACTTTTTTAAACCCCTCTTTTCGAGGCAAATCCTTTTTTGCTGAAGAGTCCTGGGTCCTTTTAGAGACACTGGGAGACACTTCAGATGCAGTGGTCCCTGAGGCACTGGGGAGGATAGAGCGGGACAGAGGCGCAAAGCTCAGGTCCATCAGCTGCCGGGCAGTGTCTGAAATTTGTGTCTGCACAAACAAGACTGTGGTTAGTACACAGGTGTACTGCAGGTCAGCAGCACTCATCGAACCCACCTGTATCTCAGGGGTGAGTGTGGGAAGGTCAAAAGTAAAAACTGAGGTGGACCCGGTGGTCAGGACATCCACGCTGTCCAGGCTGCTGTAGGAAGTTCCCTTGGCCCTGTGTGATTCCATAATATTTTCAAAATGGCGGCTGAAAGAGTCCAGGTTGCCATCTGAAGAGCACCGTGGACTGTTCAGGGCAATTGGAGACTTGAGGCCGCATTTAGGGTCAGGGTCTGCACCCAAAGGTCTGGAGTCTCTGCACATATGCCGATAATGAGTGATATGTTTAAAACATGATCATAACTGCATGTGCAAACTAGGGTAATAAAGTGGCCTGTCCGTATGTACTGACAAGTGTTCTTGAGGATGTAACTCACCGGATCATCTCTCGTCTGATGTTGTTCTCCCCTCTTCCAATGGAGCCTGCCTTAGACTCTTCATCATGGGAGTATTTAGATTTTACATCTTCAGGACTGAAACAGGAAGCGCCCAGAATACTGCGGTCACTTCCAAAGGCAGAGTCCACCTCGGTTTCATTCTCCTCAAACACATCAGCTTCAGCCTGCATCACCTGCACAACAACAAACACCAACAATTGGCACAGTGTTGGTTTTGTCACTATGGAACAGGGCCCTAAAAAGGCTAATCTATAATCGACCCAAAGAAATATGGGTAACAACAGTATAACAAATGTATTCAAAATACTTTCTTATTCTCCAGTGGAAGCTGGAAGTTTACAGATACTGTGTATTTCACTCTATAGAAGGTATTAGGTATTGTATATAAATCAAAATAATAACCTATATCAATCATGTGGCATTGATAGAAAAATAGAAATATTTTAGATAACACTAAATGACAAAAAGCAAGGGAAAAAAATAAATTCCATATAAACTTGTTTTGAGTTAGTATGAATCTGTTACATGTGAATGTGTGTGAATGATGCTGGTGGACAGAGCGGCTGCTGGCCCAGTCCTCCCAACTATACTGTGTGGGCAGGGGTTTCAAACCGGTTCCAGAGAGGGCCATGTAGCTGCAGGTTTTACTTCCAACAGTTCCAAACTGAGCAGGAGCACAGATTACTCCACCCATTTCCTCAGGTGAGTCCAGTTTTAACCTGGAGATTTTAGGAAATGGGTGGAGTCATCTGTGCTCCTGCACAGATATGAGCAGAATCCCACCCACAACAGCCACTCCAGTGTGAAGCGGGATCTGACCTGATCCAGATCAGTCTCCCGGTAACAGCGCAGCGGTACTGTGTCCAGGTCGGTCTCGGAGTACTTCAGAGTTCGACGGATGATTCCAGAGTTGGTGCAGCGGGGGTCTGGGGTGAAGAGCTCCACCGCAATCTGCTGCACTTTGTGATGCAGCAGCCTCTGGCCCACACTGTCCCGGGCCACGCCAACAGAGGAGCCAGCTGTGCGCCTGCTGGGGGCCACCGAGGCAGCACCTGTGGAACATAAGCAAATGAAATGTTGTTAATATTCAAAGGCAAGGAAAGGTAACACATGTTTATATGTATAGCACAGTTCATCCACAAGGCAACTGTTAGGAATTCAAATAGCTAAAAAAACTTAACTCTCGCTTATGGTGGCGAGGGAGATTTGAGACCGTTTACATTTTCACATAATACCTTCAGTCAAACAACATTCTTCAGATGGCGCCCCAAAAAGAAAGTCCCACTTGGCTTTGGCGATCTTCTCTGACCTCAAGTCCGGCTGCCTTAGAACACGGTTTGTCTGATAAACATCATAAAGATTATGTTTAGTCAGCAGTAAGCAATGTAAAGACTATAGTATGTAATCTGGGAGATCCCTTTTATACTTTAAAAGTAGGATATGGCTCAAACTGCTCGTTTGTCATCTTTACATTTTTATTTTTTTAAGTTTCACATAATGCATTACAAACTGTTAAATGCTTACAAAGTACACAAACTAAAAGCTGTTCTGGCAGATATGACCTGGAAACAACAATAATACAATTCAGACATAACATTCATGCATAAAAATGCATTTAACTGAAATGCATATTAAATCAATATATAAGAGGTGACAAACTTGTGTGTTTTTAAAATTGGTATGAGGAGGTGATCATAAAAATAATGCTGAATAAAAAAAGAATACAAGAAAGATTTTTCTCTCCTAAGCCTTGATATATAAACAATCTGCATAGAACAGTTTTAATTTTGGAGATGGCCCTCGTACAACAGCGGGGACAGGGTTTTTCAACAATGTGAAAATCTAGATTGATTTTCACATTGTTGAAAAACCCTGTCCCCGCTGTTGTACGAGGGCCATTGAAAAATATGTTTTTAAATGACAAATGTTTTTATAATTTTTATAATTTAGTATGTATTATTGTTATTATTAGACTTATAATAATAATAATAATGTTTATGCACACATGGGAGAAGGAGCTACTGTAACACTAAACATTCACTACACAATAAGCATTTGGAGCTATTTGAAAACAACATCTACTGAGCTAGAGGCAACCGGGACAGGGAGGCAAGAAAGAGCATTTCCATCCAACCTGAGAGCCTGAGCTGCTGCTCATCTGAGAAGAGCCCAGTCCGCAGGGGGAGTCTGCATGCAAGACTTGGGACAACAAGGACTCATCGATGGGAGAGTCTGTCAGAGGTGTGCTGCTCACAGGCCTCAACTCTTTTCTCTCACTGTAAACTGGATTTGTACATTTCTGCTCTTTTATAGCGCAGTGTTCTCTTCTGTACTGGTCACACCTGGAGGTCCTGTTAACAGAGGGGTGGTGAGCCTGATGGGGGTCAAACGCAGCCCTCCTCGTGACTTCAGGGCTGTTTACAACTGATCTGGCAGACACATGGGGCTTTCTTCTGTCTATGCGGGGCGAGTGGAAATTTACTGCATTTTCAGATCTCAGAACATTACTAAAACCCACACTAGGCTCTGATTGCAATTCTGGACAATGAAACAAGTTATTGTTGTTCAAACTAGAAGGCAAGGACAGAGATTTTGAAGATGCAAGACATTGGGGGGATACATTTGTGGAGCCATATCCGGCCAGAGTCTGTGGGGATCTGTAGTTTGTCTGGTCAGTCTGAGAATGTGGCTGAACATAGACAGGGGAATTTTGCCAGCGGTGTCTTGGTTGGTTTTCACAACAAAAAGCTCTGTTTGTAGGGCTGGAGAAATCATGTGGGTCCATGGAAGGCACTGGGGAGGTACATATTTTAACCTGATCAGACTTAGAATAGATGCTCCCGTCTACAATAGACTTGGAGCACTTTTCCATATTCCGCCATGAAGAGAAATGCCTCAATTCATTTTCAGGACTTCTTAAAATGTGTGCATTAAAATTAGAGCATCTTTCATTTTCGCCATTAGAAAACTTGCAGTTATTTGTATTAGAATTGCAGCTATATCTGCGATTGCTGCTACACAAAGGCAAACATATATTTGAATCAATGTTCATAGGAATATTGTTTGAAGAAATAGTGTGCTGGATATCGGTGGGTTTCCCTGCAGGTAAATGTGAACGAGGAGATGGCTTGGTGTCCACAATCTTGTGATGGAGACTGGGGGAAGGCCTGTGGACGCCAAGTGATGGGGAAGATCCACTAGAGGCATGCTGAGGTGTGCGTGAAAAGACTCCACTCTGAACATGTGCACGGGTCACCTCTCTCAGACTAGTGCGAGCGGGCAATGAAGGACTTTTATTATACAGACTGGGAGATGATGACCAACTGTGTCCAGGCTGATACTGCTGATATTGGTGTATATCTGTGCTAGTCTCCTTAATATAACTTTGATATCTGTGCTTGAGCTCTGGAGATCCAAATTCCCTTAACGCCTTATGAGTAGCATCTTTGGCCACAGCTGCCCTAATGCTTCTTCTGTAAAGAGAGGGGCTGTTTTGGGCCTTGTGAACAGGGCGGTAGTTAGGAAACATGCAATTATCTGGATGCCGATTCCAGCCTGGATCACTGTTCCTCTTTCGAAGAAGGACATGATCTTCAGGGTAAGGATTGTCTTTATCATATTGGCACAAAGAGGATCGTTTGTTTCCTGTGTTGACACAAGCTTTCTCAACATAGCCATATTTCACCACAGATGTGGTTCCATGATTATCATTTGAACCACGCCCATCATAAGACCTTCTATAACTGGCTGGAGTGGAGGGAACAGACCAACTCCCAGCTGCAGGGACTGAATGCTCAGTAGGCCATTTTTGATGAGATCCCCAGTCACTGTAATGAGAATATGGTCCACTAAATCCAGAATGGAGCTTCCCAGGAATATAGCCTGACAGCTGTTCCACACTTCCATAGAGCGTGTCCCGGTTAGAATCTGGTGTGAGATATCTTGCATCATCTTGATTAGGAAGCTGGAAGTTGACAGTGTGTCTTGAGGAACACCTTGATGGTGGTGAACTTTGGCTAAGGGCCCCATGTCCATGTGGGGTCTTTGGCGAGTATTCAGGACTCTGGTTTGCAGGGGTGTGAGCAAACCCTCTGTGTGAATGTGGAAGGACATCCGGACACTGAAGCCTTGGTACGCTGTTCATGTTGTCTCCGAGTGAATCTTTGTCATCTACAGTTCTCACCTCCACATAGAGATGGAGAACTTTATCCACCTTTGACATGCTGGACACAAAGTCTGTCAAAATCATTCAGAGTTGTAACAGTTAACTAACTTTCATCTGAAGGACAGATCACTGGTCCAGAGCCTGAGAACAGAAAGAACAACGTTGTGAGTGGTACAATCATGCAGCTCAATGGTAACATTTACCCACTAACACTATCTTAAAGAGTTGTTTTGGAGATATTTAATATCTAATTTAAAAAAGGATGTTATGAATGCAAACAGTTGAGATGGTGCAGTACAACACGTGATTCGGAGTTATCTATTATTAGACTTGTTAAAGTAGCTTAGCCACAAGAGAAAGCTCCAGCCAGAGCATGGTGCTGTTGAGTCTGTGTTTCTAAAATATCCCACTGTGGTAAGAATAAAGGTTATCTTAAAGTAACACAACTTTAAAGAAAACATTCCCAATGACGGTCATAAAATTGTCAATATTATGCCATGCACTTCTGAAATTCAGCACAAGAGGGCTGCAAATCATTTGTGCAACATCCAACTGAACTGCAACAATAACCAATGAGGTTGTCATTGAAGTAATATTCAGTACAACCAAAAGGTTGTACTGTACATGCTAACATTGCAATAAAAGTATTTGTTTGTTCATTCACAAAAGCGATATTATTTATCCAATAATAATTGCTTTGCTGAGAGATGACACAGAGTATAGTGGCCCTGTACCTATAATAGCAAACCTATTGACACTAGGAAAAGGTAAGCATGAAATCAGTAGAAAATGTAAATATGGAAAAATGATCCAATCAGAAACATGCAACGCAATACAGCGTAAGAGTCAGTGGCAGCAGTGTAAGCAGGGGAGGATTGATCCATCAGATTTCAGAGAAGCTGTACGTTGTCTCCTGCAAAACTCAATGTGCGCGGTCACAGACTTACCTTTGCATGTCCTTGTAGTTGCCGCGGAAACCGCCTAGGCTCATGTGGCGGCTGCCCCATGTTTCTTCACAACGGTTGTAACCTTCTTCTCTCCTTGAGTTTTGTTTAGGCTCATCATGGAATTACACCTTAACATTTCCCTCCCACCACATAACTCCTCCCCTTTACACTAAATAAACCTCCAAAAACCCGCCCTCTCTCAGAACCAGCTAATCACGTCCTCCACAGGACAGTGTCTAAACAAGAACAGATGGCAGTGCGGCTTAACAAAAACAAACTGACCTGTTGATTCATTAGAACACATTATTCAAAATCAAAACAAGCCTGGTAGAAGAAGAGCCTTCTACCACTACATCCTTGTCTTTTGCCCCCAATTTTGGCTTATGATTTTTTTTGTATTTCAACCCTTCAAGTTTTCATGTCAAATAATAAAAAATACAAAGCATAAGCCCCTAGATGCTACGCTTGAAGCAAACATGTCAATCGGACCCTTGTTGAACATTTTGTTATCATTTATCATTAATTTATGTATTTATTAGGGAATACCCCATGAGATGAATCATCTCTTGTTCAAGGGGGTCCTCATTTTAAATCAACAGAATGACGTATAGGACAGATTATAATCTCTTGTGAGACAAGAGGCTGTTCAAATATCACTTTATAGCTTCAGACTTTTTTCATTGAATATTTATTGATCGGTTAAATCAAATCTTTCTTTGAAAAGGAATGTAAATAAATCAATTGTAGTATTTTTTTTTTTTCTGGCTGTGATTAGAGCTGTCGCCTCTTAGCAAGATGGTCCTGGATAAAACTCCAATGCAGCAGCACTTTCTGTGGAGTTTGCACATTCTCCCATGACAACGTAAGTTTCCTCCAGGTACTCCAGTTTCCCCTACTACTAAAAATGTATATAATAACTACAGATGGAAACTAACTTTGAGCCAATCCTGGTGTATTTGCAGCAGTAGGTCTTCATTAATGCACACTGCCCTCTTTCAAATATCACTGACAAGGTTCCGTGCCACTTGAGTTGAGTCCAAGATGTGGAGACACTGGTATGGCTGTGTTTTAAAGTCATAACTGTTTGTTATTTTTTTGTCTTGTCTTTATGTTTTAAATGGGACCTGGAGTCTGTAATAAGGTTTAAATGAAATTAATTTAAATAAAAATATGTATATGAATATGCTATTCATGAGTTAAAACTTCAAATTACTATGAAAACAATTCTGATTCGTAAATCTACAATTACTAATACTTAATCTGAAACCCATGATATCCACACGTCTGATTTGTTGCCGTCCTCGTGGCTCATCAACGCGTTTACGTCAAGAGAGAAGTTATGAATGTCTCTGGAGTCTAGAGGCTCTCGATCTCTCTCCTTGCTATTATTGAGCTGTCCATTCAGGTTTACAAACAAACAAACATCTAACTTCAAGTTTTTACACGTTAGACAAAACATGTCCATAGAACACCTATAACTCGAACCGCTGTGTGAGATGTGTGCATGGCTGCGTGTCTCTCGGGTTCCAATGCTCCTGCTAGTCCAAAGCATCATTTCTACCAACCAGACGTGCACTTACCAGATGGCACTATGGCCAGGATGGTTGCAGCTGTCGTAGAGAAGTGGACAGGTTCAGTTTTGTGATGACAGTGACCTCCCGTCGGTCCATTTCCTTCACACTCCACATCCACAAAGCGCAGTGGTCGGCTCGAAATAAGTGGTTCCGTGGTACATTTGTACACGGCCCGTTCACCTCTGTGGGCTCTGCTGCAGGTTATCACGCATTATTGCCCATTATTATAATATTTCATGGCTTTCTGTCTTGTTTTAAGTCACTTGATATCAGTTTACGTTCTCCACGGTGACAAGAACTTCCGCATTGAAGTGTGACGTAGTTCTGACGTAAGAATCACGCCCACATGTGGGCACTTTACAAAAATGTACTGATATAATTTATTCACATGACTTTTATATCAAGCATTGTTTAGCCAGAGGCATTCAAAATATTAATACATCCGTTTCAGTAAGGCACCGGGCAACTCAAACTGTGTAAGGAGAATATGTAAAAGTATATATTTGTGTATCCATCTATCTATCCGAAAACCAAAGAGGATGCTTAACTATAATATATTATGTTAAATGTAAAAAATAATACATCAATGCAATATTTAAAGTACATGCATGGATATACTTTCCCTTTTTTTCAACATATTTTGTAAAATGTGAAACCTGAAATTGTGAGACACGATTCTTTTCTGACAATGTTTGTTCAAATGCAGGTTAAAAACAGTTCTGTTTAGCTGTGCGCGCAACTGAAGGATTGGATTGTATATTATTTACTGTGATCATAATTGTTTATAACATTATAAAATATTATCCCTTTTAGTGCCTTGTGGGATTGTTTCTACCTTGTTTTGTTTAGCACTTTGAGTTGCCTTGAGTATGAACTGTTCTATCCAAATAAACTTGCCTTGACAAGAAGCTAAAGTCCAGGTTCAATGCAGCCTCCTGGACGTTAGATGGCAGCATCCGCTTCTTATCTGCGACCCTTCCCTTATTGCAAACCAAAACAAAAGCAGAAGAATACAGCTCGTTCACAAAGATCTGGTACGATACTAATTAAGTGCTTTTAATTCAGATGAAGACAGTAGCTAGTTGTAACTGTGCATGATAGTTAATATAATGTGCTTTGTAAATATACTCTTGATTCATAACTAGATATAGCTTAGTAGCTTGGCCACTATCGAACCCTGTTGTCTGCTGCATACATGGCTTATGATCATATGATATTTGGCTTATTGAATATTTATTTATATAATATTTATATTTATATACTCATCTAAATTCACAGTAATTCATATATGTTCTACTTTAAGGTAAATCACTCAACAGAGATGGGGGCCTTCACTTCTAGATCTAAGGTTTCATTACATGTCCTTTTTCTATTATGTGTTTCTGCTTTTGTTTTCATTGTTGACATATTTTTTCCATTTTGATTAGAAAAATCTAACTCGAACTGAGCAACTAGAGAACATGGACAAGGTACTGTTTTTTGCAGCTTTGTAGATCAAGAAGTATTATGTTATATTAACATATTTTGATATGTGAATGTCAAAATATGTTGATATAATTAATATGTTATTTTATTATTATAAATAAGAATACTGGATGAATTGAAATGGATGAATGTGTGTGTGTGTGTGTATATATATATGACTCATTTTACACCGTTTTATTTTGTATCATTTCATTGAAGGAAATTAAAGAGTTGATGGACTTTCAAGCGAAGAATCAACGCCTGCAGAGGGTAAGCCAGTCCCTCTGCACTTCCTAGCAAATTGTTTCTCCCTGAAGTGTTTATCAGTTACAGCTGCTAAGGCTTGTTTAAACTGTGCAGTACTTGTAGTTACTTTTGTAATTGTTTTTCTCAGCTTTGGGTGGGTAGACTGCTGGTCTACTCCTCTGTCCTCTACCTTCTCACTTCTCTCCTTGTCTACTGCGTATTTCTACCTGAACGCTGGATACAACGCTTCACTATGGCCATGCCCTTCTTTGCATATCCAGTTGTGTAAGTAACTCATGCCCCATACAGTATACTTTCTTATACATGGTCTTTGACTTCATTGATCTGTCATCATATCATTGGAACTGGTGAAGCTGTAATATTAACTGTAAATGTAACAGCCATCTTCCGAGATAACTTACAGTATTGTGGATTTTTGTGTCATTTTAAAACTATGATTTGTCAGAAGCTTCAAAAACGAAACTGCAGAAAAATCCAAAAACTTAAAATCAGGAGAAGGTGTAATCTCAATCGCTGTTTTCATGACATCTGTTTCTGTTATCTTTGTATTGTTGGACCCCATACAAAAGCTTGTGTAGCTTCCTCGGGTGTCCATTTATCTTTCTCAGTGTCCCAAAAAATTGATACAACTCAATGTATGAGTAAATGTGTGATATTGTGAATAAAGATGAACTGAAACTGAACTATGGGCACCACCAATGCTTCATAAATGATTATCACTGTAATCAACAGTGGCCACAATATATATTGATATGAATCTAAATATGTCCTCTCTTTTGTTTTGTTTGGATTTCAGAGTGTGGTTCATTCGGAAGCTCTTCATTTATCTGTTCTCCAAACGAACAGAATCCAACAGTAAGTGGTTAACTCCTCTCTACTTTTACATAATCTTGACATCTGGAAAACATAATGTGTTATGTTTTTACCAGATGATAAATTGGAAGAGTTAAAATTGTCCAAAAAGAAAATGGTAAGTTTTGTATTGTTAAAGGGTTTTTTGGTGTTATTATTTGATTCATAACAATTTGGTTTGTTGGTAAAGCTTGAAGAGGTGATGGAAACGGAGACATACAAAAAGGCCAAACAGATCCTGGAGCAGTTTGATCCAGATGCTGTCAAAAAACAAGTACACGCTCTTTATCTGCACTTCATCTTCTCATTATCTGCATTTGAATTGAATGTTAATAATTATTTCACACAGCCTCAACTATCCCCTCGACCATCACCTGGCACAGGTATAACCTCGCAGTGACACAGTGTATTGTAAAAAGGGGTGTTTATTATTTTGTGGTATTCCCAGAGCTGCGGCTGAGGGGCGTTCCCATGGGCTCAGCTGTGACTGCGGGTAAGACAAAAACATTTATAATAAAAATTTACCATTTGAGCGACGAAAGTTTATATTATTAACACACTTTTTCTATTATATCAGAAGTTTGCAAGTGTATGTTTATATATTACTGTTCTTGCCCAGGGATGAGAGAGCTGATCTTATAACCCTTATTATTTTATTGAGCTTGTCTTTTTGTAAGCTCCAGGAGGGCCCCCAGAGAGGTTGGCTCTGTCCTCCCCTCTCATCCAAGGACCACTTCCAGGGCCTATCTTCACTGCCAGAGCAGGAGGTACAGTGCTTAAGTAACCTGGTTGTCAAAACTTTGATTGTATTATTGAATGTGAATTCATGCAGCTTTAAAATATTGTGTCCAACATAGGTTTGCATCCTCCTGGGCCTCCTCTTAGCCGCCCCATTTTGCCCCAAGAACGGGGTGCATTTGACAGAGTGGTGGAGTACCTAGTGGGAGACGGTCCACAGAATAGGTATACACGAGAGGTCAATTTGATTTTGCTTATTTTGGAAAGTTTTTCCACCAAGATCTCTTTTTGTCCAATAGATATGCACTAATATGTAAGCAATGCTTTTCCCACAATGGAATGGCCCTAAAAGAAGAATTTGAATTTTTGGGTAAGAGTTTATTCTCAAAAAGAGATCACTGCGACATTTCAAGCTTGTTAAAGGATTTCAGTCCATTATTGTGCCATTCATTGCAGCTTACCGCTGTGCATATTGTTACTTCTTGAATCCTGCAAGGAAGACACGCCCTCAGGCCCCTAGGCTTCCAGAGTTTAGCTATGAGCGGAGACTGAGAGCAGAGGGGTCGCCCTCTCGTGGCAATACTCCTTCAATTGCAGGTTTGGAATCACTACCTTTTCTAAAAATGAAAACCTTTCACTGCTCAGCACAAGGGGTCACATCAGTGTAATCAAACTCAATGCAGAATGTAATTGTAGAAATCACCAGAAGTTAACAAGCAGAACTAAGATACCCTTTTGGACTTATTTAGTCTTTATTTTGTAAATGTCCTTTATTGTTCATCCTCTTGAGGCTCATGTTTTTTTACAGATGAAGATGAGATGGAAGAAGGAACAGTCAGTGCCAATGAAATGAGCGACAGCGAGACAGAGGTTAAATTGGTAGAAGAGTCTGGAACGAGTAGCTTAACCCAGACCGAACCCTCACTGGAACCGTCTGGACCAGAGACTGTAGAGTAGTCCGTCCATACTGGACCATGCACAACGTGTGTTTCTACACTCCTGGTGTGGAAGTTGCTCTTACTGAAAATGTCTGCCAATGTAACTGCTCTAGACTGTAATTTTCACTGTTCATTTAGTAGCAGAAGTGTGTCTGTTCTACAAGAATTATCATTGACATTTATAAATACTGAGGGATCTTATCTTGAAATGGATTTCTACTTCCACTAAAAAGGGGGACCCAAAACTTTAAAATGTTCCTATGGAACCCTATATGAATATGTGGTTACTTGGAGTAAATTACATTACCCTACAGTGTTGTTGCCATTGAACTCTTGCCATTGAACTCTTAACATCGAACACTGCATTGTGTTTAAAGACAAGGTATATTATTTTTTGGTTCTTTTGAAAGACAAGTTCGATGACTTTGTTAACATGTTTCAGCTGTGAGCTGTGTGTTTCAGCTGCACTCCAATGTTTATTCTTGGGTGCATACATAACAGGAAGGCCACTTTTAATGACTATTTATTTGAGTGACTATTTATTTTTATTATTATGTTGTAGTGATTTTTTTTTTTTTTTTTTATGATACTGTTTTGCAGTCTTTTTCATTCATAATAACCTTTCTCCCTTCTTGCCTCATAGAATCCCAATACAAATGTGAGTTTATGAAATTAAGATGCTTGTATATGTCTGGAATAGGTATTTATTTTGTTTTTGTTCTACATCCGCACCAAAATGTTTACATCAAAAACAATGCTTGTGCTTGAGAGAAAAAAATACAAAAACAAAAGAATAAAAACATGTCATCACAGAAGCTGGAATCTCTTTGGGGTGGGGTCAGGGGTCACTCTGCATGTTAAGCTCGATCAGTCTCCCCGCGAACACAGCCATTGTCCCAATGATGCACACGGCCATGAAGACACACAGCAGAATGTGGTCCAGGACCATGGCAACAAACTTCCACTCTTCTGCAGCCTGCAAAGATCACACTTAATGACAGTCAGTCCAGAGTCCAATCCACAAACTGAATATGCAGCTGATGAAGTTGGGGAGTTTTAGCATGTGGTTGATTGAGGCATGTTTTAAAAAAATATATCAATTAAGACCCCAGGGAGGGAGATGCATAATTTATCATAAGACATGGCATAAAATGACTTATTTTACTCCACTAAATCATGGTGCAAAATAGTAGTTATAAAATATAAAGCGTTTTAGCCCCGTTTATTACACAATTGCTGTCATTAGCACATAAAGTGGCAGTAGTCTATGGCAAATTCCGGAACTTTTAAGAGTTTTGAAAAATGTACAACGACCAATCCTAACCGTAACCATAACGATTTCCAACCAAGGGCTAAACTTAACCGGGCACACTGGAACACTGTTCTTTTTCAATGACCACTTCTGACCAGATAAACTAATCACTCGCTCCTACTGGTAGTGAAGTCTCTAACTAGAGTCTCTTCCTCTGTGCTTAATTCAGTTTTATTCGGAGGCCAATTTGCGGCCAGGCGAGTGTGAGGGCACAGGGTGTTAGTGAATAGTGAATAGTGTGCTCACATTGTTGGACTCCTCATCAGACTTCATGGTCTCAGCAATATACTTGACCCCCTCAATAGCACTGCGGACATCAGGATTCTTTGTGATGGGAGACTGGTAGGTGATGCTGGTGGGCGTGGGGTTACCTGTACATGAGAGAGAGTCAGCCAGATGTACTACTGCATACAATTGTGCTCAGATGTTTACATGCACTGGCAAGATTGTATTATTGGTACAATTTTTTGAGAAAACAATTGATAATGCTAAACTATGTGGTTGTACAGCATAAAAAATATATCCCAATGCCAACAGAAACTTGCCAGATCGACCCACACGTGTCACAAAGTATAACCCAAATGACAATGATCCAAACATTACATATAATGGATCTTGTTTGGCTATTTTTTCTAAATGTATACAGCTCAGTCAACTGTGAGAGTTGGTGCGTCGGCAGAGGGCAAAGAAAAGAAAAAAGCAGCAAAGAGAACGCATGCAGCCTCATCAGGGAAAGAGCTGATCTACTTCATTTGAAGTGATGTTTGTTTGTGCTTCCTGTTGGTGTCTTCTCTACTTCACTAATAAACACACACATAATAAACACACCCACCATTGCATGTAACTGGCGCTAAGGTTACCATGACAACTCAAGTTATAGCTGAGTATAACTGACGCTTTGGTTGCCATGACAACTCAGATCATTTTTTGCTGCCGTTTAAGTTTGCTTCTCAAAGAATAAGTTGAGAAGTATTTTAAAGTATGCTGCTATAAAGAGACGTTTTTGCAGCTTGGAAAGAGTGTTATTCTACGATTGGTCTACTAAGGCGCACACGGTAACCTTTTTATTTCATTGTGTCTTTTATTTTGAGACCTGATTCTTATTGTGGGAGTTACTGTATGGAAATTTACTCTTCTCCTTTATCTTTGTAGTTTTCACGGTGTTCCAAATGCCTGTATGAAATTAAATGCTGCTGGACATCAGTCGAGGCGTTAAGTCCTTTATTTTCGGAGATCAACGTAGTTACAGTGAAAACGTATACCTGCCGACGACACTACATCGCCGGCTGTGTTCAACGGAGCTGAGTCAACGGTCAGGACGGCACTTCACTCTGCATCCACACGGGGGAGCCAGAATCTCTCCTCGCCCATCGCCAAGCTTCTGGAGCAAGCCAATTGTGTAAAGTATAATGAAAGTATGAAAATCAGCCCCAGATAACAAGTAAGAGAAAGAAAGAAACAAAAATAAATAAGTAAAAGAGGAATACAATTCAAAATGACTACTCAAGACAACGAACCATTGTTTCCAAAAGATACTGAACAAGATGATACACATCCAAGAAAATCCTCCAGAGAAAGGCAGTTTACACTTAAAATGCAAGAACTAAAAGTCCAAGAAATAAGTCAAAAGGAGAAAAGATTTATTTCAATGTATGAAAAGTGGAAAATTAAAGTAAGAGACATTCGCACAACATTAAAGGAACAGTGCTCTGAAAGGGATTTGTGTATAATGATGGATGAAGCTGAGATGTTGAATTCTGACTTGAAAAAGCTTTATGATGACATTAGACAGCAAACAGTTCCAACTCAAGAAATCAGAAGGAAAGTTGATGCATGCTCTGCCATCACATATGATTTGTTACACTTAATGAATGTGAGGCTAACTGTTATAACAGAAGATTTTGATCTTGAGGCAGAAAGAGCAAAGTTACGTGCTCTCTTAGACAATGACTATGCCAGATCTATTTATGGGTCTACTGTTTCCAAAGTTTCAACACATAGTCATCGATCTGGACAGCCATCAGAAACAGCAAGCATCTCAAGCAAAAAAGCAGAGATTGCAGCACAGTTGGCTGCAAAGAAAGCTGAAAATGACATGGAAGATGCCATTGAAGCTCAGCGTCAACAACTTAAGAAACTTGAAAATAAAAGAGACATTGAGGTAATGGAAGCTAAGTTGAGGGCATATACTGAGGAAGAGATAAAACAAAGGGGCGAGAGCTGCAGTTCTGTACACAGCAAAGTCACCCCGAGTTTGTTCACCTCTCATGTTAAATGTGAACAGCCAGTCACCCAAAATGAAACGCTGGTACAGGCATTTCAAGAATCAGTAGCACTAACTAGACTACCTGTTCCAGAGCCCAGCGTGTTTACAGGTGATCCTTTACAGTTTATAGAGTGGAGCACCAGCTTTAAGGCTCTAATAGAAAGGCGATGCTCAAATCCTGCAGACAGACTTTTTTACTTGCAAAAGTACATAGCAGGCGAAGCTAAATCTACTCTAGAAGGCTGCTTCTATCGTAAAGATGAAGACGCTTATAAACAAGCATGGGAAAGGCTAAACGATAGATATGGGCATTCATTTGTAGTACAGCAAGCCTTCAGAGAGAAACTCTATAAGTGGCCAAAGATTGGTGGAAAGGAGTATGTAAAGCTTAGAGAGTACAGTGATTTTCTTCAAACGTGCAGTCATGCTATGCCTCATATTAAAGGTCTACAAGTTCTAAATGACTGTGAGGAGAATCAGAAAATGCTAAACAAACTCCCAGATTGGATAACATCCAGGTGGAATCGTTTGGTCACTGAACAACTGGATAAAAGTAAAGATTATCCAAGCTTCCAAGAGTTTTCCTCCTTTATTTCCAAGGAGGCACGCATAGCTTGTAATCCTGTGTCATCTCTGCTCGCTCTCAAGCCACCTGCAGAACCAATTAGAGAAACAAAACGTGCAAGGGCAAACACCTTTGTTACTAATGTAAAGACGTCTAATATTTCCAGCCCTGCATTCAAGTCTAACAAAGAACAAGTCAAATCAAAGGACACGGACAATCAAAATAGAAATGATGTCCCTGCGTGTATCTGCTGTGGAGAGAATCACACCATACACAAGTGCCCATGGCTTACTGAAATGTCTGCAGATGGAAAGAAAAGGTACGTAATGGAAAACAAACTGTGTTTTGCATGTTTGAGAAAGGGCCATAATTCAAAAGATTGTAAAAACCGAGCAATGTGCGGAATTTGCAAAAGGAGCCATCCAACCCCCTTGCATGAGGACCGCTCTTTTTCCGGCAAACAACCTGCACTGAGCACAGTTGATGAAAACACTTGCTCATTATCCTGCTCAATGGGAGAAGGTGAAAATGGAAGCACTTCAATGATAGTTCCTGTGTGGATAACTTCAGTTAATGCTCCTGACAGTGAAACTTTGGTATATGCACTACTAGATACACAAAGCACACACACATTTGTTGATCAAGAGGTGTGTGAAAGACTGCAGGTAGCAACAGAACCAGTCAAACTAAAACTTGCCACTATGGTCAAAAGAGACTCTATTATAGAAAGTCAAAGAGTACAAGGACTCAAGATCAGAGGATACTATTCAAACACATGCATTGAGCTTCCCCAGCTTACACAAGAGACTTCATTCCACTCGAGCGTTCTCATATTCCTACATGTCAAACAGCAAACAAATGGCCACACCTTGCTAATTTAGCTGAAAAGATGCCCCCTCTAATGAACTGTGCTGTTGGACTTTTGATAGGTTACGATTGCTCCAGGGCATTAGCTCCCAGAGAGGTCATCACTGGTGGTGACAATGAGCCTTATGCTGTAAGAACTGACTTAGGTTGGAGCATTGTTGGAGGTGCACCTCATCTTGCGAACGCTAGTAATGTAACTGGATTTTGCAATCGTGTGTGTGTTAAAGAAATTCCAACTTTAACTCCCTCCGCTATTATTAAAGTACTGGAGTCAGATTTTGCAGACACTAAAGAAAGTCACAGTGACGTCTCCCAAGAGGATATCCAGTTTCTTCAAACTCTAAGCAGCAAAATCAAACAAAATGAGCATGGTCATCTTGAGATGCCCTGCCCTTTAAAGCACGCCCACAGCTCCCGAACAACAAATCTCTGGCTCAAGTTCGTTTAAAGCACCTCAAAAGGAAACTAGACAGAGACCCAAAGTTTAAAAGTGACTATGTTAAGTTCATGGAAGGAGTCCTCAGAGATGGTGATGCTGAGAAGGCAGACGTGCAGCCAACGTCTGAAACCGCCTGGTACATACCACACCACGGCGTTTATCACCCCCGCAAGCCAGACAAAATCAGGGTGGTTTTTGACTGCTCAGCCAAGTTCAAAGGAACAGCATTAAACGACCACTTACTAACAGGACCTGATCTTACAAACGGCCTCACAGGAGTGCTATGCCGTTTTCGTAAGCACAACGTTGCAGTCATGTGTGACGTGGAAAAGATGTTTCACAGGTTCCATGTTAGAATAGAGGACAGAGACTATTTGCGGTTTCTTTGGTGGGAAAATGGGGACACAGAGTCGGAGCCCACAGAATACCGAATGAAAGTTCACTTGTTCGGTGCGTCCTCATCTCCTGGCTGTGCCAATTATGGCATGAAATATTTAGCCAATGAAAATGAAAGAGAGTATCCATCTGCCGCAAACTTTGTCAAAAAACATTTCTACGTGGATGACGGTCTCACAAGTGTAGAGACAGTTGAGGAAGCAATCAAGCTGGTGAAAGAGGCCCAAGCGTTGTGTGCAAAGGGAAAGCTCCACCTTCATAAGTTCCTATCAAATAACAGGGAGGTTCTGGACTCTATTAATGCTAAAGAACGAGCTGTGGAGATAAAAGACATTGACCTTAACTGCAAAGACCTACCAGTACAAAGAGTTCTAGGCATAAGATGGGATATTAGAAATGACAATCTTTTCTTTCAAGTGACACTTGATGAGAAACCTATAACGAGAAGGGGTATTCTGTCAGTTGTGGCATCCCTTTATGATCCTCTAGGGTTCCTAGCACCTTTCATTCTTGAAGGAAAGAAAGTGTTACAAGAGATGTGTCAAAAGGGTGTCGGGTGGGACGATCCACTTCCTGCTGAGCTAAGATTGAGGTGGGAAGGCTGGATTAGTGATCTGGAAAATCTCAAGTTGATTCAGATCCCCCGATGCTTTAAGCCTGTTGAATTTGGTGAAGTACAGAGGGTTGAGCTTCATCATTTTTCAGATGCAAGCAGTCAAGGATACGGTCAGTGCTCTTACATCAGATTAGTGGGTGATCACAAGGTACACTGCACACTAGTCATGGGCAAAGCGAGGGTGGCACCAACCAAAATAGTTACCATCCCAAGATTAGAACTGACTGCTGCAGTATCTTCAGCCGCTGTAAGCAGCATGCTGAAAAGAGAGTTAGAACTTAAAGTTGACAGAGAGTATTTTTGGACAGATTCAAAGGTAGTACTGGGTTATATCAATAATGAGGCTAAAAGATTTCACGTCTTTGTAGCTAATCGGGTCCAAAGAATCCGTGAGACCACTAACCCTCAGCAATGGTACTACATAGACACAAGCGAAAACCCAGCCGACCACGCCTCTAGAGGCTTGAAAGTCACAGACCTTATCCACTCAAATTGGTTCACTGGGCCCACATTCTTATGGAACAATGAGATTGTCACAGATCAAAGCACGTCTGAGCTTATGGTGGGAGATCCGGAAATCAAAACAATACAAGTGCTACAAACCAAAGCTACGCTACAGTGCAACGTCAAAGAGCTCCTGTCACGATTCTCAAAATGGACTACTGCAATAAATGTCATTGCTCGAATCCAACGCATGGCTAAAGGACTAAAAACGGCAGAACCACCAAATGTAGGAGAAAGACAACATGCAACATTAACTCTTGTCAAGCTTGCACAACAAGAGGCATTTCAAAAGGACATGAGCAATCTCAGTCAATCACAAAGGTTGCCTCACAATCACAGACTGTATGAACTGGATCCATTTCTGCAAAATGGTGTAATGAGAGTTGGAGGTAGGCTTAAAAATGCCTCTTCACATTTTGAGTTGAGACATCCAGTAATACTACCTAAAGACTGTACTTTAACAAATCTCATTATTGCACACTTCCATGAAAAGACCCAGCATCAAGGCAGAGGCCAAACCTTGAATGAGATCAGAGCAAACGGCTTCTGGATTGTTGGAGGAAGTAAAGCAGTAGCGCAGTACATCAGACAATGTGTATGGTGCAGGAGAGTTCGTGCCCCACTAGAGCAACAGAGAATGGCAGATCTACCTAGCGACCGCACTGATCCATCGCCACCATTCACTTATTGTGGCATGGACTGCTTTGGCCCCTTTTACACCAAACAATGTCGAAAGGTATGCAAGCGGTACGGCCTTCTGTTCACGTGTCTGAGCTCTAGAGCAATTCATCTTGAGATGTTAGAGGACATGACAACTGATGCGTTCATCAACGCCCTAAGATGCTTTATAGCTATTCGTGGATCTGTGAGACAGATCAGATCAGATCAAGGATCGAACTTCAAAGGAGCAAAAAATGAACTGACAAAGGCTCTTAATGAAATGGACAAAGACAGAGTCAAATCTTACCTGGCAGAAAAGCAATGTGACTTTCTCATGAACGCACCAAGCTCAAGTCACGCTGGAGGAGCATGGGAGCGACAAATCAGGACAGTGAGGAGCGTGCTGAGTCAAGTTCTTTCCCAAAGTGCTGAAAGGCTGAATGATGCATCCTTAAGAACTTTTCTTTATGAAGCAATGTACATTGTCAACAGCCGCCCACTTACAGTCAATTGTCTAAATGACCCCACAAGTTTAGAGCCCATAACACCTAACCATCTTATCACCATGAAAGGTTCTGTACCACTTCCCCTACCTGGCAACTTCGTTAGGGAAGATGTGTATGCAAAGAAACGCTGGAGAAGAGTCCAATACCTGTCTGAACAGTTTTGGAGCAGGTGGAGGAGAGAATATCTTTCCAACATAACACTAAGACAGCGTTGGCATGCATCAAAACGTAATGTGAGAGTTGGTGATATTGTCATTGTTAAAGATGAGAACATTCCTCGTAATGAATGGACACTTGGTAAAGTTATTGAAGTACATGAGGGTGATGATGGACTGGTGAGAAAGGTAACTTTACAAATCGGAGACAAAAAACTGGGAAGAAAAGGTGAACGCTTACATAAGCCTACTCTTATACAAAGACCTATTCAAAAGTTGGTTGTACTTGTTGAGAGTAATTAAATGGTATCAGACCTATGTTTCTTACATTGTTATTGTTGAAATGTTATTTTTGTTTTGTTTTTGGAAATTACCCTTGATGTTTGTTTAATGTATAAAGTATAACATCGTCATTATTATAAAGGTAATTTGGTGGGAGTGTAACTGGCGCTAAGGTTACCATGACAACTCAAGTTATAGCTGAGTATAACTGACGCTTTGGTTGCCATGACAACTCAGATCATTTTTTGCTGCCGTTTAAGTTTGCTTCTCAAAGAATAAGTTGAGAAGTATTTTAAAGTATGCTGCTATAAAGAGACGTTTTTGCAGCTTGGAAAGAGTGTTATTCTACGATTGGTCTACTAAGGCGCACACGGTAACCTTTTTATTTCATTGTGTCTTTTATTTTGAGACCTGATTCTTATTGTGGGAGTTACTGTATGGAAATTTACTCTTCTCCTTTATCTTTGTAGTTTTCACGGTGTTCCAAATGCCTGTATGAAATTAAATGCTGCTGGACATCAGTCGAGGCGTTAAGTCCTTTATTTTCGGAGATCAACGTAGTTACATTGCAGCAGCAGATAAATAGCTCCAGCAGTACCTACACATGCATTAGGAGTATATTTACTATGACCAGTGCATAAAACAAAGCTGTATGCCTCCGTCTACAGCTCTAATTTTAGCAGTATGGCGATTTATTTTGTAAGGAGGAGGCTGTGAGCATCTCTAAAGTGTCTTATGCTTACTAATGTGTGTAAGTTCACAGGTTTTTGGAGTATGGTCCCAAATGAATTTAGTTAAAAACTCATTCTGGACAATAAAGAATAAATACACTCCCAGGGAACAGTATTTAATATTATGAGCACAACTGTGTACAATAATCAGATTTTCAACCCAAAGTTTCTGCTTGTTTGCGCCTGCTCTGCACCAACAGCACAGAAGTATGGTCTTTATCATCATAAATTCATAGATTTAAGAGTCTAAAATTCAACTAAGACCCTCTACAAGAACCAGTAGTCATCGTGGGGACGTATGGTGAGTTTTAATCCTGTAAAGTCATACCTGATATGTCTGATATGTCCATGTCCGTTGGAAAGAGCCTTTTCTGCCGGATCTCTTGACTGGGACGCTTCATAGTGGAGAAAAACATCAGGTTGGGGAGTGTCTCTATGAAGACCTGCATGGATTCATAGAGGGGAAGTTACATAATGCTAATGTGCATTTAAAAATCCTGCTACTTTGGGAATCTTCATGTGAAAAATAATTACTGTAGTCTAACATGCTAGAGGTTTTGAGTGAAGGAAAAACCTTTCGTATCCAGTTGGGCATGGTGTGGGTGCTGGGCGAGCGGTGGTGTGTGTTGATGACGATGACAGTGATGATGATGGAGGCGATGACAAAGACCATTGTAAAGAGCATGTATTTGCCTATCAGTGGCACTGCGCTGGAGGTGGACGGGATGAGCTCCACAATGACCAGCAAGAAAACAGTGAGAGACAGAAGGACAGAGATGGACAGGGTCATCTTCTCTCCTGCAACACACACAATCCATACATTTAGACTCAAGACAATGTGGGAGGAGTGTCTTTCCAAAGGACACAACAACAGTTTGACACTTCACACTTCTGGTCTTATTTTCTGAAGACCAGATCAGGCTTATTACATGCAGGATGTGTAGTAGGTAGTATAGACATGTGTTGCTTGTGATGCCAAATAGTTTTCTAGGAGGAACTTCATATGAACAGTTTAATAAATACTCCACAATTTTTAGTTACACATATATCAGATGATGAAATATTAACGATTTAACAGTCATAGGTAGGGCTTATTAAATGTTTGGTACATTGTCATAATTGTATTTGTTTCAATGCATTGTTTTGTAAAGCACATACCAGAGTCAGTGGGCAGGTAGAAGACCAGGCCAGTGAGAAAGGAGAAAAGCATACAGGGGATAATGACGTTAACAACAAAGTAGAGAGGCAGACGCAGCATGAGGAAGTGGTATGTGATGTCGAGGTACGGTGTGTCGGGGCAGCATGTGTAGAACACGTAGTGCTTCCAGCTGCGGTAGTCCTTCAGCACCCACTCTCCAGACTCCATGAAGTTGCTCAGATCAGGGCGGTCACTGTCCTGGACATGCATGACAAACACATTCTCTCATTACACACTATACTGTATAATAATCATAAGAACATGAAAACACCAATTTTTAATATAAAGGAAGATTCAGTGTGCCCCAGGGCAGCTGTGGCTACAGTAGTAGTTTATCACCACCGTGTATGGAGTGATTGTGAATGAATAATGACATGGAAAGTGTCTTTGAGTGTCCAAAAAAGCGCTATATAAAACCAATGCATTATTATTATTATTATTGTTATTAAGATTCAGTTATCTATGTGTGTGTGTGTGTGTGTGTGTGTGTGTGTGTGTGTGTGTCAAACTGTGAATGATGCATGAGACTGGCTGATGAGGCTTTATGATGTGGTGAGTGGACGGAGGTTGAGACGTGGTCCTGCACACACCATTGGGAGCTACTGTACATAACTGTGCAAATGTTTTTCACTGTTTTTACATTTAGCAATTTTTTTATCCAGCACGCTAGCCCAGACTACAGGGATGGGCGGCCTTATTTGAAACTTTCCTGCACACACCATGCCATGTGAAGTTTTTACATGAAAACACCTCTCACCGGATTGATGATTACCAGCCGACCGTCATAGGTCCATGTTCCCAGCTTCATGCTGCAATTCTGAAGATCAAATGGAAAGTGAAGCACAATAATCTCACAATAGCTCTTGAAGATTGCTGGAGGGTTCCACGTGATCATCCCGTTGTGCTCTAACAAGACCTTGGTCTCATGAATGATGGCAAAGTCTCCATCAGCACTTCAAAACAGAGATAAATACACATTAGAATGAGACAAAACCTTCTTTGCATATACAGTATCTCCTAATTAACTAGTCAAACATATAGAAATAAACCTTTCATTTCCATATTACCTCTAGTCAAGAAGCAACTAACTACATTTTTTTTTTCTACACAAAAACATTGCTACCAAGGCAACCATTCTTTAAGTTTGCACATTCACCAAATGTCTCACTTGTTGTAAAGCACCAGGTCTGGTTTCCAAATGTCGGTGGACGGCACACGGATCTTCTTAATCCCTCCATAATCATCAGGGTTCCACTGTAGATTTACATCTATCCATTGCTGCAGAGTTTACAGAGTTTTAGAATAGGAATGTAGGCTGGTAATTTTATAATATGTAAATAGTGTTTCCTCCAGGTATTGCCTCCAATCTCGTGGTTGTATATGCAACACTTATTTGTCTTCAAAAGGATCTCAACTCAACATGAATTCAACACATCACTCTAGCGTTAGAAGTGGGTACTACATTCTGAGACCATTCTTAAATCATGTTCTCCATACATTTTCTTTCTTAAACATGAAATGCCAATGAAAAGGTCTCATCATCATGTTTAAGGGACAGAACAATACATAATATTTCCTTAAAAGGGGATACCAGTAAAATCAAAAAGGCTAAACAAGATGTTGACCTTGAGCTTGGAAACACGGTCTTATATAAGTGACACCAAACCCTCATAAATATTATTTTTAATGTTATGACAAAACAACATAGATCCAACTAAAAATGTATGAAAAATGATTAAAGGAGGAATGGGTCTGACCTGTCGTAAGCGGACATTACTGGTCACAATCTGGTTCACTTCATCCTGCGACAGAAAGAGTATTAGGCAGGCAGTGTGTGTGTATGATAATGGGGAAAGAGTGAGACTGTGCCTACCACACTGATGAGCTGGATGAGCTGCAGACCCACAGTCACCACCACCGCATCACTGAAGTGGTTCACTGGCCGCACAACCTTATTGTACCCAGTAAACAGCTTCTTCACCAGCCGTGTCTCATCGAAGGAGCTCACAACTGGACCTGCAACCAGACACCTCACATTAAGAGTCTGTTTCTATTGCTTGCATAGTCTTGATGTAATTTGGTCCTGTTCTGACCCTGGTTATGTCCCGGTGTTCAGACAATAGCTACTACGATTGTGCCAATATGTGATATGTTTGCCCTTTGGGATTATAAACTAAAATTAACAATGCATAAATGAAAGCATTGAGAACAAGAAGGATCTTCGTAGGTTTCCATTCCAAAAGTAAATAAAGTTATCCTTCCTATTGGAATCACAGTAGACACAAATATTGGTCAGAACAAGGTCTCATCTCCTAAGGCTTACCATTTTTTAAATATTATATTTTTACATTCATGTTCAGACTACAATATTTAATATTTTTAATGATATAATACTTGAATAATTGATAGGGCAAGAAGTGTTAATGGAGGACAATGGATGGACAATATTGCACTACTATTATTTTACTATATTATTTCTTTATTGTTTAATGCATTGTTCATCATCCACTGCTGCCTTAAGTTAGTAGTGAGACCAATGTAGGCAAGGGGACTCATAAAATTTTTGAAAAATTGATAAAAAAAATGGTCTACACCTGTCTCTATCTGAATTATAAACATGTACGTAAGCATCGTAGACTGTATACAGATATATATAGGTTGTCGGAATAGTGTATTTTTAAACTTATTTGACTACAGGTCTATCCCATCACTCTAGCACAGACCTGGGCAAAGTGTGGCCCGGGGGCCATTTCCGGCCAATTCACATGTCAATGCAAATCCTAACCTCAAACCGGTCTGTTGCTTATTTCAAAGAAACAGAAGTCACTACACAATGAAGGCTTGTATTAATATGTGCTGCCGTGGGCCTACATTTATTCTAATCTATGAACCCAAAAACACCACAAACACAAAGAAAACATTGGATAGCTTCCTGTAAATAAATAAATAAATATATATTTTTTGTTAACATTCAAATATTGAAGTCGCGTTTTGCTAAATTAAATTAAAAATGAACCCTGTGAAAACAGGTCCATCCCTCCACAAAAGGGCAGTATCCCAATGTGGTCCCCCCAAAGAAATTATCTACCCAACCCTGCCCTGGCAAATTGATCCAACGAACCACTGAAAGAAACAAGAAATGTGTGTGTTGTTAAAAGGACCAAGCGACTCCTATTTCCTTTGTCCGGTGTCAGAGCAAGTTTGACATCACTTCTGCTCAAACACGTGTGCGTAGATCCTGTGCAGGGTCTCAAGTAACTGCGCAGCGTGCCCAGAGTATGGCCCAGAGTATGGCCCAGAGCGGACACAAATAGAGTGAGGCGGGACCTGGACACTTGCAGCTGTCCATCACACCCTCCAAAATACAAACAAACTGCCCTCTCGCTCTGTTCAAGGGGCAAATCCAGAAACTCAAGCTCACCGCGAAGGATCTGTCACATTTATCTGTGACAAAATGACCAAGACTTGAAGCATTTTATTATCGCTCTGGCTGATGAGAGAGTGCGACTGCGCTGAAAGGTGTGACAACATGGGCTGATGCAGAACGAACCCAGAGCGGAGAAAAAGATAAATACACATTTGGAACATTATTTCATCTTCTTTTTTTCTGTTATATTAAACAGCCATAGGCCTAAGCAGCCATAAGACAAAGATCTATAGCCCACTTTCATATAATTTCACAGAACGTTGTAGCCTCCATGTCATGGTGAGTATAATAAAAAATGCAGTCAGGCGCATGTTTTTGGCTCAAAGGCCCTAGGACCGAATCAATCAATTTGTTCTCTAAAAATATCTATTTCTCTGCCTTTGCTTCAAAAAGTGATTAAAAGGACTTACCAACAAAAAGGCTTCCAACCCATGTTATGAGGATCTGAAAGTGGAATAGCTTCATATCTTCACTACAGCTCCAGCAACTATAGACATGTGTATTTCTCTTTGGCAAAGCTGTGGAAGAACAAGCATGCAGTGTGAAAGGGGCTCATGCTCAAGACCAGACCACTCCCACAGTGAGATACGGGACAGTCGACACCGGAGGACTCAGTCCACTCATACGGTCCCTCCAGGGAACCTGTGTCCTCTGCTTGCGTCTCAACAGAATAGAGTGAGGGACCGTGCTGCATACCTTGACATTTTTCCCATATTTTAAAGACTTGGTACAGTGACAGGCCAGACACAGGGCAGTGTGAACAGCTGAATGCTGTCAATAGAGCCACAGCCTCACAGTGACTGAGGGACAGAGCTGGACAGCTGGTCTATGGTCAAAATGAAAGGACTAAGTTGTCCAGCACAATTGACTGGTGTGTACTGGTTGTACTTCTTATTCTGGTGGAACATGTGCTCCTCCACCCTAAAAACACAAAGAAACTAAATGTTTAAGCCAATGTTGGCATCGACTAAACAAGTTGGTCATAAAGGTATCAGTTGGTTGTGGGCCAACCGGCTTGACACATACTGTATATCGGTCAGAATGCTGTACAAATAGCATCAACAGCACCAAAGTACCTGCATATTATTCACCTTGACAAGTTGCATGTTTACTGTGGCACCACCTACATGTGAAAATCTGATCCCATCAGACCCCCAGAAACTATACAGAGAAGGACTTGGTTGTCACTGTGATGGGAGACCTATGGGATCACTGTGTGCCACAGTGGGGCAGTGTCCTGAGGCAAGACACTTCCTAGTATGAGTCTGGTGTGTGCGTGTGTGTGTGTGTGTGTGTGTGTGTGTGTGTGTGTGTGTCTGAATGATAGGTGGTAGTGTGCCAGGAAGATTGACCAAGTTAGATTTTTTTATTTTGGTGGTTTAAATGAACGTTTGAACTGTAAAAGCACCACAAACATATGTACAAAAACGTATGATTCAATTTAATCAAAGATGCAAAAATACAGTACAATATTATTGGTTAAATCACTACAGTACTATATAAACATAGTACCATAAACACATGCACGCACACTCGCATACATCTCATGGCTTTTCCAAAAAGGATAATACAAACTGTGGAAGAAAAAAAAGTGCAATAAATCTTATCCACTGAGAAGTTGATTCTGGATGGTTCCAAGCTGATTTCAGATACTGGTACCGTGCTTCGACAGCACTAAGTAAAAGTGTTTACCCGTCAAATGCATGGATGTATTTGGAACAGATGTTAGCGCTTTCTCCTTCCGCCTGACTGACTTTTGTATGGCTACTCCGCTGTTTTTGTGAAGCCTAAAATAATATGTAATTGGTAATTTCTCGCCCAACTATTAAAGTTTTATCAGAACCGGTTTCAGCACCAGAAAACGATGGAAAACTGTACCAGCCTAGAGCTGACACCAGAACCTGTTTGGTGAAAAAAAGCATTAAGCAAGAACCTCTCCAGAGGTTCTGTTAAATAGTGGGGGAACAGAAAAGCTGTGATGTTTTTCAGTCCAGTTGTAATCCGACCTATGGTGCCGAGGAGGAGCTGTCAAGCTCTAGAGAGGTGTGCTCCAGACCTCCATATCCATTCATCTTCTTCAGTTTAAGCTGGTCCAGTTGTGTCAAGCCCTGTGTCTCCAGAACCGCCTCTTTTTTGGAGAACATGCGGCTAATTTCTAAGAAGGTCTTGTTCTTTGTCTCAGGGATGACGATGTAGACGTACACGGCCACAGAAAAACAGACAGCAGCAAAGACCAGGTAACAGTAGGCTCCTGCTGATCTCTGAACACACACAATCATCAGATCTCCTTAGCAGAGTTACAACATGAATCCTAAGATGGGGTAAAAGTGTAGGCCTACCTGCATGAAGGGAAAGACGAAGCCCACAGTGAAGTTGGACAACCAGTTCAGAGAACCACCTATTATGTAGGCCGCAGGGCGGTGGGACTGTTTGAACAGCTCTGCGGTGATCAGGAAAGGTACTCCCGCTGTAGCAGAAAAACCACAGAGCCCATGATGGGCATTTTGCTGTTACTGCCACTTTGCACTTCATTCAGTTCTGTCAACTAAAATTGCTTACAGACGGAAATGGAAATGTGCGCGTCCACACTAAGATGAAGACGAATTTAATTCACATGAGAGAAGTGTAATGCATACAGTATGCTAGGCCTGAGGGCAGCACTGTGACAGGAAAGCAGCAAATCAAACAAGAAACATGCAGTGTACCGATGTTCTGATAGCACCCGCCGTAATTAAGGGTCCAGGATCAGTGTCAAAGTTGATCCCAATTTTCCATAATTAGTTCAGTGTTAACAGCTTCAACTTTCTAAATAAACAGCAGTTGAAGGGAGGAGGATAGTTTTTTCAGACTAAAATGAGAAACAATATTTTGAATGGATTTATTCAAAGTAGATACCTGTGGAAGTGATTACTTACCTGGGCCAATACAGAAGCCAGCGATGATGCCCACCACGCAGCACACACTCATATATCTCATGAAAGATAGGTTTGTCTGCAGATTAAAAATGTCTTCATAATGGGATCTTTAAAGCTGAGGATATTTAAGCCACACTCACTCACTTGTAGAATAAGTGCAAGTGTGATGCCAGTGCTACACAAGCCCATCATGGTGAAGCCTCCAATCATCAGAGGCCTCCGGCCCAGTTTCTCTATGGTGAAACACTGAACACAGGGGATGATACCGACATGAACATATTTTTGTGTACACACACACACACACACACACACACAGCAATGTTTGTGTCTTGCCCATGGACACAACAGGTTTAAAAGGTATTTAGGGAGATGTTTGTACCAATTCAAATGCAATGTGTATACCAATAATTAGTCTACCTCACAGTAAATCATTGTGGTGATTTTGGTAAAAATGCAAGAGCAGCAAAAGAGAAAAACTGCTCAGGAAGATAGCAGAGAAGATGTGAAAGACAGTAAAGGGACGAAAAAAGGTTTTGTCCAAAGTATATAGTGGATTTGTTTGTGTAAGCTCTCAGTCGTACAGGGATAAGTCAAAGCAAAGGAAGGTTTCTCACCCATCATCTGTACTTCTTAGCAAGTTTTCCCTGCTAAGAAGCACAGATGATGGGTGAGAAACCTTCCTTTGCTTTTATATAGTGGATTTACATAATGAGAGTAATATCTGAGCTGAAAGCCCAGATCTAAAACCAGCTCCCATTGGTCAATGCTGTGTTCATGGGCGAGGTGCTTTAACCGTTTTGCCCTGGAGTGTAAATTTTTGTGTGATTCCATGTGATGGCAAGCCCTTAAAGTACCTTGAAATTTAGAAAAATTTGACATTTGAGCAGTAGAGCATTAGGATTAATAGGACTAAGCCAACATTACTTCACTGGGGAAAATTCAAAATATAGATAAAAGTGGAACACTTCTTGTTAATGACTAAAAGGTACATAAAAATATTCTTAAAACTAAAAATAATCAAAATAAACAGTCAAGCAGAATCATAAATGACCTTTTTAGAACCAAGCAGGTTCAAAGTTTTCATTCAAAGACAGTTGCAGGATAAGACTCACCCCAATGAGCCCAGTGATGATCTCAATGACGCCGGTGCCTGCTGTGGTATACTGGATCTCTGGAGGAGGTATACCGGCCTTTTCAAATATGTCATTTGTGTAGAACCAGATCTGTGATGACATACACATACATGACATATGATTACTACTGCTTACATTTGCCTTGTGAGGAATAAAATGGTGGTACACTGACCGCATCAATACCAGACAGCTGCATTCCAATGTTGATGACCACCACACTCAGCACCTGCCAGCGCACACTCTGGTCCTGCAGCAGCGACCACACAGACAGAGTCTGCACAGACGACAGCGAGCGCTGCTCCTCCTGCATCTCCTCAATTTCCGCTTGGATGTTGCACTTAGAGCGGTACCATTTTAGAGCTGGAGTTTGTAAAAAGAAATGATAATAATAATATGAGCAACAATGTTTGACAGTTTGATGTTTGGACTAAAATAATTCAGAATAACATCAGAATCAAGATTACTTATAATTGAAGGGAATAATAATTGCCAGTGTCCTGTTGATTTTGAGTGTATTGTTGCAGAACAGAAACTTTACAAATTATGAGTACGCTAGTCTCACCTGTGATTGTAGCATGGACATTGTGTTTCTCAATCAGAAGATAGCGGGGGCTTTCTGGAAACCACGGTAGCAGAAGTAGCTGAATAAATGTGGGCACCACCACCACAGACAAGAAGAGAGGCCAGTGCTCCTCCTACAACACACAAGCATTGTATATCAGATACAGAAACAGTCCTAGCAGCATGCTCCAGTGGAGGGCAGACTTTCACACAGCTGATAGCGGCCTTTGTAAAACGGATTAGTGTATACTAATGTTAATCTGTGACAATTCACCTTTCCAAGAAGCTCATGAAGTCCCAAGATCTGAGCCGTGAAGACTCCAGTCCCAATGAAGATACTGGGAACTAAACCAAGGAAGCCACGCAGGTTTTTTGGAGCTATCTCCCCGAGGTACATGGGAACCACACTCAGAGATATTCCTGAATCACACAAACACACACTTGAAAAGCTCTACCTGTGTCAGTAACTTATGATGTATTTCAGTTTTAAAAGAATACCTCCTCATCCTCTACTGTATGGTAAAATAACTATGTGTATATCTTTAAGTATACATACATTCATTTTAATCTATCCACTTAGTAGTGAAGTTTGAATTTTGGATGGGTCAAATGCAAAGGACACATTTGTCAACGCAGCCAATGTACTGAAACCATAACATTCGGAGGTTAGTTGTCTATGACAAGAAAACAACAGTGAGCGCAGCAGGACCTGGTTGTCTTCTGGAGAGTTTGTGTTTTACATACAGTATAATGTCTGTACACATGTTTCATTCACAGAAACGATCTCATCTTTACATACAGATGCCCACAGTGGTCCCACTATAAGACAGTGTTAAGAATGCTCAGCCCTGCCATACCTATCCTTGCAGTTAAAGCAAGCAAAAAAAAACAAAAATAAACTTGTATGTTGTATTTGTCCAAGGTAAACTGTTAAGAACCAGCGTTTACAGAAAGATACCTGAGTGCACCCCTGTGATGAAACGGCCAATGATCACCATCTCTGGAGATTCACATGTCCGACTGAAGCCCATGAGAACACTCGCAATGAAGACCAGTACAGTAGTCTTCACAATCGTTCCCTTTCTGCAGGAGAAATATGTTGAATGATGCAAATAATAATGGTTAACCAATGGAATCTTCACCCGAAATAGATGGCCTCAACAGAAATAGTTTCACAATATTTTATATTATGTAAAATAAATCTAAATAGTTTTACAAATACAACCTTCAAAGCAGGGACAATAATTGAGCTGCATATTAATAATCATCATCACCATAGTTATAACCATAATCACCAAAGTCATAATAGTGTCAGCATTTGCCTAATTCCACATTATTTAGTGTTTTATTATTATTAAATATCTGAAGTGAGTTTCGAGCGCACATAGAGACATAGGTATTCCCAGGCTACAAAGTCTTTGAAGAATGTGGGAATCCTGAATAATGATGTCATGGCCTTGTAAGCGAAGGTACGTTATGCTATGCAAATGTTTGGGTACAATATTTGCAAATCAACCTGAGAACAAAGGTTAAAGAAAAGATGACTGAAGAGTGTAAACATTTGCTCAATTCTGTCATAGGCCAACAATTCACATCAAAAAATCCTGGGCCATCATGTCAAAAAGGAAGAAACCCACAATTTGTTTTAACTTATGGTCCCTTCAAGTGGTCTCAAGTTTAACTGTTTGACCATAATGACATGTAAAAATGGGAGGAATAAGGGGAAAGATAACAGATAAGATAACCTTCATTTGTCCCGCAGTGAGGACATTATAAAGTTGTAACAAACCCTCATTTACACCAGTATTATCAGGAAGAATGGGCCACAATTCCAGCACATTGTTCCAAGATGTTTGTGGGGAAAATCCAGTTCTATCAATGTTCTACAACAGAAAAACCCTCTCCATGTAGCATCAAGCAGAAATAAATAAATAAGAAATAAGATATAAGATTAAAATAACTGAACCAAACAGGAGAACTTTAGTCTGATTTGACTTCAGGAAAGAGAAAAATATCTCTTTTTGCAATGTGTAAACTTACCTCCCAAAACGTGTGACCAAAATTCCCACGATGAGGGAACCCAGCAGCCCCCCGATAGCGAACACAGACACAGTCAAAGAGTACATGAGGGTCAGAGCCTCCTCATTCAGGCCTGTCCCATTACGAGCCACCACTGTCCGGTTGTAGAAGTCCTTTATGTACTGGGACAGATGTCAGGGGCAGGCATTGGTTATAACATATGTGTCATCTCAGATCAAAACCCAATCTCACATTGGAATAAGGCACATTATAATTTCTCCATTGAGAGATCATCTTATCTTTCAAATGTACATAGATTGAATCACTCAGGATGTGCCAAAAGTAAGGAAGTGTGCAAATTATGTAAAATAAAGACAGTGTGAGACAAACAAACACTTCACATATTTTTTCTTCATGTTTTGTTACCCCATAATTCCTTGATTAATTCTAAATCTTTCATCCCGAATATGTTCGTGACTTTCTGAGTTCACCACTCTGAGCTTTATCTGATGAGGAACAGCAGCACTCACGCCGCAGCTGAGATTGTGAAAGGTATGCCGCTCGTTTGAGACAACTACACACCATTCCTGGGTGATTAGAAGGAAATCTGTGCCCAGAGCATCACGGGATCCACTGACATTTTCAACTGTCTAATCCAATTTGTGTGCGTGCTCTCATGTGGCATGTGACGTTGTCTCAAAAACTGTTCTCTATTTGTGTATGTCCATTATTTAGAACGATCATGTATAAACTTCTTTTACAAATCTCTTCTGCAATCACATTTGTTTGACCCAGACCATGACATGCAAAAAGTAAATGGACTCCATGAAGGATAAAGGATGAAGCACACACTGAGTATAATTGTAAAGCGCATATTTATATTTACACCGAAGAGTTTTGTATGCTTCACGAAGAAATTTCATAAATGTTGACTATTTCGTCAATACACTTCAGTTGACCACAATCATAGTGCCATCTAAGGCTGTGCCTATAATCAAAAGATCTCAATTTTGGCCGATCTCTATAATCGTGACATGCATTTTTATTGAAAAACACAGTATCATGTGACAGCAGCAGCACGGGGGGCTGAAAAGTTACACTCACTGAGAAAAAAGAGAAACAAAGCAAAAAGGTACAGCTCCCTTTATCTCTCTTCACTCATGTGTCTCTCACATAGTTTTCATATTTTGCCTAAATATAGTTTTAACATTATGATGTGGCGACTCAAATATTATTTCTCACCACAAAGTGTCCACTTATTATGAAGGGATAACATCCGGTAGACTTGACCACAAGTTGTCTTAATGAAGAGACTACGCTGAGTCGCTGTTTCCTGTTTCACCAACTTCTATAATGAAACATTTAAAAAGTCTGCTTTTCTTCTTTCATGCATGTGGCACATCCGCCAACTCTACAAAAATCTTGATATCATGTTGAACTGCTTAGACAGTGAATGTTTAGCTTGTTTTTCAATAGAAAAAAAAATGTAGTCCATCACATGGTGGTTTGCTGTTCAAAGATCAAATTCAATGAGAAACATACAAGAAAAGAATATTTTCCCCTATATTGCCGAGTCCTATTGCTTTGCTTCAGGCTTGTTGGCTAACGTCTCTGTTACACAATAAGACAATGTCAGAGGATGTCCTGGACACCAGCTTTCAGATAAGATATTGATATCTATGATAGACTGCAGAGTTAGACAGCAGGTGTTAGCTAGGATAAACACCTTATCAAAACGGAATTACTTACCTGGGCAGGGGAGTTGACGACAGCCAAATTGTACCCATAGAGCATGGAGCTCCCAAAGGAGCTGAGGAAGGCCACTGCCAGCAGAGAGGAAGTCAGTTGCTGCACAGAATAGAAAAACATGTAAGCACATATGGGGGATACATGTGTATTCTGAAGACAAAAGCTTGTTTGTAGCAATGGTACGGCCAATGTGTCTATTTTATGCATGTAGAAAACTGATATTTGAAATAAAGAAACGCTTTGGTGTAATTTAGTGTGCCAGAATTATATTTTTCTAAAGAGGCAAATATTTCTACCGGAAGGCTGCAAGTAGGCTTTTTGCATTTCACATCAAAAGACATGCTGTAGAAATTGACTTATTTAAACTTTTCTTTCAGTAGATATCAAGAAAATGTCTCCTATGCACCTGTCCCCTTGGCGTGCATGGTTCTCCCTCTATAACAACTCCTGTTTTAGAGTTACAAAATAAGTACAAATAATGCATTTGAATTTCCACTTGTAACTTGAACTAAAAGCAAATTAAAGAAAAAAATATCCGCAGACAAAAAAATCATGTAATGAGTAGTTTCAGAATGAATATGAGAATGAAAGAGTATGTGCACATAATCGAGGCATACAAGTCAGTTTAGAAAGCTGTTAGTTTCTGCTCAGATACAGAGTGTGTGTTTATTGTGGTAAAACCAAGCCTCTCACCTTCAGTTAACTCCAACAACCACAACAGGTTTGCCTACCAAAGGATCTCATGCCTAATCTGAGTATCATCTGAATTCAACACACTTCACCAAATAAACAACAAGTTTATTTCGTAAGTACCCTACTATACAAGACTGGAACTATGCATTCAAGCTGTACTGTTTTGTGAGCTATACTGGTGTTTACACAAGAGGGAAGTCAATCACATTTGTCTTACAATTTGGTTGTTCAGATTTGGCCTGTTTGGTCAGCGGATGAGAGGTCACGCACTGTGAATTACACATGTTTATCAGAAAAGGATGCTATTCCCGTGTCTCATAACACCATCGCATGAGGCATCTTCAAGACATTTCTACTCTGTATTATTGATTCCAGTTATTATATTTCAAAACGGGAATTGATTAATCCTCCACTAGTTTAGTCAAGTTCAGAACTTACCGACGTGATTTTTCCTGTCGTAGGGATAAGTAACTCCTCAGCCATTTACACAGTCCACAAGATTCCAGAGTGAAGAAAAAAGACTTAAAGAAGCTAAGTTTGCGTCGCAATGAAAGACCGAGTTGGTGAAGCTGGAGCGGGCTCTGGTCCATGTGCGCAGCTCTGCGCAGAACAGTAGCACTACATGCGCAGGCTCCCAGTTCATCACATGATGGGGCCAGCGTGACACAGGGAGAAGGCTGCTGCAAGCAATTACACCTAAGTCAATTTACAAAGAAAGACAAGGCAGAGAGCAGCATGGGGACCGGACATGGTCAGGTTAAATTATGCACCAATAACCTACCTATACTTCAGAAAGTGGGGAAGAATAAAGCAACAGTATACGTTTCTGTTTATGATACTTCTGTCGAATCAAGAAGAGACCCCACTTGACACACACCTGTCAGGTTTGTTTCTCTGTCTCCATCCCTGGGCCATCAGGCACCCTTGGCGAAAATATATCTTTGCGCCCCTTGCAGACTTCACAGGTACACAGTGAAAGTAGTCACGAAACTCTTTCAGATTCTTATAAAATGAATTTTAAAAAGTGCCTAAGAGCCTGTCCCGCCCTAATGTGTTTCACACTGTCCCCAATTTTCATCCAAAAGTTAATGTTACTTTGCACAGTAGCAGTAGGGGTGTGACGATATATCATGATACTTTCTCCCACGATTCAATTATCGATATGCATTTGCCAAGTATCAATAATGATTATCGTTATTGTGAGCTTTGTATTGTGTATCGTATCGTATCGTGAGGTACCCTTAGGTTCCCACCCCTAAGTTGCAGAGGGCATCACAGTGAACAATTGTGCAGTAAAACTATAGAGATATCTCACGTGACGTCACGATGCCTCGACCTCGCGGGGCATCCGCCATACTGGAGGACAAGCAAACGCTGTATGATAGTGGCGTGCACCCGGGACCGCATAAACATGTTCAAATCTTTTGCCGTTTTTGGCTGCAGCAAAAGGAGAGACAGGGAAAATAAGTTGTGTTACCGACTGCCAGCCGTCCTTACTTCACACGGCTCAAAAACAGAAGACATCTCAAAGAAACGAGAGAGAAATGGCACAACCATACGCAACAACAAAAAACTAATAGCCCCCAGAGCGCCCAAATATGCTCGGATCATTTCATTTCTGCTAAGTGAAATCAATTTGATGGCGGATTTAGTGTTATTCCGAAACAAACAGAAGTTTAAGGATAAAACATATCTGTCTGACTGCAACGTGGGGTTGCTCCATAGACTGTAGCTTAGCTTGTAGCATAGCTGTTATATATTTGGTCTCACACAGGACCTGACCCGGTTCACAGGGTATCTGACTTACCGAAGGCCAGCAGACATGTGAACGACTGAGCCGTGCTCCAGGGTGCCCCGTACTAGTATTTATTAATAAAATATACGGCTCCTCACAGTAGACGCAGAAAGCTCCATTGATTTGAATGTAATCTCATTATTTCCACTGCAGTGTAGCCACACATAGATCCATGGTGTAACAATAAACACATTAAATGTTAATCGGAGAATACATTATACATATACATTCTTAATACACGTGCACAGAGGTTTTCAGAATTTTCTGTTCACGTTTTCATGAAAAAACACTGTTTTAATGCGACAATATGCGACCGCGGTAAACCTGGATGTAACGATAAACATTAATAATACATTTTAGGATGCATTTTCAGAGGATCTGATTCATGAATTTAGGTTGAGTATATATTTGGGTCACTAACTGCTGAAGTTTCAAATTCTATGTTCAGTTTTCATGTAGTTCGAGAGAGTTCTAGTTTTGAACGTCCAGTTATAGATAGCTAGCAGGGCTGTTACTCGCCGAGGTTGTCCTCCAGTATGGCTGCCGTGGCTGCTAGTCACGTGACCGTAGGATCCCTCTATAGTCGCAAAAAAAAAAATTTTTAAAGGGAATTTTACAGGTGGGACATCAGTTTGCACTGCCTTGTCGAGATACACTGCTGTTTATGATGTAATGCAAACTTGCGCATGCGCTTCTCACGGCAGCCGAAGCAAACCAAGATGGCGGACATAAAGTCTGTGAATTGCTTTAAAAGTTTAAATACAAACGAATTAAGACACACATGTCACTTTTGATTCAATATGAGGCAATATGTTGATGGTTCATGTTGTAATATGTGGATTTTAAGAGTCAAAGTTTTGAATAAAGTTTGATTTAAGTCAGTGGTTCTCAAACTTTTTACACCAAGTACCACCTCAGAAAATACTTGCCTCTCCAAGTACCACCAAAGGACAAACACTATACAGTAGCGTAGTAAGCCTAATGGTGCGTTCACACTGCCAACACTGGAACGCTGACACCTCGAGCACCAGACGCACATTCTCTAATTTTCAGACACAGGGGTCTTCAGACCATAAGTCCTGGCCTGCGGTGGTGCCCGCCGGAAGTGGCGTAAGTAGCGGGTGGACTTTGATGCTAACGGAGTTAAGCTAGCGGCTTTTGTGTAAAGTTCTTATCCAATAATGCAGCTCTGCAGCGTCTCTGTGTCCAGAGACCTTCCAGAGACTTTATATATCAGTAGTATGTGTTTACGTAGGTGCGGCATAAGTTTATGTTATTATTAAACGGTACTTCCGCATCAGCGAACACGCTCGAAGCAGTTGCATAAAGTCAATGCGGAGCATGAAAACACATATGTTGAGTCCCCCATTGTCAACCCTAGTTTAGTCCTGGTGTAGCTCCTGTTTTGGCTGTTTACGACTACGTTCAGTCTGCTCACTCAGACCGCTAATGTCCCCGTGACCACTTTGCCGCTCTCTGATTGGTCGCTGCACGAGCGTTCCGAGCAATATTCATCTCCTGCGTGCGTTGATTTTCTGCTCCTGCACAGTCTGTGCGTCTTTACCGCGAAGTCCGTGCATGCATCCCGAGACCCACATGCATTTCGACGCTCGAATGCGCGTCACCATTGACTTTGCATTGAAAGTCAACGCAACACATGATCCGGTCTGAACGCAGCTTAAAGAGCAACTAAACACCAAATCAACTTTTTTTTTACTCATAAACTGCATAAATATGTTTATTGTAATGATAATTTTTTTGACATTTTAGTGCAAATTAGATAAAATCTCACTTTTGAGCCTAATAACGTCTGTGTGGCGCCCTCTCAACCTTTTCGGCGGTACTACATTTGAATTTGGTCCGGGCCTTTCCATTGACTCTGTAATTCTGTGTGACGTCAGTTGGTGTGTGTGACGTGCGTCTGTCTGCGCCAGTGATATAAACCCATTCAACTCTCACACACACGCCCCAGCTGCAGGTTGGAGTATTCTGGCGACATCTAGTGGGTTTAATATTAAATTACATGAGTTGACAACCACTGCTGCTGAGATAATTCTGTGGATTAGGTTCAGGCAGAGGCGTCCCGTGCCAACAGGCAAGGCAGGCAGCTGCCTGGGGCCCCCAAACCGGCAGGGGCCCCCGAGGGCCGACTGATTTGACACAAGCTGTCGACTTGTACAGGCCACAACAGGTACCTGAAGTGACGAGTTGCAATTTGACCGCCCGTCTCAAATCCCCTGATAGGGCCCCGCTCCTCTCGCCCCTCCCCCCACATGTGTCAGTGACAGAGGTGAGGTGAGCGGAGCGTGCAGGCAGCGTGCTATTTCTCCCAAAGCAAAACAAAGTTGTCCGACCAAATGAAGAGAAGTTATCCTTCTGGAAGCAATAAACGAAAGCGCAAAAAAGAGGAAGACGAGAAAAGAAAGCATGATAGCGGTGAGTGACTGTCAGTTAGTTCATCTAGTCTACATGACGCTCTTGGAACTAAGGGTGCTTTCACACCTGCACCATTTAGTCCACTTAAAGCGGACTCGAGTCTGGAACACCTGCAAGTACGGTTCGTTTGAGCAGGTGTGAAAGTGGACCAGTTAAATTTGGTCCAGACTAAAGAACCGCACCGAGACCACCTTAGGGAGCTGGTCTCGGTGCGGTTCCATGTGGACTCCAGTCTGGTTCACTGCTGGTGAGAACGCAGACCGGCCTCAATATGCCCCTGCTCTGTTGCGTAGCTCACTTTTTGACACACACATTGTTTTTTTATATGATAGAATCGTCAAAAACACCCGCAGATTGTTCTCGTGCTAAATCCGCGATACATACTGGAACAACAGAATTTGTTCTGCACAAAACAACGATGATAAAAAATAGCCAAAAAACGCAGAGTAGCACAGTCACATACATCATCCAATACACAGTATTTTGTGAACAGCGCCACCACATGGGTGGCGGAGTAACATCTACAGTGGTTGGTTCGTTTGCAAAAACACTGGTGTGAATGAGAACCAAACTAGTTGAGAACTGCAACATTGTAACAACTTTAGGGCCCAAGCGAACCACTTTAGTGGACCAACAGGTGTGAAAGCACCCTAACTTGTTTGTTTGCGGATCACATCACAGCAACATTTAGCATGCTATTGTTAGCGTTTTGAAGGATTAATACACTTTGATAGCAGGTAGTGTTTGTAATTAATTATAACATGATGAGTGTAGTGAACAAGTTTATAAAAAGACATGCTAATTTATTTCTCATTGCTTTTCGTCACCAAATACTTTTTAAAATACTAATTTTCTATGGTAGACTGTGCAGTATGCCATGCAGGCCCGGCTTGTACATTTATTGTTAGAAATAAGAAATTGTCTACATTTTAATGTTAATCTAAACAATTAATAGATGTTGCATTTTTACTTACTAAATTATATATTTTTCCCCTTTTGCTCAGGATTGCTAAGAAAATGTTTAGTTCCCTCATCTTCTTCAAATCAGGAACATGCTGCTATTTGTAAGTACTTTATCTATATATATTCTCACTTCTAAAGATATTTTATCAAAATACATTTCGACGTTAATGCCATGTTTGATTTCTCTGTATCTTTAAGCTCAGTCTGCCGCTACACACACTACTACAGCCCCAAGTACAGCCACGCCAAGGTTTACTGCCCCCTCAAGCTCTACAGCCCTGGACAGAGCAGCAGTCAGCTATATCCCATACTGCAATTGTCAACATTTCGTCGCCTACCTCCATTGACCAAGAGGACCAAACAGAACCACAAGCACCCACTCCAGGTATGATATTAGTGCAATAATATATTCAGTTTAAAAAATGCTTGAATTTTACACACTATGGCCTTTTGTAGTATCTACCATATCTATAATTTCAAACAAATATAAGAGGTATACTTGAAAATAAATCAATATCTAAGTTGGTTTGTATTTTGAAGATGTGTAAATTAAAAATACATAAATAGTAATGTAAATATGGACATACTTAGCAAGCCATCTTTAGCAACAATTGTAATTGTAAAGGCTGTAAAAAGAGACTAAACATAGTGTTTGTTCAAGTAATGATATCACATCAGGATTATTTATGGTTATTGTGTTTTTCTTTTGAGAATTCATGTGTTTTTTTAATTGGTTTCAGCTCAAACGACACAGACCAAGAAAAAGCAACACCAATAAGATTGACATCTTCTGATCCTGGACAGTGGCCTGATGTTCTTAATGATGGTGAAAAGAGTTCCCTGGTGAAAAAAGGTCCTCTTCAGGTGACGGATATTGTTTTTCCTCAAAGCAATGAACAAAATCCTCGGAGATTCACAAAGGAAAATTATTACATGGTCATGAGAAATGGTGAAAAAATAAAGCGAACATGGCTAGTATATTCAAAATCGACCGATTCAGTGTTTTGCTTTGCTTGCAAAATATTTGGCAAAAAGGACAATAATGGTCTAACTAAAGGAGGGTTTAAAAACTGGAAAAACCTTGTTGCACATTTAAAAGAGCATGAATATTCCAAACCCCATATAAATAACATGAAAAGTTGGCATGAGCTCCAGATAAGGTTAAAAACTAAATCTGCTCTAGATCAAATAAACCAGGATCTATTGCACCTTGAGGAGCAGCTCTGGAAAGCAGTAATCCACAAGATTATTGCTATAATATGCAAGTTCTACAAAGAAGTATTGTCGCAGAGTTGAGAACCTATAAGCGTTATTGTTTAGTTGTTAATTATGTTTTCATAATATTGTTGTTCTGCTGATCTTTGTTGTTGTTAGTATTTTGTCAATTCTGTTTCAACTTTATGATGCAAAATAAATAATATATTTATATCTACTGCAGTATTAAACTTTTTATGTGGTTATATGGTCTGTATCGGGGCCCCCAAGGACTCTTTTGCCTGGGGCCCCGGGGTACCCTTGGAACGCCACTGGGTTCAGGTGTGTAGCTCTACAATTATCTTAGTGTGTAAACAAGGGTGGAATGAGAGTTTCTGGTCTGTAAACTATTTTTTATTTTTATTTTGTGTGACAAGTCAGTTGTCAATCACAGCCCAGACCACGCCCAACTCTAAGCCCCCCTTCTTGTCCCTTGGTCCTCCAGGCAACGCCCTTTTAAAATGATAGTCTGTAACTCTAAATTAATTACAAATTTTAGGAAATGTTTTAAATTGACCTCTTGGCCCTTCCCTTCTCTTAGCCATAGTTCAGAATCCAAAGTCCATGTTAACCAATAGAGTCATGCCAAGGGCTGTCAATCATCGGCGCTGATGCTCGTAGCTGAGCAAATGCTCAGTTGTTTGTTTTCGCGGAACCTCCGAATCAAGCCTCTATTAGGCTCTGGAACTACATGAAAACTGAACAAAGAATTCTGAACATCTGCGCTGAGTTACTCATTTATATACTGAACCTATATCCATAATCAGATCCTCTGCAGATGTGTCCTACAATGTTCAATTCATGATAATAGCTTCTTCCGGATTTTCCGCGATCGCTTTTTTTGTGCATAAAAACATTATTTTTTCATGAAAACGTTAACAAATAATTCTGAAAACCTCCATGCATGTGTATTAATAATGTATATGTATAATGTGTTCTCTGATTAACATTTAAAAGTGTTACGGAAACATAGGCGTAGACCAATCAGGGGTACTTGATTTTTTCAAATCAAGTACCCCTCTCTCGCTTTTTCTGAGTAAGGCTGGTCACAGGTGTTTAGTCGCTCTTTAAGTATTCATCAAAAACAAGGCAGAGATTTCATTCCTGAAGAAGTATATTTAATGTTGTCAGCCATTGTAAAATGTTCAATTCATTACGAACTGCAAAGCCTTGACTCACCACTGTGAATTTCTCTGGAGTGGGATGTCTTTGTCCACCAGAAGGTTTGAATGGCTATGCTTGATCTGCTGCCTTCTTACATCTGCCATTTCCTCACACAAAGACATGTTGGTTCATATGGTTTGGATCTAATGATCTTTTGCTGCTCTCTGTTCCTTTTGCACAAAACTGGGAAAAAAGCTTTTGTGTATGCTGCTCCTTCTACATGGAACGTGTTGCAAAAAGACTGGAAATTATGTGAACTTATTTTATTTAATGCTTTTAGATCCAGATTGAGAGCACTTGAGACATCTTCATTGAAATGTAATTGTTTTAAAATCTGTAATTTTATTTTTATTTTTTGTCCAGGACTCCCTTGAAAAAGAGGTTCTTAATCTCAATGGGACTTACCTGTTAATTTTTCAGTGATTCTTTGGCATACCACTAGTGGTACGCGTACCACACTTTGAGAACCACTGGTTTAAGTAGTCAACCGCTCCTGCTGTGTGATAGCATTTTACTGACGTAGGCCGATGACACGTCCTGTGGCTAACTGGACAGCTGTTAGCAAGCAACCGGTCTGTCGAGTTGATAATGGAAATAATAAACAAAGTCTAAGTTGTAAGCATGGATCTATTAGCTTTCGAGTTAGCCACAGGACGCGTCATCGACCTACGTCAGTAAAATGACGTATGCGGCAGTTCAACTCGACAAGAGGACTGCTATCACACAGCAGCCGCATGGTTTCACAGGAGCAGTTGACTGCTTGAACCAAACTATACACAAAACTTTGACTCTTAAAACCCACATATAACAACACGGAACCATCAACATCTCGCCTCAAATTGCATTAAAAGTGACATTCGTGTCTTTTATTCGTTCATATTTAAACTTTAAACAATTCGTGGACTTTACGTCCGCCATCTTGGTTTGCTTTGGCTGCTGCGAGAAGCGCATGCGCAGGTTTGCATTACATCATAAACGGCTGAGTGCATCTCGACAAGGCAGTGCAAACTGACGTTACACCTGTTCCGAGAGACTGTCCTCCAAACGTAGACGGAAAACCCAGTCTGACAACAGCATCAACATGAACTGAAAAGGAGCAGTAGGCCAAGGTCCAGTAAATCTTTGGGAACTATAAGAATCCTTCATGTAATAAAGAAGAACAGTTACACGCACAGATTCTCTTTCGGACAAAACACTGAGTTCTCCCCAACCTGTTTCACTATTCAATGTGAATATCTGAGCAGAAGAATCCTCGTGCCTGTTCAACAGCGTTGGTGATAAAGCCGTTACTAAGTAATGAGTAACGGGATTGTTCTGTAACGAGTAATCTAATGAGTTACATGGTCTCTGGTGTAACTTCGCTGTCACATTCACAGACCTGCCAAGCTTTTAGAGTGTTTGACACAGAAATAAACCATAGACTCATAAAAACAATAAACGCTCATTAGATTCAATATAATATTTAAAGTCTATGGATTAAACAAACTGACTGACGTCACAGCAGACATTAACGAAAGGCGCGTGTTTACTTTCGACCACAAGAAACGTGTATTTTGTAATGTAATCACGTTTTAGCAACAGTATAATAATGGGAGTAAACCAGATGATAACAGCGGGAGGAACACGTGTGTTTGGAGCGAATGGATCATACAGAGACGTGGCCTGGGCCAAATCAGGACAAGGACTTCCTCTGTTGTGTGCAGAGCCAGTCTCTGCACACAGCAGAGGTTAACCTGAACTAGGTTGCTGGTCAAAGAATGAGTCCAATACTCAAAAATATGCACAACATTCCCCTTTAGCCTTGTAGAATATGTCTGATATCATATCACCATCAGGGTCTAGGCCACAGGGGTTTTCAAGCTCATAATATCTATTAAAATCCCTCCAAACATCATGCAGTATTCCTGCCGGGGTCTGATTGCCAAGCTTAATGATTGAGTTTAAATGCTCTGCATATAATACTACCCAATCAATGCGTCTGATGGGTTTAGTTGTCTTTTCCAATAAACAATAAATATATTCCAATGCAATCTGTCTCGAGTCTTTCCAGATTGAATTGCTGTAATGTCTGCGCCCAAAGCTGCTTGTTCTTTACACATGAAATAGTCCATATCTAGAGATTCCACATCTGATTCAATGGGAAAAATCACTATAGTTACATTGGCAGGTATTTACTATTGAACCTCAGTAACTTACTAACGTAATTACTTTTGGGGAGGACTAAGGAGTAATAACTCAAACTACTATTAGTTTTTTAAGTAACATGACCAACACTGGGAATCAAACTCACAGCAAATTGTTTAGATACAGCTGCTGATGAAGGAAAGAGATTTGTGAAAGTTGTTGGCACGCAGCAGAGACCCCTGCTGCCTCAGGACTCAGGAGGTGGTGCCCATGAGGATTTGGGGAGTGAACAGAGCAGGCATTCATGCTGCTGCCTCAGTTATAGGATTAAAGCACGTGTAATGAAAAGAGCGGAAACAAGCACTTCATTAAACGCACATGACCAATCAGTTCTGTAACTAAAATATTATTAATATATAAAATTGGCATTGATATGAGTCTAAGTTCAGCTTCAAAAGAGGATAAGCAATGAAGTAATGACCTTGGTCAGTGTAGCATTATCTGACTCATCAAATTGTGATGGCAAGCATTGCTAAAGCATAGTATGAGGTGTTTTACAGTTAACAAATGGTTAGGATGGTCTGTTTTATGGTATGCATTTGGGAATGCTTGTTTTTACTAAAATGTTTTTTTTTTTTACAATTAAGACAGAGATTGATTTTGTCTTTTGTTGTGGTTGTTTCCCTAATCATGTGGATGAAGTGATCTTGGATGGGGACAATGTCGTCTTCCTGCTCCTTCTGCCCCTGAACCCCCCTTTTTTCCCTCCCCTTCTGTCCTTCCTTGATTTATTTTGATGTGATCAGTTGTGGAGGTGTGGCATGTGTTTCTTCTTATGGCAACTGGCCAATGAGTGACTGTCTCCATGTGATAAAGCTTGGGTCTATCCAGTGTTTTAAACACTGAAGCAGGAAACGAGGAGCGGCCTGCAGAGGTTTTCTCCATTACAATGCTTGTTTTTAACTTGTAATCTTTACTTCAATTAAACCACACAAAATGCAACTCTGTTTCCATGGATCATTGAGTAAATGTTCACAATGAACAGTTACACTCATGTCACTGGGGACATGAACGTATTTATTAAATGCAGAGATTCATAAGTCAAGGTCATAAACACCGGACCATTGTGTCTATGTTTATGTGTTTCTGGTCTATGATCCATGGAGGTGACCACACGAGGTTACCTCCTCCTGGCTAAAAATATACAGAACCTTGTTGACTTGGAACTCTTCATTTCCTGGCCTTCAGACCA